ATAGTTCAAAACCACTTAAACATAGCATTGTTAAACGTATTTTAGTATTTAAACGGTAGATACAGGCATATTTTTATCCCCTACAACTTTTTCATCTGCTCGGATTTCCTAGCTGAAAGTCCAGTGATCCGAAAATTATAGGGATCAAAACTTACCTTTTCGAAAATTTCAGCCAGAAAAAAGGCTCCCGAAAATTCTAGGTGACCTTTTTAGCGTAAAAATCCGTTAAAAATGGGCAATTATACCATTTTTTAGGTGTTCGAAAATCCTAGGAGAGGCAGGCAAGAAAGAAATTGTACAACAAATGTTCCGAAAATTCTAGATCTCAAATCGTCTTCCGAACAGATATTTTCCGAAAATTGACGTTGGGTGCCCCTGGTTCTGGTTATCTTTTCAGGCCGGGCATTTACTGTTGTCCTGCAGAAAGTCATAATAACAAACCTATTGTATGATTTAATTTTACAGTGGAATCTTTGTGGCGATTTGAAAGCAAATTTCTAAATAGGCTTCATTCTTTTTCTGTGCAATACAACCTTCAGATTTATACCGCAGGGAAAGAGAATTTGTTGTTGTTTATGTTTAGACTGTCACACGAGATCATTCGAATGCAATTTTTATCCGTGGCAGGATTAGCTCAGTCGGTAGAGCGTTTGACTGCAGAGCGGGAGGTCGCGGGTTCGATTCCCGGGGCCGGACCATTACTCAGGGTCTTAAAATGACTGAGAAATGAAGGTACTTCCTTTGCACTGCAAGCGGCTAGACCTTCGCGTGGCTCGGATGACTACGTAAAAATGGCGGTCCCGTCTCCATTAGGAGACGTAAAAATAGTACCCCAATTAGCACGTTCGTGCTAAATACATTGACACTCAAATAAAAAGTGCAAGTGCACCTTTAAAATAGTCAGAACCTTCTTGGGTCACGGTTCTGTCACTAAAAAAATCATTTACCATCTGAGTGTATATTGAAAAATGCAAAATCGCTAAATTGGGCAACCGACATCTTTTATTTTACTAACAAGCTAATTGCCAACGTACACAAAAAAATCTTGCTATCGCGATTATGAAGTCATCACTTCAGAAGTTAAAAGACCTTGAAGGTTATTAAAAGTTCACTTTCAAAATTTGCATGCACAAACCAAATTTATAAAACCATTACATATTTTTTTTTGTAGCCGTTTATTATCATTTGGTTTTGACTTGCAAGATAACACGCGACCTTCAACCTGTAATGCTCGATAGGCCATTTCGACACTACATAAACATAAAAGGCGAAAAAACACATTACCTTGTAACTGTTACAAGACTAACTATAAAATATGACCTAAATATTTTCTGTGTACATGTATCCCATAGAAATACGCTAAATTTTAAATTTGATTATAGATTGCAGCGATCCAGTTAAAGATATAAAGCTATAAATCCGAACCGACCTTCAGCTAGACGGCCCCATTTTGTGGAGTCATCTACCGACAGCACAATTCCCCCGATCAATTTCAAACTTATTTTGACGAAATATTGGAGAAATTAAGTACACAAAATAAACCTATTTATGTTATGGGAGATTTCAACATAGACCTTTTTAAATTTGAAACCTGTGACTTTTCTCACAACTTTTTACTAAGTTTGCAAAGCTACTCGTTTTTCCCAATAATCGATAATCGATACTAGAGTTTAATAATAACTCGGCAACGCTAATCGACAACGTAAGCTCTCACGTGGCAATGTCGTGTCGGACATCGGCGACCACTATTCCCGGTTCGCACTGTTTCACTCCCCCAGGGAGAAAACACATCTCAAAAAACGTAAGATTCGAGACTATTCACATTTTGTGCGAGATGCTTTTAACATGGAGCTCCTGCAAATTGATTGGAAAACTAGTAGTTCAGTTGATGAGTCCTTTGCTCAGTTTTACAATAAATTAAATAAGCTCATCTACAAACATGCGCTTCTAAAAACTATCTCGAGACAACAAGCTAAGCAATTTGCAAGACCGTGGATTACAAGTGGTTTGTGAAAATCAATTAAAGTTAAGAATTCGTTATTCAGATCTGGGGACACGGCGAAATACAAACAGTATATAGCAACAACATCTCAAGCTTGATTCGTCTTAGTAAGAAGCTCTACTATAAGGCCTTCTTTGAGGCTAACCTAAATAACGTGAAAAAAACTTGGATTATACTCCTGTCCTATTCGCATTTTGAAAGGCGCGAATCACATCGTGTCTGCTACCCTGGCAGAAATAATGAACATGTTGGTCCAAACCAGTGTGTATCCTTCCAAGTTAAAACATGCGAAAGTCATTCAGTCTTTAAGACAGGTGACAGAACTGAACCAGGCAATTATCGGCCAATTTCATTACTATCTGTGTTCAATCGATTGTTCGAAAGACTGTTGCATAAACGCCTCACATCCTTTATAAAAAAAACCACATTCTTTATAATGCACAGTATGGTTTCCGAGCAAACTGTTCTACTCAACACGCAATTTTGGATATTGTCAACAGAATACAAAGTAATATGGAGCAGGTTTGTACTCGTGCGGCGTATTTAATGATCTAAACAATGCCTTCGACATAGTTGACCATACTATACTACTATGCAAATTGAGTCACTACGGTATACGTGGAATTATCAATGATTGGTTCGCGTCCTATTTGACCGATAGGACCCAGACTACTCAAGTTGAAGCTAGCATTTCTACCAAAGGGAAAATATTATTTGGTGTTTCTCAAGGGTCTGTACTAGGACTGTTGCTTTTCTTAATCTATAAATGACATTTACCGTGTTTCCTCGAAACTCAACTTCTATTTATTTGCTGATGATACAAATATATTATGCGCAAACAATAATTTGAAATCTCTTGAATCCGTTGTCAACGAAGAACTAAGGAAAGTCTGCGAATGGCTTAATACAAACAAATTATCACTAAACACAAGCAAATCTAATTTTGTCGTTTTTCATCCCTTTCAACGTTACAACGTTACCTTAAAAATTTATGACAATGACTTAAAGATATTGACTTCTCTTGAACAGAAACATTATGTGAAATACCTCGGTGTTTTGATTGATAGTCACCTCTCATGGAGGTACCACATGGACTATATTCAGCTGTATATTTCACAAAAATAAGTAAAGGGGTTGGCATTATTGCCAGGCTTAGGCAGTTTGTGCCTACCAGTACTCTCTTAAAGATTTATCGTTCCTTAATCGAACCGTTCATTTCCTATGGACTAATTGCATGGGGACAAGCTGCCAATTCAAGTCTGAACAAAATTCTAATATTGCAAAAACGTCAGCTCTACGGTTAATGTACTTTTCTGACAGGAGAGCTCATGCCATACCTTTGTTCGTCAGGGCTGGTGTTTTGCCTCTGAATATGCTGTACTTTAAATAGGCGGCTATCCTAATGCACGATATCTCCAATAACCGGACTCCTTCTAAAATTTCTGAATTGTTCGTCCGTTCTAACATGATCCACTCTCATTATACCAGATTTTCTGCTGCAGGTAATTTTTATGTCCAGAGATCTAGACTCAATCAGCTATTATTATCTTTTTCTAGAGGTGGTGTAAGAATTTGGAACAAAATTCCTCTCACGTTACGTGAACAGCGCAGAGACCCTATCAAGCGTAAATTACGGCATAACTTACTGATCAAGGTTTTGGCGACTAAGAAGGTGAATGTTGATATGAGTACCATTACCAGTTCCTACCTGAACTCCTTATTCAGTTAAAGTGTTTTCCTTCCTCATATCTATAGGTGCTACCTTTTATTTATTTATTTCATTTTATTTTTACTTTCTCTTACTTTCTTTTGCCGGCTTTATTATAGGAGCTAGACAATTATTATATTGTTGCCCACCTAGAATAGCTCCGCTAATTGTGGGTAACAAAGACCTAACTCATTTGACAATTGAATAAACTGTTGTTGTTGTTGTTGTTCGTTGTTGATTTCAATAAAAAACAGCTTACCTTACTTAAAATGTGTGTTACGTCTCTCCTGTGTGGTCCACGGGCCGATTTGTGGCCGTTTTATGGGTTTTTATGTAAAAGGTTTTCTCTCTATATAAAGGTATATAGAGATAAAAATTTTATATTTTTTTTCATGAAGGTAAAGCGGAAGAAATAGAACACCGGCCGCTAGAGCTGCGAACCCAATTTTTCGTGTCGGCAAACAGACAGAACAGATAAACTTAATAGTAGCGTGACAAACTTCCACATCTTCACGCGTTTCTACAACACAAAAAAATACGTAGAAAGGCGATTACGAAGATAACAAAACCGAGAAAGAAACGGAGAATTCAAACAAAAAAGACTTCGGAAACCTAACATACCCGAAGGGGGTAAAAATCAAAATTAAAATTGGAATACTCACAGTGATAAATGCACGTAGCCATCCATGTACAACAGCAAACTAATAAATCCCTTAAACTGCCATTAATGAGAGGGTTGAAAAGTCTCAAGTGTAACAGGCGGCCGCTCCAATCTCCTCGCGATTCACTGCCCTCACCCGCCATTATAGCTCTTTTGCGCGCCCAACCAAAACGACCATGCCACGCAGGCTCTGTGCTGGACGCAAGAGAATTCTGGGTATGAGGAAAGGAGCCATCTTCTATTTATCTTAACACACACGCAACTTGCCAGAGATTTATTAGATATGTAAATTTTTGTATTTGTAAAAAATTTGTCTCTTTAAAAATTTCCATGGCAAGCCGAGTCCAGCAAACACTAACGTCAGTTTTATCTGATCAGTTGCAGGTTATGTAAGCTGTAGCCAAGCCTTCTTGTTTAGCATGGTGAATCCTAGTGCCTTGGGTGCAACCAAAATGTCGCTCATCCCTGGAAGGGAAGAACATGGCATTTATTGTCAAAACAACTTTGGGCCAATATTTGGCGAACTTCACGACCTATGCATATCAGATAATGCAAACAGAAGAAACAGCAGTAATATTTGCCTCGGCAACTCCTATCAGTGCCCACCAGGACAACAGAGCACGTTCTTCACAGGTACCCCAAGTTTCACTGTTACAGATTACGAGGTGTTTGGACTCCAGCAGTGACAAAACACCAGCAGAAAAGGATCTTGCGGGTACGATAGTTAAGACCCAGTCAGCCATCGATAGGATGGCAACTTCAGAATCCAAAGGGCGTCATTGATAATGTCTCCTGTTTTAAGTGCGCGCACATCATGGCTCTGCATTATTGTACATTCTCGCTCTGGAGGACTAGCATATGAAGTGTAGATTAAGCATCCAGACTGACCTAGCTCAAAAAACCTTAGCGAAAAACACTATAATACTCTTTAGTGTGCAGGTTTAGCTAAGTTCGTATCCAGGAGGCTTTTGGCACGAGCTGCGCGTGCTGTGCATCACCTTTTCTACGATTTAAGTACGAGCTCGGGATTAAGAACGAAAACCAAACGATTTGGGTATTTTGCACTCGTTTTGTCTCAAGAACGCTTACTCTTTCTCAGCACATGACAAAATGTAAGGGGAAACTAATTGCGATAAATTTTTATCTAAAGCACGCGAGCTGAGTTTGAAGACTCGTACTATCCTATTACCCAACGTCAAACTCGTAGTCAACTCTATAAAGTCCCTTATTTGTATAATAGAGAGATTTAAAAGCTTCACGTTTACGTCAAACGGCAAGCGCGAATTTGTACCACGTGACCAAGTTTCTCCGTCACTCGTCGTTTACTGTTTATTATTTCTTCACACAAATTAGTAGCTTCACGCAATTTTTTATCCATAAGAATTGTTTTGAGCTGTTTTATCTTTTCGTTTTCTATTTTGAGACATTCTCAACTTAAATCTGACGTTTTCCGTTTACCGTATACGTGAAGCTTAAACTCTCTAATACGTACATTTGCACGTGAACGCCAGTAAAGGTTTTTTCCTAGTTCCTGTGAGCGTTCTCAAATTTGTTTAAGCTAAAAATTTCTTTTATTCCCGAGTAAACTGTGTTCAAGTGTATCTACTTCAATTCCGCCATTTCATTAAGCCGGCACATTAGAGAGTATTATGGCACTTTTTAAGAAAGTCTATTATTTTCTCTCTGAAAGCTCCTAGCTTTTTTGAGATCTATTCTTTCGCTGTAGACATCAACCACACTAAAAAAGCTGATATTAATAGGGGGAACCATCGTCTAAAATAAGTTAAATGAAAGTTAGCGTGTGAGCGAAATCTGAAAAGCAATCGTCTAAAATAAGTCAAATGAAAGTTAGCATGTGAGCGAAATCTGAAAAGCAATATGCTTGAATGTTTGTCGTAGATGTTTATAAACTAAACATAAGTGTTTATTACAAAACAATCTTGCATAAATACGTTAACTGGAGGAAAGCAACAAAGAATTAATGGAAAAGCGCCATTTGTTTAAATAGTACTTAAGACAAAATATAAATACGCTAAAATTTACAACTCTTAGAATTTGAAAATTTGTATCCTATAAACTGTCGTGCATTGATAGAAACCCGTAGAAATGAAAACTAAAGTTTGTATCGCAGGGATTAACCCCTCTTAATTGGACGACCATTTTTAAACAGCCACCTGGTACGACCGCTTCGCTGTAAATTATTGTAGTGAACATATGTCATAACCCGTAAGCTGAAGTATTATTTACCGTTGTATCCTTTTGTTGCTGAATGTCAATAAAATTAATTAAAAAAATAGTGTGGCCGCTTGTATTGTAATTTATAGACGCGAGCTAGCTTCAATTTTCGTCTTGCACTGGGCATTAAAGCAGCCATTACATACTGAGTTCTGTTTTGGTCATTATCCAAGAGAGCCCTTTCAGTAACCAATGTTGATTAATACACGAGCTAGTAAGCTTAAATAGGATCCTTTGGTCTGGTTTCTTTGTTGGGTAAATAAATTGGTTCTAACTCTTGCGGTTTGTTTTTGCAATACTCAGATGCCGGACAACCGACAGCTACAATGTGATTTTTCTTGATCCAAAATCTCCATGTGCTTTTATGAAAACCTCTCGCGTCAAGATCCCACATGCTAAAGCATCGCGCCACGTTGGACCATGTGGTAAAATCTGTTTTAGTGTCCATTCGTAGGTAAAACAAGTATGTCTTCCCTTCTGTGTCCGGTACAAAATCCTTGAGGTGTGAGCAGGGGTTCTTGGCATGATTCAGCAATTTGGCCTCTCTAAAAAACAACGACAAGGACGTAAATGATGGTCTCTTTAACTAAATACTGCATTTCCAGGGATAGTAAACCTTGTTCGATTAACTCCTTCGCCCCTTTCACTCACGTAACTGTCCTTGGGTTGCGGATTTACCATAGGCAACCCAGTACAGGATAAGCACTTGGAGTTTCACAGTGTAAAATGAAAAGAGCTTTTTGGGGCCGAAACCCGAGTCCAGTCTATGATACTGTTTAAGGGGCTAATTCAGCCTCAATGAAATGGGGCTGTTTTGGTACCAATTCTATTTCGTCACCACTGCCACAGGGGTCCCATTGTTGGCGCAACAATGTTGGGAGTTGTTGCGTCTGTTTGCACGCAGCCTTAGTCACAGTACCTCTTCTTTCTTTTTACCCTCTTACTCTCAAACTCAGAAAACCGTGAACACCTGAAAAATTTCAGGAATGTTGATTGTGTACTGGCCAATTGCAATAAAGTTCAGGATACGCAAGCAAACCTCAAAACCACAAACTAATTACCGTTGCTGTTTGCGGTTTAGTTATCTCGCGCCTTATTGGCTAATTTCCGCAACACAATAACATTTCATAAATATTTCTGGTGTTCACGGTTTTGTGAGTTTCACAGTGAGATATGATCCTGCTTTACAGTAATGCCAAATTATAAATTGCAAAGACTTATCGGAAAATAACGCAGTACAGCCTTCTGAAATGGATCGTACGGTATTAGGGGTCAGTCACTTAGTAGCACGTTTTAGGATTTTTCTTTTGTTTGGGTGGGGGGGGGGTCTTAAACACAAGGAACCTTATCAAACGAAGCATTTCTGTACCTTATCAAACGAAGCATTTCTTTTTCGTAATTGTCCTTGTACATCTTATTCACATCTAGCTTGACATTCCGTTCTTTATTGAGAGAATGTTTCTTGAAGTAAATTTGTTGCATAAAACTTCCAACATTAAGCCCCTTGGCACCAAAGTGATATGTACGTGAGATGTCGGGTATGATACATTCTCTTCCCTTCTTATTCCCTTCCATTCTCATCCACATGTCCCAGTCATTTGGTTGCTCAGGTTTCGGCCATTTCTTTTCCAGCTCTCCTTTGAACAGTTTACGACTTAGCACCCTGTAAATACAAACAAAATTTTATTTTTATATTTTACCGTGGCTGAGCTCCTAGAATCCGCCATAGCCCGCCGGCCTGCAGAGCAGGAGGTCGGGAGTCCGATTCCTCGGACCAAACCAATACTTAACGTCTTAAAGTAGCTAAGGGAAGAAGGTAATGCCTTTGCAATGTAAACAACAAGACCTTCACGTGGCTCATATGACCATGCAGAAATGGAGGTACCGTCACCAAGTCTCCTGACCACTAGCTGGATCTGATCACGAGGTTCATAATCACGATTTTTAGGCACTCACTTCAAGAGTACTTAGTAATATGACAACATTTGACAGCATTACCTTGTTACAGTTGCTCATGCACAAAAAGGGTGACTGGGAAGCTCAAACGGTTTGTTGCATGTACTGTCGCACGTAGGTGAAACAATTGTTACTTCGTAAAAAGTACGTGATAGGTAACACAAGGAGAAAGTAGTTTAATCCAGAATGAAACATTTTCTCCCAGTCTTCGAACTTGTTGTTGACCAATGTAATTGACTTACCAGCCTAGACCCGGCATGGTCTCGACTCTGTACATCATTGCAGGATCATTAGAAAGATGATCATAGCCCTAAAAAAGAAACGAAAGAATAATAGTATACATAGATTTAGCCAAGGCCAAAAGCAAAGCTCTCGAGGGACGTTTTAAGAAATATCTTTCTCGACTAATTCAAATTTTGCCGTAAGCAGAAAGAAAACTGAATTCCACCTATAAAATTGGACCTGAGCAATTGAAAACCAAAAACTGGTCAGCGGATAACTTTTAAAAAACGTTACCCTTATGAGTATACCTGAGATCGCAAAACAGTCATGCGACACTGGTCAGCGGATACACTTTTTTGACAGCGGTCAACTGAATGCATGCTTTGCACGTGCAGCACACATGCACCACTGTGGCTACGTTCATACAGCAACTAACTACTTTTCGACCGACTGAGAATTCATGAGTTTAGGTGTTCCGTTCACACGGAATAACCTTAAAAGGAAATTCAGACGCCTAGCCGTTCAAAGTTCCGTGTGAACAGAAAGAAAATATTCAATGGTTCCCTGTGAACGAAGTGTCCGGTCATTTTTTTTCATTCGTCATTAGCAGGTCGAAAATTCGTCTGGTACTGTGTGAACGTATAAGCTATGAGGTAAAAATGCCCATCTTCACAGAAAGGTGAAATTACACGGGATAATTCACAACGACGATTGTCAGCTCAAAACATTGACTGCATTACAACATTGTTGCGACACTGTTTCGAAGGGTTCCATGCACAATTGTAAATAGTTTCTGAAAAGCCCGTTGGGGATGTTACTATTAACGTTTTATTATTATCATCATCATCACCATAATTTTATCATTATCGTCCCAACATTGCGACGCTTCGTAATTTTACATGTTACGTTGGACGCAAACAAGTGACGACGAAATTCGCTTTTTCCTTCTGTATTTGGATTATGGTTCTTAATAATTTAATTTCAGGGGAGTTCGCCTACATTTGGCAAAGTAAGTGATTTTGAATAATCGCAACGAAGATTGAAAAAAAAAACGCGAATTCACTTCTTATGCGGCGTTGTTTTCGCCGTCGTCGGATATTAAGGCCCTTTATGATAGTACAAAGTAACACGCAGTCGATAAATCACAGCACTGGAATCACCTGGTCATTCCAAGCTGACAAGCAGTAGACCGATTCATCGTTTTCTAAGACTGGTAGAAGCTGTTTGAAGAAACTGAGAATATCCACTGACATATATAAATCCTCTTCCAAAATAACAAGGTAGTTGGCACCAGGATGTCGGTCAAACGAAGAGGCTAATGACTTCTTGTAATGCTGAAATAAGTGTGAAGCAAATGTTTTTGTTGGTGAAATAAACACTAAAAACCATAAAAGGGTTTACCATTTAATACAGATAAACCGTACAGCAAAAGCATATAGATTTCTTGGCCCCCGCTGCAAGCAAGCTGCTACTGACTGATGATACCTCCATTTTTTAGGTAGTCCGACATGAGGCACGCCAAGGTCTAGCCCAGCGTTTGCGGAGTACAAGTAGTACCTTGCTTCTTAGTTTTCAGTCTGAGTTCCTGAGTCCTAAACGCTCACTTACCACTTTGCATAAGCTGGCTCACCAGCGTTCTTTCAACTGAACTAATCCTGCGATGGTTGCAGGCAGAATAGAATCGCGACAGAGGACAACCTTTTCACATTCAACTCACCGCTCGTTGACGCGAAAGATTAGTTTTCAAATACGGGAGGCACAAATGGATACTAATAGCCTGATGGTCAAAAAATCTAGCAAAAACGGCCTACATTTCGCTACGCCCACCACTGGTTTCCCCGCGAAATGACGTATTAGGAACGAGCGCGAAATTTGCTTCAGCCAATCAGAAGCACTACCCAGATCTGAACAGTGATACGTCATCAGTACGGAATTTCTGCGCTCGTTCCTAGACGTCATTAGGGACTTAACGATCCCAAGATGCGCCGGCACCGAGAACGTCAAAAATAACAATACTCTGCCTCTTTCTAAACTTGAATATGATTCTTAGAAATCGAACCCCAGGAGAGTTCGCCGACATTTGAATAAATAAGTGAGCTGGAATAATCGCGACAAAGACCGAAAGAACGCAAATTCATTTTTGAAGCGAAGTTTTCGCTGCCGTCGCGTCGTCGGTCGCTAAGACCCCATTTTGCGGGGAAACCAGTGCTAGGCATCGCGAAATGTCGGCTGTTTTCTCAGGCTACAAGCTTCTTGAAAATTGAGTTGATAAGGTAAAGGAATTTAAATAGTTGATGTCAACAGAGCTTGCCCTTCACGCCTCCACCGACGATGTCGCACCTTTCTTTAGAATCTTACTCCCGTCATTGGACTTTAAGAACCGATCATTCAGAAACGATAGTAAAAATTATGGGTATTCTCTGAAAAGGATAAGGTTATCCTAATAATATTCTAAAATTATTTTCGTCAGAATAACACAAGCAATTATGGGCCAATAAGAGCTAACGAAGGCATATTTGCAAACCCCAGAACAATTGCTGAGGGTGAAAACGTATGCTAGACTGCGACCAAGCTCTCCGCAGGCTAACGTGTGCATGAGTCAGGAATATTTTGTACTGTTTGTTTTCAAAGCTTATGTAAATGTTATAATGTATACCTGAGAAATTCTGGAATTTAATCTCCCTGCAGAAGAATGCTGCTCCACATTCAGTTCAAACAGCTTCGCTACCGAAGACGGTTCATCGAAAAATCCGTCGATAAAAACGGTCACCAATCTAGGATCCAGGCCTTCAACACTGCGCAGGTTCAGGAGCATGCGCAGTAAGTAACTTGGTCTATTACTGGCCATGACTGCTAATGGTAGGTTAAGGCGCGTGCCGTCTTCAAATGGTGGCGGGTTGAAATGCAGCGACAAGGGATCATCACCTGTAGAGTGCAAAAAAATAAAACCGAGAGTCAATTTAAGCGAAGTACCAAACTTTTTGAAAAAAATCCACTTTTCAGGATAAAACAACCAAATCTGTCTATTTTATGTTAAATCAGGTGAAAAAGTTGGTAAAAGGCCATTTTTAGGTTTTTTGATTAACCCATTCGCCCCTGAACCGCCCGTAATCGCCCGTGCGGATCCACGTCCTTTCTACCCTTTGTGACGTCATCAGTTTTAATGGTCAAGGACAACTTTGTCCGCTAACTTGTGCAGAGTGAAGAGATCTTTCAAACCATACCAGAATGAGCACAATTCAGTCAAGGACACCGGAGAAAGAGGCAAAAAACCATGTAACATTGACCTGAAAATCTCGATGAAAATCTTGTTCCATTGCCCACCTACCTTTCCTTTCACCTAATCCTAAGATCCTAAAAGCTTTCCTAAAAATTATTCCCACCAAAATGAAGCCTACTAAATGCCCAGCAAGAGAAAAAAAAATGAGGCAAGAAAAGCAAAAAAAGAGGGGAGGAGAGAAAGCGAAAAGTAAAAGTCAAGACTGCTATGTCACTTTTAAAATCGAAAATTTCTCGAAATTTTGCTTTCTGCGCATGCCCAAACTTCGCAAGCTGATATTTTGCATCTGGATCAAAAGGCCATGAAGTGTACGACCTGTAAACCGGTTTGTGGTAAGTTTTAGCTCTTTATAGCACGACAGTGACCAGAAAACCACTCGACTAGCTTCAAAACGCGTTTTTCGGCAAAATCTCCAGGAGCGAATGGGTTAATAAAACTTTTACAAGTGTAACCGTTGTGTTAGGATCCGAAAACAAGAGCTACACTTGTAAAAGTTTTATTAATTGTAAAGTGACCCCGAGTTTACAGTTCAGGGTAACATTGTACTTTCTGCCTTTCATATATTTATGTAAATCAAGTTGATCTTGTGCTAACAGCCCATTGCTGAGAACAACAGAGACTTTAAGTTTGGATTCGAGGAAAAGAATGAACAAGGTTTGACCTGGAGTTTTTTCGCGTATTCTCAAAACGTAGACACCCCGGAAGTCTTTATTTTCCCTTTTTTACAACAAAATATAACTTGCTCCCGCCACTATGACATTTTCGCTAAAATAGCCGTAGTAGAATGGACGGAGGCTACCCTTTTCCCGCCAAAATGACGCTGGTTCACGGGCGAGCACTACTTTGTAACTGAGAAAATCTGGTTCTTGTAGTCAACCTCACGTTAGAATCTAAAGGCCTCTAATGTTAAACAGCGGCGGTATTTAATCAGGGTTCTCTCGAAGCTCCGGTGTTATGAAGCAGATTTGGGTCGCTCAAAAGACACTGAACTTTTGAGGGCCCCCCAAATTAAAAATGTCCGCCGGAGATCCCCCCAGACTAATGCAGTAAAAGAGGGGTGTTGCCCCTTCCACACCTTCCCCGACACGCAAGCGCCAGAGGATCTTATTTTAAGTGTCACCTACAACTGTACTTCTACCTAAAATTTCAAGAAATCCTCGTCGTATTCCACGAACGTTCTGAAACACTTACAGCGACAAACATGGTTATATCCTTCGAATTTGTTACAAAACTCCCTTCGCCTTATGCTGACTGGTGAATCATCCCAATTGCATTTGACGTAAGCTGCAGGCATAAGTTTCACCGTGGTGCGGAGATGTATTGGCGCGGGCCAGTTTTCATGTCCAGGCACCTGTTGAATGGTTTCTCCATAGACGATGTTATGGCTCTTAAGTCGTTGTACAACAAACGCCCACATGGTTCTCCATCTGATTTCACTGACGTATGCACTTCCGAGACTCTTGATGAACACACGGGCTTTTTCAGAGAGGCGAAAAGAAGCTTCGTCCTAAGTCACGAAGAAACACAGAGAAACAGCGTGATTAAAAAATATGATTAAGGGACTCCCATTCGACAGGGGGTCTTGTCGTACCTTTTAGAACTCAGCCGGTTTACACCCCCACCCACCCGCCCCTCGTCGCGTTCGCCATTCAAATCCACCCATTCACACCTGAGTCGTCCGGATCGTACGTATCCACGTCCCTTGTACCACTTGTGACGTCATCAGTATTAACGGTCTTAAACAAGGGTGTAGGGACCTCTCAAACTATACCCAAACAGCCCAAATGAGCGTGATTCAGTGAAACAGGCCATAGAAAAACGGAAAAAAATGTCAGGTTGACGTGAAAATTTGAATATAAATGTTCTTCCACCATGACCACCCTCCAGCACTTCCTTCAAACTAATTCCCGGATGCTAAAATTTTTCACCATTGCTTTTCCCATCGAAATGAAGCCTAGTAAATCCCCAGGAAAAGAAAAGAAAAGTTGGGCAACAAAATCGAAAAAAATAGGGAAGAAAAAACGAAAGGTAAAAGTAGAGGGAGTAGTGTCACTTTCTGCGCATGCATGTTCTTCCAAATCAGTAATTTAGTATTGGGGACTAGAAACAGCATATTGCGCGACTTGTATGGTCTTATGGTCAGATAAAGACCAGAAAATGGCTCGTTTAGCTTCAAACGATGTTTTACTCCATATTTTCGAGGGGCAAATGGGTAAAGGAACAAATATTGGTTGATAGGTACTGTTCAGGGCGCTAAAATCTAATATGATGGTCTTTGAGAAGGGTGTTTTAGAGCTGGGTGTACGATTAATTTACCAGCTAATGCTCAGATAGATGAGTGTAAGGTGAACTCCCTACCCCACCCCCTCACTGTTTCCCCTGCTTACATCTATTTGCACCATCCCCACAATCTGAGTCTGAATAATTTAATAGGACAGTTAAAAGGTGTGAAGAAGACTTCTTCTTTTTTTAAATCTTTTTTTAAAATTAAGTCTGATGTGTTATCTTAAAGCCACCGTGTGTAGACTGACACTTATATAGTTTTATGAAACACTCCTTGGAATCTGGACTCCTGTTATCACTACATATTTTGGTACTGTCATAATCTGTAATATCATACCCAGACCGGAACTGAAAAAACAGCCTTTATTAAAATTTGAATCATTGGAAATACAGTTCTAGAGCTCAGATTGGCTTAGCCATCATGGTATATGGGCCATTATACCATCAGCTCTCCAAATATGGTAACTGTACACGTCTGCTCAAAATTAAAAACAAGCTGAAAATCTGTTGTTTTACAAATTAATAAAGTTTGGAACAATTTTTGATACTTTGGTGGCATTTTTACTAAAACATTATTCCACTCACGCTTGGTGGATATGAGATTCAATTATAGCCAAATCGGCGCTATACGACTTGTTGGCTATCTACTGTCTCATATCCAAGCACAGAAATTCTATACTGATGACGTGTCACCACCCAGATGGGTAGTTAACTTTTGTTTGGTTGAGGCAATTTCCCTTGTAGCCTGACCTATCAGAAGCATTACCTACCTAGAAATTGGTCACTGACACATCATTAGTATGGAATTTCTGTGCTTGTTCCATTGATATCAATGTCAATTCTGTCATTGTGAAAAGTGGGCTGTTTTCTCATGACAGGCTAACCTGATTTACTAACCTTTATGGCAAAGCAGATTATTCGTCCAAGTCTAAGCCCTTGTATGTAGTCCAAAAGAAAGCCACTGTCATCCTGCGACTCATAAGTATCAAACCATCTGGAAGACATGATGGATCCTGTTACTTCATTTAAAACCAAAACATTCATTCCTCGGATTAACATCTCAGAAGTGTCCAAGTGCTGAAAAAGACCAACATCAAAAGTGTTGCCTTGTGTCAAAACATCAAACACTTAACTGTACATTCATGTTCATTCAGAACCAATTATCAGTCCTTGACCTCTAGCACTACAGACTCCACTGAGCAAAATGTTCGTAAGCCAAATACGAAGAGCAGGGTCTCTTAAGTCAAACAAGATTTACACAAAAATAATAAAGGTTTGCTGTCAATGCAGAAAGGATTTAAATTATTCATACACATTGAAAATTGGTATGCTGTGCTCTACAGGGTAATGTCTGGTTGCCCCTCAGTGTTGAATTAAACGTACATGTATGCCCTTGATCAGGTGACAAGGAAATCGTGGTTTTTACACAAAAATAATTATTATTACATGTCAGGTGCCCAAGTTTTGTTAGGTTCAAGCTTTAGGGACAATTCTTTTTACAGCACACCCAGATCTGCTTGGTCAAAGGAATTGTACTGTTGAAATTAAACGTATATATACATTTCCAATAAATTATGATTTTTGTTAAAACATAAAAAAATTGGTAAAATTTTTAATATCTAAAATAATTTGTTGTCTCACAATAAAGACTTTTACAAAAATAAATTAACAATTTATGATAAAAGTCTCTTTATACCAGTTGTCCATTTAATGTCACTGTTACATTCTCCTTGCTTGACAAAACCTCTATATCTAAATATCTGTTATCTGTACAAAAATGAAGTAAGAATTGAATTAAACCCAAAAGAGCCTGGGATGATGATAAAAATGTGAATGAAAGAGGCCAGAGCTATCAGTCTCAAATTTCCCTTTAAAAATTTTACATTATGGGTTGTACGGGATGCCTTGGCCATGGGGTGAGGAAACCTGAAAATTTTGGGTTCCACTGCAACAGGTGAGCTTTCGTGTGAAAACACCATATCTTCACACACATGAAAGCTGGTGAAAGTCACATGTTTTATTATATGGAGGAGAGTGTTTTACTGGGAACTAAACCACTCGTAGATTCCATACGTCACTTCATCCGGGACCCGAGTGGCGTATTTTCCGTATGTCACCTTTGTGAATGTCGTATCGTTCAATGACGTCACGATTCCCGCCTTTTGCTTTTGTTGAATTGGTTTCTCCATATAATAAAAAGAACATTACACGTTAGCTCGAAGATATGAATTTTATGTTCTCGTGGCAAGAACAATATCTCACTCGTTCGCTTCGCTCACTCGTGAGATATTGTTCTTGCCACTCGAACATAAAATTCATATCTTCTCGCCACCGTGTAATATCCTCTATATATTTAACAAAATATTCCACAAGTGCATGTTGGATATGAGATGGTAGAGAGCCAATGAGGCGCCTAGCACCAAGTTGGCTATATAATCATCTCACATCCAACAAGCGCGTGTGGAATAATTTATTGTTTTATTAAAAATGCCCCCAAAATATCAAGAATTCTTCCCAACTTTATTTGTAGAAACAACTGATTTTCAGCTTGTTTTCAATTTTGAGCAGACCCATACAGTTACCATAAATATTTGGAGAGCATGGTATAATGCAATGTTCTCCTTATCAGGCGGTAACCGGTAAAATTTACTCTCTGAAGTAACACTTCTTACCGCCTGCAACCGCTGCAAGGTTTACTAAAATTGAGTAAGTTGTTTTAAAGAATACGTAAGTTGTGATCCGATCCGATCAAGGTAATGATTGAATACATGGAAGTGTACTAAAGTATACACAGGTTTTCTTTTTATGGGCCACGCATTTTGGAAAGAGCATTTGAAGACAGAGTACAATTATTAGAATCAAACGTTTTGAATTGAGATAACAACGGCTGATTTGCGTGAAATAGGACTTCAAATGAGGGGGAATGATGTTTCAGAGAACTTAGCTCCTTAATTTCACAGCGAGGTGGAAGCCATGTCCTTCACTCTACTACCCCCTCCCCAGGAAAGTGTGCACATATTAATTGCCTTACCGGCGATGAATGGTCCCTTACCTGCTGAGCTAAAATCTAGGGAGAATGCTGATAATGGCTCATATACCATGATGGCTAAGCCAATCAGAGCTCTAGAATTGCATTATCCAATGATTCAGTTTTTTATAATAGAGACATCATGTTACCATGGTAGCAAAATTTCTGGATGACAACAATAGGGAGTTTTTGCAACGGCGATGGCAAACAGCAAAAAAACAATAGGTTTACATTGGCAAAAAAACATCTTGGCATGTGCATCATGATTTTTTGTACATTTCTTAGCTGTTGTTGTACGACCGCAACATGAAACTTCCTAATTTCAAACGCCCTCTTTATGGAGTAGGTGAGCACAACACAAAGATTTTCTTTTTCTTTTTCTAAACTTACGTATGGTCCTTTCGGATTTACGGCAAAAAATGTTGCCAACATTTGACAAATTAAATGAAATTAAATAAGATCGATGAAGTTTGAAACAGTGCGAATCCACTTTTTAAGTGTCATTTTGGTTTGCTGTCATCCAAAAATTTTGCTACCATGGCAAAGTGACGTAACGAAGTCTCCTCTCTAACACACAATTTTATAATATTAAAAAGACATTAGTCAGCCCAAATATTCTGTGTATTAAATCCTTGTATCTAAGCAATGATGACAAGTTTTTTTAAATCATGCGAGGAGGGAAAGGGCATCTCAGTGAGCTGTTTGTCATGAAAATATTTAGAAATTCAATTTCAAAAAACTGTAAGCCTATTGAATGCTTACAGATGGGGCTTATTTACATTTGCTTTGATTAAAGCTTAATAATTATGGCTTTTGCACCGCTACAAGTATCAAACTAAATAAACGTTGACCGCTTAGCGTTTCAAACTCTTACCGGTAATGGTATCAACAGGTTTATCGTTCAACCAGTACAACGCGGACGGAAGTGAGAAAGAAGATTGTTTCTGAATTCGACCGTCATTCTCTACATGCCCAGGTTCATTGGCTCCTTCAGCGAGCTTTGACGCTGTCTGTATCATGAACATGATATTGAAAAGCGCCGTGCTTCCAAGAATTATAAGTAAAAACACAATTGCCCAACGGCTTTTAGACATTCTTCCTTTCCTCTTCCAGCTTGTCATGGCTATAGAGTATCTCAGCGACGATGGACGAAGAAACTTCAAGAATTACATATCTGCATAAGCCAGTTGATAGCTCGTCGCGAAGGCAACAGATTATCGCGCGGCGATATATTCTGAAAATTCCAAATTTCACTTAAAAGGGTGATCTGAAGCTAAGCTTCCACTGTAATACTCTGGGACCATTTATCGTCTTTACGATTTCCACACGGTATGGTGTCACATCAAACAAAACTTGCCCTAAGGACATTCAAGTCCAATGTTCCGGGCGCCAAAAATAGGAAAATTCCCGCCAATATTCAGTCTGTCGCTGATTAAAAATTAAATAGAATTCTGATCATTTGATATTCCCCACACTTGCAGAGGCTCAAACGAGAAAATCCAGGAAACACACCAAACTAATCGTTTTCGGTACTTCTTAGCGATAAGTTATGCAGAGTTTGTGAATATTCAATGAGGCAACAGTCGTATCATGTTGCGTGACTATAATCGAACAGGTGTGCCAGCTGAGTGACTGAGTGACCACTATTTTTGAGGTGGTGTGCAGTCGCAGCGAGGGGAGGGGTGGGGAGGTTGGGAAATTTTCTTCGAGTAAGCCTTTTTTTTCAGCCGCTCGTATTTGCATGATTTTTTATTCAAGCCTCGGCAGAATATTATTTTCTTAAACCTCCATAATCCTCTTATGGTTCTTCAGTATCACAGCCAAATTTTAGCCAGAGACATGTTCGACAATGTGGTACCTCTTGGGAACGTTGAGACATGAGAGGACAATGCTTATCGATCTAATGCGAATAAACTATCAAGGACTGTGAAAAATCTTACGATAGAGTGTAATGAACAAGGGTTTTACGGTACAAGTGGACAAAAATGCGAATTATTTAGGGGAGGAGGACAAGGGGCGGACACCCGGGAGAATAGACGGCGGGACAGTCCAGCCGGGGCCCGGGAGGCCCGTGAGGTGGTTGAATAAAGGCGGAAAGCGGGAGAAATGGGGGGAAATTACGGAGCAATACTTCATATTTCACATTCGAAAAAGGGCTAAATATAGAAAGCCAAGAAAAGGGATGGGGCCTAGGAGAGCAAGGTACAGGAGGGGGAGGTCTGGACATCCCCTACCCACCTCCAACAATTAAGCACTAAGAAATTTAGACTGATATGGTTAGGTAGAATTAGAAAGAAACTAAACACATTAACTTACTCTCGTCTATAGCCTGCGTCATAGACGAAACTAAACCCTGGTTACGTCCGTCTGCGAAACAGCGTACATCCTTGTTCTGGACACCTAGCTGCGTACCAGGATTTGAGTATGCACCATGATTGGCCTGTTGAAGAAGCTATTGTCGATTTGCCAACCAAGTTGAAAGGAAAAAGCGCGCACTTGCGGTAATTAGTTTAGTCCACTGGCCTTCTTGGCGCTGCTTCGTAGACGTTATTAACCGAGGTTAAATTACGCCAGCAACGCGGGCTAATTTTTTTTATTGCGACATTTTCCATCTATAATATTGTAATTCCTATCATAAATTCGTAACATCTGTAAACCTGAAGAAGGCTGGTATGGCCAGCCGGAATATTGTTATGAAAAAGCAATACACGTTGTTACGATCAGCTCAGTTTGCAGTAGTCTTTAGACTTCTCGTTTCTTGGCTTGGCAAAGTTATTAACTGACCAGCCACTCTTTCGCTGCAAACTTCTTATTGAATAAAATTACCTATCGACAACCTCTTGACATGGTCTTAAAATGCCGGATTTTTCTTAGCCTTGAATGTGCAAGATGATTCATCCCTACGACTGAATGAATAAGTGACCTGATGTTGACTGTTAAAATTGTGCACGTGCAGTCAGCTAAAATAGGCACGATTGAAAAAAACAGAGAACAAACAACAAAAACAAACAAAGCCAGTTAACTTTTACAAACTTTATTTACTCGCCACCTTGCCCCTAGAGATGCTAACCGTCTGTAGGGTAAAACGTTCAAAGCGAAAGATGCGGAAAAGCAATGAGGAAAAGCGCAGGAAAAAGAGAGAGCCTTGACCCTAAAGCTCTTCTGCGCATGACAGCCAAGGAGAGAAGTGAAAGTACTGGGATGGAGAGTGCGCAACAGTGACGAGAAATGACTAAAGAAATGGAAAGGGATGTAAAAAGAACAGTTTCTGAGTTTCCACTCCGCTCGAAGAAAGTACCCTGGGCGTAACTACGCAGGCTAACTCTTCTGCCACTCACAGCCTGTATTCTTGCTTGTTCCTCCGGCCTACAGTATAGTTTCCGTATCGGCTAGCACTCGACACGTCAAAACACATTCCAACTTTATACAGTTAAAGTACGGACGTAGAAGTGACTGGATAACGCGGTCGCGAGAAAAACCATGGCATAGCCATGATCAGATGGAAAGTCTTTGGTCGGTTCCTTAGGATGTTACGCTTTATTTTCGGAAGAGGAGAAGACAGCATACGAAACCCTCTGGTTGGCCGTGGCTGTCAGCTGCTGTCTTTAAGCTGATCATCAATCTCGTCCTTCCTTGGAGGCCAGTCAACATCTACAGACTGAAAGGGAAAAACAACTGCGTTTATATTACGAAATGACGACCACCATAACATCTTGCCAAATCGAACTGGAAGCTAAAATAGGGCACTTACGAAAGAAATGGTGAAATTATGGCTAGTCTAAGGCTCCCGCTGCGTATCCCAATCATCCAAAAACAGCCCCCGCACGTATTTTTTTCTTCTCCCCAATTTCCCTGCGACACAAAGAGGCCTCTGTGGACCAGGAGAGAGGAAGCTCTCACTAAATCTTGACATTATAGGTGATGATTACCTATTAAAGGAAGGGTTCCACTAAAGTTTCTAGTTATTAGAAACAAGTTGAACCAGATAAGAGCAGACAGGTGAAACAGGACATACCTCTACATCCAGCTGCAGAATGTCCGTCTCAGTGTTCAATAACTGTCCTAAGTTAGGTTTCGTTCTACCGAAGTCTCCATGGACAAACTCTTTGATATAACTACACACGAGTTAAGGAACTTTTAAGTCCTATTCTGTACACTATTATACCAACGATCAATTAATCACAAGCGCGAAACTTCAGAGGGAAATGTTTGGTGTTTCAACGGGAGTCCAACGCATATTTTTCCGTTCTGCGGATCAACCCTTTACCAACTGAGGTAACCTTTCCAGATTTACTCGGGAACCTAAGATCCAACGACGGCGACGGTAACGAGCATGTCAAAAAAGCAATGAGTTTAATACGCAAAACAACCGTGAACTCTGCACGTGTGTGACACTTTTTTTGCACATTTCTTTGCTGTCACTGCACGACTGCGGTGTGAAAATCACATGAGGCCTAATTTCACGTTTCATGGAGGATGTAAACAAGTGACAACGAAATTTTCTTTCTCCTTCTGTACTTGGATATGGTTCTTAGGAATTCAACTCCAGGAGTGCTGGCGTACATTTGACAAGACAATTGAGTTGGGATAATCGCGATGAACGATCTGAACGCCTGGACCAGGCTTAAACGACGTTTACTCTCTACAATCTCTGCATGAAGCAAAAACTCCCTTCTTTTCACACAAAAAGTTACAGTTGTGGTAAGATTTATCGTGTTTATGTTACTGAGTTTCCGACTGGAACTGATTTCCTACAGACGGCTGCCAAATTCAAAGAGAAAACGCAGGGTTGTGGGCTCCATCCCGCTCAGAACCAATCCGAAAGCAGGATTCACGAAGCTTCCCTTACAACAATTGATGAAAAGAAATAGTTAGGGTATACCTTACTTTTAACACAAAGAGGGCTTCTGATTCCATCTCCTGGATCTTAACAGAGGAGAGGACTAAAGGTACTGCTTTGCAAACAAAGTGTTAGACGATAAGTTAACTTACGTTCAGAAAAAATAGGATACGTCCCTGCTTGGGTTTTAAGAAACAGGTTAAAATGGTGGGAGTCTATCTGCTCGGACGGTGTCATGCTGTAAATACACCGCTCCCGTACAGCCAGTGGACGTCTGAAAAACAAAACAAAAACGAACGTCAAAAGTTGTCGTTTAAGCCAATTTTCTAGTACTTAGGTTTCATTCGAGTCTGGTTAGAGTGGCTTCACTGTCGCAAAAGGCGTTAACAAACTAGAACTCGTAGCAAATATATCTAACCAGTTCCGAGCGTGAAAAAGCGCGAGAACCATAAAAAAAACTTGATATGAGGTTTTGCGTTGCTTCCGATTTGTCTAACACTCAACACAAGATGTCTTACGCCAGTCGCAAAGTAGCCTGCTCAGTTGACGTTTCCTGTGAGGGTATAAAAGGGCCTCGGAAACTAACAAACCTCTTTAAAAAGTCAGCGCTATCTGGCTATGAAGAATTACCGAGGGATTTAGAACAATAGCGATTACCTGTGTAAAACCCGCAAGGGAGTCTTCTGTGAGATGGTTAATTCCTAGTAAGGAGCAAAAAATGAAGTCAGACCATTAAAGTAATGTTAAACTCGCAAATGTCTTGTGACACAACTTGCAAAAAGTCCCTCAGTTTCTCGAAGGGTTAGTTAACGATTCTGGGTGAAGTACTACGGGATGAAAAACGTTAATAAGAGCGGCAGGGATAAGCCGCACGTGGAGTACCTAGAAAAACGCAGGGTCAATTCTTTCCTGGTCATCGAGAGTCGTAAAATCAGCCGCTGTTATAATCAGGACTTTGTCGCAAATGCTTCCGCCCCAACAATTGACTCATTACACAAATCAACAGTTAAAAACGGTTCTTTGGCATCATTACCTTCGTGTCCTGAAGAACGTGAAGCTGTTTTTCAACTATTTCTTCCTTTGTCCATATTAACGCCCTAGAAGCAGAAGGGTGTCGTCAGTTTATCGGCATACCGGGTAAGACAATTCGTACGCGTGCCTTGGCAACATTTCACTTACTTATAAGTTTTGGTTTTGTTACTCTCTGCATCTTTTAAAATTTGACAATCATCCCTGAGGCAAAGAAAGGGAGAGAAATAAATACATATAGTCCGTCGAGAAAGTCCAAATACTATTTTCAACAAACTTCACAGATTTCTGTTAACAAAACACTACTGTCTACTACAGAATTACTATCATGCACTGCTATTGTGAAAACGCGTCTCAGTGAAATCGACTTTCTCTGGCGAAAAAAGTTGGCGTTTGTTAGTGAGCTCCACGAACTTACTTTGTTACTTGTTGCAGATCTCTCACATAAATCTCTGTTGTTGAAGAGTTAATTTCTTGTTGAAGATCCGCGAGAAATGATTCACTCAGGCGAGTCACTCGAGGGTTAATAAACTCTACCAGAAATGGTCTTCCTGAAATTGTAGACAACATAAAGTGAAGTTAAATTTACAATACTAACAAAGAATACATGTGCGTCTCTAACCTGCCATATAAAATGTGTCACAAACTTGATTCGCCCTCCGGTAACCACAAACAAGAAAGTTATTCATTAAGGAGCAGAACAACAAGAACAATTACCCCAAATTTTTTGGTACCCTAACCCTAACCCTAACTCTCCACTGACGCCCATCTCTCCACAACGGCAACCTCTCTACAACGGCAATTTTTTTTTGTGGGACAGTCCATACATTGACTCTTGTTTCAACCTCTCTATAACGGCTACTTTCTTCTGTCCCCAAGGTGGCCATTGTGGAGTGGTTCAACTGTACAAACATACAAACAAAACCTTTATTTAAACTCGAATTTTAGTGCACCTACACCATATAGGTAATATCATCGAGGGACAAAAATTAAGATCTCTAAACTGGTAACTAAAAAAACACACAAAACACAAGACAAGACAAAAATTAGTAAAACTAATCAAATCCCGCGAAGTTTTTATGAAATCAGAAGACGGTATTCACCCAACTTGCAATAACCTGATTTGTTGCAAGACATTTTGATTCGTAGGTGGCAAAACGCGCAAAACAAGTTGTACGTTTTTGTTACTCGTTTTACGGTAGCTTTAGATGTCTTGAACAATGAAAGGAACAACACAAACAGCCTGTCCCTGCTCCTCAACAGTCATTCAGACTTACCCCGACCAAGCATGAGTACATCGATGTCCTCTCGCCCCGCTGATGCAAATTTATGATCTGTGAAAAGAAACTCATCCAGATTACTGGACTGTTCACACTCCCTAATTTACCGTAAGATCGTCGAGATGGTGGTCATCTTGGATGAGTGTCAAATCTACTTGGGGGGGGTGGGGTGGTAGGAGTGGGACGGTTTCGGGAAGCCTCAACTCCCGGCCCCTCGGTACATATGAAATTAAGATGGCCCGTACCGGTAAGCGCTCGATCCTGACGCTCATACGAAAAACGATAAGAAGCTATGAAAAGTCTACCAGATTACGTACTAATTCATTTGAAAGGATGGAAATTAATCTGAACTCTATTAAGTAAGCAATGTTATAAACGCAACTTTCCTACCGTCGGCCTTGATCTTGTTTCTAATCCGGTCACAGATCTTTTCCTGTTTTAGAAAAAAAGGAAATACGGGTCTCATAGCTAAGCAAGAAATTCGTAAGTCTGAGTTTTCAGAATAAGGAAGTGTACGTTAAGCAAAAGTGACTGAAATCAGTAAGCTAATCATTTAATATTGTTTCATTCTAAACAGTACAGTGTGTCTACCAGGAAGGAAATATATGTAGTGACTTTACCTCCACCGATGACTCAGTGTGCCGAACGTTGTCTATTATCCACGGAGTCTGAGAAAGCACGCGTGAAAACTTGTTGTATCGTCCTAAATAACAAAAATAATAATAAAAAAACTATTAATTAACAAATTAAACAAAGATCGAGTCGCGTTTTTACAATTTATTCTCCTTCCTTTCCCTGTGAGATGAGAAGACAAAAGAGGGGGAAGTTTGGACAGTTTTGGGTGAGTTTTTTTTGCCTTTGATAGCTTCTAATTTGTAGCCTTGGGGATATCGGATACGACATGGATTGAGTGTGTTAGAAACCCAGGGGGTAATCCCTACAATTGCCTATATGAAGAAGCTCCGCCCTAAATAGCTACCTTTTTCAGGCGTCAGGTATATGAGGGTAAGCATTTCACTGGTTGAAGCATATGAAAGGGTAGGGAAATCCGTAATTTCGATCTATAAAAAGGCCCAGAAGGGCTAACAGATGCATTTTATGGCTCTGGTATTGTGATTTATTCGTATTTAAAAGACAGTGCATTAGCAGCTGTTAAAAGCGGTGCAGAGTTGTAAGCTAGGTATGCAAAGAAGTACCGTTTGTCAATAGAAGGTCTACGAAAGGGGGAGGGGGTACCTTTTATGTCAAAAATGGTATATTAAAGAGTAAGGGGTTGGACCTCGGGGCTGAGCCTCCCCATATACAACTTTGTTGAGTACCCCCCCACCCCGGGCCTAGAAATTATTACACCTTACAAGGAAACCTGTAAAAGCTCTACATCATTGCTTTGAAATGCTATGCTTGTCACCTTCTTTTAACTTTCCAAAAAGCACCAAAAACTGATACTAAAAACTTTTGTCAGAAATCTATGTTCATGTCAAATAATAATCTCTATACATTTTGTAAATTTCTTTATTATATGCTGTTCTTCATTTATATAAGTATATATTTAATTAATAACTATAACTAAATCTACTGTAAAGGGGAAGACTCACCTATAAGCCTTCATGGCTTCTTGAGACTTCTTCTTTGAGACTCTCGTCTTTCGAAATGTGTATATTACGTGTAATTTAAATTTTTTCCCCCTTCATTTATGTGTAAAAAAGGCAAAAAAATCAATAAACACCTGCAATATAGATGGAATCGTGAGAACAAACTACTTCTGATAGCTCAATTGGAAGTGCTGCAGGCTGAGGAGGACAATCTGCCAATCTGAAAGGGAAATACAGTGCATCAGAACTCACTGGGCTACAACTGTGTATACACAATGATTACGACTCAGCATGTACTGCGTATCATATAATTTATAGTCCTTAGGAGTGTAAATGCATTCCAAATGGGGTAAAATAAGGGTTTTCATTTACCACGATAGCAGGGTCAAATCTACAACGAAAAGTCAAGATGCATCCCAACTGTTGTTTGTCAGCAGTGGCTACTGTTGCGAGACACTACTTACCCCTTTGCAAACCATCAAAGGAAACTAAATTTTTCTGGCTAACCCTGTGAGGATTGCTCAGAATTTCCAAACTGAAGTACGCGTGGAAAGCTATATGGGTCCACGTGGGAAAATATGCATCGTTCCATATGGCATATAAAATAGACTCACACAGTAATTTTCAAGGAGTTATAATAACTCCCCTAGTGGGGTTAATATAACTCCTTACAGTGAAGTTAGTTTTTGGGGAGGTATTTTTACTCCAAAAAGGAGTTTAAAGAACTCTTTTTCAGGAGTGAAAATGACCCCAGATATTGAGGAGTTAAAATAACCCCAAAATAGGAGTTATCCTGTACCTAAAATTTTTACTCCACTTTCAGAGTTAAATTAACTCCAAAAAGAGTAAAAACAACCCATGTAGGGAGCAAAAATAACCCCATTTCCGCGTTATTTTAACTTCAGTCTGGGAGTAAAAAGAACTCTTTTTCAGGAGTAAAAATGACCCCAGATATTGAGGAGTCAAAATAACCCCCAAAAAGGAGTTATCCCGTACCTACTACACTTTCAGAGTTAAAGTAACTCCAAAAAGAGTAAAAACAACCCATGTAAGGAGTAAAAATAACCCCTTTTTAGGAGTTATTTTAACTCCAGTCTGGGAGTAAAAAGAACTCTTTTTCAGGAGTAAAAATGACCCCAAATTTGGAGTTAAATTAGCAGTTAAAGTAACCCCAAAAAAGAGGTTATCCTGTACCTCAAATTTTTACTCCATTTTTGGAGTTATAATAACTCCCTAAAAGTTATGGTGCAGTTCAAATGCCGAACCTGATTGAATTGAAGGTTCAGCTGAGCCCAATTAACAAGTGTATGCTTCTTAATTCAGACTCTGGACTTAACATAGTTTAGGGAACAAGACGTGAAGTTACCAAATACAGTTGAACCCGGTTTTGTTAAGCGGGCACCTTCAGGAAGCAAAAAAGTGTCCGAAACTGGAGCTTACAGGAATGATTTTTGAAAGCATAGAATTCAATAGCGGTTAATGAAGACGGCTTTAAGTAGAGTTGTCCATTTCAAGAGTGTCAGTTAGGAAAGCATCGCTTGCATGATGAAATATCAACTGACAGGAGGTATATCTAATCATTACCTTTTAAGCTGACTCACTGCAGTCAAGTCTGTGAGGGCTTTCTTTACACTGGGTGCTGTCATACTGGCTTCCCTCTTTTGTCGTTTTTGTCGCTGTCTAGTCGTTGTCTTGGAAGAATTATTCCTATTAAGATAAATTAAGAGGAAATATGAGTATCATTGGTGGTAAAGCTATAAATGAGCAAAGTAAACGTTTAATGTCTCAATAAAAAAAAAATAGGAAATTCCGTTCTAAATCCTCTTGAATTCCATATGGAAATTTTAAATTTTTTCCTGATGAGGAGCTATTCTGGATAAAAAGAAAAAACTTAAATTTTGACAAATTAATTTTGACTGATTCCAACCTGTAGAAGTGAGGCTAGTTAACTATAACAATGTTGAGGAGTTAGATCCAATTCACTGCCGTTTAAAACACCCAGCTGATGGCCAGTGGTTAAATGAAAAGTTAACACACAGTAAATCCTCCCTCTCAGATTATTAAGGCCCACTCTACAATAGGCCCCTCCTTCTTTGTAGGGGAAAAACGTTATTAAGCCTTCCCCTCTTTTTTTAGCCCCCTCCCCATCTCTTTTTTCCCCTATACGTATGTACAGACTCTACTTATCATGTGGACTAATCCGGTACATGGTTTATTCACATGCCAGAAACTTGTTTGGTTTTGTCAGTTTGATCTTTGGCTGCTTGACCTCCAACTTCATGTACCTGAGATTTTCCACTTCGCATGTTTTCCACTTTGTTATTATGGAGAATTGATAACATGAGGTTCAATAATTTAAACCAGTTTCCCCTCTCAAATAAGACCCTCTCTGAAACTTGCTTGAAACAAATAAGCCCCCAAGGGGCTAGGATTTACTGAATGTTGTCAAGATACTTACAGAAACTCTAGTTCTTTATCATTATCCTTGTGAGTAAAGACCAGTGATACTTTGAATGGACTCTGAAAATGTGCAAGTGATAAAATCAATAAATGCTACTGATTTACATCTGAATCTCTCTAAAAAATATGACGAGAGTAACCACAGCATGCGCAGATCCAAAACTGACTTGACCAATTGCAGAGCAGCAAAGCAGTGTTACGGACGCACAGTCAACTAATCTGTAGTGCTGCTGTGCAAGGTGGTTCTAGGTAAATTCTGTTGTATGGCCATTTAACAGAAACCTATTAGGAAGTTCTTTCACGAAGCACTGATCAAAAATGTTTTTAAGTACCGGTACTTGCTAGCATGACAAAATAGCTGAACATTTTGCAATGCCTCTACTGACGACTGAGGAATGAGCACAGAAATGCTATACTGATGGCGTGACACTACCCAGATCTGGGTAGTCCTTCTGATTAGTCACACAGCAACGGGACTTTGCTTCAGCTAATTAAAAGCGTTTACGTCTTATGCCCAGTCCTGGGTAGTGACACATCACCAGCAAAGGGAATTTCTGTTCTCCTCAACAGACATCATTTTGTGGGGAATTCAACAATGATGGTGTTGCAAAAATTATGTTGGCTTCTCAGGCTAAATAATTTCAAAATATAAAACTTGAAGGATCTTTACTTGAATATGTCAATATGAGGAAGAATTAAGTTATTTTTGATAAATAATATAATTTGCGATCTGTACACTCGAGTAAAAATGGCGAGAAAGCCCAAAGAAACCACCAAACTTATGCAACATGGGCTTTGTCAGCTAAATTAAACAAAACAGCTACATGTAAATTACAAAGAAAATTTAATAAACAATTATTTAGGGATGATGGCAGACCAAATTTGACTCCAGTTAGTCCTATTACCATACTTATTACTAATTAAGTGAGCTTCAGAATAACAGTCTCACCAATGGCATATAATCAACTTGCAGCAACTCCTCAACTATTGGTCCATAAACCCACTTAAAGACCTCCTTAACAGATGAGGTTTCATTCAGCATCCTTTTGTCAAAAATGGAACTGTCAAAGGAAAAACAAAGGAATTAAACTTACACAGCTAAGAGAGCTTATGGTTACTACAGTTGATGTTTCCTTTATAAGCAGACAATGCAGACTGTTTATTATGATTATGGTGAGCTGGGTTTTACTATTTTTTTCTTTCTCAAACAGTTCCAATAATAATTATTTTTATGATTGTGAAAGTGAATGAATGATCCATATATGAAATTTTAGACATATACTTTCACGATCATAAAAAGTTTTACTTCTAGTGTTCAATAACTCAAGATTATGGCAAAATACTAAACATCATCATCACCGTAAAGTATTCATTCTCAGTTCATTTGTACAAAATTAAAGGTTTGATTCTTTTCTCATTATTTGGATGTATTTAATATATTTGTATATTGCTTGTACTGGTTACTGAAAAACCAATTTTATTGGTCAGGATTGACTAATAGAGTCATTTTCCAAGAGGGCACGGTGCAATATGATTGGTTTTGGTGTGGTCCACATTTTCCTATTTCTGCCCAAGGTCATGGTAATCGATGGCTTTATTCACAAATTTAGTTAGTGTTGTGAATGAGGGAAAGCTGTGTTATAGTACAGTTTTCAACAACATGGGCAGCTTATGAGCACTGCAAAAGAGAGAGAGAATCTTTTTATACCAGGTCTTTCCTCAGGATGTACTCAGACCTCAGGTACAGTTTTTTCCTACGTTAAGGACCTCTTGGTTGGCAAATACCGTCAAACCCTACCTTACAGACAAATTATTACGGACAGTTTGGGTTGTCCCTGGGGAAAGGAAGCCCTTACATCTTCTCTAAATTCTACCCACTTAATAAACTGAGACATCTCGTAGGTATGGACACTTTCTATAGCCCTGGCCTCAGTATCCATAATAACAGAGTTTGACTGTAACATGTTGATACAATTTCTTGAGCATATCCATGAAACTTAAAACAAAACATACCTACAATGTTCTTGAAGAAATAAGGAGACAGAATGCTAGAAGAAATAAAAGAGAGAGGACAGAATATTGACAGAGTTAGGAATTAAAAGTAGATGGATTTTAGCTCATCATTAAAGCAAATGTAAAAGGAATTTATTAAAACCAATTACTATTTATTATTTGTTTATTTACCACCACAGCAACCCTTCAAAAAGAGGATTATTAGCTGGTGTGGTAAAAAACAAACAAACAAACAAACAAAACCAAACAATATTAGTACATGAAGCTCAATTCCAAAAACAATGAGTCTTAAATCCAAGTGATCATAAAAGTGGGTAGCCAACTAAATATTATTAATATATATATGCATAATGCTCTATGGACACACACAAAAAATGTACTCACAAGGATAGAGAAGAATGTCACATACCTGCCTAAGAACAATGGAAAGGGGCAAAGAAATGGTAAGCATAAAGCTGTCAAACTGATGCCCAGCTTTTTTTATTGAAGACTGTATCTAAGGAAATTGATAAAAAAATGTCATGTTGTTAACACTGGTAACAAAAATACAACTGTATAGCCTAAAAGAAACATTAGCTTTAGAGCACCTAAACAGCACCATATAATATAGAGCAAGATAAATGCACTCTGACATTATGTTGCTAGTACCTTTTTACATAATAACAAAATAATGATATACTTATGAAATGACACAATTTCATCATTTCATCTTCATCGTTCGCGGTATATAATATTGTTACAAACCTGCAATTTAATTACCACCTTCCTATGTTGCCTTGCTACGTGGCTCAATTGGTTAGAGCACTGCACCGGTATTACAGAGCTAGGTCAGGGTTTGAATCCCATAAAGCCTGAACTTTTCAGCAGCTTTCTTTTCCCAACTGCATTAATAAGTTTCGTCTTTAATTCTGTTTATCTCTTCTGCATTCAATACTTATCAAAATACTCAACTGCCTATGCACTGACTTCTGTCAAAGCTTTGGCAAACTTACCTTATCAATAAATGATTTTTCTTGCTTTTTTTCTAAAACACCAAGACATGCTATACAGGGAAGCTTAACATCTACCTGATAAAAAAAAAAGAAATATAATAAAAAGAAAATTATAAAAATAAAATAATTAATGGCTTAAGTTAACAGTTGCAAAAGGGAAGTACAGTCAAACCTCTCTAATACGGACACCGAAGGGACAGAGCGAAGTGTCCGTATTAGAGAGGTGTCTGGATAAAAGAGGTCACCATGATGACGTCACTTTTATGACTCCACTTACACTTTTAAATGTTCAGTGCTAAAACCAGGCTCACACTAGTCCTTAACCCTTTCACTACCAGGGGCCTTCATGCATGATTTCCTGTTGTTCCCAGAGGCAATTAGGAGATTCATCCCAATAAGAGAGTAGAAATCAAAACATATATGCTCAGTAGCTTTTGAGACCCTTACTCAGTCTACTAATTACTCAGAATTCAAGCTTAAACATTGTTTTATTTATTGACTTAGTTATTACTAAGAAGCAAATCAAGTACAGGTATAAAATATGTTGTGAAGTTTTATATTTTGAAAAATTCAAAGTTCCCGCCATTACTCTTAGCGTGTCACATCACGGCATCTCATATTCATCATTCAATATTCGATATAATAAATATTATATACAGTACAAAGCTTTAATAATGCAAAGTTATAACATATAGAAGTAATACCGACATTCACATTGCAAATAACGATCGCTGCTATCGAAAAAAGAATTGAAAATTTAAGTCAGTGAGGTAAATCAAATTTCATTGTGGTAGTCGCGGAAACACTGGTCTTGACAGAGTGCAACTCCGCACTGTTGACACATAAATTTTGTTTCAATTGGATAATTTTTGGGAGTTTTCTTCCCTTTAGCTTTGCAGTTGACGCACTGCCTCTTACGGCCCTCGATCTTGGTGGAAATGTGGGTCAATGGGGCCCGAGAGACAAGCAGCAAAGAGTCGCTTGCGGGTCGTTTTCTGGAGTTGAAATTGCCGATGAGTCGCTTTCCCAACTCAAGACGGAAAAGATCTTGTGCGCGTTTCACACGGCTTTCGGACTCTAAAATATAAGCGTTACAGGCAGCCAAATTAAAAGAAAACCAAAACAGATATTTGTACCACTTTCTCGACTGCCTTCCAACATAATAATACGAGCGAAGTTGATCTGCTCGGTCCACACCGCCCATGTTCGCTGTGTAAACATCCGAAACACGTGGCTTCACGATCTCAATTTCCTTCCTTTTTTCTTTTCGCTGTACAGTGCGCGAAGCTTCTCCCGGAGAAACATTAGTGGCAAGAAAAGCGACGTCTCTTTTATCGTGCCATTTAGTGAAAACAATGTTTCCCTTTTGGGCCTGAACAAGTTGGCCAGGTCTGGTTAGCTTGTTCGCCGCACAAGCCGGCAAGCCTTTACGGTTGCATCGAACAGTGGAACAAGCATAAGTTTGTTGCAGCTCTAAGTGCTCCAAAAGCACTGGACTTGAAAAAAAATTATCAAAATAAACATGATGATTTTTATTCATGTAGGGCTGAATCATTTTCATGACTACATCGTAGCCAAGTCCGTGAATTCTTCGAACGCCTTCCTCACTTCCAAGGTAAACATCGTGATTTATTACGTAGCCATTCTTCGAGTCCGCGGCCATCCACACTTTTATGCCATATTTTGTCGGCTTCGCTGGCATATATTGTCGAAACGAAAGTCTGCCTTTAAAAGCAATCATGCCCTCGTCTATGGCAATATGTTTGTTGGGCGAATAACATCGCTGGCTGTTTTCTAAAACGGCATTTAGGACCGCTCTGACCTTGTACAATCGGTCATAGCCGTTCTCGCCGCGCGCTGGAGTTCGCGTCGAGTCAGCGAAATGTAAAAATTGGGAAATTTCTTGAAAGCGGTTTCTAGTCATTGTCTGTTTAATTCCCGTATTTCCAATGAAAGGGTCGTCCTTCCAGTAGTCTGCAATTCTGGGAAGTTGATTTATTCCCACAGTGCAATGCTGCATGTAAAAAGTTGTAACGCAAAGTACAATTCTAAAAGCATCTTTTGTTATTTTGCAAGTGCAGTAAACAGTAACTAGAGTACAAGATCTTTATGCTATCTGTGGTTACTGAATCCTTCAAAAATTCATGAAAAGTTGGTTATGTTCCTCTATACACCTTTCACAAATGGTTATTTCTTGGTATACAGCAACTGGGCTTTATATCACCTTACATAGCTCATCAGCCAGACTAGATGGAGCTCACTCTGTGCAGATTCACCTGATCAGGATTCGCCTGATTACCGCAGTGCCCATAATAAAGAGTTAAGAGTTAAGTTTATACGAAATGACTCTCTAGGGCCAAGATTTAGTGTCCATTGCCCATATTAGAGAGAGTCCGTATCATAGTGGTTTTTTTTAAAGAAAATAATTATATGAGAATTTTGTCAGGACATTGGAAACTGTATGTAATAGACAGGTGTCTGTATTAGAGAGGTGTCAGTAACGAGAGGTTCGACTGTGGGGAAAAAAAGTGTATAGTGATGTGAAAATAATTATGCTCTTAAAACTGTCAAAAGACATAAAATCTAAGGAAGTGGATAGTTTAAAGATCATTTTGCAGCATTGTTTACCTCTTTTACCTGTCAATTGGCAAGTTTGCTTTTGTTGCAAGACCTGCTATGATCCCATTTTGAATAGCTAAATTATATATAAGCTGAGTCATGGTCACAGACAGATGGACACAAAACATGGACCACCCCGTGGACCTGGTCCATGCACTACCCCCATGCATGCAGCACCCCTAATTTTTGAAGACAAATTTTTATCAGAGGTCTAACCAAATTTAAGGATCCTTAAATCGATGAAACTTTATCGAATTATATGAGACTCCTCATAGTATACACATGCTCAATTTTTTTCTGAATTCCATACATGGGTTTGGTTTAGTCTGGAAGAAGAAATTATTTGAAGGGGACATGAGGAGTGGTAGGGAGGAAGTAATCACTCACACAGATTTTTGTGTCATTGAGTTGTGTGAATATCAACACAAAAACTGCTGCGTAGGAGACTACAGAGGAAGAGGTAATGCACAGTGATTGAGTACCCACCCCAGACTTCCCTTCCCTTAATAGCCCCTGGATGGAAATGTTTATTGGTTGGAAAACTTATTGAATCCTGTTCACAAATAATAACACAAAATGTCCAGCACATTATCAAACAATGTGATTGGTCAGACATGTTACCAGTTTGCGAACACTTACAGGTTGGTTTATGTAAATCACCATTCATTCAAGTCGCAAATCTGGTCGTCACAAACTCACAGATATTAAGATTCCTCTGTAGTCTCTTACGCAGCTGTGTTTGTTTCGACTTTCTTGCAATGTGAAGACAAAAAAAGAGCTGTGTAGGAGACTACTCCCTCCCTACCAATCCTCCTGTTTCCATCACAGGGTGCAATGAAAATCACTTTTACAGCTTGCCTTTCGGGCAAGCTGAAGCAAGCATTTACTAACCCAGTCATCATTTCAAGAAGCCCCAAAAGCTCTTTGACGAGCAGAATTGATTTCACAGTTCTTTTGTTATTCAAATTCCTCAAAAAACAACACTTGCCCATCAGGCAAGTTAAAAACAGAATTCAGTAGCCCGATAGAAAAATCCACTACCCCCGGGCTATCGGACACTACTTTCTTTGCATGCTGCTTCAAATATTCAATAATAATTATTGTATGTTAGACCATATATGTACCGGTATGTTGTATGTTGTTTGTGTATGTTAGACCTTGAAGAAGGAAGGCTGTGCCTTCTGAAATATTGGTGAAATAAATAAATTATATATTCCTGACTGTAAAGTTCCCTTCAAATATGGTTACTCCTTCTCAAGACCAAAAGGAACCCATTACATTTGTCCATTATGGGTGTCTAGAAAACTCAGACCTCAGACCTCAGACGTCCCCAAAAGTCAGTCCCCCCAAATCTAGAAAATTCAGACCTAGAAAACTTAGACCCCCCCTCCCCCCACAAATCTACTCTGGGTGCCAGAGGCTTTTCGTGCGCGGTTTCCAGTTTTGGTCGTCTTAAAAAGTGATCCACATGAAAAGCCCCCCATCGCACCTAAACAAATGACGCATATTTCTTTCTCTATCTGGACTTGGATATGGTTCTTATGAGTTTGCCTGCATTTGACAAAGTAAGCAAGTTGGAATAATCACGATGGAGTTTTAAAGATACAAATTCACTTTTTGAGTGAATTTTTATGTTATTGTAAGACCGCAATCACCCTGTGTCCTGTCGTCTCATAATGCTAATAACCTTTTAATGTTATTTAGACCCTCTCCCCAGCAAATTTTCAAAAGAACAAGGAAGGCAAGAAAAACGTTTTTGCTGTAATTCATTATCGTGCGCACCTAACAGATGTTCTAAGGGGTTCATCAGGCATTCCTGCCCCATGAACGTGTGTGATGAACCCCTAAGAATGTCCGTGTTGGAGGCTATTTAGCACCCTGTATTTGTAAAAATTTATTACTGTAAGACCCGAAAATACACACCCGAAAACAAAGAACCCCCATTAATTGAGGGTAAACACCCGGAAATGCAGAACCAAAAATGAAGACCCCCTTTTTTTTATTTTCGGACACGAAGTTACTGATGATTTAACGTAGAGTTGCTACAAGCCAGCCTCATGAGTTTCTTAGTGAGCGGGGCAAGCTTTTTAGGCCTCGAAGCGGCCAAGTTAGTGACAAAGTCACAAGAGGTCCCGCGCCATTTTTAAATTGGGAGGTCTGAGTTTTCAAGATTTAGGGGGTCTGAGTTTTCTAGATTTGGGGGGTTCTGAGTTTCTGGGTCTGAGGTCTGAGTTTTCTAGGTCTGGGTTTTCTAGACACCCACCTTAGGGTTTAAGGGGCACGCGGCACCTCACTGAAAACAACAGACAATATTGTTTTAGTCGACCACTGAAATGAGAGGTTCATGTGAGGTACTGGACTACTGGGGTATTTAAGGTTCCTAGTATTTGCTTAGACCACTGGTGAAATTAGGAGAGGTCCACAGGGGTTATGTCCATGGCCCGGGGACAAGACGCGATCCATAAAATTGGTCCACAGGGCTGGTCCATGGACCGGGGTTCTATGGTTTGTATACGTCCCTCACAGTCTGACAGGACCCAAATTACCCACTAAAAACTGGCAGTATAAGAGTCTGGGGTATTCCACTGACTGCTGCATTGTAAGTGATACCCCTACCTCTTCAGAGTTTTGATATAAAGAACTGTTCTTCTCTCCAAGAAAGCGAAAAACACATCTCCAGCAACATTTTATTTCTTTTAGCACAACAGCTACCGAGTCTACGTTGGCTGTGGTGTCTTGAACCTAATGAAAAAAGAGTTTTACAAACCAAATGGGTTGGCTTAACAAAGTTATATATTTATATAAGATTAAACCCATCATGGTTAGCAAGATTTATATAATACACTGAAATTTACCTTTGAATCATCCGCCATAATGAATCACATAAAAAACTTGTACGTCAAATACAATAAACAAAGTGACCCTCACATCACAGGACTCCCAAGCTCACGTTGCGAGTGTTGACGCAACAGGACGGCAGAGTGAAGAAGACGGCAAACCTTGTGACAAGCGTGACAATAATTTTGTTTGAAGTACATTTCGCCAAACTTCACTTTTCCTTAAACAGATCTTGTTGTAAAGGACCAGAAAACATTAATATTAAGTGAAGATCACTTAGCCTAGAAGGATATCGTGAAAAGTGGACGCGCGAGAGGCACGCGAGAGGAGACTGGCAAAAGCAGGGACGGGGGAGAGGAAGGAGAGCTTGCAAAGATCACTCATAAATTTTCGTTTCCACCCCGGAAGTTCCGGAACACCGCAGAGCGTGAAAACTGTCACCGCAAACGTGCCGCAGATTAGAAAGTCACAACCGCCTGTCAAGTAAAGACCGCCGGCCGGGGGCACGTAGAATTTATTTATTTATTCAAGAATCGCTTTCGCAACAGCTTTCCTCTGCATACAAGCAATGTTTTTTACCACTGGACATCGAACTTCAACGTTTCCGCAAGGATAAGAACTCAATACTTTAATTCTCGTCTCGTTTACATTTGAAAGTCGTCCACATTCCGAAGACTAAGCTCCCCTTCGTAATCACCAACATCATCTAAGGAACTAACAGCGTTTTCCTGGACTTGGTTCTCTCACGTTTAACTCCAGTTGCTCCCTACTCTTTCTATTGTGCTTCTTCATCAGCTACCCTGTCGTGTATATCTGACTAGATTTATGAAAACATTGTTTAAGTGAGTGTCTAAAGGTCCTACTTTTAAGAGCGTCCTTGGTACCAAGAATTTGACCCTCCCCACCCGGGACAATGGGTGACTGTCTGCACCTCCCACTGAGCTCTGCAATTATCATGATAATCATTCTCAGCAGAAGCCTGATTCATCTGGTTAGGGCAAATTAAGACCAAGGTACTCGCCTGTCAAAGCCTACACCGAACACTGCTGCTTACTGAAGAGGTTGTGTGAAAACAGCACCTCCTCCTTACCCCACTAGTTTTGACCCCAAGGCCTGAACCACCAACCCACCGGTAGGGCAGTCCCTGGGCTATCCAGCTGTACCGACCAAGACGTCAAGGCCCCCAAATTTTTGGGCACCGACCGAAGAAACCGACTCTGGGCGGAGCACTTAGTCCCCAGGGCTCTCCCCCCTCTGGGCGGAGCACTTAGTCCCCAGGGCTCTCCCCCCTCTGGGCGGAGCACTTAGTCCCCAGGGCTCTCCCCCCTCTGGGCGGAGCACTTAGTCCCCAGGGCTCTCCCCCCTCTGGGCGGAGCACTTAGTCCCCAGGGCTCTCCCCCTCTGGGCGGAGCACTTAGTCCCCAGGGCTCTCCCCTCTGGGCGGAGCACTTAGTCCCCAGGGCTCTCCCCCTCTGGGCGGAGCACTTAGTCCCCAGGGCTCTCCCCTCTGGGCGGAGCACTTAGTCCCCAGGGCTCTCCCCCTCTGGGCGGAGCACTTAGTCCCCAGGGCTCTCCCCTCTGGGCGGAGCACTTAGTCCCCAGGGCTCTCCCCCTCTGGGCGGAGCACTTAGTCCCCAGGGCTCTCCCCCTCTGGGCGGAGCACTTAGTCCCCAGGGCTCTCCCCTCTGGGCGGAGCACTTAGTCCCCAGGGCTCTCCCCTCTGGGGCGGAGCACTTAGTCCCCAGGGCTCTCCCAGGGCTCCCCCTCTGGGCGGAGCACTTAGTCCCCAGGGCTCTCCCCTCTGGGCGGAGCACTTAGTCCCCAGGGCTCTCCCCTCTGGGCGGAGCACTTAGTCCCCAGGGCTCTCCCCCTCTGGGCGGACACTTAGTCCCCAGGGCTCTCCCCTGGGCGGAGCACTTAGTCCCCAGGGCTCTCTCCCCTCTGGGCGGAGCACTTAGTCCCCAGGGCTCTCCCCTCTGGGCGGAGCACTTAGTCCCCAGGGCTCTCCCCTCTGGGCGGAGCACTTAGTCCCCAGGGCTCTCTCCCCCTCTGGGCGGAGCACTTAGTCCCCAGGGCTCTCCCCTCTGGGCGGAGCACTTAGTCCCCAGGGCTCTCCCCTCTGGGCGGAGCACTTAGTCCCCAGGGCTCTCCCCCTGGGCGGAGCACTTAGTCCCCAGGGCTCTCCCCTCTGGGCGGAGCACTTAGTCCCCAGGGCTCTCCCCCTCTGGGCGGAGCACTTAGTCCCCAGGGCTCTCCCCTCTGGGCGGAGCACTTAGTCCCCAGGGGGCTCTCCCCTCTGGGCGGAGCACTTAGTCCCCAGGGCTCTCCCCCTCTGGGCGGAGCACTTAGTCCCCAGGGCTCTCCCCTCTGGGCGGAGCACTTAGTCCCCAGGGCTCTCCCCCTCTGGGCGGAGCACTTAGTCCCCAGGGCTCTCCCCCTCTGGGCGGAGCACTTAGTCCCCAGGGCTCCCCCTCTGGGCGGAGCACTTAGTCCCCAGGGCTCTCCCCCCTCTGGGCGGAGCACCTAGTCCCCAGGGCTCTCCCCCCTCTGGGCGGAGCACCTAGTCCCCAGGGCTCTCCCCCCTCTGGGCGGAGCACCTAGTCCCCAGGGCTCTCCCCCCTCTGGGCGGAGCACCTAGTCCCCAGGGCTCTCCCCCCTCTGGGCGGAGCACCTAGTCCCCAGGGCTCTCCCCCCTCTGGGCGGAGCACCTAGTCCCCAGGGCTCTCCCCCCTCTGGGCGGAGCACCTAGTCCCCAGGGCTCCCCCCTCTGGGCGGAGCACTTAGTCCCAGGGCTCTCCCCTCTGGGCGGAGCACTTAGTCCCCAGGGCTCTCCCCCTCTGGGCGGAGCACTTAGTCCCAGGGCTCTCCCCCCTCTGGGCGGAGCACTTAGTCCCCAGGGCTCTCCCCTCTGGGCGGAGCACTTAGTCCCCAGGGCTCTCCCCTCTGGGCGGAGCACTTAGTCCCCAGGGCTCTCCCCCTCTGGGCGGAGCACTTAGTCCCCAGGGCTCTCCCCCTCTGGGCGGAGCACTTAGTCCCCAGGGCTCTCCCCTCTGGGCGGAGCACTTAGTCCCCAGGGCTCTCCCCTCTGGGCGGAGCACTTAGTCCCCAGGGCTCTCCCCCTCTGGGCGGAGCACTTAGTCCCCAGGGCTCTCCCCCTCTGGGCGGAGCACTTAGTCCCCAGGGCTCTCCCCTCTGGGCGGAGCACTTAGTCCCCAGGGCTCTCCCCCTCTGGGCGGAGCACTTAGTCCCCAGGGCTCTCCCCCTGGGGCTCCCCCCCCCCCTCTGGGCGGAGCACTTAGTCCCCTGGGCTCTCCCCTCTGGGCGGAGCACTTAGTCCCCAGGGCTCTCCCCCCTCTGGGCGGGCACTTAGTCCCCAGGGCTCTCCCCTCTGGGCGGAGCACTTAGTCCCCAGGGCTCTCCCCTCTGGGCGGAGCACTTAGTCCCCAGGGCTCTCCCCCTCTGGGCGGAGCACTTAGTCCCCAGGGCTCTCCCCCTCTGGGCGGAGCACTTAGTCCCCAGGGCTCTCCCCTCTGGGCGGGAGCACTTAGTCCCAGGGCTCTCCCCCTGGGGGCTAGTCCCCAGGGCTCTCCCCTCTGGGCGGAGCACTTAGTCCCCAGGGCTCTCCCCCTCTGGGCGGGCACTTAGTCCCCAGGGCTCTCCCCCCTGGGCGGGCACTTAGTCCCCAGGGCTCTCCCCCCAGGTCCCCAGGGCTCTCCCCTCTGGGCGGAGCACTTAGTCCCCAGGGCTCTCCCCTCTGGGCGGAGCACTTAGTCCCCAGGGCTCTCCCCCCTCTGGGCGGAGCACTTAGTCCCCAGGGCTCTCCCCCCTCTGGGCGGAGCACTTAGTCCCCAGGGCTCTCCCCCTCTGGGCGGAGCAGTCCTTAGGGCTCTCCCCCCTGGGGCTCCCCAGGCTCTCCCCTCTGGGCGGAGCACTTAGTCCCCAGGGCTCTCCCCCCTCTGGGCGGAGCACTTAGTCCCCAGGGCTCTCCCCCCTCTGGGCGGAGCACTTAGTCCCCAGGGCTCTCCCCCCTCTGGGCGGAGCACTTAGTCCCCAGGGCTCAATAAAATAAGAATATAAATAAACTTACCTTTTTACTTATCTTTTGTTCTTAGTTGTGTTCCTTTTGTTTGTTGTTGGTCATTTGTGGTTTTTTGTCTACTTTTCTCTTGTAATACTTTTTGTTTATTTTTGTGACTGTTTTTCCTCTTTATTTTACTGGTTTGTTGTTGGGTTGCGGTGAGGAAGTTAGCTTTGGGTAAGGTTTAATTTTGTCTACGAAACCGAATTTTTTTCGTGAATTCAAAAGGGTGAACTTTTTTTAGATTCTGATATTTTTGACTGTTAGACTCAAGAGGTTTAATTTATAACTAAATACAACACGCAGTTGTGTTGGCGTATATACCAAACCAGAATATTCAGAGAGAGTACAAAACTCACATCAATTTTTGGAAAGAAACATGCTACATGAAAAGAAATATAGCTTAATCGCGGAGCCGCGAGACCTTATTAAAATAATGACTGAGGGCGTACTTTTCCATAGTTTTGGAACTAGCAGGTTATTATTATGGTCACTGAATTGAAACAGTAGGTTATTATTTGTAATAATGATCTTCTGTTCCACCTTAACAACCTGTTCTTAAAATTTTCCAAAAATAATAACCTGTTCAAAACAACGGAAAATTGCATGAAGACCCGACTAACCGATCGTGTTTTGCAAAAAATTAACTTACCATAGGTTTGGTATATACTGAATAAATGACAGACAAACAAATGAGTTGGCTGCATATCCTTGTTAAGGACCGTGGCAGTACTTTTATTGTTATTTTGAAGACTCTCTTGGAAGGGAAATTGTTCTGCTTTTCTTTATGGTCACGCAGTACCTGTTAAAAAATGGAAAGCGTTATTTGTTGTTGTAAATACAGGGGCACCCAACGAGAATATAGTTCAAAACCACTTAAACATAGCATTGTTAAACGTGTTTTAGTATTTAAACGGTGGATATGGGCATATTTTTCTCCCCTATAAATTTTTCATCTGTTCGGATTTCCTAGCTGAAAGTCTAGTGATCCGAAAATTATAGGGATCAAAACTTACCCGTTCGAAAATTTCAGCCAGAAAAAAGGCTCCCGAAAATTCTAGTTGACCTTTTTAGGGTAAAAATCCGTTGAAAATGGGCAATTTTACCATTTTTTAGATGTTCGAAAATCCTAGGAGAGGCAGGCAAGCAAGAAATTTTACAACAAATGTTCCGAAAATTCTAGATCTCAAATCGGCTTTCGAACAGATATTTTCCCGAAAATTGTCGTTGGGTGCCCCTGTAAATACTACTGTAGTACTAGATGAAATCGTGCCCTTATGCCACTTAGGTCTCAAAATAAAACAGTGAACGGAGTTTTATGTCAATCAAATTTCTTATGATATCCAATTCCTTATTCCAACAAGGGGTCTGCAAAGCATAAGGAAATCTAATGACTGGGTTTTGCTTTACCCTACTTAGTTCTTTCAGGGGCACCCGACGACGGTTCCCTTATAAATGGATTGTAAACACTTTTTCGGCTATCCAGAGTACTTGCAGATCTCTAGAAATGCATTCTAAGCAGCGCTATAAAATTTGTATCTGTTCGGTCGTCCTAGGCCAACTTGGGTCTTTTCGAAATTACGAGGGCCTCCGTATTATTTTCCCGAAAATTTTAGTTGCAATTTAAAGTTTTACGAAAGCGAGCATTTTTCTGATAGGTCTCTCCATCACCTGTTTGAATCCGAAAATTTTAGGCTTCCTTTCCCAACGAAAAATAGGCAACTTGGGTACTGAAATGCGACAAAATAAACTTTAGAAAATCGTAGGGAATTTATTAGATATGTTGAGAAAATTGTACATAAATGAAACAGTCATCCAGAAATTTGTAGCCTTCCTCAAGCTATAGAAAATTCTAGGCAATTTTTGTTTCTCCGAACAGATCATTCACAGAAAACAGTCGTTGGGTGCCCCTGTTCTTTTAATCATCCATATTACCATCCCAACGACGTAATCTTACGCAAAACCTGATAAATATGTTCTAAAACTATATTTTGCCGTATTTCCGTTCCATTAAATTTGAACTTTATGTCTACGAGTCTTAAATAACACCCCAAGTGACTTGTAACAATTTTCAATCTATTAAATTCAGTGTGTCCAGCCACTTGCCGACCTTAAATCCCATGCCATAGGTAATTTTTACACGTTTGTGGGGATTTTCATAGCCTTACTGATGATAAAGTGAAATCATTCACATGGCTGCTCAAATAGAGCACTACATTCTACGATAATTTACTTCGAAAACTTCCAGCGCTATGGACATACCAAATTAAAAGGAGATAGCGCACAAACTGAAAGTTTTCGCGTCCAGCTCACGATCATCGATCGAAGCACATAGCGACAGAGCAAATTTAATAGTTGGGAACATGAACACGGGTAACTGACGATTGGGGCGACGGAAACAAAAACATGGAAAAAAATCGCGCACAAAATTCAGTTTCGTAGAACAGTGTTAGTGAATCTTTAATTCTTTCAGCAAAAATATTAAGCACTATGTAACAATCGTTAAAATGCACAGCTTTCGGCTCTTAGACCAACACCGTTTCGTTGATTAGATTTTACACTCAACTGGGAAGATTAATTTATGTAACGATCTAAACAGGCTAAATTCAAAGTTTCAACTATGAAAGCACAAACCTGGTATTCTCGAAGGGGCAGAAGTGAATCGTAACCAACAATCATTCCACGCGGCCACAGATGACAGATATCGCTTTGGCCGAGTTTGGACTTACTGCACCAACACTACTGTAACCACTTTGCTGACTGGATATCAATACAGTCAGCTTGAAATCTGTCCTCCATTTATACGTTGTCTCGTTTAAAATTCATACCACCTTGAGTAATGTACGTGGCATTTACACAAAGGTAGTGTAGGAAGGGTGATGTAATAGGTTTGTTGGAATCGCTCGATGAACTCTTCCCTCAATACTGCGAGAAAAGCACGCACTTGGTTCAACGGTGAGAAATCAACACTTCAAGAACACGTTCAAAGGGAAAAGAAAGCCGACTTGCTCAGCAAAATAACGTGGCTCTTGGAATAAAAAAAGATGAATACGCATGGGACTTCGAGAAAAAGTATAAGCATCGCTGGGCCTTGTAATTTCAGAGACAAAAGCAACAATAAATAATTAACGCTTGGATGTAGGAAAGTTTGCAATAATACCAGACTGCAACAATATTTACAATGTAACGAAACAAATGAATGAGAATTAGTCTACAAAGAACAATAGTCGTGTTTTTAGCAGCTCGTGAATAAAGGCAAAAGAACGAAGAAAGAAAAAAGAATAAAAACTTTCAAAACTTCTCAGCGGTCGACAATAATCATTTGTTGGTAAAAGCGCATAAAGTTTAGGAACATTAGAGATTAAATTGCAGGTAAAAAACGAAATTTTTATCGCTATTAAGTCGCGGGAAATACAAAATTAAAATTAAAATACAAAATTAAAATTCTAACTGCCACCATGGACGTGACTGCTTTAATAGTGATGATTAGCAATTCACAAACATCTTTTGAAAATCACTGCCGGAACAGCAACCCTTTGTACGAGAGTGATTTTACTTGCACTGTGAAACAGATACTAACAAATAGGACCGAGAAAAACAAAAGGTGCGAAACAAAGAAAAAGTTCACAGGTTCTTACACCGAGGTAACAATTTTTCTGTCATGTATTACAACCAGACAACTTTTGAATTTAGGCTAAATTTACCAATCATAGTGCTTTAAGAGAGGTGGTATCCAAATGTCCAAATGGTTTTGTGAAAGAATCCCCGAAGTCGGCATCATACGAAGCCAACATTCCTAGTACTCCTCGGCACCCTAAGATCCTGGTGTAGTTTGAGCCCGGGAGGTCACACCCGTCCGCCATAACCTGTTTTCTGTGTCACACGCGTCCCCGGTGACTGCCACAAACACTACCGTATTCCACTGCTCGACCCCCAGGTTTCAAGATAACAATAAACAGAACTTAGAAGCAAACGGAGCCTTTAATTAACATCGATACCATTACAGTAACATTATTAAATCCACTGTTGCAAAAATGAACAACAAATTTCATCTATCTTGGTAGCTGGCTAAAAAATACCAACTAATCAAGTCAAAAATCGAACACTTCGTCATCTTGGTAAATGCTTCTTCAGCAGAAAACCATTTCCTCTTTCGACTCATTTTTCACATCTTTAAAAAGGTACCTGATTTTCAAAAAACCTTTCCCGAATCAATGAGAAAAAAATATCTATTTACATCATTCTTTTTTTTGCGTGACAATTTACACGCGCGCTAAATCAGTGTTTTTATAGTTCGTAGCTCTTTCTTCCGGAATTCAAAAGGAGAATATAGTTTTTTGTTGAACAAGAAACCCGAGGAACCCAGTCCACCGGAGTTGGACTACAGTATTGTTTCGTGACATTTTCGTAAGATAAATGTCCCGGAAACGAACAGCTTTTCAGATCAGGCGATAAATTGGACGTCACGTCTAATCGACATCATCGACTTCATCCGGGTCTTCCTTTGCTCTGTCAAAGGACCGGGGCGAGCCGCGTATCATACCAAGAAATTCTGCAGATAAGGAGGAAAGGAAATAGATGTCATTTAACTTCAGTTAAAATGGTATATACAGGAGGACAACGGCTAACTGAGTTGCAAAATGGAAAATCTTCTAACTGAATGAAACTTAGCCTGCGTAACATGATGGTTTTGTCGGACGTACTACCGCTCGCCCGCCTTTATATTACTTTGCGCGCCCAATCACAACCGCAATGCTACACAGGCTAAATAAAACTTCCTTAGACGTACAAAGACTTTTCTTTAGTGGCTGGAAAGAGAACCTAGTAGACGGACCGTTTCCTTTAAAGTTTCCAGACGAGGCTGGGTCCAGATTCATACCAATACAAGACCCTACTCAATACGCCAAGCCAACCATCTGACGCTACGTTCAAACGGCCACGGACGAATTGAAAATTCGTACATTTAATTGTTCGGTTCACACGGAATCACCTTAACCGCACGAAAATCAAAGTTCCGTGTGAACAGAGAGAAAATATTAAATGGTTTCCCGTGAACGAAGTGTCCGGTCAATTTTTCATCGGCCCGGTTAACGTAGCCTTAATTTAATAAATCCAGGGGTGACACGCAAACTACTCCAAACATCGCTCAGGAGTGTCATGCAAACTGCACCAAACATCGCTCACGCAAACTACATCAAACATCGCTCAGGAGTGTAACGCAAACTACACCAAACATCGCTGTATTTACCTTCTGGCACGTTAAGCACAGCACTTGGTCCCAGGCCACCTGGTCCTTCATCACCGTAGCTTTTCCTTAAGATATCTCGCACGTGACTTGCACTAAAAAAGCAAGAAAAATATTTTGTGATTACCAGCGAAATAAATTTGTGTGACATGATGCCAACTCTGAAAAGTTTCTTTTATTGCGTTGACGTTAACACAACTCAGAATTCTGTTCAAACTTAACTTCAATCTTCATTAGGAATTGGATCGACAAAAAACTGAACATCGACAAAAAAAAGTGATATGGTCATTTAATACTTTCCAAATCAGTGGATAGCACTTTTCGCGTTTTGATTACCTCCCGTAACTCGGACTGTCCTTGGCTAATCAATGTTTTAGGACAGGAGATCAAATTACACCTCCGCCTTTCACGACAGTTTTGGAGGACGAGATTTTAGCGATAAATAAAGCAGCTGTATCAGCGGTGTTAACTTCGCACTGAACAAAATCCCGTGTCCAACTGATTTAGTAAACACTAAAATAATTATCCACCTCAATATATCTCGATGCTTGGAAGTTCGGTATACACATGCCCACCACTATTCACCTCCCCTTTGGGGACAGTTGTATACAGTCGCAAGAATAACCGTGATAACAGGTAGTAAATAAAAGCCACGAGCATCTCAACTAAACAACAGTGTCACATCGATGACTCAGTCTACACTTAACATTCAGCAACAAGCGGATATTGGTAGCTACTACACTTTGGCTAAATGAGTTCATAATAGAAGAATATAAAGTTGTGAGTGACTGGTTATATGCAATGTCGTGCAATGTCTTAGTTCACAGGCAGGGTAACACAGAGCACAGGGTACCTACCAGCTGTATGGTGGTTCATCAACCGAATCTTTATCTAAGTTGAGAAGGAAGTCCTCTAGATCGGGAAATATTCTGTGAACAAAAATGACGACACGTATGGCATGAAAATTGTATGCTTTATAAACTCAATGTTGCATATTTTTTGCTGCACAGTAAGTTTCTTTTAAACATTTTTTAAATTCTCTTTTAAAAAGAAGATTGTGATGAATGCAAGAGATGATTAGAATGAAAAGCGTATGCTTTTCACTTAACAACAGTCAAACGTAATGTGCGCATGCCGTTTATGCAGTGAAAAATTAATTGATCAAAAAGGGAAAGTTTACCGGCTTGTTATCGCGTTTCAGTGCATTTTCTCCGTCAAGTTCTTACTGATTGCAGGAAATGACCTTTGGTAACAAAAAACGAGGATATTTTTTACGTTTGACCGTTGTGAAGCTTTTGACAGTTTGAAAAAGTTAACAATTAAAAAACTTACAGGTTTCTATCTAGAATCTCCTCTGAGCTGGAGTCCGGATATTTTTCTCTGTAATGCAAGGGTGAGCTAATAAATTTGAATGCTTAATTAATTATAATAATAAAAAAACATATTGCAATTGATGAAAAAACCATGCCAGATATTTTTAAGATTCTGGTTATTCTCAGAAAGTCTTTTTTTAAGATTTCTTTCCCGCATCTCTGTGTAATTTCAAGACTTATTTCACTTAAAATTCCTTCTAGCAGACGTCAGTATAGTTTGAAAGCGAGTTTTAGGACGGTTTACTTACTCGTGGTCATCCCAAGTGGGCGTTTGACTGTCATCATCTTCAGATTGTCCAAGCGCATCTTCGTCATGTTCATCAAACACGGGCCAGGAAGACTCTACATCCGGGGACTCCTCTGAAGATACCATCACTGGTGCGTCAAACCTGATGTGATCACGTGATAATAGAGAGCTTTAGAGTCACGTTTACGTCAAACGGCAAACGGCGGGGAGATTCAAGCAGGTAATATCTCAAAATAGAAAATGAGCAGATGAAAACTGTCCAACACAATTCTTATGGATAAAACTAACGTGACACTACTAATTTTTTGTAGAAGTAATGAACATTGCAATAGACTAGTAAAGGAAAAACTTAGCCACGTAGTACAAATTCACGTTTGCCGTTTGCGCGGCTCTAAATCTCTCTACTGTCAACAACGTTAGCTGTAAAAGTGATTTGAAATCTCTCTAATATCTCATTTTCATCATTAGGCGGGGGAAATTGGTTTAAACGAAATAAGTTGAGACTCGATCTAATAATAACTGTTCTCTTGAGTAGCGCTGGAGAATAGGGTAAACTTTCAAGTTCGACATACTCGTGTACAGGATCTTTCCTTCTTCTGACAGGCAGAGGCTGTGCTTCATCATCACTATCTTCACTTGGCTGTCTCACAACGATTGCTGGGACCTGCAACCTCCTACAACATAGACAAGAAGATCAGAAATAATATGACCTTGACATGAAAAACGCGCGAACAAAACAGAAACAACAAACGAACGGAAATATAGCGATTTGATTGGTTTATCGAACGGATACAAACGCGCGTGGCTTTTGGTTGGTTTGGCGAACGTTCGGGTGAAAAAACTTCATCCCCGAGAACTTTCTAAAAATCAACCGATACTTCACTTTGACGTCATACTGCAACACGATTGGCCAATCGAATAATGCCTTCTCCATATTAGGGTTTTCTTTGGCGGGAAAAAGAAGAGTCCGTGTTTTGATCTTTTCATCCCTAGGCTAATAAAACAAATAACGAACACTTAACGAAACCATTTTTCAAGGTCATACGAAAATCGCTCTATACATTAGTGTATTACATAGTTGAACATTGGATTGTTTCCCACTAAAATTACTGAGACAATTATTAGAAATTTCGGAGTATCAGGCTACGTTCACACGAATCCGGAGATTTTTTTAAACCGCATACTTTTTTTTACACGAATAGGCCTCCCGTCCACACGAAACTAGCAAACGCGGACACCGAAAGCGTACTGTCATACGGATTCGTGTGGATATGGCCTCAGTCTCTGTTTTGCTCTCTTAGTGGACGATAGTTTTACTAACTGATCGCTCACTTTCCCAATAAAAACCTGAATGCACTTTATTTGAGTGTCAATAGGGCCATTTATACGAGGAAAAATAAGATGCGTCTTACATAAGACGCGCACTGTACCATTTATGCGAGCATGTCTTATCCAATAAGACGCGTCTTAGCTAAGCCGCGTCTTATTGTAGACGAAATGTGCCGTTTATACGGAAAGTTCGCGTCTTATTTAAGACGCGTCTTATTTTTCCTCGTATAAATGGCCCTAATGTATTTAGCACGAAAGTACTTATTAGGGACACTGTTTTTACGTCCTCAACTGGAGACGGGACCGCCATTTTACGTGGTCATCGGAGCCTCGCGAAGGTCTAGCCATATGCAGGCAGTACCCTCATTTCTCAGTTATTTTAAGACCCTGAGTATTGGTCCGGTCCCGGGAATCGAACCCACGACCTCCCGCTCTGCAGTCAAGCGCTCCACCGACTGGGCTAATCCTGCCGCGGAATTATGTTTGAACATTTAAGGATTGCACAGATTAAGCAGGGAATCCATTACAAGGTGGCCAGTTACTCAGGGAGGTAAACACAACCACGAAATTCGAAAAAATGTCAAGTGCAGGCTTTGAAAACGAACAACAACAGATGAAATAACTACCGGCAATTATCAAAACAACAAACCTCGGCTTCACTGCCGGTTGAGGAACCTCTTCAAATGTCCCTTGGTCTAATTCGTCATGTTTTTCTTCAATTCTGAAAGATACAATTAAGAAGCAGCTTTTATTGCATACGTCTTTAAGCAAAATAAGTTAATCAGTCATTCAGAACTCGCGCATCAAGCAGGTACGTACGACCGCCCGACTTTCTTTAGTCACGCTATCATTTGAGGGAAGGATGGAACCACCGCCTTACATTTATTACGCGATTACTACTGCCAAACAAAACATTCTCTACTCCTCGCGGTTGTGAGAAGGACGAAATCACTGGCGTAACCACGCGTTCAGTGATTGAGTAGCTTGAGACTGTTCTTATGAAAAATATTCCTGCGAGGGTACAATGGTGCAGTTTCGTCAAAATTCTCCTTATCTCACACACCAATGATCAGCCAGGTTTTAGAATCCGATACATTAAATCAGTTTGTACGTTATAAACTCTTTCACCTCTAGACCAAGTTATGGTGGGATGATTTGTCACTCTAACATTTGAGTTTGTCTATGAAATCCTGTGATGTTTACATTCAAATGAAACCTCTTCAGCAGTACTTTCACATGGTGCTATTTATTTAGTATGTAGCTCTAACTTTTGAGGCTGCGGGATTAAATCCTAGTGATGTTACCATTCAAACGAAAACTCTGAGCAGTATTTTTACGTGGTACTGTTTAGTGTTTAGTCTGCAGTTCTAACTTTTGAGTCTGTGGACGAAATCCTGGGGTGTTACCATTCAAATGAAAACTCTCTGGCAGAAAATTGGCATGGTGTTATTCTTTTCTCTGGATTTTACAAAAAGAAATTTGGAATTTTTGTGAATTTATTTCCATTGGAAACTATTAGGAATGAAAGGATAGGATTAAAACAGTTCCTAATCACGGAGAACACCCAACAAAGAAGATACCAAAAAAACCTGAACAACAAGAGAAAACGTACCCTTCTGATGGACTGGCCTCGGATTGTACCAGCGGCTGACCCGACTCGTCTATGAATGATACTCGCTTAGATGCTCGCTTTGACGGTGAGGCAGAGTCTCGGTTTTCACTTGAACTATATGAAAAAGGTAAGTGTTATAAATAGACTGCAATATTAAGTAAAAAAGGGCCGGCAGGGATAATAAGCCAGGTACGGCTCACTATGATTCCATTACCGGAACCCAACGCGTATTCAATGGGCATGACAGTTAAGTTGGTCAGCCGTCATCCTGGGAGTCAAAGCGTAGGAAACTTGGTAGGTATGACCACTATGAATGGGCATGCACATAAGGACTTTCAACATCGCATGCCAAAGGTCAAATACGTTAATCCTTTAAACCCAAACACTCCTCTGTTGTCTCCATACGTGTCCTATGGTAGTAGTGAGGAGGAGTTGACCACTCTGTTTTATAAAACATGACATTGCCTCATACATTGCCTCTAATTTACTTACGCACGTGAATTTTACGCGCGTACGCACTTCAAAATTACGCGACGATGGAAATCCACTTTCAGTCCAAAGAAGCTTCACTACCCCTTATCAAGGTGGTCTGCCTGTGGTAAAAGGGAAACTGAAGGACGATTATGTTTGTCTTACCCTTCGCTTGATCCTCCAAACATATTAATCAAGGCATCCCTCAACAGAAGTGAAGCCGGGCGAGAGCTGGGTCGAGAGCCTCCGCCAGCCGCGTTAGCGTTGCCAGGGGAGAGGAATGTAGGTGATTCAGGAGGAGATTTGGTCAGCGGTGCCAATTCTGCCGAAGGTGGTCGAGAAGGCCTGGGAGTGATGACTCTGAAAAAAAAAAATGGGCATTGACATAGTTATGTCTCTCTCCTCCACAGAGGCTCCTGCTGGTTATCCTATAAAAACAGTAATAATCGAAAAATGGCAAGCGCACGGGATGCATTCATTTTTTCCTCCCCCCTGCCTCCCTACGACACAAAAGGAAGCGTAAGCAAAGACGTTCTGAGCGAAGCACGTCAACCGGAAGTTGACTTTTTGCAACCTTGGGGAGTGGTTTGGTTCAAACGCTCGGGTAAATCGTCTTTACAAGAGAAAAGACACTTAGAAATTTAAATTTGTTAGCGTCAAGGCATATCGAAAGGTAGAAGGCCTCACTTCCGGTTGACGTGCGTCGCTCAAAAACGTCTTTGCTTAAACTGCGGAGGAGAGAGTAGTAATGTGACAGTTTAAAAAGTCTTAATTATTCTGAAGTACCGCTTCCGCAATTTGAATTCAGAGATCGCGGACTCTTATAAAGTAACGTTTTTATAACTTTTAATAATTCTGAAGAATCTGAGATGTTTCACAAACCGGAAATACGTCAAATCCTGCGATTCTATCACTGAAGAACGCTGATAAATTTTAAGTAGAAAGCGGATATGCTGTTTATCTCTCAAACCATATTTTTCACGGCGGTGTTGTTATCGTCGATAACACCAATGTAAACACCCTTTATTCTGGAATAACTTTTCAACAAATGCCATTCTGCATGAGGTACAATATTCCGAGGAATGAAGCACTCCACGCTCTTAAATTCCCATAGCAGAGATTTATCGGAATCGTTTTGTGTGATCTTATTGCAGAAGATTCCAACTAATTTGCAACTTCAGAAGCGAGATGGAAACTGCAAAGAATTCTGGGACTGGAGACAGGGAAAAACAAATTGGCCAATAGCTAAATGGCGCGTCCCAAGTAACGATCCCACAAGACTCGACTAACTCGGCGTAGTTTCCTTCTTCTTTTTATAGCGGCGAATTGAACACAGCTTCAAGTGGTTTGTCTTTAACCCCTTCACTGCCAGAGTACTTGATGGAGTTTTGTAAGGTGACTCTAACTTTTGAGTCTGCAGACGAAATCCTATGATGTGACCATTCAAATGAAAGCTCTCTGCCCGTACTTTCATATGGTGCTATTTGTTTGTCAAAATTTTAGAAAATGAAATGTGGAAATTTGGTCGAAATTTGCCTTTGGCCACATTTGGCAGTGAAAGGGTTAACGTTTAAGTGAAATGTCCCGTGAAGGGACTGTCCGCGGCTTGTTACATGAAGTGAAAGCTCTCTAATAGGGACACCAAAGGGACAGAGTAAATGTGTGCATCTTAACGGTGACGTTATTATTGTGGGTTTACGGATCGCCGTAAGAAGTCTGCTATCTTTGAAACCAAAATAAATGCCCGTTATAGAAAGTTGTTTGTATTACGACTTACCCCTCAGCTATTTCTAGAAACCTGCCAGCGAATGAAGTCTTTTTTCCAACCATGGGACTGCCCCTATATCTGAACAAAACAAAAACTTTTTTAAGGATTGCTAGAGTATCTATTGTCAACTTCAAAACTTCAACTTTCTTCATTCTTTCATTCACACGTATAACTTAAGACATTCACGATAACTTTCACCCGCGTACAGAAAAGCCTAATCCAGGCTCGGGAAGAGACAAATTTAAAGAAAGGAAAGGAAAAAAAGAAATATTTTCCAAACAGTACCAGCTGTCGTAAAATAAGAATTATTGTGCGAATTAAGCTATTTAAATTACAGTGTGAATTACACAAATTTCAAATAGATGGCGTATAATCATCATTCAAAAAGTTGGGAGCAATAATGGATGAAGCACTTGGTTTCTAAAGAAGCTATGCACTTATTCTGTCTCAGTGGGGGATTGACACGGAGAGAAAAATGGTTATTATAGTAGAGGCATTTAAAATTTAACTTTACTGCGGTAGCTCTCGAAACGTTACATTTGGCTATTTTACAGTTATTACTTTACTGCGTGGGATTCCTGTGACTCATCGCGCAGGTCCCTTACATGCTAGCCCTTCAATCGTCCTCATTCATTTTCCAAGGTGAGTGCGGCCTCACTTACTTAACTTTACTTACCCAGTTCCCACACTAAATGACTGTCCTTTCCAGTTTTTCGTCATCTCATTATACAAATTTCCTTTGCTAAAATGAAAAAAAGAAAGAGTCATTTTTACCTGAAAAGCCGCAGATAGAAAGTTAGACTGTTCTAGGCTCCGAGATAGTCACTTTCGCGTCTTCCCCACTATCTGAGAGCCTGGAACAGGCTAACAGAATGTATACATTAAATAGGGCCCCGTAATGTATTTTCGTTTGAAAACGCGTTCGTTTCGATGTGTTGTTTAGGCCTTCCGTCGACAATAATACGCTGAGCATTTTCGTCGAAAACGCTCTTGAAAGTGGATCAAAACAAAAACGCATACATATCTTATTAGTGTGGACGGTCAAAAACGCATCAGAATGAAAACGATGACCGAAAATATCGCACGCGCGTGTGTTTGTAGCCTGCTTATAGAGTTAACGTGCAATTCTATCGTTTTCTAAGGGATGGACCATAAGAAAACTTATAGGGGGCGGGGCGAAGTACAAAAATAAATATCCGCACAAGGGAAATTTAAATGAAAAAAATTCTTGCACGTTTTCATCGAAAACGCATCGATCTGAAAACGCTCTTGAAAGTGGATCAAAACAAAAACGCATACATATCTTATTAGTGTGGACGGTCAAAAACGGTCGAAAACGCATCAGAATGAAAACGATGACCGAAAATATCGCACGCGCGTGTGTTTGTAGCCTGCTTATAGAGTTAACGTACAATTCTATCGTTTTCTAAGGGACGGACCATAAGAAAACTCATAGGGGGGCGGGCGAAGTACAAAAAAAATATCCGCACAAGGGAAAATTAAATGAAAAAAATTCTTCCACGCCAATTAATCCTAAAAAATATACATGCTACGGCCTAAAAAAAATTCATACAAGGAATTTGATAACGAAAAATAATTCCTGCGACTTGAACATCCTCTCCCCCCCCCATAACTTTTCTAATGGTCCGTACCTAATGTTTTAGTGTGGAAAGTCGAAAACGCATCAAAACGATCGTATGGACGCAAATTGATCAATGCGTTTTCGATGAAAACGAAAACGCATAATTTTGGAAACGCATTAGTGTGGACAGGGCCTAAACATACATACTACCAGAAACACTTTACCGAAGGACAAGAACACAAACGTAAATAATAAATATAAAAGCACAGGAAACACGAGAAATTTATGTACTCACCTGAGATTTTGCATGCTTTTCTTGTATCGATTTTTGGCTTTACTACTCCTTGTATACGACTCATATCTGAAACAGAACCAACGGTTAGTGACTAAAGATACGATTGATTTAAGAGCTTTGCTTAGTGGACATTTTCACTGACAAGTACTGAATAACAACAATAACAATAACCGTGAATATCTAATCGATAAAAACGCTTTCCAGTAAAACGACTAAAATATAAAAGGACTAATTTAATAAAAATGCTTTCCTCCAAGTCTTTAGTTTTTTTTGCGCGCGCTCGGTCATTATTTTTGAGAAGGCCTCAGAGCTCAGGCATTATCTGATATATAACATCATGAACTCCGCCCTCTTGTGTTTCATGGCACTTTCAGGTTGATTTTCAGGTCACTGACACGACCGTCAAAAAAGGTTTTCTAAAATAAGTTGAAGGAATTAGAGATGAAAGATAAAAAAGAACACAGTTTTGACACCATCTCTATTACTGTTCGCCGAGTTTAAGTTTCGACTTTGAAATGGAGCATTCACGACTACTTGTACAGATGTTAAAGGCAATTTGTGAAGTGATAATTAAAAATACAGAATGGAGATAGATAAAAAGCCTATAACATAGGAATACAAATGCAATGGGATTTAGGTCATTGTCTAAAACTTCTTTTGTTTTACACCTTTTACGAATTTTATTTCTTTCACGTCCTTCGTGACTTTGGTATAGCCTTTTACAAAAGTGTTATTTCATGGGTTTCTAGACTTTCTTCAGTCCGTTATTTTGTATTACTTTTAGTCTTTTTTCCCGTTTTATTGGTAGAAGGGTTGGCATTTTTCTTCATACATTTAACACGGCAACTTTGCTGAGAGAAACTAAACTACCGCAAATTCTTTGGATCGGTTATTGAAAGAGAGTTCTATACAATGTTTACCGAAAAAAATTATTAAGAAAAAACAAACAGGTTGAGAACAGAACAAAAAACCTGAATCTTTTTAATTCACCTACTAAAACACATTTGAAGGCTGATTGTCTAGAAACAATGGAGATTTCGTTTAAATATCCGGCACATTTGTTGTGCACCTGCGTAAAACCCTGAGGCAAAACAGCAATTAACTTTTCATTTTAAAAGAACTGTGTCCCCCAGCATTGTAATTTCCCATAACACTGGCTGCAATTTTTTTACTTCGCTTTCAACTGAAAATAAAACTTACTAGTACCGACAGAATTCAAGAGCACAGTGGGCGAGTTGTAAGTATGGTTGAGCCAGGCCAGTAGAACAGTTCCGTGACTAACCAGATCGGACTGGCTACCCATTTGACTGAAATGTCTCAAAAGGAAAGTTAGCTTTTGATCATACTCAAGTACAAAAAACGAACAATGAAAAAAGCCGTCTCTATTATACCTCGGGTGGTAGCGCGGTGCCATACCTAGTAAAAACATGGTTAAATAACCAGCCAAGTCCTAAATTGTATACGCGTGACTACCATTCTGTGACCGCACGCTGACAGTTGCACAGGCAAACCAAGAACGAGAGATACCTCTGTAAATTGACTTCTTTTAAAAGCCGTAGTTTAGCCTTCTTATTAGTTGTTTTTATTCGTTTCTAACTGGACTTCCGCCTTTAACCCTTTCACTCGGTGTAACCAAGAGAAAGTGTTAAAGATCCTGGTGTGAACTGTACTTTCCCATAGGTTTGGTACGTTAACTTTGCGTGTGGAAGAAAACCTACGTTGTGACCAACCAAATAAAACCTCTTCAGCTGTTCTTTGAGAACATGCCACTACTATTTGTTTAGTGGGTAGTTCTAATATTTGAGTATCGATAAAATCCTATGGTGTTGACCATGCAAACGAAACCTCTTCAGCTATACTCGCACAATGTGTTACCATTTGTTTCCTGAGCAATTAATTCTAACTTTTGCGTCTGTGGAGGAAATCCTATGTCGTTACCATTTAAATGAAACCTCTTCAGCTGTACCTTCACATGGCACTATTTGTTTAGTACGTAGTTCTAGCTTTTGAGTTAAACGTTCAAGTCTGTGGAAATCCTGTAGCGTTACCATTCAAACCCCTCTGGACATTAAGTACTTTTCATGGCCATAAATATTTTGAGTATTTTCTTAAGCGAATTGGAAATCTTTTCTTATAATTTTTGGTGAGTAAATGGCTCAAGCTTGCCTAAAATTAAGTTTATATTGTACTGCATACCTGTTAAGTTCGTCCGTGTCAAACTTGTAATTCCACCAAGCAATGCCGGCAACAACCAGAACAAATATCATAACTACAGGAACAGACGGACCTAGGATAATAATATCTGGAACTTTCTCTACGACTTTTTTCTTCTCAACAACCATCACAACGTGAGTGGTTTCTGTCCAAGTCCTTCTTACTCCAGTGACCGGTAAACTCTTGGACGGTGAAACAGACCCAGCTGTGTTCGTTGTAACTTCATTTGTAAACGCAGACAAAGGTTTATTGACACCAGACGCAGTAGTGGGTGACGTCATTGATTGCATTGGAGGGTCTGTAAAGTTACTGGTTGCTACCGTCGTTGTGGCAACTGTTTGATTGACAGGCAATGCACCTCCGCCTCCTATTTGAGCTTGCACGTGAGTGAAGTCAAAAGTCACAGGGGCCGTTGTTGGAACCTCGAGCGTTTGATATGTTAATTGAAACCCCATTCCTTCTTTTGCAGAATCCGAAGAAAAACGAATCCTCACTCTAGACATTAAATTATACACCGAATTCGGCGGATTGTCATTGCAAAATCTGCTGTTTAAACCTGCGACATTAAGTGGCGGGTCAAGTTCTTCAACGTGAACGAAGTCACATCCACACTTTTTTCCATCACACTGTTTAGAGTCAGAACTGACATTGAACGATACGAATCGTACAGACAAATTCACATGTTGCGGGGGCGTTATGATCCAGGTGCAAGAGGAGTTTGCAGGATATGAGCCTGGGAAATTAGGGCTACTTAACGTACCCTGAAGATCAGAAAGGTGCCGTCTACTTTCGCAAGCAGTTAGGGTTCCTAAAAAAAATAGAGTATAGAGAAATGTCAACAAAAATGCTGAAAATAAGAAATGACTCGCATAAACTGAAGAAACTTGAAGAGATCTAGTAGTAGACGAGTTTTAAGTTAAGTTATGTGCACGTTGTCCACTTCATTTTAGATTTACACTATGTGAATGGCAGTTTAATTTCCGCTTTATTATCAAGCCGTTTCGAAATACAATCTCTGTAAAACAGAACTTATATCATCCAAAGGCGAAGGCAGTTTAAATGAGAACTAACTTAACTTCGCGACCGGGATATTCACGGGGAGACGCTCACAATCTCCCCGCCAAACTTCCATTTCAGTGCCGTATCCAGACCTTGAGATAGGGGGGGGGAGCTGGCGGTCATCCACACCCTTAGATAAGGGAGGGGGTCGGTCTCTTGGTCTAAAAATAGGGGGCCTCCCCTGGATCGCCACTGCACTGTGCGAGTGAGACACTTATCCGAGATTGCATGTTATCTTGAAATCCTTTCCCATGAGTGCCGAACTTTAAATTTAACAATATCTCAAACTGGCCGCAGTTGTTCAAAAGTGGATAACGCGCTTCACTGGATAAATCTCTATCCAGTGGATAACGCAGTTGGGTTCCCTGACACTAAACCAGCTGAATAGTAATTCATCCGATGGATAGCGCTATCCGACGTTTGAATATGCCGAGGGTTATATTTTTTTAAAATCGTTTGATTGGTTACACCGCAAGATTTCATCCTCAAAACTATAATTCAAGGCAGCCTTTCAGAACATTGTTATTGAAATCATCGCTATTTAATGTTATCATCTTTATAATCATATATTTCCTTTTATGATTCATAATTAGTAAAAGATTTTAACCCAATTAATACGCACTTCCTTTTTTCATTGCTAGTATTTTACCTTTAAATTTCAAGCGGTTACAATCAACACCATCCTGTTGCTTAAAAATACGTTTCGCTTTCATTATCTCATTCCCCCTTTAAGTGCGTTCGACTCAAATTCCCTGTTTTCTTTCTAACTTTGCGCTGAAACACCTCTTTTCTATGCAAAAGAAGAAACTTTACACTTAAATAAAAAAAATTCCAAATTGATAACTGGGGCTAAGAGGCTGAGATGTACGACAGCTTGTTTTGATTTTGTTTACAGTTCCATGCAGCGTTGTTTGGACGTTACAGCAATACACAGTATGTACACTGTATGCTGTGTATTCCGGTCAAACAAACATAAAACAATTTGTTTGTTCAACAACGTCTCTGTTTACTTGTAGGATTGTTATAAGACGAACATTGCAATTTCGACCACTTTTCTGTAAGAACGGAACACGAAAACAACAGTCGCGAAGAATGAATATTAGGCTGTTAAGTCTTTAATTCATTTAACACGAACAAACTGTGGTTAAAACCCGCGAGCATTGGTTTTTTTAAAGCCCATCTCTACGCCACAGTGTTGGCGGAAAGGTGTAGCTTTCGTACCTTAAGCTGTATATTTTTTGATAAAACAAAGAGTTGTTACAATGCCTATATTACAAAGTGCAAGCAATTTAATGTTAAGTCACGGTGGCAGACCGGGGAAATGCGCTTTGCCTAGGGAGTAATAATATAATTTAACTATAATCCTTTCCTACCTTTCAGTTTTACGTCGTCAGTCATGGTCAGACAAGACTGCGAACAAAACGCGCGGTGTGACCTCTCACATTACCTTTTTTTTAGCACTTTTTCACATGGTTCTTCAATGTGTTTATCGATATTTCACAAAAGACCCTTAACTTTCACTTTCTACCCTTAGAGATTAAAAGCCGTAAGTTACACTATAATAAATAGTACTTCCACGGTACAGAGGAATAGTTTTGTTAAAACATCTTTAATATGCACAAATTCACCAGCTGCGTTTCCGTTTTCAAAAATCGAAGAGCACCGATTCCGGTTGGGGGCGAGGACATTTTACAAAGCCTAATTTAAATTACAAATTTTGATGTTGACAGGAGACTTTCGAACAGATATATCTGCGATAATGATTTGGTTCTTTGAAAAAAGAAAGGTCTTACTAAGACAAAGTTTATAACATTTAGAACCGATCAGGAGAGTTTAGTAAATGCTGAGATAAGACATCCGGAGACCGCTGGCTGTTTCGACAAAAGTATTATTGCCTGTTAGTGAATTTGCTGTTTATCAAAGCTGTAAATTGCAATGAACCACACTTTTGCAAACAAATCTATGAATACGCAACAAAGCACAGTAAAAACGAGGCAATAAAATTCGCATGCACAACGTACACAAAAACCGAATTTCAAACCTTGATCTGTTTTTCCACTGGACTTTTAATCTGCCTACAACGCCACAATGAGCCTGTCCACATCAAAGCCTCGTTATATCTAAACCTTTGTTTCAATTAATAATTTAGCTAAACACAAGATGAACGTAAATTTTGTGGAGAATTAATTGGGTTATAAAATAAGACAGTCCCGTCTGGGATACCCCTAGAAATTAGTTGAAACACAATACAAAACCTCACTGGCATCAAAATATCGCTATCGATTATTAATACACATTTGGTCTAATTCATTTTGACCTCGGAAATCGCACAAACAGTTTAATAACTGTTATAGAAGAGATCTTTTTCACAAGAAATTCTGATGTACAAATGTTTGAGAAGTTGCATGCTGTGCAACAAAAAATTGACAAACACGAACTGCCGCTATATTGCTATTGCTCAGTATTCCTAGTACAAGCGTTTTTACGTTAAGGTCATAATATGGCATATTGTTCGTATTGAAAAAAGAAAAATAGTAAAATAAAATAACTTACCCGGTTGTCTTGAATTTCTGGGTCTTGGGTTGACCAGCGGTGCCACGAAAGTCAACACAGCGAACCAGAAGATGTAGTCAACTTTCGACATCATTAAGAAAAACGACGGCACGTTATTAAACGCCAACGCGTATGACCAAAGTTGGAGAGTAGTTCTTGTGTTATTTAATTATTCGGAGCAGAGACGGAAGTTCTTTCCGCGCTGTCTGCAGCATGTGTATAAAACAAAGCAAACACAAATTGCCGGCGAGGGACGAAGTTTTCTTTTGTCATCCAAAGTGAACGCGTTTGAAGTCCAAATGCGTTTAAGTGCAAGTTATGTTTGTAACCTTTCGCGTTCTGTTCAGAGAATGTTGTGCCCGGTGCAATGTTGAATTATAACTTTGGAACAAGCTGCTTACTTCAATCGTACAGGGAACATTCCTTTGTATAAGTTGATTGTGTCGGCAAAGAACACGCAGTTCAGAGACTCACAACAGTTTGGCCAACTGCCGAGAGGTCATAATAATTCGCTCAAAAATTCATTCTTGTGGAAACTTCTCGCGTTGATACAAACAAAATGCACCCAGCGTTTCTGCATGTAAATATTGAACCATCGAAGAAAGAACGATGTTTACATCGTAAACTCCTTACCAACAGAAAGATTGGAAACCACAACGGCTGGTAGAGCTTTAAGTTGTGATGTAAGTGGACAAACAAAACCTCGCGTTCCAAACAAAAGGAGAGGTTTATCTCTTCCACATCTTTTGAGCTAAATGATAAACCGCGACTTCTTTAATATGCAATTGTTTATCATTCACGGCATACTTAAGGAAATAAAAGTAATTACCTCGTTATCTCATCCAAATTTGTATCATATAACAAGGGCTTCCAAGTCACGCTACATGGAGACAAGTCATTTGAAGAATCTGCTTTCAAAAATATTGTGAAAGTAAAACACAATTCACAAATTACAGTTATAAGTCGCTTGGGAAAATTATTGGAAAGATATTTTAGTCAAAATATAGGAATTTCGAGACTTAACTTTGTAACAATACGAAACATGAAAACGCAGTTGTGAAATCTTATCCAGCTTGCAAATTAATACGCTTCAGGAATTTTACAAGAAAGAAAAGCACGCACAAAAACGAGACAGCGAAATATTTGTCTGTTATCCATATCGATCCTAGTCAAAGAAACCTTCGGTGAAACCTTTGTTTGGTCTACTCTAAGAAAAAAAATCTTTGGTTTTGTAAAGAAAATCGTCAGAAACATTTGAGAGAGGTAAAGCAAACATTCCTTAAATTATAGCTGTGTGGTAATGAATTTTTTCATACAAGACGAATTACAAAAGACGTAACAATTTAGACGGTTGGGTGAGAACGGATCGTAAAAATTGAACAAGGTAACAAACGTAACCAAAGAGAGAAAAAGATTCTTGGTAAGCGTTTATTTTCTGATATAAAAATAAAAAATGTATGACAATTTGTGTCATTTGTATGCATGCAGCCTTCAGAAATGGCTCCGACCATACAGTGACTTGTTATAACATAGACGCTTGCTTGAAAATACGCTTGTGCTGTAACGAAAAATCCTTTGTTGGAGTGGGCAACGATTTCTACAATGCCAATCGTGTAAAATACTTGCAAAAAATATGATATAAATAAAGCGTGGTGGGTTTACTCATTTTCGCGGTCTTGCGCGCGTTTCCCACGCTAACCGTACCGTCGACTGCACATCTTCCGACGTGTTCACTGGAACTGTCGGCCGGGTTTTTCAAAGCTGGTTTAAGATAACCCAGGGTCAGTTCGACATTTGAATTCAGATACGAAAGCTTAAAAAGTAAAATTCACTTTAATTGATTATGTCTACAATGTGACTATTGAATGCTCTTCAACAAAAGAAATAGAAACCCGGATTACAATTTAACCTCGGGTTAACTAGCGTCAATCGGTCTTCGAACAACTGTGCGAAATGATGATTCAGACTTATGAAAGAATGGTTTCAGAACCCCAGAAACTGCTTTTCAAAGAGCTCAGAGCACAACAAATCTCATTGTTTGTTGCGCGTAGGGTAAGTCATTGCAACATGCAACAGTCAGAACTCAAATAAAACATCTCTAACATGAACAAAGTGACGCGCAAACATAAAAAGAATTGGTTAACAATCACAGCTTTCGCTTTTCTTTGCTTGCCTCGTGTTGGTCGGTTGACTTGTTTTTCCGGCAGTCGTGACACGTTGACAAAATATTGAAGTTCAGTGTTCAGTCGCTGGGAATTGCGAAGTCTTTTCGGTGTTATTTCTGCCGAAAAGAGTATTGCTAATGGTCGCTAATAAACTGCCACCACTGCGCAAAAGCACGGAAAACTTAAATGTTCCTCTCAATGACAATCCGTGCTATATCTCATTTGACTTGTCTTCAAGAAGCCAGTGATTTTGTACATGTTTACGTACTTGTTGGCCACGCAGTAACGGCAGTTTTAACTGAGTTTTCATCATCCCCAAAGCTCACCTGTCAGTCAAACTCTTCACGGAAGGCTTTATAAAGTTTGATTCAAGAAGTTAAGCAGTTCCTTGCGGTTCTTGTCACGCTGAAACAGGAGAACACTGAGTAAGTTCTAAGAAAATTTTTCCAGATGATTCCAGTGTTAAAATAGCACGGGGCTATGTTCAAATTATACCACATAGCTTTGGCGCCGGCACGAATTCAAAACTCATGCCGGATAGCGCTACTGTTCACACATAAAAACGGTGATTTCGGCGCGATTTCTGTAACGGCTGCCTGAGCAAAGCTGCGCCGCGTCGATCTCGAAAGAGGAGCGTCACTTATTGGCCAGGTTCTGTTCCACACTTTGGTGTAGTGTGAAAAAGTATTCAGACGGAATAAAATATTCAGGTGTGAGCTAGGACGAAGATTTAGACAACCAAACCCTCTTGGCAAACCGCTCCAGCACGATGTTCGGTGGATGTTCGATGCGTGTGAACAACTTGCTCCACTCGCTGACCGTTGCTGTGTGAACATGGCCTGACTGAGTTGCCGGCCGGTGTGATAACAAAGAGAGGGTTACGTTTTATGACAAACGTGTTTGTAACACGTGATTAGGGTTCAGTATTTCTACAAAACAAATTAGGACTTGCACGTTCACGTTAGTTTTATCCATAAACTTTTTTTTGGACTATTTTTATCTGCTCATTTCTATTTTCTGAAATTTTCAACTTGAATCTGAGGTTTGCAGTTTACCGTACGCGTGACTCTAAATTCTTAATGACGGCTTGCGTTGGGCTTTTTCAATCGACTGCCTTTTAATGGTTACTTTCAAAAAGACACAAATCATCCGCTCCTTGGCGCCAACCAAACGCTCGACTCGTGGAAATTAATGAGGTAGGGTTAAGGGGTAAATGTCACAGAACAGAAGTGAAGCGCAGAACAAGATCTAAGTACTGGCACTAAAAAAAAAGTAATTTACCTCTTTGTCTTTGCTGGACTTTTTCACTTTGAGTTTTATTTTCTTTCCAGACACAGCACTTCTCCGAGCAGCTTCTTTCTCTTTTTGTTCTTTCATAAACTAAAAAACAAGACAACTCTCTTTACCGACCCTGTTGTTTAGGGAGGTGTCCGTTAAGCCAGGGTGGGTAGGTTGACAATCAACACTGTCTTAAAGGAGCTATGAAACGATTTTTTGGTTTCCCTATAAAACCGTTGCCCACCTACCCCTCCCCTAAGCCAACATTTCGCCCTAAATGAGTAGCGTTAATGTTAGCTTAGGGGAGGGGTAGGTGGGCAGTTTCCCAGAAACGGATAATACCATAGGTCGAACTTTTTAATGAGACAAACCAAACTTAGTGAGTTAAGTTCGTCTGAATGAGTTTGGATCGTCCAGCACGTTCTATCCGTCTGCTTCAGACGGGTAGAACGTCTGAAGATCGTCTCTGGAACAAACGTCGATTCACATGCGACGAACTAAACTGATAAATCAAAAATTTGGATGATAATGTATACTTAGCCTCGTTCGGGAGAATATTTATTACTGACCATAAAATTGCTTCTTGGTCTGATTCAGTTGATTGGTTCGACGCGTCCTAACTTCGACGTCTGACACAACAGACGATCTTAACTTAATTTAGGTCGACCCAAATTAGAGTTTAGTTCGTCTCACGAAAAGTTCGACGTTTGGCCTAGGCCTAAAAGACACTATATCAAACAAAATCCTAAATTTATTGTTTGGCCTTGGGGGTGCAGGGGAGACTCTTTGGACGTTAGTGTGACCATATTGGTGAGGTGGTATGCAGTTTGACTTGATCGAGGCTGGAACAACATACCTTTGACAGCTGAACAGGGCCTGATGATTCCTCCACGGTTTTTTTCTTTTTCCTCTTTTTACTTTTCTTTTTTCATGAAAAGAAGGAAAAGAAATAAAACTGTTGATAAACTGTTTTAATGAACGGTGTAACGCAAAAGAGAAAGAGGTAAAAAGAACAAAGGAGCAATTTAGGGATGAACGGCTTTGCATGACACCAACTCCCAATATTTACACCTCTACAACCTCTATGATTTTCTGAAGTTGGAGTTTTCACCTTTCACTTCCCAAATTTGGTCATATTCAGAAAAGAAAGGATTCCTAAAATTTTCGTAGAAAATGTAAAATTTTGAGCGTCTTGGAGTTGCGGTCAGGCAGTTCCAGGTCAAGTTCTACTCTGGGTCCTTGCTGGATTACTTCTTGGTTGGCCTCAGCTAGGCTGGTTGTCACTAGCAACTGAGTCGGAGTCGTAATCATAAGGGTGGAACTCCGATCAAGTGAAAACTGGGTTGTCAGAGTCGCAAGCAGAAGTGGAAGAATTAACCCAATCACGAACGTGGATTGTGATTGGTTTGTCCTTCCGCTTCTACTTCCGACTCCGACAATCTGGTTTTCAATAGACCATAAGTGAAGGAGTCATAAGTGGAGTCAGAAGAAAATGGAAACATCCTAATTCTTCTGACTCCGATTCCGTCGAGCTTATGAATCCGAGTTTTGATTTTCACTAGGTCATAAGCGCTCCTACGACTCTGACTCCGTCACTAGCGAAAACCAGCCTTAAGTATTCGAGAGAGCGCCTGTAAACCAGCTGGATAAGGTAAGTGGACTGTCCACTATAAACAAAACCTATAACTTTCAAACTACTGATATTGTATCAGGATAACCTTTAAAAGTCAAGAAATTGTGTTTTGAAATATTTACCAGCAATACTGTGACAATTCACCATACCTTTCCCTTTTTCCTTTTCTTTCCTTTCACTGTAATGAAAGAAAAAAAACAAAGAAAACAATAAACAGAGAGTGAATTTATTTCAGTAACGCAAAGCGATGGCAAGTTAAATGTTATTATCAACTCAATAATTTAAATCTTTTAATAATTCCTTTGTTTCTCTAAGAGATTTGTGGACAGGAATGTCTGAATCAGAATGCTGTTTTGACTAGATCTCCAAGTCTTGTGCGTCTCATTATGACTCCAACTCTGACTCTGTCGCTAATGAAAACCAGCATCAATAATGCTTTCCATTGTTCAGTCTGTCTTCATACTAAACCTAAATGGCAAACCTGTCCACTGTCAAGTTTCCTTCCAAGTTTATGCAGTACCTACAGGCCCCAGGTGGTGAGGGATACTCCTATAAGAAGAGGCTCGACAGGAAAGGGTGTCTTTTTCAGGTATATGAAATGGTAGGAAATTCAACAGTTGAAGTATTGGAAAAGGGTAAGGGAAATCTGTCATTTCCGTTTGTTAAAGTCCCAGAAGGGCTAACAGGCGCATTTTGTGGCTGTGAAAAAGTCAAGAAAATGTTATGGTTTTGTGATTTATTCATATTTAAAGACAGTTCATTTACAGCAGTTAAAAGAGATGCAAAGTTCTAAACTACAATCTTGGACAAAACTGTTGAGAAAATTGTATACTTGGACAGCATTTTTCTAAACATCTTAGCTGTACCGGTTCTTCCCTCTCCTCCTTCCCCTGAAAGCAATGTAGTTGTGTATTCAAAAGAAAGCCTGATCCCTGGGAGTTTGTGGTAAGCATCATTGAATTGGGGGAGGGGGTTTTCTTTCCGCAAAGGCGTCGTTTTGGAAATAGTTTTGTTGCGTAGGAAAGTAGACATGATGGTGAAAACGTTCTCAAGTAGTTTTGTCCGGGATTGTAGGTATGTTAAAGGGGTACCATTGATATGTTAGTAGAAGGTATACAAAAGGGGTACCTTTTCCGTCAAAAATGGTATACCGGTATATTACAAGGGTAAGGGGTTGGACCTCAAGATGGGGGCTCCATGTGTAAATATTTTTGAGTACCCCTTGGGGCATAGGCTCAACTTAACTAATTTGTTACTTATTCCCCACTCAAGTTTTTCATCGGATGAAAAAAAACTTACAAGCTATTTACCTGAGGAGTTTGAGCCTGATGAGCTTGATGACTCATAAGCTTCACTGGATGAGTCACTACTTGAATGCCTTCTTCTTTTTTTGTGCTTCACTGTAAAATGGTTCAAAAAATAATAACAATAATGAAACAAAATACTTCCAAAAGCTACATGTGCACATTGATCATCACTTTAGAAAGACTGCCTTTTCAAATTTCAACACTGAACAGCAAAACTTTAACTGTACACCAATTACCGGTAGTTGAGTGGCTGGATTTCTCAAAAGGATCTGGATCCGAAAGAAGATTGAAGAAACACAGCAGTGAAGTGATTCTCATGGCAAAGAAAAAAAGGACAGAACATTTTTAATAATACTTCTGTGCACAATATTTCAGTTGGAAAACAATTCTTCCCTGGCCAGGTTGATCTTCTTCTTAATGCTTCATATTTTCTTCTACCAATTTTTAGAGGTTGCTCAAAACATAATAAAACATTGAAACTTGCTTAAAGGTCCACAACAAGCCATGAACAAGATTTACTGGTACTGAACTATAAAACAAGTTTTTTGGTTTGAGTGTCAATGTATTTAACACAAAAGTGTTATTTGAGGACACTGTTTTTGTGTCTCCTTATTGCGACAGGACCGCCATTTTACGCAGTCATCCAAGCCATGCGAAAATCTAACTGTCTGCAGGACAAAGACAGTACCCTCATTTTTCATTTATTTTAAGACCTTGAGTATTGGTCCAGTACCAGAAATTGAACCCTTTACCTCTCACACTGCAGACAAGTGCTATACCACCTGAATTAATCCTGCCACTATTCCCGACTACTTCTTTATTATACGTTTAAAGAATAATGCTAACAAAAAAATTGTTGAAATTACCTCTTGAAGGTGATCTGCTTCTACTTGATGAACTTGATGATGAATTGCTTCTAGACTGGCTTCTGTGCTTTCGCTTCTTCTTCTTCTTTTCTGTCAAGTGAATGTTGGTAAAAGTGTCAATAATTTCTTTCCCACACTGTTGATAAGGGGCCACTCAACGGGTTCCAAGGTACTCACATGAAAAGGGATAACGACAAGACTATTATGTAAATATGCTAGGTAAGACACAATGTGACTTTCCCTTTGAAAAATCCTCCTTAACACACCCAATGCACCCAAAAAGAATGGCAAGGCTTCAGATCTCAGAGGGAGGCATCTTATGTATTTCATATGTATACCCATTTTATTTGAGTATGTACCCAGGGAAGGGGGGTACTCCCCATAATGGCCTATACTGGGAGGGTCTCTGCCAGGCTTCAGGTATATTAAAGGGTAGGGGTTAAAAGATGAGGCATTTACAGGAGTTTATAGGGGTACAGTGTTCTAAACTAGAATGTGAACGGGGTACCATTTGGCAATAAAAGGCATGTAAAAAGTGCCCCTTCTCTGTCAAAAATGGTATATAACAGGGTAAGGGGTTAGACCGTATGAAACTTTGCTGAGTGCTCACCTCGACTGCGTGAAGTCTCATCTCGACCTTTGTTGAATGAAGATTTGTCTTTTTCATCTACGAAATGAAAGTATAAATTAGCAGAGACTTAAAAGTAGGAGCAAAACAAGTACAAACAAATTTGCTATGTCTAAAAAGAAAGTCATCAAACCTTCAGCGTCTCTTTCCGCCATTTTAAACTGCGTCTGCGATTTGCAATCAGCGGTGACGTCTTAAGCTTTGTAGCCTGGTCATCCTTCATCCTGACCATTTTCATCTTAGGTTATGCAATTTTGGTATGATGTTTTTTAGTTTTTCGCACTTTCAAGCTGGATGAAATCAATCTATAGAAACAAAGCTTCGGTACAGTGGTGCACGAAAAAATATCTTTTATATACCTCTGCTGTTGGTCCTAAGAGGTGGCGAAGTGATGGCTGTGGTCATTCCTGTGTGAAGGTACGTACCTCAGATCGGCCTCAGATCAGCAACTCGTACGTACAATCGTGGACAAAAATTACAGACAGAAAATTTAGACCCCGCTCACCACCAAATCAAGGATGGGAAAATTTTTTTTGGCCTTTGTATGGCTTCATCCTTGATTGAGGAATGAGGTGATGGGAGTGGGGTTTTCTGTTCCATTTTTTTCTGTGCAAGATTGTAGCTGAATGTTTTTGTCATCTGGAATATTGATATTGTAACCTATGCTTTGTATTTTTGTCTCAAAGTTGCCTTGTGATCATTGATCTTGAAACACACACACAGTGGATAAGAAGAATTTCCAGGGGATTTCTCTATATAGTTATCGGAGGGCTGATGTTGAAAGTTAGTTAGGGGGTACAATTCGTGAAAGCAGTGGAAAATGGAGGATTTTTTTACAAGGGCAAAAAAGGGAATACAATTTTTCATCCTAATAGCGATCTTTATTTTAATCTATTTGATTTAAACTCTCAAACACTGCTTTAAGAGTATAAAAATGCCAACAATTTTCTTAAACTGTGAATTCAGCTATTGATATCACGATACCTTTGTGATCCTGTTAAATTCAGTATTACAGAATTAAGCCAATTTCAGCCAGGGAGAATTGTCATGTTTAGTTGAGTTAAGCTTCCTCCTAGTCTTCTTTCCAGCTGCTCAGGCCAGAAACAAACAACCCTCCCTGTCCCCATGTGGGGATGTGAAGCATTGCATAACTCTGGCCTGAGCAGGTGTGAAGGAGAAGAGTTTCCTTCATGTTTCGTCTTTAAATATTATTTTTAACTACCGGGCCCCAGTTGTTCAAAAGCTGGATAATGCTATCCACTGGATAAATCTCAAATCATTGGATAACGCAATTTTGATTTCTGTAATACTTATCCGCTGGATAGCACTATCCAACATTTGAACAACTCGGGCCAGGCATTTCACACAACACCATGGAAAAGCCTGGGACAGATTTTACAACAGGGGTCCTATTATGTAAACTGAAGAAGTGGTAACAGTGCATAAAGTAAAAAGGATGGGGTGGCCTGGGGGAGGGGGTGGTCCATTTTTTTGTAAAGGCTTATACTGGTATTTAAGGGGAGACGGTACTTGAAATCCTACAAATTTTTTGGAAGTCACATTTAGAAGAGGGTACAATTTTTGTCATGCTTTTTCAAAACCTAAACACCAACCCCCTATACAATTATATCTACATGTAGAATTAATAACCAGTGTGTTGGTTGATTTAACGTGATTGCTACATTTTTATTATCCCCAACTTATGAAAAGTAATTCTTTTATACTTAATATTGTCTTCTTGACTAATACAGGTTACAGAGAATGCTACATCAGCTGTCTCTCCATTCCACAGCAAGTTCAACTTAGTTGGGCCAAGAGACTATAAGTCAAACATCAGAAAAGTAATTTATGCAAAATCAAAGGATGAAAATGCAAGTGTAAGAAATCTTCACTTATTCTATTCAGCCTTTTTTGAGGTCTCTCCAAATGACCATTTTCCCATTGCAGTCCACTTACTCTTGTGATGACTGTCTAATTTTTCTGTGTACATGTAATATATCCCAGGGAAATGGGGTCTCCAATATAAACCTCTTCACTGCCAGACCTAAAGGCCTCTACCTAAGTCCATTGAACAGCGGCCATATTGGATTTTTTCTAAGATTTCTATAAACTTAAAAACAAAAGATTATCTGTATGCCTTTTTTGATATGGTTCAGTAAAGTTCATTTAAAACCTTTCTGTTCATTGTCTGATGTTGTGGCCTCGACCACGGCCTTGAACACAGGTAGTTCCACGGCCACGTCCATAATAATGGGTTTTCTTGATCGTCATTTTCAGTCAGCTGTTCATCAATTTCAGATTCTTCTGTTGGTTTTCATTGTCTGTTTCCTCTACGTAGCTTAAATCCTCATTTTCACCACTGTCGCTATTAAAATCTCACTCAGTATCGGCAAAAACTTCATTCAGAACTTTTTCACTTGTGTAAGCGAAACTTGTGGGCTGTGAACCCTTGGTAAAGTAGTCTGCAGTATTTCCATTGTTGGGTAGGTACTTCCTGGCAACCATCATCAAGTTTACCTCCCTTTTTTGAACAACAGAACAGTGATAGATATTTTTGGACCAATATATACGTCACAGGTCATTCATGCCCAGGTCATGTAATGCATGATGTATTTTTATCCTTGGTTTAAATTTTATTTCCCTTTGTTTTGGGGTATGGTAATTTATGATAATAAGTTGAAAACAAAGGGAAATAAAATTTAACCCATTCGCTCCTGGAGATTTTGCCGAAAAACGCGTTTTGAAGCTAGTCGAGTGGTTTTCTGGTCACTGTCGTGCTATAAAGAGCTAAAACTTACCACAAACCGGTTTACAGGTCGTACACTTGGCGGCCTTCTGATCCAGATGCAAAATATCAGCTTGCGAAGTTCGGGCATGCGCAGAAAGCAAAATTTCGACATAGTTTTTGGGTTTAAAAGTGACACAGCAGTCTTGACTTTTTACTTTTCGCTTTCTCCTCCCTTCTTTTTTTCGCTTTTCTTGCCTGATTTTTTTTTTTTTTCTCTTGCTGGGCATTTAGTAGGCTTCATTTTGGTGGGAAGAGTTTTTAGGAAAGCTTTTAGGATCTTAGGATTAGGTGAAAGGAAAGGTAGGTGGGTAATGGAACAAGATTTTCATGGAGATTTTCAGGTCCTTGTCACGTGGTTTTTTGCTTCTTTCTCCGGTGTCCTTGACTGAATTGTGCTCATTCTGGTATGGTTTGAAAGATCTCTTCACCCTGCACAAGTTAGCGAAGAAAGTTGTCCTTGACCGTTAAAACTGATGACGTCACAAAGGGTAGAAAGGACCTGGACCCGCACGGGCGGTTACGGGCGGTTCAGGGGCGAATGGGTTAAACCAAGGATAAAATTGGACCACAACATATATCTTACAGGTCAAGATTATATTCAGGTTAAAATTTTTCAATCTAGGTTGATTCTCAAGTACCTTTGTCTCCTAGCCCAGGAGAATCAACCTAGGTTGAAAAATTTTAACCTGAATATAATATTGACCTGTAGCATGTGTATACGTCCATGGCAGGGAAGGGGTTAAAAGGTTGGGGATGCTTGTCAGAGAACCTGAATCAAAAACCCCCAAAGGAGACCAATCTGGCCATGGATCAACCTTCATTTGACCAGTAAAGGAGACTGAGACCCTTCAATCTTCCAGTATAAGTCAACAAGGGGAAGGGACTGCTGTTAGCTGCCTCAGCTTTATTTCTTCCCTTTCTCTTCCCAGCTTAGGAATGGAAAGTACAGAGGCTTGTCTCTGCTCAAAGGGTGTCATAGCAAGGACATACAATTTGCTATAATTTTATTTTCAGGAGAAAAGGTTCAGGGAACAGCAACAGGACTTAAATGCGTGGCATCAAGTATTTTGGGAAAAACACAATGACAAATTTACTAAGGTAAGATGCAAAATAATATTGTTACCACCTCAGCTGAAAAAATTATTTTTTCTTGGCTTTAATTAAAGAAGCCACATCAAGACTTGTGCATGTGTGTGATTTGAGTCAACCTGCTGGTAAATCCCAAGCATCTTCTATATTGAATTTTAGCAATGTGACAGATTTTTGTCAGCAAATAGCCATTTGTCGTACTTATTCCTTCTAAGTAATTGATAACATTTTTTGCAGTCAAAAAAAGCATATCTCAAATTGCGATCAAGGGATACTGAAACAGAAACAAGTAAGTTAAGTGACTGTGAGTTTGTTGTTTTGATTTCTCTCAGATTGACCTTAAAATAATTAATTTGCTTAGAATGTTCTATTAATTTTGTATCAATAGTCTGAGTTGCGAACACCTTTGAAAAGTAAAATCCATCTAACCTGTTACTAATGTTTCCAGGTAAGGAACTTGCAGATGATTTGTCCAAATTTTACCGGGATTTCTTAGATGGAAACTACCAAGTACACACAAAATATCTCAGGTAAGTAGTGGCTTTGTAAATCATCAGTCATCAGGGAAAATATATACTGATTAGAAGACTTACCGGTAGTGCAAATGAACCGTCTGAACTACTACCGCTGTTTTGAAATTGCCTTAAGTGGTGCTCTACAGATGCTGTGCTCAGTTTGTTTCAAACAAAAACCGAAGTCAAACTTCAACAAATTACTGGTTTAAAAGTCCAAGACATATTCAAACTTTGTTTGACTTGATATTGGACATCATTGTTAAAATCATTTGACAGCTGTCAAAATAGGGAACCCAGTGACCAGTTTCACATGACTGTATCGCTGGCTCATTTTTATAACTTATCAAGGTGACATATTTAATTAAGTTCTGCGCTGACCCATTATGGCTGGTATTCAAGTGATTGCAGGGTCAGAAAACTTTACTTCACTTTTGGCCTTGGCTTTTAAATTACCCCAATATTTTGAAGGGTAGGTAGTTCTGAACCCTAAGTTTCAAGAATGAAATCTGTTCAAAGGTACTAAATATATTATCAATATACGTGTGTCCTTGTTTACAGAGCTTGGTACCACAGGAATTTTCAGTTGTTATGGGCAGGACTACAAGTGTCAACTTCGAGATTTATTAGCAAGATAATTCCATGGAAGTCAAGATAATCAACATACAAAGTTGTAAAAAAGGACATTCAGTCAGAAACACAGAACATCATGTTGGTATTATGGAAAAGACTATTTCACATAACAATGATAACAGCAACATAACATTTGAAGAAAGAGATTGTATAATAGCTGGTCAAATTTGGATACCAGTACATAGTACCAATGACATGAGCTCTCCTGATGTGATGTACATAATAATGCCTCATTTCTTCTGTAAATAATTGGTAATCATGACCTCAATCTGACCAGAGTGTACAGATATGATACTGGTACACCTTTTTTAAAAGGGTGGCAAATTTAGTTACTTTCTTGTCTACGTGAAAATTGACCCCCAATGCCTCATTTTAAGGTAAAAGTTCCTTTCGATTTTGTAGGTGCAATCAAGGTAATGAGGGCTAACACTAATATTAACATAGAATTAATATTCTAAAAGAAAAGTAATTTGCCACCATTTTGCAGGGGCACAAGGTGAACAACATTATTTTTTGATAATGCCAAATAGGCTGTATATTTGTGGATTGTCAAAGAGCAGGAAATCATGGTGAAAGATTTTTTGTTCCTCAGATTAATGGAGCTAATTTTGTTGGCTCAAAGTATGAGAGCATAATCATTGATATGGTGTCAGAAAGTGTGAGTATCCTTAAAGATTTCCTGTGAAGTAACCAAGATTCATGCCGTACGCACACTTAATAATGCACCAAATGTCTTTTCAATGACAAGAGGAAGACAATATTTTCCCCTTTGGCATGAGTTAGCCAAAATCAATGGGTTATGTTAGTGATTTTCCCCATTTAACAGAGTCAAGCTTGAAGTTGGCCTGACATTTTCAAGTTTTAGTCCACTTCAGTCTGAATTTCTGTGAATTTTCACCAAAAATGGACATAAAAAAACTGTTAATATATACCGTATTATGTTAACCTGTAACAAACAAATTGCATTATTTTCCATGGTCTGTACTTTTAATGACCACAGAATTGATGTAAAAATGTGGCTTGTGGTTCCACTTGAGTTTTGAACATTTTGGCATCATTTCTATGGTGTAAATTAAGTGTTATAAACTTCTTTTTTCTACTCCAGCTGAGGTGACCGTTTACTTGTGGTTGTCAACCTTTATTTCTGAATAAACTGATAGTTTGGCACTACAAAGAATTTGTCTTTACTTTTATATAGAAAAATAATGAAATTTAAACAACATTACCAGTAGGTGCAGATTCAATAGTAATTGTATTAAACATGGTATGAATGAGAAAAAAGAAAAGAAATAATGACTCTTTGCTTAATTACTTCAATAAAATTTCATATGTTGATATATTGCACATTACTTTGAACCAGTTTGGATATATTACTTTGCTGCATATGCATATAGCTGTTGCATTTACTTGCTGGAATTTATTACTGTAGTATGAGCTTAACCCTTGAAGTCCCAATATCAACATACAAATTCTCCAAACTGATCTCCATACATTTCCTTTAAGAATCAGTTGAGAGAATTTAATAACAGATCAAGGTATTTTCTCTTTGGTGATCATTTGTTAATTCTCATAACTGTATCTCTTGACAATTTATTACTGGATATTGTTAGGAGAAAATTGATGTTGGTCACTATCAGGACCTAAAGGGTTAAAAGCAATAAAAATAAAGGGCAAATGCGGCTTTACACATATGCTGCAAATGAATAAACCTTTAACTTCAAATGACTACATGAATATTTCATCAACTTTTGCAAATAATTTTGCAGTGAATGCAGCAATAATATATTAATTTCACTTGTGTATTTCTAATAATCAATAAATTAATATAATGCAGATTCTATTCTTGTCTCGACAAAATTTGTGTAACCCAGGGGCATAGCCAGCCCATAGACCTGTAGGCCTGGACCTACAAAGTTTTGGTTTGATCACTCTATCACTTGCAGTAAATACTAATCCATAATTTTCATTTTATGATTTCAAGTGAAAAATACCAAAACTCATGAAAAATTGGTACCCTATCTCAACATCACTGTATGCCAGAAACTCTAATCTGTATTAAATATTTTATAATTTGTAACAAATAATTTCTATATTACAATGTAAATAACACTCCATTCTAGACAAAAATTATCTGAACTAAACTATATGTAACGAGAATTCTACTGTCTCTTAGGCGTCTATGAGCATACTGAATGTGTGCAAATTAATGACATTACCTTAATAATAATGTTGCTTAGCTTTGCATGCATAATTAGGGAGATGACAGCAGCCACTAACCAACAAAAATTATTATTTGAAATGCAATATGTACATGAGTCATTGACCAACCGTGAGGTCAAGATGGCTAGATATTGGCCAAGTTCTTTTTCGCATTTTTATAGAATGGGACAAAGTCGAGGTCAATGAAAATGCAAAAAGAACAAGGCCAATATTCAGCCATCTTAAACCAAACAAGCTTGGTCAATAAAAGATTTATTATATGGTGGGACTGGCACGGGAAATCCCAAGGGTGCAAGATGGGCTCATCTTGCACGCTCGGGTAGCCAATAAGAAAGCAGGATTCGCTTCCTCTTGCCTGCTTGCAGACTCAGCCATATAATAGACAATCTTATAACACCAAAATGGCCATGCTTCTATCTTTTGGCTCACCGGCTGGAAATGAAATATTAAGATGGCAATCCTTTTTAAGTGCCAGCCCAGCTGCTCAACTACAGTGAAACCTTGATATAACTAAGGGCCAAGGGAATGGCAAAATGTGTGCACCGTAATGAGGTTTCAATATATCAAGGTTCTATTTCATAGATTTCACTATTACTGGCAGGGGTAAAAAAAAGAAAAAATTAATTGCAAAAAAAATTGTACATATATAATTTCTTTTTATAGAGGCTCATAAGTTTTAAATCAAGGTTTCACTGTACAGCCTTCACTGTTACAATAATTACAATTCTTTGGAAATGTCAATATTGCTTTCACTTTTTAGCAGGTAGATTGATATTAATTAATATGAATAATACTGGAAGTTTGCCAACAGCAATTGTCTTTTTGTAGGACTCCACACAAGGAGCGAGGGTTCAATCTTTGAAAAAGTTACCTTAAGAATTTTGCTCACAAAATAAAATGACTCTGGCTTGGTGGTGAAATTTGTAAATCTGAAGTTAACATGAACAGGGTCTTAATTATTATTCCGTTAAATAGGGTGAAGTTTTAATAGCCCTCATGGCACACACCTATCTTAAATTCGCAGTTAGCACCCTGCCCCCTTCACTCAGGGTTGTTACTGAGAAAAGGGGAGAGACAGAATAATATTGGATGATAAGGGCTGGCTATCGTCAGGATACCAGAGATTTTTCCTCATGTACAATATGTGCATTGAGATGTGGTGAGATGCTTTGGTATTGGTCCAGGAAGTTTCTAGTTCCTTATAGACGATATTAAGGGCTGGCTAAGGAGTGGAAGTAAAATGTTAAGTCCATTGCGTTTAGAGAGCATGTCCGTTACCAACAGTCTCGCTGTGAAGAACACATTGGGCCATATCATTAACAGCATTTTTGAATTCTTTGATTATAATCTCAGGATCTGTTATTACAGCAACATCACCTTGAACTCCTACAATGACTTGACCAGCATAAGTGTAAATAGACAGTCCCAATCCAATGTTGTCTCTCTGTGGAGGCCAGAATGCCATGTACTTGATAGGGCAGTTGTTGACTGTGAGCAAGTATTGAGGTCCTGGGACATTTGAAAGAACACAACTTGTTTTTTCGGCTATAAAGGTGTTGGTTTTACGTGTAAAAAATTCGGGACACAGTTCATTGGTTAGGTACATAAATGCTCCTGAGCCTAGCGGCTCACCAGAGACTTTAACAGCATCCATGCGGGCCTTGGTCTCGTACAGTAAGTTAAGAACACCATCAGTCGCCACTGCCAGTTTAAGGAAAATTAATGAGAATTTATTTTCAAAGGCCACTTTCTTCGCAGAAACTGACGATCGGACATCTACAGGAATTGACGCAGTGAGGTCATAAGGGTTAACCACACCTTTCTTCTGGAAGTACCTTCTCAGTGCTAAGGTTAGACAGGACATTAGAACATCATTGACTGTTGTTCCTGTAGCTGTCTTGATCTGTTTGATCAGCTTAAGCTCAAATGCCTCTTGCCAGGTGACCTTTTTAACCCCACTAATCTTTGGTCCATGTAAAATGGAACAGTCAGCAAATGAAAGAAACAGTCTCACAAAGTATCTGGGCGTGATCAATGCTGCTTTGGCCAGTAGGAATAACCTTCCATTAGAGGAAAATTTTTGGGGTTCTTTTTGTGGTGTTGCCTGGTCTGGAAGTTGGTTAATAAGAAACCGTGTCAGAGAAACCCCATCAGCAATAGAATGGCTCATTCTGAAAACCACTGCAAGGTTTTTATCACTATAATTTGTTGGGACACAGCAAAAATACCATGGAGATCTTCCCTCAGGGAAAGGTTCATTACTCAGCTTGGAAACTATGGCTGCAAGCTCGTCTTTTGAGGTCGGTACTTCACCCTCCCATTTGAAAACATGGTTTTCAATACGGAAGGATTTGTCTTCCTGAAAAAAGTACTGGAAAAATCCAGGGCGAATGTAGCATCGAGATCTAGGGTACGTAAGCTCTCCGTTTTCTTTCTTAGCGTCCACCATGCGTTCTAGAATGGCCCTACGAAAGCTTTTCATTCCTTCGTCGAAGCTGTGAGTGTTTTCCACGCAAATCAAAGCGTTTATTGCGAGGCGGTTTACATCTGAACTTTGTTGCCATAGAGCATCCGAAGCGTTCAAGGCAATTCCGCCATTTATGGTCTTTACTATAACTTGCTCAATCGTTTTTAAAATGAAAAATACAGCAATGACTGGGAATAAAGGAATGACAAGAGCGAAAAGAACTGCGTAACATATGAGGCACTGGAAGAAGAACCAAGCTCCCGATAACAACGAGGTAAAACGTCTCGCACGGGTCTTCCCTGCACAAGAATGCTCTGCACCCGAGATTTCGGCAGTTTTCCGTGGAACGCTGTTAGCAAAACGACGGCTGTTCATCTCCTTTCCTGAATAATTCGAGTTCACTTCTTCATTGCAAAGGCTGCCTTCAACAACTGTATCACCCTCCATGTTTCAATGAATTCACAAATGAATCTACAAAACATGCTGTGCGTTCCCCGACTTTTTAAGATCGAGTTCAAAGGTTTCTTCCAAACATCGCGAATAACGATTGGTCAGTCACAAAGTATGACCTAAACCGGAAGTCATGTCATACACGTGAGGTAGAATCATAACACACTCCAGTCAAAGCCCAAGCATTAATTGCACACTCTTTACGTCCCTCTGGAACATTTGTTACGTGCAAGAAACCACGTTCATAAATTTGTCGCTAAACTTGCAGACTGTTCTCAGTCCCCTCTAATTTTTTCGTCAGATGGTGGGGATCAAAGAACCTACCCTTACGGGCGGCCATCTTGGCTTCACAACCGCTGTCTCTTTTAAAGCTCGACGATCTTACGAAAAAGGGGACCGAGAACACTCTACTGAAGGTGCAGTAGAGTCCAGGGGAAGTGGACTTTTTCCCTTGTGACGCGACTGTCTTGTGACCTTGAATGACCTTCAATGTGAGACAATGAGTAGTCTAGTCTGGGCCCTGATTCAATTTCCTTGCTGTGACAGACATTGATTTTAAAATTATGTTATGGCATTTTACTAAGAATGGGCAGCAGAGCTTCAATGCTGTTCATAAAACGGTGCATTTGGTTAAATTCCAGAATAGGCAAGGGTTGCTCAATTTTTTTTCGAGTGCTGCTACTTAGTACCACAGGATATAGTACTGTATGGTACCTACCTGGCCGCACAACAACAGTACAGACTTAGGGCCAAGTCGCACTAGAGGACAAAACTGTTTCTTTATGTCAAAAATCTGTCATCACAATAAAAAACCAAGTGCGACCGGTTTGTTCACCAAAGGACAAAATTTGGTCGCAGACGGACAAACTTCAAAGATGCCGTCGACTACCTCTGGAGCAGGCCAAATTGAGACAAATTTTGGAAAACAATAGCCAGGGTGTTTTAATTCGGAAATGATTTGACAGGTGATATGTAGCAGTGTCTCTACATTTCGCAACAACATGAATCCCGGCGCGGGCGAACAATTTTTTCCGTACGAATATCCACAATATCCACCAGTATGGATCTATCCTTTGCCAGGCCCTTACATGTTTAATGATCAAGGAAATCCCAGCCCATCTCCTTCGACCACGACTACTGACTCGTTGCCAGAATCCCTCCAGTTCAGCGAAGATAGCTTAATGCCGGCATCAACCCCATCTTCTTAGTACCATGCATCTTCGTCAGCCGAGAACAAGACGACTCAGGACAGATGGAGAAAAGAAGAGGATAAGCTTTTAGTTCAACTGTGGGCTGAAATCACAAGGCGCTCACAGCATGGTGTTGTGTTTTGTTCACAGATTTTGTTCTTAAGTGCGACTGTAGCTTTCCTAACAAATTTTTTGTCACTGGCCGATTTCAAGTCGGATTTGTCCAGAACAAATCTGAAATTGCCCTCTAGTGCGACTTGGCCCTTATACAATTTCCGGTTTGTGTTGGTGTGCTTTTTGTTTTAGAAATTCTGGCACAGGCTAGCGAGAAGCACATACAAACCCAATTTTCTCTTTGGCAATTTCGGTTTTGGAGTATTACACAGCCAGAAATGTCATGTCATGTTTCAATGCATATAGTGCTATCTGCCTAAGACAGAACTAGGGATCCGATTTCAGTAGCCTTTCAGTAACCTTCTTTGATCAGGTCGCTTTATTTTTTCATTTTAACCGTTTATTTGATATTTGAGTTACGTGGACCAGGTTTTGCTCCCTGTAGCAGTTTTGCCTTTTATTAGAATAAAGCTCAAAAAACATTTTAAAAACACTCATTGCAAATTTTATAAACAATTTTCATGTCGGAAACGCATCTCCTCATACAAAGCCCTCCCCGGGGGGGTACTCGACCAATATTTGGGTATAGGTGAGCCCCGGGTGAGCCGCTGAGGGTTTGAAACCCTGACCCTGTTTAGAACAAAAAATTCCCAAAATACATACCCTATTTAGGACAACACCGTCAATTTTAGTACCCTGTTTAGGACAACTCCCTCAATTTTATTACTCGATCGTGCATGAAACACCCTCTTTATAATTATAACAGACAAATTTAGAACAGAGTAGCCTGCGAAAACATCCGTTTCTCCTCGCTCTTCGCCGGATGTTTTCGCAGACTAAGAACAGAGAGGACGAAAACCATACCCTGTCCAGCGGCACATCCCCGTAAAGGCCATATAAGGGAGTACCCCCCCGCCCCGCCCCCGGGACAAAGCCTTTGAGTAGAATGCAAAGTTTGTCTGAGCACAGGTAGCCCAAGCGCACTATTTGTGGCTTCGGGCTTCAGAGGTCATTTGGTGGGAATATACTAGAATTATTAGTGTATTATCTGATGCCAAATAAATGCAAAAAGTCTTAAAGATATGAAGTCTTCTTGTTTGTCTATATCAATATTTCGCGTGATCATGATTTTTTTTCCCTTAGCGTTGTAGATTCGAATACATGTGATAAAATTCGATCAATAAGGGCCCGAATCACATGTAATAATGCAAGAAATATCGATTTTCGTTATCTTAAAGGCTACTTATACCGATAGACAAACAAGAAGACTTCATATCTTTAAGACTTTTTGCATTTATTTGGCATCAGATAATACACTAATAATTCTAGTATATTCCCACCAAATGACCTCTGAAGCCCGAACCCACAAATAGTGCGCTTGGGCTGCCTGTGGTCTGAGTCACGCGGGGGGCTAAGGTGATTGTGATAGTGGAAAGTGCTATTTGGAACAATATGGCGACCAGCCAGCGTCGGCTAAGATTTGAGGATTAATTTGAGATTTACTCGGTCTAGAAAAGTTCAGTGCTACCCACCATTCCTGGAGCTGAGAGGAGATTTCTTCAATGAGCTTGCGGGGTATTTGGGTGTTTTCTAGTCTTGAGAAAGCTGCAGAATGCGTTATCTTTTCAAGGTAGCCAAAGTTGTGCTTTGATAAAAGTATAATAGTTTTAGTTTTATTAGTGGTCAAAATTTTTTAACGCAGCGACCAGCACTAAGAACAGCGCAGAAGAAGCATAGATTAAGAAAAAAAACTCCCCTTAAGCGTACTCTGTTAGCTTTATTTGTGACTGGTTTTCCTTCGTTTTCACCTGGTGTAGCAGGGCGTTACAAATCGATAGAAATCGATCATCGAAAACTAATCGATTACTCGATATTACTCGATAATACTCGATAATTGTTAATCGATTAGCTAAAATAATCGATAGAAATCGATAATCACAAGACTTAGACCGAGATTATCGATTTTATCGATTTATCCGGTCGATTGAGGACATTGAAAAAAAAATTATATCAAGTCAATTTAGAATCAAGGAACTTTTTTCTTTCTTACCGAAAACTGAACGTCAAAACCTCTTCCAGTCTTGGCGATAATCTGTGATAACCAGATAACTCATTCGCATTTGAAGCAATTTTTCTGAGTTTTTAGACTCGTAGCTCGGACGAAAACGACAGCACACTGTGTAAGCGGCGTAAGAACACCAGTGGAATTGTTTACGCTGGTAAACGTGGCGTACTGCTACAACAAAAACCATGTTGAATTGAGTCAATCTTGGAATGAATTTCATTTCTGCATAAGCTGAATGTTGCTTTCTGTGCGTTCTATGGCTGATATTTAACATAAATCGGCTTTGGTGAGTTAATCAGCGGATAAACATAGCTTGCTTATACTATTACGATGAGAGAAAAGAGAAACTTCTCCAGATCCTTTCTCACCTATTGTTTCTCTTGGAAATTGTTGGAGCATATTTGCAATGCATTCTTTTCGTACAAATTGTAACTTTTATTCTCGCGGTCTATTGCCTTTTGTTGTGTCATTCATGTGTAATGACCTTTTTTGCTCACTTGATTCATTTACGTCGCGTGTGGATGGAGGTGTTATCTTCTTGGCTGTTCGCTCAAGTTAATTTACAACAAATACTTGGTGAAACAGTTGTTACTTATTAGCGACCTTTAGATTTGACTACGAGTACGAAATTGAGTGCAGTACGACTTTGGAATTTCGATATAATTGTATCCCCGAACTATAACTCTTTCCTGTTGCTGACTAACACACAAATAAACGTTAGGGATAATATTGGTGTGATAAGTAGTTATATGATGCGGATTAATTTGGTTTGAAAACTCGTACGTACTCAATCTCGCACTCGTAGTCCAATCTAAAGGTCTCTATTTACTCGCTCACGCCGTAACAAAGTTGGTTTACCTAAAACTGAACGAGCATCGTTTTTGTTTTTTTTTCTCTCGTTATCGTTGAGCATGTTTCAATTTTTGAGTCTAGCGACAAGTGCATTATTATTACAGTTTTAAAAACCTTTGTAGTTTGTTTACAGTACATTAAGGCTGATTAAAGGTATTTTATATTATCGACTCAAGGTGTGGGATAAAGAAAGCGTATGTGTTAACTCCAGAGTACAGTACGTTGAAGCCACCGACAAACCGCATGCGGTTTAAGACCGCTAGGGTTAACTTTACGCCTCGTCCGTCCTTAACTGCCTATACCGGTCTTTTAACTGCTTTCAGTCTTTTATCGTCGTTTCCTTGACAGGAAATATCAAGAACGGGTACTATTTCCCGTTTTTTGGCCTTACGATATCCATTTGCCTTTTGTTCCTTGCTTTTAAGCTCTGTCTTCTTCTTTGTCTGAGTTCCATTGACGAAATCGATATTTTTGATAGAAATCGATAGAAATCGATTAAAATCGAACTATAATTACAGAAATCGATAAAATCGATCAAAATCGATAATCACAAAAACCTCCGCTATCGATTTCTATCGATTTTCGATATTAATCAAGTAATTAGTATCGAAAATTATCGATTACAATCGATTTTATCGAGTATCGAAATTATCGATTTGTAACGCCCCGGGTGTAGACAACATTATGATGAAAACAGGAAACAAACACATCAATTTCAAGACAGCTTAATCTTATTCATTGTCACATGAATGATTAAGCAACAGGCGTCACTTCATTAGTATTATGACTAGAGGCTTAGAGCCACTCCTATACATGCATGTGTATTCATGCTTTAGTTCATGGGTCCTTGAGGTTACTGTTGTAGTCTTTAGACTTTGTTCTGTACCCATAAGGGAGTGAATGGTAGCACACTTCAGGCTGTGACGTTGGATCATAATTATAATTTTGAGTTTTTTGACCATACTGTTATATCTTTCATTCAATTTATTGGCAAACACATCTTTTGTCGGCTAAACTTCAGAAAAACCTGCCCACTTATTTTGAAGAAGAAAATAGTCTCTTGTGTCACATAGGGGTGCCCTGTCTTTTTGCTGCAAAGTCATTCTGCTACATTGTGAAGTCAATTTGCTGCAAAATATTTTTTGATTCAATGTATCACAAAACTGATTCCTGTTTTCATAGATGAGTAGCTTCAAGACATATTTTCATTGAGCCCATTGCGTTCACTCTACATTCTTCCTTGTTCTGCGTACTCGTAAAGCTTCTTCACCTTGAAGCCAGGTTTCTATCATTGCACATCACTTAGGTTAGTTTTTGCGAGTAAGTTGAAACCAATCCAGCACAAGAATGATCAACAAGAAGGGAAGAAAGTAGCCCAAAAGTACTCTATTTATGTCTGTTTTTATTTCTCTATAGTATCATAGAATGTAGCTCTCACTCCCTATATTCTCACTTCTCTCACTTTTTAAGTTCAGTGATGTGCAGTAAGGGTTACACACCAATGGTTCTTTAAGAAATTACCAAGTTCATCTGTTAAAGTAAGGGCTGTATTATATAATTATGTCATATATCTATAACAACATTTCTAAAAGGCGCTGTTGCAAAATAGCTTCCATATTCAGTGAGTATGACTTTGTAGCAGAATAACCGGTAACTATTGTGTCATGCCTCCTACCTTTAAAGCATAAAAGTGGCTGGGTATTGAGGCCCTGCCAGGAAGGGGGGGTCCCATGTCGCCTGTCTGAATTTTAAAACATCTCGTGTCGGTGTTTATAAATACTTGTCGCTTATTGTGGGCTTTGCCGTCACTGACGCAATTTGGCCATGGGAGGGAGGTTGTCTCTTGTTGCGTTTTCATTTTACGCGCTGTCGCAACTTTTTGGGCCATGTGGCTTGTCGGAATTTACACTAGCAGGGCCTCGGTATTGAGGAGTTGCCTTCCTTTGTATTTATAGGCGCTTTCCAACAGTCGAGAGGCGAGCAGTGTTGCATCAGGAAGGAAATGTTTTGACACAAATTCCTAGTGATGAAGAGCTATGTGATTCAGTACTGAAAGAGCTAGGGTCAAGAAGGAACCTTGCTGCTGGTTTAGAAGAGGTTTGTGATGTTGCTGGTATCAGCTTTAAGGAAATGCAAAGGAAGCTTTTTTTACCAGTCAAGTCAGCTTTTTAACTCAACTGCACCTTCAAAACTCCCCATTTGTTTGTTTCCAGGGCAATTTGAGCTGGTGGTAGGGTCTTTTTCAGCCAGTAAAATTAGCCAGCAGCCAGCTCTTATACAGGGACATCCCTGCAGCCTTGATGTAGGCCCAGGAGCCCATCAAATGGAGCCTCCATCTCCCATACAAGCCCTTGGAGTCAACCCTTTTGCGAGTAGATTTATAATTAGAATGGTTCCCAGAGGAGACTTCGCACACAGACAGTGGGAAGAGCCAATCACAATGAGGAAATGACATTGCTATTGTACTTCATCAAACAGCAGGAAATTTATTGTTAACAGGCCAAACACAGTCATAAGCTAGTGAAACAAGACTTAAGCATTTTCATCCCTCAGAGATTTTCTTTCTTTTCTTTCAGCCGTTAGATTATACTGTGGAGAGTTTTAAACTCTGACTGTGTTAATCTTAATTATTTTTGGCTGCTTGTCTCACATTAAGAGGCCATGAAGCTGGTCTGTTCTATGCATAATGATTAACTACTTCCCGCAGTCTGTAGTTGTGACAGGATTCATTTTCTTTAGCCAATTGTTTTAAGCATTAAGGTTCTTATTTTGGCTAAATGACTCAATATTAATCAAATTTCTAGTTTTTCAAGTTTTGTTTTCTAAAATGCGCTTTTCTGAAAAAGTACTTGTAGTCCTTGAGGTTGTTTTGTCCGTCAGCTAGTGTGATGATTCCCTTTTATGTTTTGTAACACTGGGCCCAGCTATTTAACATTGTTTTCTTGCGAAAAGTGATCCACAGATGCGAATTTGAAGGAAAGCGTTGAGCTTAAACTTCTACATTAACTGCTGAGAATTGTCCCGTTAATCAGTCATAATTCTTTTGGCACAGACACGATCCACTTTGTTTTTCTTGAGATAAGTGGGTCTTTGACTGGAGCGTGATGTCACAAATTCCCCCATGAGCAAATTACTTTTGAGTTAGCTTCACAGTCGAGTGACTGTTCTCTTCTGTTCAACTTTTCAAGGGCCACTTTTATTGGGCAACACTCATGGTAATACAAGTCAGTTGTAACGGAAGACTGCAATTTCTCAAATTTCGGAACTAAAGCATTCCTCTTTAGTAGCTACCTAGGTCATCGATTTTGCGCGCGGTGCTTAACAGCACTGGCGGAATCCACTCCATGGTGATGGCAAAAATCAAATGATCCTGGCACTTTTTCTGCACTGATCTTCAAAAAGTTCCAAATCGTTCACAGAACGCTTAATCGTTGACTCTTTTCGAAGTGCCTGCTTACATTTGGGATGTATGATAGCCAAAAAAAAAGACTCGCAAAGATAACCTTTCCGTGATTCTCACTTTGCTGCATTTGTCCCATTGCTTCATGCTTAGTCTCAGCCGGGTAATTCATGAACTTTTATTTCATGATACCCAGATCCCAGTGGCTGTAAAATCGTAAAAATGGACACATAGTTAGTAATAAAGGAAAACAGACGAAGGACAGGCTTCTGAGTTCGACTTCATCCAACTTTATTATTTTCACAGTGACATACCGTCGAGACTCAGGGAAATATGACACTTTTCACGGGAAACAAGCCATTCTATTTATAAATCTACCTGGCAAAGGGTTGACTCAAGAAATTAATGGAGATGGAGACTCCATTTTGATGGGCTCCTGACCAGTCTAATGTCTAACATAGTATGGCTTTGTTCATCACATAATAACCTAGTGTGGCTTCGATACTGATGATTGCATGTATGGTAATAAATGTGTAGCGAAATAATCTGATTATCCGACACATTTTTTTAAAAAATTAAAGTAGTATCACCTGATATCTATCTTTCAACCAGTATTCCCAATTTTAATGTCATTCATGCAAATATGTAAATTAATTTGAAAATTCCTTCTATATCATGTACAAAATTGCACCCGTTTTTTTTTCGTGATAAAGCAGTGCACTGTTTTGTTTCTAGTTAATATCTAGTAATCTGTTTTCTTTTAAGAATAAAAGATAATGAGATACTCAATGTACGATATCATCCTATGTTGTGTATTTCTTATCGAAAATTGCAGGTATATTGAACCGTTTTTAAGTGTATTTTTTGACATAGCCATATTTTACTCCATGGCCGAGTTGATTGACTACCGGCTAGCTGTAATATTATCAGGCATGGAATGATCCACATCAGTTTCCACTATTTTACGGAAATCAGTCAGATTTTTCACAATAGATATACCGTTAAATTCCGAAAATAAGCCCCTCCATGTATAAGCCCCTCCAAATATAAGCCCCCCAAACTTGTAACGCCAAAAACCCTCCGTTAAATCGCCCCTCCAAATATAAGCCCCCCGGGGGCTTGTTCTTGGAAAACTGCCCTCAAATACAAAGTAAAACAAAGCAAAAATGGTAAATTTACTTCCAACTATAAGGCTAGCCCAATCGATTCTGAAACGCAAATTTCCTTCCGTAGATAAGCCCCTCCGAATATAAGCCCCTCACAAAGGCCCTTTGAAAAATATAAGCCCCGGGGCTTATTTTCGGAATTTTACGGTATTTTTGATAAAAAAAAAACTTTCCAAGTTGCAAGGCTTCATCTGGGGAGAATGGGACTGGCCAACATCCTGTCTGAGTGACTCAGAAACCCAGGAAAGGGGACTTTAGGGAGTTAAAATCTAAAAAATGTCCTGGGGAAGCATGCCACTGGACCCCCCTAGAAGCTTGTGCCTTCAATGCTTGTTTAGGAAATCAGTCGGTATTTATGCTAGATCCATGCCTGTTGATTGAAACTGAAATCAGAGTAATGGAGTTGAGTAACTAACCTAGGAAAAGCACAATCATCTGTCAAACAATTCAGCAGTCAACTTGGCCATTGTGTATCTTAGGACTGGATGGACTAATAGGTTATACCCAATGTTGTACTTTATTTTTAATTACTGCCCTTGAATTTAGTTTGACAGAGATGTTGATTCCTGTAGCAAGCTGGAACACAAGCCTGTCTATGAAGTGAGGCTTAAAACAGGTTCCTTGTGGCCTGTTGTTGTCATAGAAAAGGTAACAGTCTGCTACTCTGGGAACATGTTTCTCCCTGTCATCCAACACTAGGGCTCCTAATAAGTTTGTAAAAGTTTTGTTTCCTCTCATTGCAGTTTTTAAGACTGGAAAAACAAATTTAATAAAAATTTCTAATGAGTCAGTGGAGGATCTGGGGGAGGGGTCCGGGGAACCTGGCTCCCCACCATTCCTTGAGGCCAAACTGAGGTCTGCAGGTCCAAGAAAAATTATTTTTGAGACGGGGTTTCCCCTCTTACATCTTAGGAACTGGATGAGCGGGCCTGGCCCCAGACTTACTAAGATCTGATTCTGTCAAAGTGTTGAGTTATCAATGGCATCTTGATATTTAAACCTGAGAAAACAAGATCTGCTTGTTTTTTAATACACCCATCCATGTTGGAAGAAGTTCTGTCCAAATCTAACTTTTGATTGCCGCACACTGATTGCATTTATAGAGTTCAGTTGTGGGCAGAGGACCTACTTGTTTTCAATAGCACAGTACATCAATTTGCTGAATAAATCAATTGGTGGTATTAATTTGTCTAATTTCATTGTTTGTTTTTCAGTTTGGCTTGGTATTTATCTGCATTCCACTGGTAGAAGCTGATCTATCACATGCAAATCCACCACTAGTAAAACTGTAAGTTATTTTCAAATAACAAGTAGAACAAATTCATTTTTTCCAGATCATGGTCACTGTAAATATTCTTCTTTGCTCATTACAGACTGTAATTATTGGAACATTTATTTTAGATGTTAGACTTGGTAAAATTGCAAGTGACTGCAGATTTAAATTGAAAAAAAAAAAGCAGAAGTGGCCGTTTTGCTCTGGTAAGGATACGTTTGCCAACTGTGAGTTATTCAAGTGTCAATCTTAAAAGAGTCAAGAAAGAATGAAATCTCTCCTTTAGTTCCATGATCATGAGTTTCGGCTTATGATTGTCATAATGAGTTCGCGGAAGGAGAAAAAGAGATTGGAAAAAAATGTCTGAATATAGCATCTCGGTCAGGAAAGTTTGTTTTATGTGAAAACGTAATAATTTTTTTGCATTTGTTATGTGATTTTATAAAGGCCTGGTGTTTCCTTGGGATACTCTCTACTTCATTCAATAATGGACTTCATTGGCAACTGGTCTTCTAAAGAACAGGTTGGTAGGCTAACAGTACCGGTACTTCTTTAACCAACTCTGTCCCTCTTCCTCCATATAACTAACGCAATTTGCAGTATGATATCAAATGAATGCCGTCAATAGTAGGCAGAAAATTACTTAAGTGACGTTTAGTCATATTTTTTCTTGCTGGAAAACAACTGTCAGTGAAGATAATGCTTATTTTATTTCTAATAATGACTTATTTCAGTTGCAGTCTAAAGTGTGTGAGTTATACAAAGTTCTGTGTGCAGTTGCACCGTTTGGGACACCAGTTGATACAAACTTTAGCTCTATTCAAGCTCTCATTAACAACAAAGATGTCATCATACCTCAAAAAGGCAAGGTATGTAGCCAGTGTGACTAGATGATTTCAGTACTGTGTGCGAATATTAAGTTTTTGGGTGTCTAGAAAACGACGACCTAGAAAACGAAGACCTACGACCCATAAAACACTGACCTAGAAAGCAACAGCCTAGGAAACAAAAATCTAGAATGCTCAGCTTTCCTTATATACGCATTTACTCACAACCATTGACTAAATTCTGAATGGTACATTTCAGGGCCATTGACAAAATCTGGATCAGACAGGATTGTTCAAGCCCTTTTGTCATTAAGTATAAAAATACATGGGTTTGATCCTATCGGACCAGACCTGGGTTTTGTTCAGTGATGGCTTCATCTCAGTGATGAATCAAATGATGACTATTTGCCCAGCGATTTATGTCGATAAGCCTCAGAAACCTGTGTTGAAAACATTTCACTACTGTGATAAAATACAATTCACAGCCAATTAACCAAGCATAGGATTCTAACCAAGGAACTGTGATAAATAAGGAGAGCAGAAGCTTGTTGCTCGCCCCTCCAGCTCAGTAAGACGCTGCCACAGGTAGGATCAAATTCAAGTCTACATTCCTGCATTCAAAAGTGAATTTTTCACAATAACTTCTCTGTATTCGCCAGATTGACAAATATTTGAATGGAGTACGTGGCTATGACTCTAAAACCATTTTCAAGATGGAAAACAAAGGTTGTAAGGAGGTCCTTAGCCACGAGACAAGTCATGTGAAGGCCTAATAATAACAAGCTTTTCTGTATGACCAATTTTGCGAGACAAATTTTTTACAGTAAACATTTTATGACCAATGTTTAAAAATTCTTATTGGCTGTTTTACTACTAACAGTTAAGCCTACTGAAGCGGATTCTTTTTTAAAAAATTGAACTATAATAAAATTTGACTTCACAGTTCAACTTCCTTTACTGGGTCATCATTTTCTAGGTCATCGCTTTCTAGGTCGTTCTTTTGTGTTCTACTATTTCTACCTCTATAACCAAGTGAAAAATCAATTTTACTTACCTTTGTAGCAACCTGCTTGGAAACCAGTCCAGCACAAAGGAAAGCAACACCTTATGTTTAATGTCAAAGAAGAGATCCGAGCTGCACAGGTATATACATTTTAGTATTTAATACCCACTCTTTGTGAACCTTCTGGTAGCCTGCGGTGCAGGAGCTTGGAAGTAGTGGGCGAAAGAGAGAACGGACGCGCGCGAGCGAGACACGCAAGGGGCGTGTCTCCTTCTCACGCGCACGTTTTTTCTTGTGCCCACTACTTCCACGCGCCTGCTACGCAGGCTAACCTTCTGGCCATGTATTGCTGTTGGGGCCTGACTATTTGAGAATAAGGCCCCCTTGTACTCCTTTTTTTTCACCACTGTTGTCTCTAATAGTCCAGTTTCGAATTAAAAATTACCGCTGAACACAAACATTAACGACAGATTTATACAGGGCTAGCCTCGACATAAAGTAAAATATTTTTGAAATTCCGGCAAGTAAGTGTTTGAAATTTGAATAGACACAAAAGACAGAGTGATAAACAGGTCTTTTTCTCGCTGGAATTTGTGAATATATTTCTTCAGATGGACGCTAACCCTGTAAAAAATGTGTCTTCACTTCTTTTATAGACTGCGAGCAGTCTCTCTTTTTATTCAGATTTAGTGAGAGCAATGCACGCGCGCGGGAGCTGCGAAGCCGCGAGACGCGCGAAACGAGGGCGGCCTCAGTCACGCGTGTGGCCATTTGCTTGTCTCGCGTTTTGCTCGACGGACTACAGAAAACAGAGAGACTGCTCGTAGTCTACTTCTTTTATTCAGCCGTCATAGTGAACTCGAAACTGGACTATTGAGTCACCTAATCATCATGACTAGGTTTATGTGGTGTCCTCAAGAGGGGCATGTCTGCATTGGAGTTCATGTAGTTTTGAATATTTATTTAATCTTATACCTTCTAGGTCATTATTGCAACAATTGTTTCATCTTGACATTTTCATTGTCTTTTTCAGCATGTTAAGAAAGAGTGTCAAGATGAACGACAACTCTTCGGGATCATTAACTGTAGGGTAGGTTTTTGTTTTCTTAGTTCAGGATGCAAGTTCAAGATAAGATCTGTTATAATAAATATTCAGACCATGAGTGAAATGCTACCTGTTTTACGTATTCCTACTACAGTGCACAATGGAGTTCGCCTTGAATGTTATTTCCATGTTGCTTACCTGGAGACTAGCAGATATTTTTTTTTGTGTTCCTTCGCATCACCAAGTACAACCATAACGCCACCTTTGCCTCGAAGTTAAATCCTCCTCCATTCACCATTTTCTTTCAAGCAGTATACCATACCATACTGAACTGCTCCAGACTACCATCTCCTCCTCAAGTTTGTAGATCTCCGCCCTTGTCATCAACATCGCCTTCTCCTGTCTCAGTCCCTGTGTCGTCGTCATTGCCATCTTCAAGACGTTCGCCATTTTCAACTTCCTCACCGTCTTCGACCTTGCCGCCTACCTTATCAGCATTTTCTCCGTCCTTCAAGTCGCCGCTATCTTCAACGCAAGACCTCATCCTTGCAGTTTCATTACCTTTATTATGTTTAGCTGTTTTGCTGCCTTTAATTTTACTTCACGTCCGCCGTCCATTATTTCCACGCAGTCAACCACCAACATCAAACGACAACATCAAACATTTTTACTCCCCACACAGCACCGCCATCAGCTATTCCATCATCATCATCAACGCCACCGTCTTCGCCTCAACCATCAGCAACACCAATGCCTACTGGCAAATTCTATGATAACAATGTGCAAAGATGTGTGATGTATTATTAGTAGCAAAATTTACTGGAATTGCATGCCGTGTTTATTTCAAAAGTTATATGTATGTTAAGTCTATTAAGGTTCACACACAGTTTATAAACTATTTATTGATTGTCTTGAAATTCAGACCACGGTATGTACACAGCATACAAAATCGCGACAAATGTGAAAACATACACAGTTCTTTATTAGGAGAAACTTATAACATGTTATTTTTTTGAATAACAATTCGAAAGAATCAGTCTTTGAATAATGTACATTAGCAACAGTCAGTTCCCATTAATACCGGTCAGTTTGGTCTAGCTTGTTATACCTATCATTTCCATTTTTCCTAGCAAAAAAAGGAAATAACGTTTGTGGTCGCTACTTTCGGAGGGACGTTATTTTCGGGGGATCGCTACTTTCAGGATATATTATAGAGAGAGAAAACTGATTCTAATAAAACCCATAAAAAGGCTATAAATCGGCTCAGAAACCACACAGTAAAGAAGAACAACCTAAGCGAGGTTAGCCGATTTTTATTTGATTCCTTTCATATTCGTAGGCTACAGAAACAATCGCTTTCTCCCATACAAATCCTTATATTTCGAACATTTTGAAACACTGTCATTTTTCGAGCGTGGGCCACCTGTGTTTGCATGAATTTTTTTTTCACTGCTGTTGCCTGTGCAGGATTTTTTTTTTTGGCGGGGGGCGGGGAGGATTTTCCACTGCCCCAACCTTAATCTTGACACTCCCCACAATCTGAATGCCTGAAACAGGAACTGTCACAAGGTACTTTTGTTTTTCAGAATTTTACAAAATGAAAGTTAATTTTTTTTTGCAGTTTTGACTTTGGCTATCTGTTAATTTTAACAGCGTTGTCTAGTCTAGACTTTCGAAAAAGGCCTTCGTCTTCGCTCGGTCGGCCTCTCCGCGGTCTAACAAGTTCGCTTCGTGCGCTTAGCTTTTCTGCTGAGAATCTCGTGAGGTCGACTTGAGGGCAAGTCTACGTCCAGTCCAGAGTAATGTGCAACTTGCATTTCCGGTGATTTCAAGGCGGATATTTTTTTGCTAAAATTAAAAGTTTTCTTTTCTTTCTGATGGGTGGAATGCCCCAAAGATCATATCATAGTGGTCACGGGTGTGACCACGATGACTGTTTTTAAAAAACAAACAAACACTGTCCAGATGTCTAGTGCAAAACAAACAACGAGAAGTCAGTGTGCGCGCGCCTACTGACCTTGCGCGATATTGTTTTGAGCGACTTATTTAAACTTGTAAACTCTGTTATATGCGGATAATAGCATAGCGTCGGTGCTGCGATTCGGCTTTTGAAAAAATGTAACTGAACTTAAAGTGTAAGAAAAGGAATCATAAATAGAGTAGACTGCAAAACAGTCAGTTTTCAAATTATTTTGCGATCCTTTGCGCGAAGCTCGCGTGCCTCTTACGTAGCGCGCGTAATGTAAAGATAGCGATCAGCACACGATTGATCGAAAAACTAACTTTGTCATTATTACTAACCTTTAGAACACAATCTAGGTAGCTTTTTCTTTACGTTGTCGAGTCTTCTCCTTTCACCTAATTCCCTTGTCCCGCGTAAATAGGGCGAATCTTTCGATTTCGGCTCCTAAACTTCGAAGGTATATTTAACGGTTAATTTTAGCAGTGTTGATAGTGCAAGTTTTATTTAATGGTCGTTTAGATAACAAAAAGAAAAGAAGAAGAAGAAGAAAAGAAAACGTTCGTCGGTCGGCGAGTCGAACCCGCACTACTGTAACTCGCCGGTTCCCGTAGCCCGCGCGTCAACCACTTGCGCCATCGAAGACTCAACGTCTATCAGTGTTATTTTTTTAAAAAAGTAGCTTGTTTCAGACGAACGAGTAGCCTCCCACGCAGGGGTTTTTAGGGGAGCTCGTCTTTGGGGAGGGATGAAAAACGAGCTCCCCTAAAAACGCCTGCGTGGGAGGCTAACGAACGAGTGGCGGCTGTGCGACGCTTCGCTGATTTCATTTTTCAAGATAACAAAAGGTTTCTTTTGTTTCTCGTTCGACTAAAGACCTCAAACAGCGCCGCTGAGTTGTCTGCGTACGTTTTTGCTGGAAAACGAAGCGCAAACCAGCGAAAAAAAGTACAGTGCTAAGGTGTTATATTAAATTGGAGACCACTTGCAAAAATTCAGCTCATTTGGACGAGAAAAAAAAAGACATAGAATGGTTACGCCCCGATTTGCTGGTGAAAGTGAGAGACAGTTTCGTTGGTGGCTGACTTTTAGGAATTTGTTGGTCAATGCTTGATTTTACTTCTAGTCAAGTGTCACATGCACACGTCATTGCAAGCTTGGATCTAGGGTGAATACAGACAGATTTCCTAAACTAGCACCGAGGGCGCAAGCTTCAAGGGGAGTCCGGGCATGCTCCCGCAGGACGTTTTTGGATTTTCACTCCCTGAAGTCCCCTTCCCTGGGTTTCTGAGTCATTCAGACAGGATATTGGCCAGTTCCATTCTCCTCGGATGAAGCTTTGCAAATCGGCGGATGATTTCATCAAGGTGAATTTCCATGTTTGTAGGGGATATGGCGCAAGATTACAACTTGGAAATTTTTTTTATTAAAAATTTATTTAGAGTGAGAAATCTGACCAATTTCCGTAAAACAGTGCAAACCGGTGTGAATCCACGCCTGCAGTGAGTCATCTAGGATATAGAAATAATTAAGCCTAAATCCAACAATCAATTTTTCACCAGGCAGATTTGGAAGGTATCCCAGAAATCACAGCAAACATCACCTCTTTGTCCCTGGATTTCCTTGTGGTCCACCCCTCTGTTCTAGAGGGAGACACTCATGTCCAGGCTCCCTCTTTTCAGCCATCACAGTTGCTCAAGGGGCCTGAACTAATGGGAAGAAAACTAAGATTCAGGCCTCCTACTGAATCCTTCCCTCTGTGTCACTATTCTGCAAAGACACCCCATGGTTTGCCTGTCCAAGGGATATATCAGATGCAGGTAAGAGAATCGTATTGAGTGCAATGGCTGTTGATTGGCTCGCCTCTCCAGTAGTACAGTCTGACTTCCTTGATATGAACATTTAGGGGACAAGACCAAGAGGTTTGATTATCAGATGCAACTGAGGGAGACTCAATCATCTTATCTGGACTTGTCCTCTTAGAGGTTGCATGTGAGACAAGGTCATTGTTGTGTCACGTTGCACGGTGGGACTGTGTTTGGGGGACAAAATTTGACCCATTTTCCAGCACAGTGTTGTAATAGGCAATAAAAGAATAGCCTGAGTGTCAGGCGTTTCTGGGGAAACAATGAGCAACGAGAATTGCGAAATGCCCCCTCAAATACGGCAGTATCAAATCTCCTGTCTTCTCACCTCTAAGAAAGGCTTGACACACAGCTGGCTTATGAAAGAAGTGATAGCATACCCATAACAGTCCCATAGGACAAATGAACCCAACACGAAAACCTCAATTCCAATTTCCCGAAAGTCTCACTTTCAAAACGAGGCTAAGTAGAAAACATTTCTTGTGAAAATGAGCGCTTTGATTTAGCCTCGCTTTGAAACAGAGGCTTTGGGCAACTGGGAAAATGGCCTATTCACCATTTTCACATAGACCATAATGCAGCTTGTTTACCCCATAATTTTACATAACCACTGTTTCCAGTTTCTCCTGGGTATTACAGTCGTCCCAAGAGAAATCGAAGACAATGGTTACGCAAAATTCTGGGTGGTAAACAAGCTTCATTATGGTCTATGTGAAAATGGTGAATTGCAGAAAACAACCAAGGCATTTCAGTCAAAATGCTTTTTTTGACTGTGGGTTCGGAGCTAGGGCGTCACCCAGGTTAGTAGCTTGGAAACCGCGGTCCGTAACATTAAGGGTAGTCCAGCGTAACCACTTATAATATCCAATAGTAGAATTCAAACTTTAACTGTTAAAACAGATCTTTTGTTTCTATCCAGGGTGATGGAAATTCAGTACAGGTGTCTGTCCAGTTAAAACTCAGCACAAAACTGAAAAATTCCTTTGAGTATTTTGAGGTGCATCTTCCGTTCTTTCACAGGTTTGTTATTTTAGATCTAAATCTCCATCTAGATTACAAGTGCAAGATAGTTTCTGCCATAGTACAGCGAAACAAGTACGTTAGCACATCTCTCCCGCGATAAGATCGAATACAATACGCGGTTTCGCGGGAAAAGATATCACGCAAGCACGAGAACAAAACAGGGAGATTTTGAATCGCTTTTATGGCAAACGGCAAACTTGTACCATGCGACCATGTTTTCCTTTACTTGTTGTTTACTGTTCAATATGTCTTCACAATGATAATTTTCGTGTCAGGTTTATCCAGAATTCTCTTGCAAAGTTTTTGTCCGTTCGTTTTGAGGAATTATAGCCTGAATGTAATTATTAAGCCCCGTGGTTTTTCTTTCCAGGCTGTCCTGCCACTAGAAAATTTGAGACTTATCTTGGCGGTAATCTGATAAATAAATCCATTGTCAACCAGAATCTTACGCTTGCGTGATTTAAATCTCTCTAATATCTCCCGCATCTCTTCCGCGCAAATAGCAAAGAGCGAGGCACGCGAGTACCAATGTCTTTCGATGGAAGACGCGATGGTTGACGCATGCCTCTTTCACGCGCTAAGATATCAGACTTCGTTTTTTCTAAGCTAAATGGTTCAGGACTAAGGAGTTTATTGCTATCAGATTACCGACTTCTTTGGCTTAAAGACTGGTTTTTATTATTATTATTTTTACTATTATTCCCTAGAGGCCCCGTTGTACGAGTAGATTCCGCGGGTCCCTCAACTGGTAGCATGCTACTTTCTCCTGACAAAAGGCGCCTTGTATGGGACGTAGGCAAGTGATGCAGACTACGACACTATTTTATCGTAGGCGTAAACTGATTAAAATACCACAATTTGCAGGTTGAAAAACTTAGCTGAGCGTCAACTGCAATACGCATCAACTCATAATTATGTACTGATATACATCGGCAGTGTATCAAAAGATTGAATGTTTACCTAATTTGACGTAAAAAGTGGCAGTTTTAGTCGCAAAACTGCAATAGAAAGGAGTAGTTTTAATAGCGGGCAAAAATAGTAATGGCAGCTTAGAACACAAGGCTCGTTTATGTAAGGAAAGGAATACTAACATCGCCCCTTGTCAGTTTCTAACGATGTTTGCTTTGCTTGTCGGCGTTTGATGTTTTTCTTCTGTACTCTTCTGTGCCGCTCACTAAGCTGAAGCGAGGTATTTCAGCGTAGCTATAGATCTGACGCACCTGGCCGTAAAATCAGAACAGTTCTTTCTTATTGCCTCTAGGTCAGAAGTTTCCCTCCAAGACGCTCGAAGCCTCACTAAATGCTACTGTTCACTTTGGCGAGAAAAGACAACAGGCGGCCGAGAATCAGCCGATTGCAACGGGATTTATTGAGGATCCTTTCTGTACCGGGATCAACAGTTATGCGCAGGTCTGTGAACATGGTAAAGTACTCTAACTCTTGAGCATCGTTCACACAGCACCGGACTAATTTTCGACCAGTTGAAAATTCGTGCGTTTAGGTGTTCCGTTCACACGGAATCACCTTTTTCGTACGAAAATTAAGACGCCTAGCCGTTCAAAGTTCCGTGTGAACAGAGCCAAAAAAATTAAAAGGTCCCGTGTAAACAGTGTCCGCGGTAAAAGTTTCGTTAGCGGGTCGAAAATTCGTCCGGTGCTGTGTTAACGTAGCCTTGCACCCAGTTCAAACGTCCCATTTCATATGTGTCGAATTTAATGCTAATGAGACAAATCTATTTTTATCGCTCATTTGCATTAGATTGGTACACCTGAAATGCGACGTTTGAACCCTAAAGGGCCTGTTTACATGGAGGTGGGGGACTCCAGGTAGGTGAGGTAACCCCCTTAGGTGGGGTAACTCGCCTGTCCATATAATCTGTCATTTTAATTTGGTCACGTCTACATGATAGGTGGGGTAACCCGCGACATGTTACCTCACCTATCTGGGGTCCCCCACCTCCATGTAAACAGGCCCTAAGGCCTAGGCCAAACGTCGAACTTTTCATGAGGCGAACCAAAGTCTAATTTCGTTCGATTTAAATTAAGTTAAGATCGTTTGTTGTGTTAGACGTCGAACTTAGGATGCGCCGAACCAATCAAATGAATCAGATCAGTGATAAGTTCGTAGAAATTTTTAATTTATTAGTTTAGTTCGGAGTCCAATGTGAAGATCAACGTTTGTCCCGGAGACGATCTTAAGACTTTCTATCCGTCTGAAGTAGACGGATAGAACCTGTTGGACGATCCAAACTCATATAACTGAACCAGACTTCGAACTTTTCATGAACTTAACTCACTAAAGGTGCGTAAAAACTGGCAACAAAAAACGTGCAACTTGTCGTCCAACGTTGCTGCAGAACAAGTTGAATAGCGATGTTTCACGTTTTACTAGTCACGTTCAAACTTGTTAACAACCTGATTTGTTGCAAGACAGGTTTGATGTGGGTGATAAAAAGCGCAACATCGCTATTCAACTTGTTCTGTAGCAATGTTGCAAGACAAGTTGAACGTTTTTTTGTTGCCCGTTTTTACGCACCCTAAGTTTGGTTCGTCTCAAGAAAAGTTTGATAATTGGCCTAGGCCTAAGAGTTATATTGCTTTAATGCTGTGCGAGGTGATTCTAACTTTTGAGTCTGTGTGTGAAATCCTCCGGGTGGGGGGAAGTTAAGAAGAAGACAAGGCAAAATCGCCGTCTGGTGTTTACTCCCTCCACAGAACGTCACTCAAGGGAATTTCACGTCGTAGTCGTGCTGGTCCCGGTTGTCCAAACGTTAGATGGCGCTATCCACCGGATAAATTACTATCCAGCGGGTAAGTATTTGGGAAATCAATTACGCCATCCGCTGGATCAGATTTATCCGGTGGATAGCGCCATCCAACGTTTGAACAACCGGGGTAGGAAGTGTACAAAAAGTGTGTTGCACGTGCAAAGCTGTTGTTCTGTTTATTAAACCTAATAATAATTATTCTTTATTTCGCGTTGGGGTTGCTTTAGCTCTCTTTTTTAAATCACTATTCTCTTTCTTTTTTGTTTCGATTCTGGCAGGTATTTTTTAAGATACAAGACTTCACAATGTCAGGATGTGCTATAGATCCAAGATCTTTGGTTGTTTATCCTAGCGGGAAGTACAAGTTAACTATAAGTATGTTTTCTTCCATTGTTCAAAATAAAAAGTATACCCGTCCCGCATTCCTGTGAACAAAAGCAGCAGCTCGATGCTCGAGTTTTAAAATCCAGTCGACTCGCGGTAACTCGAACACTCCATAACTCGAACCTCCCGCTAGCTCGAAGCAATTTTCATTTCCCCTCAGATCGTTTTCTATATAATTTTACCCTCGATAACTCGAACCCCTGATAACTCGAACATTTTTCTATTTCCCTCGAAGGTTTGAATTATCGGGAGTCGACTGTAGGCCATTTCCAAGTTCTAAAAACCCCTCTAAATGCAAACTATTCATGTGAAAAAGAGTTTTATGCGAATGAGATTTTTTAATTACATGTATTTTCTTTCCTAAGGCTATTTTTTTTCAATTTTTCCCGCAGCGTACGAGTTTTCAACTGCGGACTACAAAATCTGGAACACCAATGGCGATGCCCTGTTCGCCTTTCCTCCTCCAGCGATAAACTCCTAACGATCACCAACTATAATTTCAAAGTTTTGTTAATAATTTATTTCATAACTAGATAAAAAATTATTACTGGTGTACAAGTGTTAATCAAGTACAGTGGAAGCTCTCGTAACGGACACTCACCGCTCGTAAAAAGACAGGTCTACTTACGGCCACGTTCATGACAAAACCTCGTCTTCCTCAACTCCCATACAAACTCTGTATTCTTACATTCTCGTAAGCGGCCATCTCCAGTTACGGGCCCTTTTTTGGAGTCCTGGCGGTGTCCGCTTATGAGAACTTCCACTGTAATTGCGTTTGGGTATCAAAAGTATTACGGCTGTTTCGCGATATGACTTAGGCTAAGTGATTGATCTCGCGGCACTTTGCCAGCTAATCTATAGGCTCTTTCGATAAACACCATAATACTCTTTGATGCGCCGAGTTAGCCTGGTATTCGGGAGGATCCACACGTGCTGGGTATTAACTTTTCCACAATTTTGCAAAGTGTAGAAATGTAAACGTGGGCTTGAATGTGGATGGTATTGCGTTCAGGAGCCTACTACTCTGAATTGAAACGAAGAACACTGCAATAATTGCATCCAGGTGAGGATAAGAGTATTATGGTATTCGTCGGAGAGGCAACAAAACTAATCATAACTTATGGCCACACTTATGACGCGAGACGCGGGAAACGAGGGCGCCCGTCTCGCGCCTTCAGTCACGAGCGCAGTCTACAAGCTGTCTACGATCTTGCATCTGTTTGTTTTAGTTACTTTGGTTTGGGTCAAAATGGCAGTCGATTAAAAATGCGATTATCGTGAATTGGCACACATAGACAATGAACGGATTACTTGTCAGAAAAGAGAATTTTAGATTATGTGGTAAAGTCGAGTTAAACCGCAATAAGTACTTGTTATTGTGTGTAATTAAAATTCTTTGTGTCTAATCATAGTATTAAATAGTTCGTCATCAAAATGAGCGTTTTTATTCTTCAAATCTTTTGTAAAGAATGAAGGTGGTATAAACTTTATATTGTAATCTGATTCTATATATTATTGTCTTCGTGCAGTTCTCATTTCATCAAACAACTTTTACACAGAAATCCTGCGTTTGTGAAAATTGTTGTCATCCAGAGAACTACACAAAAGACATCATCAATCAAAAGCGTTTGAAAAGACTGCATAAAGGAAAGACAAATAAAAAATTATGAATCCGACAGGTAATTGCTTGTATACGAATCCTTTCTTTTCCTGAAACTAAGCTTTTATCAATCTTTCTACGCGCGCATTGTTAGTTTTATTTCATTCACCTACGTCCGTTGCATCTAAAGGTAGTCGTGTAAACTTTTGAGGATCCATGTTTCAAATAAATCTTTTGTCATTAAACAAATTAACATTGTGTTGACAAAACTGGAAACCAGATTTATTCCTTATTTGGGAGAGTTGATACAGGATCTAAAGGCGTACCTTGTCAGTCCAGAAAGTGGATAAGGTCGTAAAGGGATTCAAGGTAAGGCCATTTATAGGAGAAAACTGAAAAAAAAACTCGTGTAAATGGCACAAAGCCGAGACTGATTTCGCGCCTTAAAACGCAGCATTTCTTCTCGTATTAATGTACAGTTCGCCTCATATTTATAAAACGCGTCTAATTTTTTTTTTACAAATAAACTGCAAAACAATATTTTTTTTCTCAAAATCGGGTCTTTAGGGAGCGAAGCACTGGCGTGAGATTTTAGAGCCCCAAACGCCTGCGCGCGTCTCTCTTTGAAAAAATACGAGCTAGTTTCCAGTCTACCCTACAAACGGCGACGGCAACGAGAACGTCAAAAAAGCAATGGGTTTATAAAGCAGGAGACTTTTGTTCATTTCTTTGCCGCCACTGCACAACCACGATGTGAAATTTCCTTAAGCAACTTTTTTTGGACAACGTAAACACATGACGACGAAATTTTTCTTGTTCTTTCTAAACGTGGGTGCAGTTCCCAAGAATTTAACTTCAGGGAAATATGCCTACGTGAACCCGTTTAAGTTTAAAAAAACGCTAATTCATTTTAATAGTGACGTTTTCGCTGCCGTTCCCATCATCGTAGCCTCCCACGTAGACGTTTTCGCTCTTCGGCCACGCCTACGTTTAAACTCGCATCGACAAGGAATAAATTTCACTAAAAAAGCCTAACTATTTACAAAACTTTGCGTACTACATTAGGTTAAGACAGATAGAAAAATCCCTATAATTGATGCACCTTGGCGTTGGTTAAACCATCCTCCAGAAATTTGTAATACACAACACTGAGATCATCCGAAAAGTCAAATTCTGGAGGAAACCTGTGAAAATAGGAGTTAAAATTATGAGTCAAGAACGGCCTTAATACAAAAAAAACAGTATACATGTAAGAGAAAGTTTGGGAAAGGAAGCAAATGGCTGCTTCTTGTAGCGCTGGCTGGATTTCAGTGTTCAAGGTTTCTCTTAGTTCAAATTTCTCGACTACAGCTTTAAATTAGCAACAGGTTTGCCTCCGGCCAGTTGGAATTCTTTACATTGCTGTGCAACTTTACTGGAGTTATTTGCGTCAGTGATTTTCTCGGCCTCACTAGCCTTTGCGTTATAAATAATGCTGACAGTAAAGAATGCAGATATCGTTACAGTCGAGGACACCTCGTCATACGGAAAATTTTCTTTATCTCTGAAAGAGCCTTACATTTTCTCTAAATTCAACCCGTCTAATACGGACACCCGTTTATGCGGGCAACGGACAATTGTTTCTTCCCCAGCCAACAGATTTTCCTGTCTCACAGAAGGCCAACATCGCTAATGCGAACGCCTCATCATCACTTCTGTATGCGGTGATAAACCTTTCATTTTTATAGGCAAAAAACCTTCAGTTGAAAGCAAGACGAAGTTCCCAACGCTACAGCACAGCGGATAGGATGAATTGTAGACGAAAGAAAAATAGGTCGGCATTTCCGAATGTCTCTTTAGCCTCTTTTTCAAAGTGAGTCCTGGAGCTAAAGCATTTTTTCAAATGAAGACTAGTTTTCATTCAAGTGCAAATCAAACATATTTTTACGTAATTGGTATATTGCAATTGTATATTGCCCCAGCCCTCGCTTTGAAAAAGTGGCGAAGAACAACTCGGAAGTGGGCCAATGCATGCATTAACAAACGTGAAAGTAACGTTTTGAACTTGCTTATAACCATGGTATAGTATTTTGAGGCGAGCTCTAAATCTTACTTTAATCCACTTGATTCGCTTTCCATTAAATCATTCGCATTTAGTTTTGACAAGACAGTCCCATTCGGAAGGGAAACCAATGACTCCACCGGAAACCTGCAAAAAAGCATGAAGTGAACCGGTTGCCTTGAATTCTACAGAGAATTTTTCATTACATTATCGAATTTTCTGTATATTTATAATCTGGTCCCACGTGTTACGTCAGCCGAGTTTCTGGTCGTCTCCGGCGGGTCTTCGATGTGACGGCACCCGTCAAGGTTGTCGGCAAGAATTCGCCAAGAACACGTGCCAAAAAACGGACATCCAAAATGACGGCGCTGATTTTCCTACCATAATACAAGCAAAGACAACGGCCACCACTTTTCGCTGCTTACCATCAGTAAAACAGTCCACAAATGCTCGGAAGGGATCTATTTAAACCTGAAATGTTCCAGATCTACTTTCGTTGAGCAATTATGAGAATTTTTTTCTAGCCGATCTGGAACTTTTGGACCGTTGTTGCTGTTGCTGTTGTTGTTGTTGTTTTTTTGCCAGGCATCGCGCTATCGTTTTTGGATCCAAGCCTTTATCCGCTCACTTGGATAGCGCAAATTGATGTGGGACAACTCATGGGTTATGGGCTCCTAATTTTGTTTTGTTTATCATAACCATGCATCGACATTTTCGGCTAATGTAGGACCGCTTGATCCGTTTGAATGGAGGTTGAGAATTACGAATGTGACATTGTGAATCAAAACATGAAAGCTGTTGGGACACCTACCTATAGCTATCCAAATGAGACTTTGCTGCTGTCTTAATCTCCGCGTCGGTGGCGTTAGCAGCTATATTCTAGAACACAAAAAAGGAATAATTTTATTAATATTTTGTATCCGAGTTACCTTACCCCTCCATCAAAGGGAAGCCTTAACCTGAGATCAGGCTTCATTTTCGTTTCGCTTCGTAAATAACATTCCCGCGGGCATGGCGAAACGAACAGAGATTTTCGCGGTAGCCGTTAGAGAGAATGTATGAGAACCGCTCAAATTGGGCCTGATCTCAGGTTAGGGAAGCCTGGATTCGCCACAGGTATTGGCTATGAGTTGCCATGTGTACGGTGTTCGCTTACACCCCAAAATTTGACTGAATCAGGATACTTTTTGCATTTAATTATGAATTAAAGCTCCAACCAATTTTTCATGAAATTACATCACTAGCTAGTTTAATTGTAATGTTTACTAAATCTAACTGGCATTCATTAGAGTGTTCCTGTTCCTTCTCCCAACGAAGTACGAGAAGCATTTTCTAATAGAACAGCGCGAAAACGAGCTATTGACACCGCAAAAACCAGCCCCCCACGTACACTCTTTTTTTTTTTATAAGAATATATTTTATAAGAATATCGAGGCTGAAATTTGCGAAATTTTAAGAATATTTTAAGAATAAAGCCGAGGCTGAGATTTTGAAAAGGATAGATATAATTTTGTGTGGGAAACATCTGTAAATGCAATACCGTGACAATTTTATGTTTTTAACTTAACCGTATAAAATTATTCCTTTCTCTGAACGGCGAAACTAGCCAACAAAACGAAAAAACCTGCACTAGCTATGGCAAAATGTTCAACGCTAATGACAGTTCGATGAACGGTACATGTAATACATATACATATACCCCAATAAATTCTAAAACGGAAATGTCATAAGCTATAATTTAAGAATAATACAAGAATATTTTCAGCCTAAAATCGGCAGAAAAATAAGAATTTTCAGCCTGGGCCGGAAAAACAACATTCTTATAAAAAAAAAAGAGTGTAGTCCAAGAAAAAACTTGCTGTCGTCTCTTCTCTCATCGAAAGCCCCACAACGAGACAGTCATTGCAACAATGCGGCTATGTGAACTCACCAGAAAATGAAGAACTTCAGAAAGCGTCATCCACTTTGCAAGAAGATGCTACAGCGGCTGTTCAGGCGACTAAACGAAAGCGATCGACTGATGCTCGTACTGCTGCTCAAGTAAGTCATTCATTTATTCAGTCTTTCAGAAGAGAAGTTTTTAATTGGTGGAGTATATTGTTCGAGTGTGTATACCAAAACCGGTGTCTTTCTCAGCTGAGATCAGTCCCTCGTGCTATATTGCAGAGAGTTCTTCGTATCGATTTTGCTGGCTCAAAAACGGATTTGGATGGGTACATAACACCCTTTCTCAGAAAGAATCCGGGCGTTAATAAAGCGATATATTCAGTTTAGTTTCCCGTTTCAAAAGGCAATTTAAGTCACGCACATCACTATAAGCACTAATTAATACTTAATTTTGCTTCAGATACCACACTTGAATTAGACGACGCTAAAAAGTCTCTGAGCACGCAGCCCAATGAAATGACGGATAAGGAACTGACATACGCTAAAAAAGCTACGCGAAAACGTCCAAACGTGGTGCAAATGTGGCAGAACAAGAGCAATGCAAACATGGCAAACGTCCCCCAGAAACAACATAAAAATAAACCAGTCTGCGCAGCCAGCCAACAAGCAACAAGCTGAAGGAAGCCATCCATCATCGTTACAGCCGCCTTGCAGAAAGGAAAACCTGGCTCCTCAGTAAAGAAGAGGAAACAGCCGGCAAAGAGAAAGGTTGAAGAAACCTCGCCTACTTCATCATTAAAGCCACCTACAGGAAGTCCCACAAACTACGGACGGTGCCAAACACATCGTGACATTCATTATTTCACATGCGGTATTTTTGACGGTTTCCAATGATAATATAAGGGAGTTATTCGGGCCGGGGTTTAACTTGTTAATTCACCCTGCGTGTCACCGATCGTGGGACATCACTGGCCTGCAGAACGGGCTGTATATTATTGCCTTTTTCAGGAAATCGAAGGATAAAGCGAGGCGGGTATGAGGGGCGAGACAGGCGAAAAGGAAAGGGCGCGAAAAGGAAAGGGCGCGAAAAACTAGCGCTGCGTACACTTCCGTTACAAACTGCTAACTATTTTACCTTAAGCTCTGCTACAAGAGACCAACTGCTGATGAATTTCTCCCTCAACAGACGGACAATGGGCGAACTCTCCAAGGGTCCATCTCGGAGAGTCCGCCCTGAACCTGAAGTACAAAGCAAAAGAGAAACTAAATCCATGTTCTTTCGGGGTCATATCGGTACTACTGTCTACTACTCCCCGCTGGAAAATGTTTTAGCTCATTGAAAATTTTTCCACCATCGGCCTTGCACCGAAGGTTTTTTAATGAGTTTTTCATGCTGTTATGTGTCACCCTCATTAACAACCATTTATTTCTTTTTCAGCAGTTTGTACATATTTTTGTTTGACAAAAAAATCGGCGTCACTTTCAAGTACTCCAGCTGTAAACTGCAACGAATACAAGCTGATACGAGCAAGACTGTAGCTTAGGATATAAATGATATTATTATTCATTCAAAATATTTCTCTGTTTCTGATTGGCTTAAATTCCACCGCTAATTTTTCGTAGCCAACCGTGGAAGATGTTTGCTTTTATTTTACAACTGCCGTCAGTAGCAAAATATCAGGTTATGTTCACACTTTACCGGGTAGCTTTTGCGCTGGCAAAAAACTGACCATACCGGATAGGGCTTGTGTTTACACATAAGAACGGTGATTTCTGTAGCGGGGCGAAGTTACGAAGCGCCGATCTCTAAAGTGGAGAGTGACATATCGGATAGGTGTTCATACTACACCGGATATAGCGTGAACATAGCCTCAGGCTGAAACTTAGGGACGCACAGACGTCACACGTGCGGCAGTGAAAGGCTGGAGAAAATCGCGGAAGATGTTACACGTTTTTTAAGACGAAACATTCGACAGTCTACTACCTACGCTTTCTCGTATTCGTCCAATAATCTTCAGCAAAGTGTCAATATACCTCAGCAGGACTGATCGTCTAAAGCTCCCCACAGCAGAATGTGATGAACAAGTTTGTTTTCCGCTTTAGCTTGATTCATAGCGTCACTAAATTGCAGATAGGGTACCTGGAAAGAATAGTAAGTTTATAAAAAGTACTTATGCACAGAGCACAATTGAAGTGAAAACAGCTGTATTAGTCTATGCTGTCAAAGTCCCCTATTTTTCCGTGTGATTGTGGAGGTCGATTGCCCAAAGGTAAAAATTGCTCGTGGGTAATATGGCAACCACTTCACCTCCCATCCCTGACCCTATGGAAAATCTCTCACCACTTTTTGGTCACCGTCGACCCTTTTCTCCGTCGGCTATGTTAAATCCCCGGTCGCGGCTAGATGGCACGCCTAAAAAGGTCGGATATCTTATGACGCCTACACAATGTGGCAATGCTGGCAGTGAAGTTTGGTGGTTAAGGTTTAGAAACAAAGCGAATGATGTTTCATGTGACGTTGTGTAGGCGTCAAAAGGTGTCGTTAAAAGCTTTGTTTTCCACTTCTTAACTTGTTTTAAGTATTTCACTGGGAGGCATGTCATAGTCTGCGTGGCAGGCGTTTGAAAGGGAAGGGAAAGGGAGTTTTTCTGGCGCGAGAGAAACGGCTAGGCATCACATTTTGCCTGCGTTGTATACGTAATTTAACCCAGGTTAGATCCTTGTTCTGGGCCCCCAACGGAATTAATGAATCACCTAGCCTGTGTACAGACGCCCCGCTCCCCTAAGAAAAATTTGGGGAGAGGGGAGGGGGCGTCTGTACACAACAGGCTATGAATAACCGGGAGTCATTCCGAATTTTCTTTCAACCTGATTGGCAAATCGACAATGGCAGTTTTAACAGACCAATCATGGCGCATACTTAAATCCTGGTACACAGGTGGGGGCACAGAACAAGGACTTTACCACTGGCTCGCAAACGGACTTAACCAGAATTTAGTTTCGTTTGTTGCGCAGGCTACAAGAAGTGCAAAATACTTTCCTTTGATGCAAAATGGTAGCCGCTTTCTGAAGGTCTATAAGACAGCAAGATTGCAGCCGTTGTAAAACAAGCCAGCCAGGGATTACTGGAGTGTATAGGGAGGAACTTAAAAGAACTTTCTTAGAGTGCAATAGATATGTTTTGTAACACCACAATAGGTATAAAACGGGGCGTACTTTCTTGAAACCGTACAATTTCTCTTCCAGGGCTTTGTAAGCGTCTTCAAACGAAATCTCTGTCTCCCACTTGATATCATCGCTTTCAGACTCTGTATTGACCTCATCTGGGTGTTGCTCATTCACCAAAGTGGACGGCAGTCTACTTTTAAGCTCCATTTGTGGTAGAAATCCTAGTAAAAACAAAAACTTCAAACTTCAACTTTATTTAATAAAAATATTAATTACAATAGACTGGCGTGCAAAATAGCAATTGCTAATATAGGCTGCCCAGCTAAAAGAAAAATAAATTGAAAGGAAATGAAAGGAAGGAAAGTATTGCAAGTTACAATTAAATAATTCTTATTCCTATCATAGTTTTATTTTAACTACATTACGTCTAAGGAAAAACCAAAAAGGAATTGACGGAGAGCGGAAAGCATATAATTTTGTACAGTAATCACTTAACTGTTAGTCCAACTTTTTCAATTATCAAAGTATATGGAAAGTAAAACAGCTTGGCACGAGAAACGCATTCATCTTGCTCTGCTGCGTACAGTTGTTAAAATCCACAATATAACAAGAACATAACAAGAAGGAATTTGATCGATCCTTTACATCTAAAAAGACATTCAAAGAAAAAGCTTCACTGACAGTAATTCACTGACCAATGTCTACCTCCATGTTGCCCTCTTGATCTCTGCTTTCTTTGTCACCTTCAGCTAACAAAGACATGACAAAAGTACAAATGAACCAATAGTAATTAGATCATTTCTTTGAGCTTACCCTCCTTAAGGGATGTAGGCCACTGAATAGCTTATTTTTGTCCCCTGAGAAAACAGCCGACATTTGGCGATGCTACCACTGGTTCCCCGCCAAATGACGTCTGAGAAACGAGCGCAGAAATTTCATACTGATGACAAGTCACTACCCAGATCTGGGTAGTGCTTCTGATTGGTCGTGCCGCGCGGGAAATTTGATTCAACCAATCAGAAGCACTACCTCGATCTGGGTAGCGGCGAGTCATCAGTATGGAATTTCTGCGCTCGTTTCTCAGACGTCATTTGGCGGGGAAACCAGTGGTAGCGTCGCCGAACGTCGGCTGTTTTCTCAGGCTATTATTTTTGGTGCTTTGTTAATCGTCTAATTTTCGTCTCTGGCCGTGCAAAGGTTTCATGCAAACAAAAAATACCATGAAAACAAAGAAAAAATTGAAAGAATTTTGAGGTGCAGATGGGTTATAAAAAGCAACTATGGTTTGCTCGACATGCTCAATGGTTGACAGGTGTCGGTTTCCGCATTGTAGAGTCGAGTGTATATAATATTGATTATAGACTAACCTCTGTCCTCATCGTTTGCCCCTTCAGGAATCAGCCATTCCATATCTGTAACAGAAGTAAACACAAGAATATAATTGAATTTGAATTTTTCAATTCAAATTATGATTCACCATTTACACATTGCCCATGATACAACTTGCTCCCCGTTCCCCGCTAAAAAAAGTCCCGTCCAGTAGTCCGTGACGAGTAGATCTTGGATCAATTTAGGTTTCTGGGGAAGCTACCCACCTACCCCTCCCCTAAGATAACATATTAACACTTACTTCTCACTTAGGGCAAAATGTTGGCTTAAGGGAGGGATATGTGTGAAGTTTCTCAGAAACCTAAATTAATCCTTTCTTCTTGCTGGGCACTTTTAAAGCTTACTTGCCAAAAGGGGAAGGGTTCTAGTCTGCGAACAGTAGACGTATTTCCGGTCGTCGCTTCTCTCCCGGAGGAAGAGAAGCGACGACCGGAAATGCGTCTGCTGTTCGCAGGCTACAAGGGTTCAAGCGAGACATCTTCAAACCAAATCATTCACAAAATGATCAGGCGAAGTGATCCCGGGAAAGCAGAATATGAGAGTTAGTTGCCCAAAGGACAAACTGGAATTAGAGTTTCATTTTCGAGCCTTACATAAGCATTGTTTCCAATTTCCTCAGTACTGGGTATCACAGCCGGCCGAACAGAAATTGAAGACAATGCCTACGCAAAATTTAGGGGGGTAAACAACGGCAGTGAATTGTACGAATGAGAAACGCCACAAATGTAGGGCTTGGAAACATGTTGTGCAACATTGTCGACAAAACTTGGAAGTTTGAATGCCCATCGTCACAGCCACGAATGTCTCTCTACAAATTCCAAAATTCAAAGGTATTTAAAGGTATTTCATTCTGTATTTCGTTTAATGCTGTTTAAGTTAATATAAGAACAAGACTATACTCACCCACATTGAGGCTTCTGTTGTTTGGAACTGCTAAATGGAAGGAATGCACATGGCTACCATCTTTTTGGATCACAATATTTCCTAAGAACTGCCCAGGAGTGAACCAGAATGGCAGCAGAGGAGGCTCATTCAGTTGAAATTCTGCGTGGATCCTGTTTGGTTTAAACATCATGGTATTGAGAGCGAATTTCTTGAATCTAAAGAAAATGGCCCTGACAAAAATACTCGAAGAGAAGCCAACACGATTGCATAAAAGACACGTTATTTGCCCGAGTAATGTCATCTGTCTCAAGGTGAACATTCATTTAGTCTTTGGCAAAATGCACTGAGAATTAAATTAGGTAAACACAAATTTGACCACTTAATTCATTTTAAACTTTATCTACACGTGACAGAGCACGATGCATCTCATTAACAGTGGCATGAACCAATCATGAGCCCGTATTTTCAATTCCATCTTGATCCCAGCCACGACTTCATGCCTCTCCCATTTTAAAGGGCGTTAGATGCATTTTAGCGTGAAACAAAGATTTCCTCTATGCAGTAATCTCCACGTAAGAGTAACGACAATGATACCTTGCTTCCACGACACGAACGTTTCTTTAATGACAACCATCGAAGAGTGGGTCAGCTACCAGAAGTAGTGTTTGATAAACAATTTATTGGACTCAAAGAAACAAGCGCAAAGAGTACCGGATTTCATGCATGCCTTAAACTCATTTCAAACGCCCCTGTAAATCTCACGAAGGCACCACGTTCCCTCCTTGTCACTGGGCTGGCTTTCTTGTGACGAACCGTTTTATTATATCCATATATTTTGAAATCACTGGTGATCCTTGAAATCTGATCGGCTCTCAGCAGTGTGAGTTATAATGGTAAATCGGGTCGTGCAATTTTGGTCTGAAATCATACTTGTGATTTCAAATCGAACTCGCCCTGCGCGCTCGTCCGATTTTATAATCACGCGTATAATTTCAGACCAAACCGTACTCCACTCAGTTCAATTACAATTATAAATCATACAATATTTTCTGAATAGCCCCACCGGCAAAGGGGGTGTCAATACAGAATTTTGCTGCAATGCTGATAGAAAGAACGCATCACATGGGAACATTATTGACACTTTATCGCAGAGTTTTACTCATTTACGTCTTTTCACTTATCGATAAAAAGGGGGACTAGGAGTCTTTAGAAAAGAATTTTAGAAGTCTTGTTCAACTGCAAAATTCTTTTATTTCACTCCAACCAACAGTTTAATTTGCGGCACAAGTCTATTTAGTTCTAATATAAAACTTGTGCAACGCTCAATTGCAAGCTTCTTTTAACGTTTTACCAAAAAAAGTTTAGAAATCTTGTTCAACTATTTCTTTTAATTGACTTCAACCAAACGTATATTTTAAAGAACGATTATATTTAGTTCTGACACTTGCGCAACGCTCAAGCTCCGTTTACCTTCACTAGTTTAGAAACATACTTAGCTTAGGCTCACTTAAGGTGGCTCCGTCATTAATATAGGCGCATTTTGCTCGGACGAACTTACCGTCATATACCTGTTTATAACGCGATGGCTGCGAAACTTTGAAAAGAACAACAGATATCATTTGGCAATAGTTAAAAATATTCCGATGTCATTGATGCTAAATATTTTTTTACGAAATTAGCGCTTAAAAGGACCCTACTGATCAAAGAAAATCGCGTCTAGTAAAAAATTAAAGTGATATTTTTAACTGAAATTTCTGTTATCGGCTCTTATTGACATAATAAATATGCCAGAGAAATTTCAGAGAAATCGTTGGAGCAGAAGTCCGTAACTAAAAGTAGCTCAAAATTCAGTTGTGAAATTGACTTGGAATTTCAAAAACAAATTGTTATGTGGTAGAAAGAGCCACCAGTTCGAATTTTCGGGACAAGTAATTTCAGTGTTTGCTAACTCTTAAAACAAAAGCCGATTGCCAATTGTGCAAATTATTATTCTATTGTATTGCTATTGCATCAGTCTGTCTAAAATGTGTCTTTGTCAGTACAGCTCACTAGAGATCATACAAAAAACATATATACAAACACCAATTAGCAGATGTTCAAACATGGCAATGACTTGAACAGGAAGTCATGATAATCAATGTTTTTTTTAGTGACAGGCGACTTCTGTAAAGCAGACACCTTGCCACACAGCTTGGTGGCTGAACACTAGCATGTTTGTTAAATACTACGAAGGCAGAGTCACATCATCTCCAATGAGAATAAATGGCGCCCAGAAATGAGGATCACAAAACTTTGTGGAATTTCTCATCACCTCCATGGCTTTATTCAGGCATTCACTAGCTTTCAGACCGCGACTGAAATGTTGGTAAAAAGCGTTCATGAAGTAAAGCGTACCTTCATCACTAATCGCCCAGAGAGCCACGAGAACTGAACGAGCGCCAGCTCCGATGAATGCACGAGCAATTCCGATGACTCCATCTGCTTTCACCTCGCCTTCAGCACTATGACAGCAACTGAGTACAACCAGACTTGCCCTCAAGGGCTTCCCCTCCAGATCTGACAACATCAGCATGTAATCTTCTTTCTCTCCTTTGCTGCCGGGATTTGAAGCTAGCAGGATCTCTCCTCGCTCCATATCGCCATGTGCAGCGATGTGAATCAATTTCGCTTTTTCAAGACTTTGAAGAACCTTTTCTTTGGTTGCATTTTCTCCTATTAGGGGCTCCACACCCAACAGCTTGCTGATCATCAATGCCTCCTCTTTGGCGCAAGGCAGCCGACGTTTCGGTATCGCCGGATCTCCCACTATCAAGGGAATTGTGCCACCCTTCAAATCTACTCGGTGCTCCATTATCAACTTTGCAGCTGCCAGAGAAGGAACATGTCGCATTTGTAAGGACTCTGCAAGGTAGCGTCCATTTTCATCTATCAAGGCAGCAAATGGGATAAGATGAAGTGGACCATCGCTTACAATAACAACTTGGGAGCCTCCTGTGCGCTCCTGAAGGCGAGGGCAGATAATCTTGTACAATCTTCCGAGCGCTTCCCTTTGTTTCTCTTCATAGTTTTGTATTTTTTCTTGATCTTCCTCATCTTCATTTAGTCGGTTACTCGCACATCTGACAGGATTATCTGGGTAAAGGAAGGACAAGGAACGATCTTCGTATTCCTCACTACCACGGCCTTTCAGCATTTGTCGAGTTTCATCGAGTAATGACATTAAATTGGTTCTCTTGACAGTAAGAGATGCCTGAGTTGCTGGCGCATCACTCAAAGTGGCTTCCTCTGAAACTATGCCACAAGGCATATGATTGATTTCTCCATTTGGTTTTATGGTCCATGACCAAATAATGCCGGTGTCGCTCTCTTCCAGTAAAGAGAAAAAGACCAACGGTGTATCTAAAAGCTTGACTACCTCACGGATTTCTGACAGACTCAAAGACCTAGCTTCGGTAGCTTCCGAGTTTTGGAGAGAATAATTGGTAGTCATTAGCTCAGCCAAAGCTCTTGAACGTCCTTTTTCCGCTACTAGAAGACCTTCTTCCACTTTGTTTTGTAACAAGAAAACCAAGGCCAACGTTCTGTAGGCACCGATAAAGTGTTCACAAATTGAAACCTTGTAGGAGTCCTGCATCGGTACGCTATCAAAGAGTTCCTGGTCGAACAGAACAGCACGTTTCAGGTGATATTCTGCTTTTTCGTACTGATCGAGGCCGAACAAATAGCAGTTTCCAAGCACATCGTTGGCCTTCGCCGAAGTAAGATTGTCTCCACTCTGCTCTGCCATCTTAGAACACGCTTGAAGATGATCAACCGCCTTTTCATATTGTTCAAGTTTGAAAAAGCAATTGCCAACACAATAAGAAGCAATTACTTCATCTGTTTTGTCTCCAATCTCCTTTGCAATGGCAGTGCTTTTTTCATAATGATTTAATGCCTCCTCGTAGTTTGCAAGCTTTAGATAAACATGGCCAAGGGAACAGTAAGCCATTCCTTCCAATCGCTTGTCCTCAAACTCCTTTGCAATGTTTAGACTTGCTTCATAATGACCAAAAGCCTGTTCAAGTTGTCCAAGAGCATGATAGCTGTTACCAATTGTGAGGTGGGCGCGTCCTTCACACTGTTTCATTGTTTCATTCTCGCTATCCTTTGTAAAGTTAATATACCGCTCACAAAATTATTTATGGCCTTTTTGTGCTGTCCTAGGTAACTGTAACAACTACCTAGGTGAAGACAAGCTTGTGCCTCGTCATCTTTATCACCACGCTGTTTCGCCGAGTCCGCTAATGCTTTAAGATGAAGCATGGCCTTATCGAATCGTCCCATATTCATGAGACATGTTCCAAGCATGCCAAGAGCTTCGGCCTCGCATTTTCCTCCGACCTGTTTTGCGACGTAAAGAAATGTTTCAAAGTATTGTACAGCTTCCTTAAGTCGCGATTTCTTCTGGCATTCAAGGCCCAGTACCTGACAAGCTTCCATCAAGGAATATCGAAAGAATCTTCTGTACTCTTCGACAAACGTGACCAAGACATCGTGTGGTATTTCCATTCTCTTAACAGTGCACAAAGAAATACGAGATTATTGTTAGGTTGGTAGGTAACTAGAGCATGGAACAAAGGAACTCGTGCGAGATCAAATCGTTCGAAACAAGAGAGAATGAGCTAGATCATTCTCTCTTGTTCGAAATGTGCATCATAACTGTTACCATAATCATCCTCAGTACAACGTGTATGTTGTTAATTTCGCTTTACGTCTTTAAAGCTGCTATTTTCGTACTTAAATCGAGGGTGAATTATAATTTTAGTTGTAGTTATATTTATGGGTGGTGATACATGGGTGCCGTAACTCTGGCTCGGACATCACTGTGGTTCGAATTCACTTTCGGTCGACTACAACGTGCTTACCCCGCGCAAATTACGATGAAAGTTCCACATCAAAAGCGCCTACTCAACTGCTAAACGAGAATGTGAAAGCTTTTGTTTGTTGTTAGTCAGCCGTGATAAGTTTGGAAACTGAAAATGTGTTCAGTGCTAAAGTTTGAAGACAAAATGACTGAACAGTTTTGTTACAGCCTGTCTATAGGCTAAGTAGTATACTCCTACAGAGGAGTGCCGAAAGGTAAAATCCGAGTCTTGTCGTGACAACGAGACCCTTTAATTGTCTGACTGAAAATCCAAGACGGACTTCGCAGAAGAGGTCAACACTTAAAACAGACTGTAACACACAAAAACGACAAGTTATAAAGACTCGTCAGAATCGATTCCGAGGTTTTAAGATCGGCGCCATTCCCCACGCCCGTATAGGTTTGTTACCAATAGAGTATACTGAAATAATGATATGGTTCCATCGATGATATTCCTAGCCATCACTCACCCATACGATATGGCTACACCTTGTGGTATTAGGACTACCTTAGTAAATAGAGTTACATGGACCTATACAAACAAATTTGAACCTTCGGATCATAGATTGTGGTCCTAATTGGTATTGATTGCTTACCTTTTTACGGAAGAAGCAGCTTGTAATTGTAATGCCGAGATTTAGTCGACGAAAAAAATGTAGATACAACCCAACGCACTCCAAGAAAGCGGAAGTCGTTAATAGACACTACGGTTCTTTCAGCCAGCGGTTTAGATGTAAGAAACTTTCACTTTGCATTAAAAAAATCTTGCATATTAAAGTCTGCTGCAGATAATCGGTGAAAATGAAACAGTGAGGTTTTTCTTTTCACCATATCCCTTAGAAAACCGTGTTCAGACTAGGTTGCAAGCTCAACCGTCATGTGAAAGTTAAACTGACGTTTGTAGCTTCGGACAAAAAAAATCACTTTCACTGACGCTTCAAATAATTCAACGTAATTCAACGCAATTTTTCAATCCTTATATATTGAAGTAGCGTTCGTCGGTATTAAATCGCCAAGATTGATCTAAAGCTCAACAGAATATCACATCAGAAAGAATCAGCAAGTTTTATTAGCAAGTAAAGAAAGTCCTTTATGTATTAAAGGATTTCTTACAAGAGACAAAAAATATGCGTTCAGTTCTCCTTCAGTTAAAACAGTGATGCTGATATCTGGTCGAATTTCCTGTCCTGTCATGAGCATGTGTTTGGTTTGCCTTCACTTTGTTGATTCAGGTTAAACCCTGATACAGGGTTCAAACAAAAAATTGCAGCCATTTTTTAAGAAAATTTCAAGCACTTTTCAAGAACCTCATTCGATTTTTAAGGACAACCTACCAGGAACGTAAGTCACAGATTTGTAGATAAATATACATTTCCAGTCTAAGGGCGCTTTCCACTGGTCGGAACTGGCCGGCCGGACCAGTCAGCTAGCAAATGAAATCGGCTTTTTCCAAAGAGTTTTTGCTGAAAAACCATCTCCTTCGTGAATACTATTCAGAATTCGACTGATCTAGCTGAATAGTTTTTATTAAAAAATGAAATTCTCATTACGATGGGAATGATCTGGCCGGTCAGTTCTGACAAATGGAAAGCGCCATAAGCTGACAGGACGTTGAGGCTGAACTGTTTGCTCCACCAGTTTCGCCACATTTTTCAGTTCACTTATCTTAAATTGATAGTTAATTCTTGCCGCATTAAACACAAAACGCTTTATGAAAATCATCTATAACTTGTCTGGGCTATCATTTATATTCTGTCTTGGGCAACCAAAAAGCATTAAAAAACACTTTCCAGGCCAGTACTTTCAAAGATGAAGAAAATTCAAGGACGTTTCAAGGACTTCCCCTAAAATTCAAGGACTTTTCAAGACTATGCGAGCCCTGGGGTTGGTCCGCGGACGGCCGGCAATGAAAAAACAACAAGAACAACAGAATGGGTTCATAAAGTTGCATGGTTTTCTTATTCAAAACTCTCCACAACCCCCACTCCTTCGAGTGCCAGTGCCTAATTTTGGACTCGAGACAACGCTTTTCTAGTTTTCTTTTCTATTGTTACTTTTTATCATTAGAGGATTGACCTAAAATTCCGATATCTAAGCAGTCTGATCTAAAGAGGTAAGATTAAAAAACACCGCACAAAAAGGCCATCCCAACGACAAAGAGTAAAAATGTTGCCTTCATTAGAACCCTGCCATTTCCAACGATTCAAATGCGATGGGTTTTCCTTTTTAGTCTACCGGACCAAAAGTGGGGATCTCTTTGCTTTCAAGGTAATGTGCTTCCACTGAGGTCCTTAAAGGCCACAAATACAGAATCTTGTGGCCAACTGGCTCTACACTTACCAACGTTGAAGCAAAAGACAAGTTGACGCGTCTCACTTTTTGATTGGTCTATTCAAATTTTAATGAGATGCAAGGTCCGCTGATTGGTTAGGTCCTAAGTTAAAGCCTTTTACTACTATTATGCATTTTTATGATAATTAACCCCAGAAAGCAAATTATGCATTTTACACCTCTTCATTCCCCTTAGTGAAATAGAAATGTACTTTTTAAATAAAGTAAATAACGATTTAGAGGTAGCGCTTCCACTAGGTGGTTCTTCATCTACCCGATTCCTGGTCGAATTGGAATTTGGAAATGCTGGTTTTTGAGGAGAGGGGAAAACCGGCGTACCCGGAGAAAAACCTCTCGGAGCAATGCAGAGAACCAACAACAATCTCAACCCACATATGACGCCAGGACTCGAACCCGGGCCACACTGGTGGGAGGCAAGTGCACTCACCACTGAGCCACCCTTGCCCCCTTTTTGCTTCTGAGTCCTTCTTGATACGCTCTATTGTGAACATTTAAATGAAACCATCTTTTGACGGGCTTTCATGAAACACCATATATCTATTCACACATTCCAGTTAAGTAAGCAATCAATATAAAATGGGATTCAGGCTTGGGTGGACATCTGCAGTAAAATCACTGTATTTTGTCAACCCAAGCTTGGCGTTGGAGCCTTTGCTTGGAGGAATGCGTTCACGAAAAGACCGTTAATATTACTTTGGTTTTTAGTGTTCTGCGGACTGCTAAATTACAAGGGGGCTAAAATGAAATAAGGAATTGGCATAAAAATCCCTTGGCTGAATTTACCATTTGCGTACAGTATATACAAAAAATTAACGTGATAAAGACCTGAAAATGATATCCAAGTAATCTTTGTTCTCTGCTCGAATGCAAGCTACAGTTCCCTGTGGGCCAAATCTGGTCAGAAGAAACGGGCGTGGATGAAACATAGCAAGAAGTCTGTAGATAATCGCCAGTCTGCCTTTTATAAGAGGAGGATAATATCGATCACTGGTTAGACCTGGACCTAAAGTAAAAAGCATACAAAGAAAATTAAAAAAGATGGTCACATGTCATATTCAGTACTAAATATGGGGTGCATATATCAAATATTGCTAAACTACAATTTGTTCACTGGCTTTGCATTCTGTCAACCTCATCATAAAAGGCTTACCAGCCGTTTACTTAAATTGATTTTTCGATCTCCATTTGCTACATTAATTTTGTTTTGAAACATGTTCAGTTGTTAAATATTCAGAAAAATAGAGCCTCAACACACACAACCAAAAAAATAATAATATGCATAATTGTCAAAATGAAGTGTGTGATGAAAGTGGATTCAGTTTAAGACCAATACCTTTTCTTTTTCAACTCCTCTATATTACAGTATCATCTTTAGCGAGAGAAAACACCAGACATATTGTGGTTTCCTCATGAAATGACATCTGAGAAATGAGTGCAGAAATTCCATACTGATGAGGTGTCACTACCCAGATCTGGGTAGTGCTTCTGATTGGGTGAAGCAAATTCCTAACCAATAAGAAGCTCTTCCCAGATCTGGCTAGTATGCACCATCAGTCTGGAATTTCTGCACCTGTTTTGCAGACATTATTTTGCAGGAAAACCACGAGTGGTTTCGTGAAATGTTGGTCATTTTCTCAGGCTATATATTATCTTACCCATTTTATCAATCCTGGACTCCACAATGAACCAGGGTTGCCCCAAGTTTGGTGATTGTGTTCCATGAGGTAAAAAGGCTACAAATCTATTCACTGGAAATGTTGCCATGGAAGCAGAGGCACTTGTCCATGACTTGAGGCCTTCCAATTGATTTTCATTGCCCTATAAAAGAAACAAAGCCATTGCCTAAAGTTAAGAGGTTGCATGTATCATTTAAATCCATTAGGCTATTTTATCTGAAGAGTGGTACGCCATTATGCAGTACGAAACTATATAGTAATAAAATGCCTGTAGTCAAATCTTCAGTTGATAAAACATTGTACTTCTGGTATTTTAAAATTTCTGTATTAATATTAATCAACCAAAAATTCAACTAAAAGCTTGGCCCAGAAGAACAGAAGGAGCCATATTATTAAGAGTGAAAGAATTATTCATGATACGTAGCGCGAAATACACAGGGAAATTTACTGTCCAGTATGAAAACTGCTTAAAACACAAGGCAAGCACATTTTGACAAGGCACAACAATACCTCATAAAACGTCTTCAGCACCCACTCAGTCATACATACACTAGCCAGCATAGCAGGTGCTGGTTATTATTTTTTTTTTTTTCAGGCCGCAGGCTATACATGTACATGTACTTATACTCACAGTATAGGATTCATCTGATGTACTATATTTGGTCATTGTTGAGAGTACCAAGGGGGTAAAGTTAGAAAAAAGTGTGAGCTGTTCCCTGTTACCGTCGTGAGGTTCTGGCTCAGGAACATTAGAATTTGGATCCACAGGTTTACCAGGACCATCCACTACCTTAAATTTGTACAGAAGAATACAGTGTGATTACAGAAGAAAAAAATAATTTAAAACACCGCTGTAAAAAAAGGTGTAATTTGTTTGAGTCTTTAATTTTACGTTTATGACTGTAACAGCTGTTTTATTCTTGTCTCCACTGTCAAAAGACTAATTTGAAAATTGCAACACAACTGCAAGACTCCAGCGGAGAAAGATTTAAGTATTAAAATGTTTTATCCTGATTGAAGCTTTTTAAATCATTTTGAGCTGTAAGTGCTGGACATCCAAACCTTCACATCAAATGAAACAGGTCAATCTTTTCCATTTTTATTGCCGAGAAAAAGGTGCAACTCCACCGAAAAAAGGCCGTTTCTGAGTTGCTCCACGCCTCTGTTTGAAAGCAAGGCTAAATGCAAAGATGATTTTCATTCTCAAGCAAATAAAACTCATTTTCACAAGAAAGGTTTCGCACTAATCTATAATTTGAAAGTGAGAATTTTTGGAACTCCGAAATGGTCTATTGCATTCAAATGTTAATTAGCTCTCCTCGCCTATCAAGTTTGATTGACTTGAAATCTAATGAACTTAATGATGCAAGAATGAATTACTGTAATTTTCTACCCTTTTAAGGCACGGTGGCACACACAAACGCCTCTAATTAGTGTAATAGAAACTATTAATAATCAACTGTCAGATGCGTACCTTTCGATCCAAAATTCTGTTTGCAACTTCAACAAACTCTGACAAATCCAGCGCGCCATCCAAATTCTGATCATACGTTACAAACAAACTCAGTACCTCTTCGTCTACAACGCCATTTTCAAAGTACCGCGCTGTCTCCCTGTTTTTTCCAAGAAGTGATCTGTTCAGCAAAACTGGAGTAATCACCACTCGATAAACAACCACCGCCAGAACTGCAAAAAAGACCGAAACAAGAACAAATTTCCAGCCGGAAGTTGCAGGCTTCTTCGAATTATTTTCCTTCATCTTGGAGGCTTTGCGTCTTCAAAATGACAAATGACGAATGACATCTTAGCGTTCAATTTGAAAGGAAGAAAGGTGTAATCTCAGTTTTAACAATAAGGCTTCACATGCCAGCTGAAATCCTTCAAAATCATGCAGAATGTATCATGTCCAAACTGCACAAAACAGCATCAAAAACAGCCCGCCTTTCTTTATTGTGATAATAGACGTTTTGTGATTGGTCAGGTAACTAGACTGACCAATCATGACGCCTGTTATAACAAAGCGTAATTTGCATGCTAAAGGAAAGGTAAACATGGCGACTATTATTTCAGAAGCGGAAGTCACAGCGGCTATAGAGGAGGCGTTAGCTGAAGATTTTGGCGACATGGAGGACGCAAACGCTGATGAAACGCCTACTGAAACAAAAATTGAAACGATGCGGTTTTCTTTCGAGCCAAGAAACAAGTATGTAACTGAAGTTAAGGACATGAATGAGTACGTTTTGTCGTACTTTGAGTCGATGAACCACATGAGTAAGAGAATCATTACAGAACAGCGCGAACTTATGGCTGAACAGGGCAGTAGATGGAATCAGTTAAGCCCAGAAGAACAAGACAAGTTAATAGATAATCGAATGCTCGACCCTAAAGTTAGAAAACATTACTACGTTGACCAAACTTTCTCAACAAGAAAACCCGACTGGTTTCCTGTCTTGAGGTTGGCCCATGGAGTCTCCGGGTCGGAAAATAGTTTTAACCCGCGCGACAGTATAGCATCTGTCACGGTAAGGTTTTATGCCCTTTGTGCTTAGCAATCAAATTTATTTTCCTTCAAATTGATTTTCTGAGTAAGTTTTGGGTTCGAAACATTATCTTCGCATTTCAACGCATCTTTGAGGGCATATTTGAATCGAATTCTTGGCAAATTACGCATTTGGAAGCATAACATGTCACACTATTTTTTAATGCGAGCGTGCTCATGACTTCTACCTGATAGCCATTGATGGTAATAGCATTGGGTGTGGTGGATTAAGATCATTTTATGTAGACTTTAACATACACCACATCTCGGGAATGGAGCTAATTCTTAAAAGAAATTAGAGGAAAAGCTAGGAGAGCGTGTTCCAGTTTTTGCCCTAATGATTATACTACCCTGGCGGTAAATATTGTAAAACTACATTGTGAATATTTATGGATCGTGGATTTCCCTTCCATCTTAAGGCTGAGAAAGAATCAGTTGTTGTCACGTTTTTGGGAGAGTGCTACTAACAGGAACATTCAATGTTACAACATGGCAGTCTTTACCCTACCTCAAATATCTTACTTTTTATCACTCCAAAGGCACATAAATGTTACGCATGAATGCCACTTGGACTTGACTAACATACTTGATCCCGTTTCTATGGAGAAAAGTTGTCCCAGGTGCAGGGGTCACCCCGGAAGCTACCAGTGGCAAAGCTAACTTTTCATACATTTCCTTTTAAAAAACAAAATGGGGCAAACCATTTACTTGAGAAACAAAAAGTTGGCATGGCTAAGAGGGTGACTCACCAAGCGGGGTCATCCTTTTGTGAGGGTAGGGTCACCCTTGTGGTTGGGCGAACAATTGTATCCAAATAAACACTTTGGCTCACCCAGCCAGGCCAACTCAGTCAAGGTGAGACAATCAGAGCATGTGTGAGTGCTGTTGTAGATAACTGCAGAGCATGCCCAAGGACTGCTGGCTCGGGCAAAGGGATCAACTTTTTTCTCAATGATGTGACTGTCATAGGTAAAAATCCATTCTTAAACTAGCTAAACCAGTATTCAAGTGATTAGCAGGCCCTGCGAAAAATTTTCTTTTTAAGAAAAGAAAACAAATCTAACCAAGTCACCATTCTAGCTTGACAAACCAGAAAAGACGTCAGACACATATCATGTTCACTTATAAATATTTCTTTAATTATTGCTTTGCAAATCTCCTGCTACCAAGTGGTAGTCTTTGATGGTTATTCTGTCCAGTAATCATGCATGTCTGACTGCAGGTGGGATTAATTTTCACTGGATGGCAAATTTTTGGTTGGACATTGTCTGATGACCAACTGTAATATTTGCACCTCTGTATTAGAGTTAGCTTTATGCTAGGATTCTTACCTTAGCAGACCACCTTGTAGGTTGAATACTTGTTTAACCATAGAAGAGATTCTACCTATCACATATTTACTGATGTCAGTATAGTGTAATCTAAAAAATTAAAGATTATTTTCCTTTTCACCGAAATTAGGAAAAACCTATTTTGCACAAATATTTTTTTCAACAGACTGATGTTGCAAATTGCATGTGTGTAGAAAAGTGCATTCAAAGTAATAACATGATATTGAGTAATACTTAATTAGCTTAGACATTACAAATCTCATAGAAACAATAATTCCTTTTCCCTTTTCTCTTTTGGTTTTTCTCTTGTTTGGTTTAAACAAGGAGGCAGTGTGGCCGAGTGGTCAGCCCATCGGACTCCCAATCCGGTGGCCCCAGGATCGAGTCCCGCTCTGGCCACTTGCTGGATTTGTACTCGGTCTTCCCGGGTTCAAATTCTCAGCCAGGCTTGTAAATAGCCAACTGGTTGCCTCCTGTCAGTTGGGGTTTTTAATCCTGTTATGTTGTATTTGAATTATTATTTTGTTTCTAAATATTTGATTGGAGTGCCTGTAAACTAGCTGGATAAGTTAAGTGTACTTTCCACTATAAACAAGCCTTTAAACCTTTTAAAACCTTTTTTTTTTATAGGAGATACATTCAAAAGACCAGTTCTCAGCTCCTTGGTCTTGGGAGACAAAAGTAAGTGATTGGAGTATCTCAGGAATTCCTATATGTTGATATACTTGTATTACTAAAGAATAATGAAGCCCTCTTGCGGTGGGGGGGGGGGGAGTACGTTAAACAGGGTTTTCAATAAGATTTCAAGTAGGTGGCAAAAGCTTTGGAGTAGGTGGGGAAGGAAAAACTTGCGATAAAGGTGCAACTTTCTGGAAAAACTTTGAAATCTGGACCTCTTGGATGCATTTCCAGAATTCTGAAGCAAAAATGAGAGTGTTTGAACAGAACACATACATCATGAAGTTTGGGCTTTTTTATTCATTGACAACACATGAATACTCTATTTAAACTGGGGTAATTTCCAAAGAATAGTAGGCGGCGAGTTTGTGTGAAATAGCCGGCGAATTTCGCTGGCCACTGGCTCTTATTAAAAACCCTGACATATGTCCCCAAACCAAATTTCAAAAGTGGTCATTTAGTGAATATGAAGAGGAGGCCGTGTTGCTGGTGGAATTTTACCATTGTATTTGCGATTTTTGTCTTCGCTGTTGCAGTTTCAACCCAACTTCGTGTTGTTTGTCACCATTTCATCTAGTCTTCTGTCACTGTTTTAAGGCCATGTGGCTTGTCAGAATTTAACCCTGACAGGACCTCAGTAATAGCAGCAAGGTTTACTCGAGTCACATTCCTTTCAGTAGAATGTACTGTACGTGTTTTGGCTGAAACCTTGTCACTGACAAATACAAAATCAGGGGCAGGCCCAGGATTTTTCTTACGACGGGGTGCAGCACCAAGGAGTGGTTTAACTGACTGGTGATAAAAATAAATTTTAATACAAAATACCAGTTGTATTAGAAATCCGCAGGTCACCCTAAGGTGTGGGGGGGTGCACACACCCTGCACACCCCCCTAGATCCGCCCCTGAAAACGTCATATTAACCCGCATTCCGCTCAAGGCTTTTCATGTAAATTACAAGTACACAGTATATGGTAGACTTTGCCAGACTCCTTACCTTGGTAAATCATCTGAAGTACATGTGATAGGTTAACAAGGCCCCCAATGTGAATGTTGATAGATAACAAGCAAAGGGTGGTCGCCTCCAGTGGTTTGTCGCATCCTTAGTGAGTACTTCAGTGCATCATGGTTTCCTGAGTGTGACAGTTCAGAGCTGAAGGTCTTATCACTAATTTCTCAACCTTTTGTAGAGTCAACAAGACCTCTCTTTGTTGGAAGAAGGAGAACTTGAGCAACACTTGAAAAATGCATTAGAAGCTGACTCTGAGGAAATAAGCACATTGGCTTCTGCTGAGTTTAAAAGGCGAGCACTGAATGACGTTGACACAAGGTCTAAGGACACAAGTCAGAGTGGCAGCTTTCCTGGATCAGAACCATTATCTAGGAAAGAATTCATGTTTGATGGTGTTAAGCACAGTCCAGCCAGTAGCATGCAGGGGAGTAAAGGAAGTTTGTCATCATCATCATCATTACCAAAAGGCAGCAAGGCAAGTCTTGTATCAACCACACCTCCAAAGGGTAGTAAATCCAACCTTGTATCGACAATAACTCCCAAGGGAAGTAACTCAAATCTTGCGTCATCAACACCTCTCAAAGGAAGCAAAAAAAATCTTGTCTCAGACACACCTCTGACTGGAAGTGCTGTTAAAGTCAATGTTTCATCGGAGACACAGCCGTGGGAGAGCAGTGCAAGTTTTTCGACACAACTAGCTAGTGAACCATCATCTCAAAGGGAGGACATTGGCCTTCAGGAACTCAACAAGTCTTCAACTGTGTCTAGTGTAAGTATTTTATAACAAGGGGAAACTCTCAGAGCATTACCTTAATAATATTACAGTGTGCATTTGAATAGATCCCAGCTTGACTGAAAACAGTAGCACTAGCCTGCAAATTAGTTTGCCTCCTTCCAGATATTATTCTTAACCCTCTTATTTTTAATTAATTTTAAGGTTTTTGTTTCATTATTAAGCCCCTTCTGAGGAGAGAATGATTATTGTAAATCCTCCTCCCTTAGGGGCTTATTTATTTCAAGTCCATTTGAGGTGGGGTGGGGGGGGGGCTTAATAGAGACGTGGGGCTTATTTGAGAGGCGGGGGGCTTATTTAATTTAGAAAAGACGATGGTATCGGTTCTCCATAGAGAACTAGAATACGGAGAGGAAAAGCTCAAGTACAAGACTTTTTAGGTCGTGCAGCTGAGGATCAGAATCAAATACGAACTTCCAGTTGGTAAATAAACCATCCCAGATCAGTCCACACAAAGTTTTACAGTCATGATTGATTAATAAAGTCTGCCATTTATTAGTGAAGAATAATTAGGGGAGGGGAGGGGGGTTAATAGAGAGGTCGGGGGGGCTTATTAACTTTCTTCTCCTGAAAAGGGGGGGGCTTATTAGAGGGAGGGGGCTTATTATTGGAGAGTTGGGCGCTGAATAGAGGATTTACCGTAAGTATTTATTTAAGGTACTTATTACAGTGGAACCTTGATATAACAAAGGCCCAAGGGACTAGCAAAATAAATACGCTCGCTATAAAGAGGTTTCGTTATATCGAGGTTCTTTTTCACATATTGCACTATTCATGGAACAAAATAATAGTTCGTTATACTGAGGACATCTTTCATTATAGAGGTTTTATTTTTATCATGATTCCACCGTACTTTACGGTTTAACAAAATCAGAGCCGATCATATACAAAAGTTTATAGTAATGAAAAGATTAATCAAAGTTAAGTGGTGACCACTTCTTCGCTTTGGACTCCACACGATTCTGAGAAACTGGCGAGCTACCCACCCCTCCCCTAGCTCAATTTTAACACTGACTTCTTACTCAGGACAAAATGTTGGATTGGGGGAGGAGTCAGTGGCTAGTTTTTCAGACTCTTAAATTGACTCTTAAATTCTGTTCACTTAAGGTAGACTTTTCCGGAAGCATAAGCAAAGGTTTTCTCTGAAATACCAGAAACTACTTTCTTTTCTTTCTTTCAGGAATTCACTGTTGACACAGCTTCTAATTCCAATGACTTGATGGCTTTTCTGCAGAATTGGTAGCCACCGTAATACAGTATCGTAATGAACTGTTCTAGAGCGCTAAGTGTGTTTTGGAAGTTCGTACAGTGTTACAACAAGCTATCACAAAATTTTGACTCTTTTCAATTAACTAACTGACTTTCCTGGCATGTTCAAAAACACAAACCCCAGAATTAAGCTGCGAGAGTCTCTTTCCCGCAATTTTTTTTAGAGGAGGGGTTGTCTGTGCACAGGTTACTGTCCCAGAGTGGCAATGCTACTGTGCTAGCATTTTATGATCACGTTAGATGCCCCTCCTCTACCGGTGAATGGTTTGAACCCAGAAGTCATTTCATTTGTTGTCCCTATTCATTTCCTACAGCAGTTGAGGGGAGAAGTTGATAAAATATCAAGCAAATTCATCTTGTGTGATCATGTCCGTAATTCTCATGACCACTCTGTTTTACAAAGCATTGATATTACAAGGAGAAATCTGATGCTGATCACTCAAAAGGACAGTGACTAACGTTTCGACAACCAGTACGGTAGTCATCTTCACAAATCTTAAAGAGAACCTCAAATGTTCAAAATGACGGTCAAAATTTCAAAGTCGTTTTTTTTTCATCAGGCGAAAAAAATAAATTCCATTGGTCTCCAAAATGATGCAAAGAACCATGATACGCCTTTTATTTGGTCAAAATTGATACCGCATGAAAAGACGCTAATTCTTGGCTGTTATAATAGTAGGCAACTGAAAAACGTTATTTTAGAGTAATTGTAGCAGTTTGATATTCGTATTCAGTTTTCTGACTCATTTACGGCTCTTAAAAAAATTAAAATTTAGCATTTATTCCAAGACGACGACTCTTACTTTAGACGATACCCATTTCCCATCTTCGTTATCCATGGATGTTTTACCCCGCGTTAGGATACCGTAAAATTCCGAAAATAAGCCCCTCCATTTATAAGCCCCCCAAAATCGTAACACAAAAAATCCTCCGTTAAATCGCCCCTCCGAATATAAGCCCCCAGGGGGGCTTGTACTGGGAATTTGCCCTCGAATACAAAGTAAAACAAAGCAAAAATGGTAAATTTCCTTTCCACCAGAAGCTAGCTCAGTCAATTTTGAAACGCAAAATTTCCCTCCAAATATAAGCCCCTCAAAAAGGGTCTTTAAAAAATATAAGCCCCGGGGCTTATTTTCGGAATTTTACGGTATCCTATTTAAGTAAAATTTGGCCCTTATTATTTCATTTCTCTGTTGCTTTTTGTATAATAAATGACAATGCCGCTTTACTGAGTAAATTTTAAAAATGCTTTTATTTATCATGTCTTTTTGTTAAATAAAATTCGTAAACGGTTAAGATCAAAAACTCTGAATATCTCTTTTAATACTTTGTAATACTTCTCATAATATTAATGTTGAATTTGTTGATTAAATCAAATATTAGTAGTTTACAGAATCCATTGCAAAATTTACGAAACTGCTGTCAGCGGGATCTTTTTACAAAAAGGTTATTATTATGTACAACTAATGCGTGGTAAAAGTGTTAAATATAGTACAGGCCCACGGTGTTGATAAACTGCAAGCATGCTCTCCATAAATTCGAGTTGCAAACTCGCGCAAGACTTTTCACGATTTTTCCCAAGTGAAGAGTTTGCTCGCAGAGTGTTGTTTTGAAACCGAAGGTAGTTCTCGAATAAGAATGAGAAATTTTGCGGAAATGATCCTTAGAAAAGACGACAAGAACTTTTATCCTGATAGCTGGCGTAGCGCGTTTCCTGCGTCGAGCAAGCTCTGCTTAAAAATCGAGAGAGTCCTAGTTTACGCGGGAGTTAAGATAGGCGCGTGAGTCCACAATTCTCGCGATTTTCAAATGTAGGACTAGCTCAATGTCTAGTATAAGTTACAAGAACTTAACGGTCTCTCGTTGTTAACGTTGAGTCATAGTCATAATTTTCACAGGAGTTCAACACGGGTTATTTTTTTCTTTCTTTCTTGAGGCGTCCTTCTGTGGACCTTTTACCCGTGCGAAAGCTCAGAATTTAAAAGTTGAGTTTTGCAACCACAAGCAACGAAAAAAGCGTAAAAAAACGAGGCTGGAAAATTCCCGAGCTAGAGTGCGGACAAGTTTGTGTGCAAGCGCATCCTTGTGTCGCGTTAACCGTTGCTTCAGTGGGTTTTGGAACTTCCATGTTGTCCTTTTTACATCGCATCCACTTCAAGGCGATGCTCTGTGGGTAGTCAGCCTCTACGCGAACGTTAAAATCGTCAAATCTATAATACTTTGGCCCCGCGAAGAAGTAAGATTTTCCATTCCTCCATTTCATAGCTGCATCAATCCTTTGGGGAAGTCCTTTCCAAACGCTTATGCTTCTCGGATATCCATAATCGATTTTGTTTCCATAAAAACGCCAGTACTTGTCTCCTTTGAAGAAGTACGTTCGCCCGTTTCTTTCCCAGATAAAAGCAGCGTCCATATTAGCTAATTCCATTGGTAGTCTAAATTGTGTGATGGAGAGGCCGTTGCTTTCAACTGTATATTGCTTTCTTCCACTATAGTAGTAATACTGCCAAAACCTTGGGTGAAAATAGAAATACGTGTCAAAAAAAGATTTTTCACTCGACTGAGCGTGCATTTTACCAAACTTGCCCCAGCCTAGTCCCAAGACGTCTCGCCTCGGTCAATCCTGGCCCCGGTTGTTCAAACGTTGGGTAGCGCTATCCAATTGATAAATCACTATCAAGCGGATAAATATTAGGGAAACCTATTGCACTAGCCACTGGATAGTGATTTATCCGGTGGATAGCGCTATCCAGCCTTTAAACAACCGAGGCCTGGACTCTACCGTGAGCTGTGACGTCAACGAGAGGGACTCACCTACTCTTTCATAGACTGCGCGCGCACAAAGGGGCAAGAGAAACTGCCTAGGGGTCTAGGGCGGCTTCTGCGCTCCCTAAAAATGCCATGATACGTTTTTCTTAGTTTGAGCAGGTTTGGGACCCTGTATGAAAAACGCACCATCCATGCCGCTTAGCATCCTATATCCAAAAGATGCAGGAAAAAAAGTTTGGTCTGGTGAAATATATACCACACTGCTATGTTTTGACATTAACGATACTTGTAGAACTGACTAGAACTTTTCCATCAAGTTTGTTTTTTGAAGACATATTAGAAGGCCAAACGTGTGTAAATCACGCAACGGAATTTAGCGCCATTTATACTGTTTTTGTCTCTACACACATAAGACGCGTCTTATTGTTCCACGTATAAATGGTTCTGAGCTGGCTACCCTGCAATTCTCTAGGGAAAATATGCAACCCTTGGCAAGCGCAGGAAATCTGCAACAGCAGCTAACACGTAAAAATATAGCCCCGAAGCGAGAGACAAAATAAAAGATACAAAGAGTATCCTCTGTTACATTAGTTTTGCAAGTACTTTAGAAGTTCTTTACACGGATTAAAAACTGAATTACTCTCGGTCGCTCTATTATAAGGGAGTAGCAACTTTTGCTGGGTTAAAAAACAACTTCAAGCTCTGGAATAATTTCATTTTTTTAAGGGAAACCTATACTTTTCTAGATCAACGACTAAAAAAGTGACTCACTTTGAACCACTGAAGAAAACCAGTCTACTAGCGCTTTTCTTGTAGGCGGCATCTATCTTGGTCGGAAGTTCCTTCCACAGGTCGGAAACCTTGTGGGGTCCACTTTCCAAACCCGCACCGGGATCTGACGATACAACCCAAAACTGCGTGCCTTTAAGCGCGTACGTTTTTCCATCTGGGGCGAGAAAAAATGTGTCGTAGGAATACATTGAGCACACATCCTTTTCCTCGGGGAGGGGAGGTTTAGTGGATGCCGGTTTGGTCGTAATGGAAGAATCTGTAGGCTGTGTCCTAACAGGTTTTCCTGAAAGAAAAAAGGAACAAGAGTTTTAACAAACAGAAATTAAGTAAAATATTGTACTTAATCTTCATTGCTAAATCACAATTTGAATCTGAGTTGGAAGAAGCTAAATGTCCTGAACGCAGGTCCCTTTCAAAGCAGATGGACAACTACGATGCTTCTATAATTTGGGAGCTGTCATTTTACATGGATTCTTAACTGAGCGTTTTAGTAATGGCGAAGATAAGAAGGAAAGAACCACACGCTATCATGAACACGTCAGAATGCAAAAAAACGCTCTCTTTAATATTGTCTCTACTACACTTCTGATTGGTTTAAACATCAAATTTTTAGTTCGAAATCTTCGCAAAGCAGCTTGTATATCAATTCCTTTGTATTCTATCCAGCTTCCTTAAACAAAAACTCGTCGAGTCTAAGAAAAAAGTAAAATTGTAAACTTATCTTGGCTGTTACTTGCAACTCTTATGATTGGTCGAAATCTTTTAGCACAAAAAAACACACACTTTAAAATTGGAGAGTTTAAATGAATTTTTTTTTTCGTAAACTGGCTTTTTGTAGGTTTTTACATTCTCTGTGTGAAAATGAAAACACTCCTTTGTGAGGAAAACGTATTGCACCATAGCAAAAGAAGTTGCTTCCCGTTTTAACCGGATCACTTATGACGGCGAGACCTTGAATACAACCATTTTTTTATAAAAATGTGTTTTATTTGCGTGAATGAATGAAGACTGACCTGAACTGTGCTACTTTTTGTGAAGCCTGAACACACAAAAACTGTTTAACTCACCATAGAGCGCTTGTATTCCTAGAGTATCATCAGAAGTAAGCTGAATATTAGCTTTATATCCCTTGTACCAAGGGTACATGATAGATTCCCGTACGTTGGAATGTTCCAGTCCCAGGCTGTGTCCGAACTCATGAACCGCCACCCAGTCCAAATTGACACCGTTGCTTGTCCCGGTAGTGAATCGCTCGTCATCATCGAAATGGGCGTCACCCGAAAGACCTGAAGCGAAAACAAAAGGACATCAATTATTACCTAACCGGGATTAATAGCCAAAACTCTGTCTCGCGATGAGATATTCCAACCCTTCACTTCATCCAGGCCTGACCGAAATACTACTAAGAAGTAATATGTGCACCTTTTAGCAATATGATTCGGATAACAAGAGTCAATAGGGCCATTTATACGAGGAAAAATAAGACGCGTCTTACATAAGACGCGTCTTAAATAAGACGCGAACTGTACCATTTATACGAGCATGTCTTATCTAATAAGACGCGTCTTAGCTAAGCCGCGTCTTATTTTAGACGAAATGTGCCGTTTATACGGAAAGTTCGCGTTTTATTTAAGACGCGTCTTATGTAAGACGCGTCTTATTTTTCCTCGTATAAATGGCCCTAATGTGTCACAAGTCAAACCTAAAATTGCTATTATGACGGTTTCTACTGAAGACTAGAAAGCTAACATAGCAATTTCGTCGGTTCCTTAAGTTTATGTGATTGCTACGCAATGTTCTTGGCCGAAAAGTTAGCGTCTCTTTCTCAACCAGTCAAAAAACAACTACTTATGCAAGTGTTTTCCCGCGCTTGGCCTCTGCCGCATACATTTCCTTTAGTTTCTGATTGGTTGACGAAATTTCCTTGCGTTGTGATTGGCCGAAGTAAATTGCATTGGTTTTGGTCTTACAAAAACAGTGATTCATCTGTTATGATCTGATTTAGTTAGTCAGGTTGTATTTCTTGTAATTATTTTTGACTACGACTTGTTTTCATTATTTTCACTCTACAGACTTCTCGGGTAGATAAACTTGGGGCTTAGATAGCCTTCCGGCAGCAGTCAGTCTATCAAAAACTGAAATTGAATTTAAAACTGTGTTCACCTAAGTTGTTATGTGGATAGAAGGCGTGTGCTAATGTTCCACCCTGTCCGTCAAACGGATAAGCGTCATCGTGGTATCCACTTTCAAAACTTATGTGAATATCAACATCCTTGTCAGCCGAAGATCTATCTTCTTTGATTCTCAAGTTCGTCGCCCCGGACCACAAATCAAATGCTTGCTTGAAAATCTGCCGCTGTTTCTCTCGATCGCTGATGTCTGATGTGAAAGATTTGATTTTGTACGTCAATTCCTGTGAAAACAAAATACAATGGAAAACAGAGTTTGTAAAAGAGTACGAGTCTAGCTTAGACTTCAAAAAGTGGGCTTTTCCCTTAAAATTGGTTTTTGGTGAGATGTTTGCGCGGTTTTCACCCACGCTCCAGGGACGCTTCAGGACTTTTGTTGACCCCTCCCGCGTTCTTGACCTACGCAAAAGTTCGCGGACTGCTTCGCAGTCTACGTCCGAGTTTGACTAATAGTCGCGGGTCGCGGGTCGCGGGTCCAATGTCGCGGTCGCGGGTCCAATGTCGCGGTCGCGGGTCCAAGGTCGCGGTCGCGGGTCCAATGTCGCGGTCGCGGGTCCAAAGTCGCGGTCGCGGGTCCAATGTCGCGGCAGGAGAAAATGATTTGAAAACGACTGATATGAAAACAATATGAAGGGAAAAAATCTTTTTTGTGCACGATACTCTACGGTAGCCAATTTACAGGTTACGGATGTTAGAGTCAACAATATAATGTCTCAAGAAAAGACCTTGGATTTGAAATACAGAAAGATTAAGAAAACGGCTGGAGGATATTGGGTTCTTAAACATCCAAATCAGAATTTTCCAACGAGAAACACAAAGAGAAACATCCTAAGAGAAATCAGCGCTTGTAAGTTGTTTTTCTTTTTCCCGCAACACTGGATAGCCTGTATGCATCACCTTCTTTTTCCAATATGTCCCTTGCAAAGTGTAGCGTTTCTTTCTTCGCATGTTATCAGTCTTTCCAAAGTCCGCTACTCCACAACGGGACTGTGACATCTGTTTGAGCGTTGCTTCGTCTAGCTGACCGGTCTCTCGTAAACCGGCGAAGCGCTGAAGCATTTTGACGGCTTTTTCCAAGTCTTGTTGGGTTCTTAGATTCCCTGTTCTCGGATCACTGGGTACTAAGTATCCATATCTTGTTAGCCAATCCTATTGCACAAAGAAAATATACAAGTAAATAAGTACATGAATAAATGAATAAATAAATAAAATAAGAATAGTAAAAAAACTTTTTCAAAGGTAACCGTTCTTGCAGGTTCATTATCAGTCAGTCACATTTTCGTTTCGCCATGCCCGCCGGAATGTCATTTACAAAGCGAAACGAAAATAGAGCCTGATCTCAGGTTAACGCTTACATCATGTGTACATGACGTACTGATGATTTTTAATGATGACATCACTTGAAAGAGGAAGGGAAAGATGTGACCGATCATCTTGAAAGTAACTTTCAATATTGTGGGAGAAACTCAATTTTAAGACTCGCTCTTGTAAAATTTCTTATCATCGCCGAAATATAATGTTTACAGAGGATTTTGAGATTTCCAAGCAGTATCGCTCTTTTAGTAGCCTGCGTAGCATGGCGGTTTTGGTTGGGCGCGCCTCGCGGCTTCGCGCGCGAATTTCGCGGCTACGCCGCTCGTGCGCCCGGCTCGACAAAACCGCCATGCTACGCAGGCTACTCTTTTAGCATGTTTAGTCAATCATGTTAAAATGCTAGATCACGGCCTGTTATTATGCGGTTTTCCGTTTCAGATGACATTTCAGTTTGTTTTTGCATATTCTTTGATTTTCATTTTCCATTAAAAAAAGATGATTTTAAAATAGCACTATCACAGGAGACAGCGGGAGAGAAATGCAAAGCATTCACATGTTTTCTTAAGTGAAAAAAAAAAAGCAATACAGTTTGTGTAATATTGTATTTATCTAAGATTAACACTTTCACTCCAAAATAAAAACATATCATAAAGCATAATATCGGATCAATGCGTTAATCTGTTAACGAAATTAAAAAAAAGTCAAGAAACAAACAGTAGTGAATTATAGCCGAGAATAGAAATCTTCAGCCTACATCAGTCAAAAGCCAGAAATTTGTCTGTCCGGTGATCGGTTGCGTTGAATTTACATTGTAAATTTTAAAAAATAGAGTCAATAATATTATAAGATATTAATAGCAATATTCATATATTCAATATTACTCAGACTATTGAAGAAGATTTCGAGATAACGACAAAATGAAAAATGTCTCACTCTGAGACCGTATTTTGTCATTATTTATTTAGCGTTATAGTTTTTGTGCGTATTGTGAAATTCTAAGATGTTTACATTGGGAAAACCAAAAGAAACCCGTAAGCGCTGTTGGAAAAGGTCTTAAAGGTCACCAGTTCCCACCACTTGTGCATCGTGAAGGCACGCATCTTACCCAGCAGTGTCATGAACACTACACGACTTCCTATGTGTTACGAAACTTTAATATTTAAGGTTTTTTGCCACGCTTTTCTGGCTCTACCCTCTTGGCTAGCTTAGAGAAAGATGCAGCTCAACCGTGACGTCACACATGAGCTAACGCCATTTATGCTAGATCAGCCTTGATCGAGAGTTGAGGAATGCCGTAACTGTTATTCTGGCTTACAACGTTTATTGTACAAACTTATTTTTTAATTAGTGAGCACCTATCCATGGCAAAGACGTGACTTCCTTTGATAGCAGTATACAAAATTCCTGTCTGATTCTTGAACCGGCGCGCGTGGTCATAGACAATGTACCAGATGTACGTATCAGTACTTTCAGATCGGTTTTCAATTACGACTGGCAACGTACGTAAATGAGGAAATTTTGTTTCTGCTCCATGACAAACACTTTCTGAATAAATAATGAAAATAACCACAGCTGCATTGATGACAGAAGTTAAATATTACTTACAACTCCTCCTGCGACAAGTCTTGAGCTTACTGGACTACTCTCAGTGGGTTTATGTAGACAAATCAAGCAGCAAACTACGAAGGCAAATCGAGTCGCAAAGCCAACAAGAATCTCCATTGGCGTTAATGTCTGCAAATTCTTCTTGTTTGAGACAGGAAATGATCAATGAAATCTTTCTTAACGATCGTCCCCGTTGGTGTTTTGAGAACAGCCGCTTTTTCTGGTCTTTCGTGAAATTTGCTCTTCGGTCTCAGTTTCTTAGAGACGTGGTGATAATAAGCGTGATCTCTCACTTTGCAAGTAGCGATCCGTGCAAACTATTCTTCCTCTCAACTGAACACTCTCCACAAACAACGATCAGTAAAGGGTCGGCTTACCAGTGTGGAAGCGGGGATTTTATAGGCTATTGAGCGTGACAAGAACTGCTTCCGTTATCCAATATCGTTTCCATGTTTGGTAAGATAAGCTTGGCACGTTTTAGTGAAGAAGAGATCACATGACATTTTACTCACCCAACGTACGTACTTATCGTGCGTGGATGACAGATCGTCTTGGCACCGATCTTGGCATACGTCTGAGAATATGACCCTCTTCCAGCAGTGAAAGTCTGTCAAACCGATCAATTTCACAGTTAAAAAATTTTAATTTGCCAGCTGCAATTGTCCAAGAAAAAGAGCCCATTCCATTACCAAAGATGCTAGGTGACGTAGTCTTGTATTTACGGCCTTTTATAATTGATCCCAAAAATTGCTCATGTGTCCGTCAGTCCCGCCAAATTACCTGTTTCCAGACTTTCGATTAAAAATTGCCAGATATTTGTTTTCTGAGTATACAGGGAGACATAGCCTTCTTAGCAGACTGAGTAGATGTTTCTCTCGTGAAAAAAAACAAAACAAAACAAAACAAACTGAAAACCGGGTTGATCTTTATTGGAGTCCCGTGACTCTGTACTCGAAGACTGGGCGAGTCAGTTAACATTTTTAATCATCCATGTACCACAAATGATCGTTTATGATCGATGAAGGAGATATGTACCTTAATTCGTGAAAGTTTGCAAGTGAAATATTATTAGATATTTATTCTGTCTTCTCAATTATGTCTGCAATACGGTGTAATAATATTTTTGGAGAAAGAACTGCGCCTATCATCGCGACCGAAGATAAGACAGATAATGCCCGCTGTACAGTGTACATGCATTTGCCTAAAAGACGTCGATAGTGAATTAGGTAAATACTGAAGACATTAAATGTTATAAGCTGATGGGTTTTGTTCAGAGAGTCTCCAGCCGGTAACACAAAATAACCTTTTTCTCATGGGTTCTAGAAGAAATGGCCTTGTGTAGGTGTGGGTGACTCTGCTTTTTTACGTGACACTTGTACCTACGCAGATCTTGGCGCAGAACAATGGATTTTATGCCCGGAAGTATGTCTTGGAGTATGGTGACGTCAAAGGTCATGATAATGTTCAGCTTCACTGCTTTTTTTTCAAATATGACCTAATTTGTTTCAAAATAATGTTATTAACAGGAGAAATCCACACTTATCTGTACCGAATTACAAGTGTTAGTTTTATAGACAGGAGCCGATGGTTTAGGCTGGATTTACCACCCCCTGTGATCAGTTTTCGGGAAAGACCTGGCTATAAAGGACAGACCCGTATGAAAATATACCCTGTTTAGGACAGACTCTTGCGGTAATTATGTACTCCTTTTAGGACAGAGAGGGCATAAACCATTCCCAATCCAGCGGCATATCCCCGTACGTAATAGTCCATATAAGCAAATACAGCCGCCGGGCGCTTAGTGTCCTGCCGCTCTCATACAGACAGATGGCGCCTGCACGACTGATTTGTTTGATGAAATCTGTTTTTACTCAAAGCATAACCAATGATTTTAACGTGAATTTGCTCTATTGCAATTGTCAATTAATGGCTTTTTGATAAAAATTAAGATCACCCTCTCTACCTCATCCTCCCCCGCCCCGAAAGCTGAAAAAATAATATCAACTTTTATTTGACAATTCTTTCTTTGCTTTCTTTGCTTTTTTTATACTTTTGGGTGCTGCGGCTTATAACAAGCTGAAAGATCAGAGAGCGCCACCGTGTAATTGTGCTCAAATGGTCAGAAAACAGGATCACCAAACAAGGTATACCGCCGAGTTGGTGTACTATGAACCTTCCATATTTGGTATACTTTCCATACACTGGTGTGCGGAAGCCCGTTTAGACAGTATAGTATCCCAGCTGCTGTTGGCCTAGTTTTTGTCCGAGCATTGATCTGTCAGTCAAGGAAATTTAATCCTACATTCTGATATCTCTGCGCCGTGGGACGCAGGGAAAAAAAATTGCTTTTCTCCATCTTTTTTGGGTATCTGTATAGAATTAGACTGGCTAAAGATAAAAAAAAATAATCCTTCATTTTCTCATCGGGGCGCGGGGGGAAGGCTACTCATCAAAGTTTTATACTGGGAGGCCCCGCTCCGAGGTCCAACCCCTTACCCTTTTATAAACCATTTTAGACAGAAACGGTACCCCTTTCGTGTACCTTATATCGGACAAATGCAGGAGCCGTTATGGGCTCCAAACAAATGGTACCCCTCTCAGAACTTTGTATCTCTTGTAAATGCACTGTCTGTAAAATATACAGTAAATTACAAACCAGAAAGTTTTCTCGACTTTTTTGCAGCCACGATAAAACGCATCTGTTATCCATTAGTTTAGGCAGGAGCCGATTAGTAACTGGTGGGGGCCATTATAGGGAGTCCCCCCCCGAGCAGCATACCCGTCTTACCGTTGCATTTGCCACATGAATTTTTTTCTCAATGTTCTTAAGCTCAGAAATGAAATAAAAATCCAGCATACAAACGTTACAGTTATACCTGTATTCTGCAAATGAATCCACCACTATTCAGTGTTTGTCGACAAACACTGTTAGTGTGGCGTCATAACGAGAGAGGATATAAAAACTGTGCAAGGTGCCTGGGGGGTAGACGTGGGAATTCTTGGTGGGGGTATGCCGCCCGGTTCTCCAAATCATGATCGTATTTGAGACCAAAAACCGTCATTTTTTCACACCTGTTTTCAGACCTGACCGTTTTAATACCCGTTTTCAGACCTGGCTACTAAGAAATTATGTCATCATTACTTAGACTAGGACAGCAATAAAAAAAAAAAATTAAAATCCATTTTTGAACTCTGTACTTGTTTTCCGACCAAACCAAGGCTATACCCTTTGGGCCGACAAAACGTTTTTCAGGTATATGGCTTATATAAGGGTGTACCCCCCCCCCCCCCTTCGGGGGGGTAAGGGGGTGCAGGATCAGTTCTGGGCAACCTCTTCCCCAAGGCTCGCGTCGGAAAAGTCTTTCTAACTTTCGAAGGGAAGAAGCCTGGAGGACGAAGTTGGGCTCTAACCTGGGCTATTCACTTCTTTTTCTCCGATTAGAAACAGTTCAAAAACGGTGCAGTAATTTTAAGGGTCTTTAATGGGATTTCAAAGTGCCAACAGGTGGTTGTTTACCATTTACATGGGTAAAACCGGTCGGTTTACAGTTCAGTGGGACATGGTAAGCAAAATTCTGGACGTGTCTAGTAAATTTCGTATTTCCATTTGCCAGAAAACGGTCGTGAATATGCCACTTGCACATCTCCCATAATACACCTTATTTGCCTTGCATAACCTTTGTTTTTCATTTCTCCTGGCTATTACAGCCGTCCCAAGACTCCAAGAGAACTGATTGAGAACAAGGTGCATTATGGGCGATTCCGCAGGTGGCGTATACTTGAAACTGCTTTAAACAGAAATGCCGGAACACGAATTTCTGTTTGGACCCTTCCGAACCGGGAAAACAGTACGACTTGTTTATTTACCTTTCAGAAGTCCCGTTGCTTTCGGACATTTTCTAAAGAAACGACCCGAAAAACAGTATTCCATGTACTGTTCAACCGTATTTTCCGGAAACATTTTATAAATGGTGAACAACGTTTGTTTCCAAGAGGGGAAACTGCAACACTAAAAGATAAACAACGTCCATCACTGACTGAATAACCTTTTAATTTGCTTTTTTAATATTCTGTTCTTTCTGGTTTAAAAAAATATATATATTCTTTTCTCTTATAAAATAATCATGATAAAATAAACAACACATATCAGGAGAAGTAGTTTGGCACTGATACGTAAATGAAAATGTATACCACTTGATACGTATGCACGCCTATCGGCAGAGTGCTCAATAGAAGGACTAGAGCGTAATAGAATAAGAAGATATATATAATTATATACATAAAAATATTTTCTTCATATTGTTTCTTGTTACCAATTACAATTTATACATCTTAACCATTATCACAATCCGTAATACAATTCTATAAAAAAAAATAGAAAAAACTCTGGGTATAAATATGTACAGAGCTATTGGTACAGAAAGCTTTTAAACACGTTAAAATAATTCACTCAAAGTAGTTCATGCTTAGGTATTGCTGCTTTGCAGCTGATATCTCGGCGGCCTTGTAGATTGACTAGAATTAGAAATGCCTTTCTCTCCATTGGGAACTTAACAATTTTTACATGCGACTTCTGCGAAAAAACACTATTTCACTTATTTCCTCAACAGAACATAACCGTCTTGTCAAGTAGTTTCAAACCAAGAATTTGATCCCACAAGAACTTTTAGCACTTGATCATGTCCCGCAAGGAAGGTACACATGAACATAGTGAAAGAATTAAGTGTCAGTGTTAAAGTTTAGTAGGTTTAAGTCCTCTTTCGTATACGTTTCTGGGGACCTCTTAGAGGAAGAAGTTAGCGTATTATTATATATTACTTGTAACGCTAGTCAGGTAATCTTTAATCAGAAACAAAACATTTTACGGCTCAAAGGCCCTTTAAAACTTATTCTCGGTGTTCGAGTATATGAGTGTTTGATGTAGTTCTACAAAAATCTTCAGCAGTGATTGTTTCATATTTCTGATATAATCGACGCGCTTTTATATCCGACGCATAAACTTTGCTCTTAGAGATAAATATATAAAACAACGATAGAAATATAATTTAAAACCTGTACACTTGTGTATATTTTTTACTCTGGATATAGGTCATAATGGAAACATTTTTCTTAGAGAGAAGATATAACATTGATACAAAGTTGCCATTCTCGTCTCAGGGTTGTCTCTGCGTTAAGTCTGAGTGCCTTAAAACAGACGGTCAGAGAGAGTAGTCGAAAATACTCGTGGAATTTTTTTTTCATGAGACACATGTATCTTTCAATGATGCTGTTTCAATATATGTGGACTGACAAAGTACCGCATTGTGCGCGATAGCGGACACTGAGACTTTTTCAGCAAGGAGATATACCTTGGAAATAATGGTCTCTTTACGAATGAAAGTACGGCTTAAAAAATAAATAAACTGCTTTAGATTTGTCAGTAATCTATTAGGAATTTACACAGGGATTTTTTTAAAAATCATTTTCTTGATAGGGGCAGCCAGCAAAGGAACATTAGTCCAATTTTGTTTTTACAACAACTGAGTGATTTCTCGTGCGCTAATTGGTCGAGAGGAATGTTCGAAAAGAGTACAGCTAGACTAGGCCTAGATCCAAAAATCCAGATTTTGGGGGGGATTTTTAGAGTCAAATAGGATTTTTTGAAAATCTAAGAAAATCTTAGGATTTTTTAGACGATAATGTTTGGGAAACATACAGCCGATAGCCAAAAAAAAAAGACAAAAACAAATTTGGGTGGGTGGTTCTAACTAAGAAGTTCGGTTATAGGCCACATGAAATGTCAAACTCTACTCAGTGCTTATACTGTCGTTATCGTGTGTATACTATATATGTAAACTAGACGAACCACATACTTGTCTAGTAAATATATTACCATTTACCGCATTTTTTGCAAATTATGTCATTATTTCAGAAAAAAATTGTGGTAAATCGGGATTTCTAGAATGAATTGCGAGATTTTTATAGGCAAAATTGGGATTTATAGACATTTTTGGAGAATTTCCAGATAGATTTTTAGGACATTTTTCGGTATTTTGTATCCAGGCCTAGCACAAATCGACAACAATTTTTTTAACATCATTTTTATGGTCGATTAGAGTACAGACCATTGAAAATTGTTTTCGATTTGTTAATTAATCTACAAATACTGACTGAGTAGGTACAAAATCGTTATCATTACAAATCCACCTTTAATCTTTTGGACACCATTGTTTTTTGCGGGAATCTGCTGCTTCTTCTTTCTTACCGAGCCATGCGGTAAAATTCTTCCCGAGGCTAATCCCTCTGGTGAACAACCCATCCAGTAGGTTGAGATCGATTTTGGAAAACCTTGCCGAATGCGCCAGGACGAGTCATCTAGTACGTAATATCGTTCCCCCTTGAAAAAGAACGTCTTGCCATTTTTCCACTGAAGAGCAGCGTGTATGTTTCTCTGTAAACCCGGAAGCACAGACCGAATAAGCTTGGGGTAACCAGGATCAACGCTTTTCTTATAACCATCGTAACGCCAAAACTTGTCGCCCTTGAAGATATATAAGTGTCCTTCAGCTCCTCTCTCAACTGCCGCATCCATGTTATGGACTGCGTTGGGTAGGTTTAGATCTGAAACGTTTGATGCCCCTTTCACTAGATTCATGTTTTTGTACGTCCAGTACCTACAAAGAGAAAGAATTTCCGCGATTAAGGAACCCCATTCTAAAGCAACCATAGCATACGCGAGCTATTCAATGAAAACAAATCTGAATGCAAGGCTGGCAATACTGCAAAGGGCTGATTTATTTGTGGAATTCATGGGCTCCTATTTTCGGCTAACAAAATTAGCCTTCCTCAGGGCCAGAGCCTTTCAGTGCAACTCTGGCCCTGAGGAACACTAATTTTGTTAGCCGAAATATTGGCGTCAATTAAATCAGCCCTTTGCTGTATTTTGCCTGCCTTGCGTTCAGTTTCGTCCTAATTCCCACTTCAAGTGAGATCTGGCTCTAGCATGTCTACATTAGAGACCTTGCAAGAAGGAACCAATCGGTTTTATTAAGCGTTAAATAGGCCTGTATATTCAAGGGATTTTACTATCCAATGAAACAATCAGCAAACTGGGCTAAAACGTGGGAAAACGCAAGCTGACATATGGCAGTTACATTGAGTTGGATAATGGCACGAAATCTGTCAACCAATCACAGTGTAGAAAGGAAGCAATGCAAATTAATTAGGGTGGTAACCAAAGTGAGTGTCTAGTTTGAGACTGTCCTAAACGCAAGGAAATTCACCCCGTCCATTATTTCAACTGAGTGGTCAAAGCCGAAGCGAAATGGAAACTTTTCTAATCTTATACGTGAGCTCTAACCAGCACGCGAAAACGAAAACCAGAAACGTCTGTTTCGAAATTGGAAAAAGTTGTTTTTCTGCACTGGCCATGGATCTTTTACATATAAGATTATGTAAGATTTGAGCCATAGTATAATTGGTGATACGAGCGACTCCGACGTTTTATCGGTTCTCATGAGGGGCCCGTTTTTTGAAAGTCTCGGTAACTTTTCGGGCCTGGAAAGCTTGTGTTTACCGTGTTTGCATTCATCATCAAAGTTTCTATAATCTTGAAAATGATACAATTAAACTATCAGTTAATTAACGAAGCAAAATTGACAGGTTTGTGAACTTGGACCTGTGCTACTATTTAACAGGTTTTAATTTTAAAATTTGCCTTCTGGCCCGAAAGGTTACAGAGCCTTTCGAGAAACAGCCCCCCTGACCTCGCAGACTGAATTACGTGTATAATATACAAGTTATAGTTAAAATGGATTTAAAAAACTATAATAATAAAAATGTACAAATCTAACAAAAACATTTCACTTAGGATAACCTTGTGTTAGGAAAATATACATACTTAAACAAATTTATTTACATTCTTAGGCTATGGCTAACAATAAAAGATTTTTTAAGACGATCAGTCTTGCACACTGGCACGTTAAACTTTCTGTTGCTGCGCAGCTGCCTATGGTAAAGAGTAAGATAAAGAAGAAGAACAGTTACTCACTTTGATCCTTTAAATATGAAGGTGAGCCCGTCATACTGTCTCGTGTAAGCAGCATCAATATCACCCTCTAGACCTTCCCAGAACTCGGATATCTTCAGTGCTTCTGTAAAAACACCATAGTCGCCAACTGGCCAGAAATATGCGCCCTTAAACGCGTAGGTAGTCTTATCAGCGGTCATTACCATGGCATCAAGAGTGCTGTCACATGGATCTGGTTTTCCTGGGATAGACTGCCGTGTCGTGTGCACTTGAGGTGTTGTTGTAACTTTAGCGATTGTTGACTCTCCTGATGGCGGATTGGAAGAAAAAAATAAACATGTCAAAAGTGGAAAAATTAAATGAAGAACAAAAATAGACAACTCAGTGTCAGGGAAAACGACTCACCCTATAATAGGTTAGATGAACTAATAGTCCGGGGGATGTACTCCCTATAATGGCCTTAAAGGGGGGGGGGACTCCGCCCGGAGGGGGACCGGGTACCTTTTGCAGGCTTCAGGTATATGAAAGGTAAGAGGTTACCATGATATGACATGGTAACTCAAAAATAAATGATACGGATTACTGTTAATTGTCCTTGAAGAAGACAGTTACAGTCTAGTTAGGAAAGAAGTAAAAAACCTAAAAAAAATCTAGGAAGACTACTATGATTTCGTTAGCAATTTGGAGAACATATTGAAAGTCCTCTCTCTCTCTCTCTTGTTATTCAAAGATCATTTTGTGGATCAGTCAGTAATCACAATCATTCTTTGTGCACCTTCATAATCTTGTTTTAGTTCAAACAGGAGCTCATAAGACATGGGCTCCTGGTTCATTAACGAAACATCTAGGGGGAATTCCAATCCCCGGTATGAAATGACAGGGGCGTAGCTAATACGGGCCTAAAAAGTCGTCTGGGTAAACCAAATCAAGGCCAATACAGGAAATTGTAACAAAAATGCCTTGACGCGAAGACAGTGAAAACAAAAGTGAACTTTCAAATGATGGATTTTTTTGGGTGAAATGTGGACTCTGAGATATCGTCATTCAAAGACAGTGGATCTTAAGATTTTAGAATAGACTTTATTCAATCATGTGGGGTGGGAGAAGGTCACCCGCCCAGAACACTCTCTCAACGTCCTTAGTGATCTTGCCCATTTTTTAAAGTTAAGCAAGGTCCTCTGTATTTAACTGACACAAATCTAGTGTAGGTCCCGTCTCACAGCAGTCTTTCGATGTTCTGATTCTGGAGGACTTAGAAAAAACCATACTGCTGTTCGTAAAGAGTAGAGGGCTTAGACCCCGGTGGTGTGGTACAACCTTTCATGGGCTGGGTGGGTAAAGAAGGGATTGATATCAAGTGCCGCGACGTATGTCCTGTTTCATGTACTGTCACCATGTTGAGTCACCGTGGCGAATTTCAATAAAGTAAAGTAAAGATTATTTTCTTTAACTCACTATAGAGCTGCTGAATTCCCAAAATGTCATCGCGATGAAGTTGAAGTCCCGGACGACTGCCACGGTAAATCGGATACATGATGGCGTCCTTATTTGAAGAATGATCAAGACCCAGACTGTGCCCCAGTTCATGAAGCGCCAGCCAAAAAAGATCCACTCCTCCTCCCTTATTGTTGGTGGTAAATTGTTCTTCATCGTCAAAATGAACATCCCCAAAAAGTCCTGTTGTAGGCCAGAAAAACAAAAACAACAACAGAAAAAATATTGAAGGTGAAACATGATCGACCGGGTGACCTTAGTCCTGAATAGGACTGTCGTTGTTGACAGTGACTGACGTTTCGACAACCTGTGTGGTAGTCATCTTCAGAGTCAAAGTGAGTTGTATAACGTCAGTTGTTGGTATTAAACTCTGGTTATTGACATGATTGGCCAGTTAAGTCGTGATGTTATTGGTCATCTGTCAGTTAAGCCCTGGTGACCTTATTGGCCATGAAGACTCTTAAATGTCATTATTTCAAGCAGCTAGTTTCTGCGTAATTTTGTATTGAATACCCACAAATTAATGCAGTACATCGATTTAAGTGAGACAGTTCATGTTGTGAAAGTTGGTCTCATTGTGACTAGCCTGGTACACTTTGACTTATGAACGATTTTTGTGTTTGCTAGGGCTTTTTGGGAGTGCTTTTCCTGAGTGCGTGTTTTGGAGTGCTAAGGTGTCTACTGAGCGGAGGTTAAACCTAGGTTTCAGAACCCAGACAGTGTCCCTTTCCCCTGAATAGATGGGTCCCTTCGATACATGAAACAAATACAAAGATTATATGAACATTTTCCAGGACCAACTTGTCTGTATTCTGAATGGATCCAGGTGTTCCATGAATAGAGGTTCCTACGTTTTCACTCTACCTCGTACATGGAGACGGAATATATGTTCAAGAAACGTACCTGCATTATTTCCAGGGAAGTAGGCGAACGCAAGCTCTCCTCCCCTTCCATCAAAGGAGTATCCTTTATCTACTGCTTTATCGAAGAAAATATCTATATCGGCTGGTCCACTCGTCACTTTGGTGAAGGTTAGCGGAGTTACCTTTGCCCATAAGTCCATGGCAGCCTTAATTGTTTTGTCTACGTCCTTCACTGACAGGTCTGCTGTATACTTCACCATCTTGTATTTTAAATCCTGGCGAAGTTTCAGAATAAAAACAGATTCACTTTATTTGAGTGTCAATGTATTTAGCACAAAAGTACTAATTAAGACACTAATTTTACGTCTCCTGCTGGAGATGGGGCCGCTATTTTAACTGGTCATCTGAGCCACGCAAAGGTCTAGCCTCTTGCAGGGCAAAGGTAATATACTTCGTTTCTGAGTTTTTTTAACCCTACCTTATTGGTTCGAACTCACCGACCTCCCGCCCGCTCTTCGGACAAGCGCGCTTCCTACTGAGCTACTGCTGCCGTGAAGCACAAGTTAGCAAGTACGTTGACGAATTTTTTACACAATAAATATAGGAAGATAATTCCACTAATTGCACAATTGGTGACGGTGAAGATTTATCGATTTTGCCCTTGTTGGTGTTGCGTTTCCCGGTGTGATCTTTAGATAGGGTAACGTTATTATATCAGCTAAAATTCAAGTGCGTAAATGCCCAGCTACAAGAGAAACAAATCATCTAGTCATCATCATCTAGTATCAGAAAAGCGATGTTAGGAGATTTGTGTGTTTCCGTTAAATTTTAGTTTTTTTGAAATGACACCTTTAAAAGATTCGAAGACGAGAACGAGATTTGACTTCAAGGGCCTCCAAGTTTTTCGCCTATTCAAAACAAAAAAAACATCCCGAAAAGCTTCATTGTAATTTTTTTTTACTAGAAAGGTTTGCACTGTTGCCTTTAATGAAAGAGGTTTAAAAGCTCTCTCTCGATCGCAAAATGATAAAACTTCTAACATTTGATAACTTGTTTCCGCCACTACGACATTCTCGCTAAGACTCGTAGTAGAATGACGACGGCTATCGCGTTTTCCCGCCAAAATAACACTGGTTCACGTGGGAGCACTACTTCTCGTACTCGTAGTCGTCCCCGTCTTAGAATCTACATTGTAAAGGTTAGCCTGGGTAGCAAACGTTTCCGGGCGAGATAACTCGACTGGAAACGCTTGCTACGGAGGCTATGTAAAGGTCTGTATTTTGGCTCGTCATGGAATCTTCTTAACAGCATTGCGTAATAAACCAAAACTGAAAAAAAAACGCAATTCACTTCTGTTTTTCGTACGTGGTGGTGACTTACATGTTTACGCCACCAGGTGCCATGTAGAGCATATCTCCTTCTCCTCTTAAACTGCGCCGTTTTGCCAAGATCACGAAAACCGCACCGTTGCTTGGTAACCAATTCTACGGTACTTGGGTCCAGCGGATTCCCTGTTTCATTGAGCCCCGCGAAATGCTGAAGTTTTCGCACGGCGTCAGAAACTTTTCCAGAATTTAGCTTTTTTTTTCCTATTTCCACATCAGCAGGCGATAAGTAACCATATCTTTCCAAGTAATTCTGTTGTAAAAAATATGCATTCATCAGGATCAGTGGAACTTCTACTCTCATATTAAATTCTATTCTATATTGTACCAAGAGCCACCCTGCTAAATAACGCTAATCTCACGAACTCCGCGCGGAATATCCAATGTAGTATGTACACACTCAATGATCTTGGTGATTTGAGCAATCTGATTGGTTCGCTATCTCGGACTATTCAACAATATTCACCTCCCAGCGAGTGGAGTTTATTTATGACAAACAAATTTGAAAGCAGATGTTTGCAGAAATTCTACATTTCAAGTAAACACGAGAAAGAATGCTACGAATGTTACTAATAAAGTGCCGCACAATTAGTCACCGGGGGGGGAAGAAGGGGTCTCCTGGGAATTCTTGGTGTGCCACCCGGTTCTCCAAATCCTGACCCTATTTCAGACCAAAAATGCCATTTTTCACACCTGTTTTCAGCCCCAACCTCTAAGAAATTATGACGTCATTCCTTAAGTAAGAACGCGAGTTCGCATATTTCTTTCTCTCTGATTTATTTGGAATTGAAACGACAAAAACGTTCATACACCACCGTCTCGAAAACTATACCTGTTTCCAGACCTAAATGGGCAAAATCTATATCCGTTTTCAGACCAACGCGGCGCAAAATCCATACCCTTTTGGGACGGCACATACTTATATGGCTCACATAAGGGAGAACCCCCGGGGTCAGTTAAATGACCCATTCAGTTGGTTTTTCCCAGTTTTTTTAGGGACATTTTAACCAATCATAACACGCGTAGTATCTCGACTTCAGTTATTGGTAAATATAGATCCTGCGGTTTAGGGGAGGGGACGCCAACAATTCAGAACAATTTCATTATCAATTCGATCAAGGTTTATTTTAGAGACTCCAGATTATCGGATTAGCGGGATTGTTGTGCATTAATTTTCAGCCCGGGATTTTCAGCCCAGTGAGTCTTTGGTTACGTTTGATCTCTCTGCTTTATCAACCTTTGATCGCTCTACTCTATACTGTCAAAATACCGGCCTGGATAATGTATCTCCAAAAATGTCATCATTGCGCTGTCATCGTTGGCAACGATTTGCTATTGTGCTTTCAAAATTTTAAAAACCGCAAGAGGATTCTTGATGTGTTCTTTGTTTTCAACATTTATAGTCTTATTGTCAAGTCATCGAAACGCCCAACTATTTAAACGCCTCGACTCTTAAGAAAACAAAGAAATCAATATTGACAGTCTGTAATACTTTGGTGTTGCAAGTCAATTTTGGTCTTTTTGTGAAACCTTCATCATCGCATTAGACAATTTAACAGGACAGGTTTTACCTACAAACATTATATTTAAACGGTACGAAAAATCACTAAAACCAATATTAGAGTGTTGAGAGGGGAGTCCAACCGCCCACAACCCACGAACTAGCCGGATGGGGCAAGTCTACTTATCTATCACAGGAGCCGGTATTGTCAGAGTTTATGGAATTTGATAAAAAGTGCTAGTAGGGTAAAAGCCCATTTGTGAAGTTTTCTTCTAATCCATGAGAAAATAAAACAAATCATTGTTCGGGTAATGACTTTAGTTGACGTCAATGTAAAAATACAGCAAGGAAGGCCAGTCAACGTACAAGAAGTTTGTTCTTACGTACACATTTCCCATATTTGCATAAAGTGGTTGTAACTAATGACTAAAAGTTCTGATCTTGGTTGCTTAAAGTGATCTAAGCCTGTTCCCCCACAAATCTAAACCAGCCGAAAAGAAAAATTTGAAAAATGCGTTGTTCGGTTAAATCTGTATGTCTTTTTATGCACGTGTTCCGGTTTTGTGTTGGTTTGCTCTGTAGGTTCTGCGTTTGTTCCTGTGGCTCCCGCCCTAAAGGCAATATGAAGATGTTACGTAGACATGACGTCAGATTAATAAAATCTATCCTTTTGTCATCGAAACTATAAACACAGGAAGAGAAGGCTTCCTTTCTTGTTTGAATGAAATTCTTCTGTGTAAAATTCATTAGTAAATTCCAAACAAACCTACTGCACATTTTGCTACCTTACGATGAGAGCATTATGAATATTTTCATACAGCACTCAGAGATTCTACGGCTAATTGCCACTGAAAACACTTATAAAACAAAGGCTTGTAATTTCAAGAAATGACCGTGATTCCCTTTAAGAGTTTAAGGTCAGAAAACTTGACTTTGTATCAGCGTGAAATTTATGTACAATATGGAATCTACAACGAGATTTACTAGGTCACGCAATCTGGAGCAATCGATCTTCAAACTGTTGTCTAAGTTACCAAGCAGTGCTTTCACTCGTCCTATATCAAGATGTTAATTCTTTGACCGATCTTTGTTTCAGTTTTTATTATATGGAATTTTTGTTTAATTTTCAAAGATGTGCTGTCTGCGTAAAACTTGTCGTATCTCAGTTTAACGGCTTTTTCAAAATTTTTGACCAAAAAGCCCCAATTTAACTTAGAAGGGCAGCGGGACTCTGCATCAGGAAAATAAGCTATTTTAGTAACAGATTAAACCCATAATTAACGGGGTAAATTTACACAAAACGAAAGAATTTCATCACTGACGGCCCACTACTTTTGCTTTTTATGAATTAATACATTCTGGCAGTAAAAGCCTACAGTAATATATTACGTGTACTGATTCTAGACTGACAGTTGTCGATTACTCTTTTTTTCGTTGAGATTTAGAAGCTAACCGCGATTTTAACTCAGAGTAGAAATGAAGGAACATATCGATTGCAGTTTACTAACGCTCTATTCTAAGACATTCAAGTTTATTGAACATAAAAACACAGAAAAAGACCTTTAACCGTTCAAATAGTTTGGATAACGCTATGGCCACTGCACTTAATACTTAAGGCGTAAATTATATCCGCCAAATTTTTTCTCTGTATATTAGACAATGGCTTGACAACTCTACAATCGGCAGACAGATTAATCCACTTGTCGGCCTTAATGTCGCTGCGAAATATCAGCATATGCAAGTTAAGTAAAGACAACTTACCAAAACCTTCGACGATGTCGGTAGGGTAGGTTTTCCACAAGATAGTACAGTGATTGTACATAAAACAACCAGTAACAGCGAAAATCTTGTCATTGTTTCAATCAGGACGTCAAAATTAGGTGGCAAATATCAAGACTTACTGAACGTTTTGATCAAGAAACGAAGTTTCACAAGAAGGTAATTATAAGTGATCTCGTTGAGAGCTGCGAGCTACTGATGCTCTGTCAATTCAGGTCAGAGGCTTAAGTTAATGGCGTAGAGTAATTTGCCTCTTTTATAGCGAACAATGTTGGCTTTCCGCCTTTAAAGACAAAAACAGATCCTGCTGTTTTGGAAGGCAGTAGGTGGAGGTAATGTGATGACAAACCTAAGGAAATCCGGACTTACTTTGTCAAGCTTCGACAATAAAAAACCACCTATGTTTTGTTAGAAAATTTATATAAAGGTATTCCACACCTTTGGTGTGTATTTTTAGCTCTTTGGGACTTAAACCCTCAACTGAAACAAAAACATAATTAATGTTTCAGTAGGGGAAATTTTTGTGCAGTTTTCGTGAGTTTTTAGAAACTTAGTAAGAAGTTTATCCGACGACCGTCCAATATTCAAGTGTTTTCAGTTTCGATGCTACAAATTAATCTTCCAAGGAAAAACACTCTTTTGCGGTTTTGTACTAATGATGATTTACGTAATTTTTGGTGCCATCATGGCTTAGATTAGCTATGCACCTGTAAGCATTGTTGTTTATGACGTGATCTGAAATGTTTCAGGAATATCTTCAAACCAGTTCCCCTCAATTCAAATCCACGGCATTTCAAAATATGAAAATCACAGAAAAAACAGCAACAACAACGCTAAAACAAAAATATATGCCTCATATGCTTTCTGTTCTCACCCGGAATGTAAGTTACATATTTTCTGCCAGCATGCGCGATTAATTAACTGCAATTTTTAAACAACAAAAAACTAAGGCACTTTTTCTTGATAAAATTTTTGGCCAGAACACTTAGAGAAAGACACTACATTTGCGAAAAAAAAAATATCTCATTTAATGCCGGAAATTATTTCGGTTCAATGCAAATTCACACAACTTTTATTTGCTTCCTAATTTCCTGTTCATCGTGCGTTTTGTCCCGTATCACTCGCCACCCACGCATGTCAGACTTGAGACTCTAGCCTTTAGTGTTTACATGTTTTCATCACTTGTTCATGTAAACCGGCACACTTGTAAAACCTCATATTTACTTCCTTAACCCATTGAGACGTTAGTGATGTGCCAAGTTTCAAGATTCAGGAATTTGGTTGTGACAATTAAACGCCGGTTGTATCTTAGTTAAAAGAACCACTTATAGCGTTATGCTGAATTAGGAACAACTGAAGCCGAAAAAATAAAATACAAACTAGTATCCTCGATGGCACCGTAAAAGATGGATGGCTGAATTTAATTATTAGACAATGATCTCCTCCGCAGATTTGATCTTTTGAATTTCTCTGATTGGTGGCAGGGAGAATACAATATTATATTAAAAGAGCCGGCTGTGTGAGGAAAAAGAGAACAAGAAGCCAAAACATGCATGACTGGGAAGGCTTGGAGTACTAAACGAAGATATTAGTTCCTGGGGTTTTAGTCGCTTAATTTTGCCCTTACATCCCCGGCTTATGGTTGTTAGGCCAATCTTTGTTAAGGATACTTTCCAGAACTGACAGACGGGTTAAACGGAAAGTCAAATCTCTACTGTATTAAAACTGGGAAATTCCCGGCCAAGAACCCGGACAGTAGGTACCCTGGAACTAATCAGTAGGCACCCGAGTGATCTACCCACACTCTGTTAGAATTAAGCACAACTTTTTAATCTTAATTTGACAAGCGAACTAGCTGAAAGATTCCAGAGAAGATTCCTAGAGGAATTTGTACGTGAGAAAGCCGGAGCTGAAAGAGATAACCTGCACCAAGGAATGCAAGCACAACTTTCTCTCTCGAACCGTCCTAGCCTTTCGTCGTCAGTCAAAACTTGTCTTTTTGCCAAACGCAGTCGACAGTTAAAAGCGTCCTTATCAATAAATGCAGTATTCAATTAAAGAAGTATAGGCTATTAGCGTTTCCTTACAGATATCGTTAAGTTGGGAATCATATGATGAATGACGTTCAGGAAGTCTCGACCAGTCTTCAGTGTTGATTGTCACTGATATACTGTGCACGATTCACACTAAGTGAAATCAGAAGATTTGCCGTGATAGTGGTCTGGTATCACAACACTACTAATGATAAATTTGCCTGTGTAGTAAACAAAATTATCTCTTTAAAAGAACGTTTAAGGCCACTACTATATATACTATAAAGAACGAACATGTGAGAAGGCGATATTAGCCAATAAAGTGCAGGCTGTAAATTATGAAGACGGTAATGTAACTTGCTTATATACTCACTAAAACACAAACTGCGTCCTTACTTACATTCTCTTAGCCACTCTCTCGGAGCCTCGCAAGGCTCTGCGACAACTGACTTATTTCTAATTTATCGGGTCATTGAATCCGTGTCAGTTTATGAGAATTGGCGTGATGTCTCCCCTAAACAATCCGTTTGAAACCATCTCGGCAAAACGGCTGCGGATGTCACGTAGAAAAAAGTTATGCTAGTTCCAAAGATTTCTTTCCTTCCGGTCTCTTACTGAGTTCAAGGTTGGCTGAAGTTAACACAGAGTTGAATTTCAGAGAACATCTTTTTGTGGTCACGTGCAGGAGCCCTGATGGGCTCGTTTTACGTGCTATACTGGCTTGGTGGAGTGGACCCTCGTTTTATTAGGGGTACCCCTTGTTTAAGACATACAGTACCTGCTAGTCAGACACTGGAGAGATCAAAGTTGTGCTCTGAAATATTGTCTGGTCTGGAATTGTGTATAGATTTTACAAGACACTACATTTTACTTATGCTTATCTCTTTGATAAATTTGAAGCCTTCTCAAGACACAACCATTAACCTCGCACGTGCTGGGTTTCTGAGAACATGAGCTAGAGTGCGCGTGCTGCACAATCTCGATCCCAGATCTCTTCTGTTTCAGAAGCGTGCGCACTGGGGTCGAGTATGGCGAGCTTTAGAAGTCTGGTCCATCATATTACAAAAAATTAAATGGTCAAATGGCACAGTATTTTGGTCTGAAACGAGCAAGGGTTGCAAAAACATACGCACACTTCCACCCAAATATCTCCGGGAGTAAACCCCCTCCCCCAGGAGTAAATGATGGTCAATCTATTATAAACATTTATCTCCCATCCAAAATAATTTTACAACTTAACTGAAAAATATAAAAAAAACCTCAACTAGTTTGAATAATTCTAGTTGAAAACGTGCAGAAGAAACGCAAACTATTTTCGCCACATTTTTTAAGCCTATATAATGACTATAATGGTTGGGATCTCGGGGCGTGCGGAGCCATAATCCACGTCCAAAAGACACAGAGAGATACTAATGAGTACGTGATGTTGATCTAGACTAGCTGATGGAAAAAAAAAAAACCTTTTGCACCATATTCAGCGAGTAAACCACCACCTTTTTCGCAATCAAGACCTGTTTTTCACAAGCAAAATTCACTAACATACATACATACATACATACATTTTTTAATTGTATTGTAAGGTAAAAGTACAATTATAACATGCCCGCGAGGGTAGCTGAGCTAATCTAGAAGGGTCATGTTTACAGGAAATAAATACAACTATTAAAATACAACTAAAAGTAAAAGGAGAATTAAAGAAACTAAAATTGACCACAATGACTAGAGACTACAGATAAACAAGAACAAGAACTATTTTATCTCTAGAACAGTTAAAAACTGAGGGAAAGGCATATGGTTGCAAAGTCACAAGTTCGAAATCATGGGACGGCTCATGATACATAAATGACGTTCAGGGAGGCACTCTCAAGTAAAAGTTACTGAGTGATTGAACATATATATATATATATATATATATTGTAAAGGTTTTGGTGCGACCTCGCCATGTTTTTATCCTTGGTGACAACAGAGACGGTGTACGTGATCAAGGTCTACTCACGTAGGCTTGTTGCTCGCAACGCAATACACACCAAAAGTTGTAAAACTGCGACATATACTGCGGTATTGTGTCAGCTGCGCAGGTCAACTACAGACTGCTCAATATGTTGCGCAACACTACGTGATGCGGTATACCAAAAATTGTAAACTGCGCAATTTACGCGATATACGCCATAATTCCATACGGCGCAATATCTTTTTTGTCTAACAGCCCGGCGCCGGTTGGCCAACGAAAAACTGTTATCAGTCCCACGAACACGTCCGCGACATGTTAAGCAATACTCCGTAAACTGTGCAGTAAAATCTGTACCATTCTGTCGTAAAAGGGACGTGTGCAAGTCAGGGGCGAGTTGTAAACCTTAACAAACAAAATTTCTTCTGTTGTCAAGCACATTAACGAGGTCTGCTCGTGTTACAGGCGCGATGATGGTTTTATACTGTCTTTGCGCGCAAAAAAAGCTGTGCAAGACCGTTCGTTACCCAGCTTCAAACAAACTGATCAGTAAAACATTTACAGTCAGCAGATAACAAGATATGAGTAGAACAATTACAACATTAATTAATATACGAGTACACCAATTATAGAAGTCGTATTGAGCAATTTGCAGCGTATTGAATATATTGCGCGTTTTACAACCTGGGCTATATTGAGTTGAGTTGCGTTAGTTGCGTTGCTTTGTGCAGTTGTGTTGTTTTGTGTAAGCCTGTTCACAAAAAGGCAAAACGCTTCTGCGGCCTTTACTACAACAACCGGAAGTAATTTTCCGAGAACTTGGTCTATTGTGCGTAGCAGGTAGGTTTACGTACTGTCGTAGCGACAAACCTTTCTACGTCTAGGGGAGACTTTTGGCGTAGTATCCAGTACGTGAATTTTAAATCTCTTGTTTATCCTGAGTGTTGTGTGTGGCTTACATACCGGTAATGTATGTTCTTAACATGAAAAACGTTCGTTGTTTCCTTTGGGATTTAGCCTATAGGATTAGGGGATTACGAAATCAAAAACATTTTGGCTCTAATTTATTCGCCACCGAAGCATCATGGAAAGGATTCCCATGTTTTGGCTGCAATGACTACAGAGATTAAAATGGCGCAAACATCTCCGAGATGTTGAAAGAAACGACGAATACTTATCGAAACCCTAGCGAGCCATTTTAATCTCGCTAAATATCCCAGCGAAAACATGAGAATCCGTAGTTTAATTCTTCATCAAAGTAACACGCAAGGCGCAGACCCTTAATAACCCTCTTCGCGAGAAACAACGAACGCTTTTTATTCAGCGAATTTATTCTTGTTTTTCACCTTACCACCTTTCCAGCATAACATAGCTCCATCATGCTCGGTATATGAACCACACACAGCCCGCAGCCCACAATTTTTCAGAATCACTCGACAAAAAGGCTAGAACTCAAAACGTCAACTTCTCACTACCCCGTCCCAGTCATCTGCAATCACTTTTTGGGGATTATTAAGAAAAGCGATGACCAAAGGAGAGATTGGAAGTAGGAAAACAGCGAAGCGACTGGAAAATCGTGAATCCAAGATGGTGGATTTCCCCGAAATTTATCGACCGGTCCACGACGCTGTAGGAAGGAAAAAGATCATCAGACGTTCCCATCATTCCCTCTCGCGCTTCTCTCTTGTCACAAGTGCTCCCAACTAAGCCTTGGCCAGCCTGAAGGAGGCAGTACTACTCAATCCCCCCTACGGTGGCCAATCTACCTTATCGAAACCAAATCTTTGCAGAGTACCAGAGTCAATATTATTTCGTCTATTTGTTGTTTGTCATTATGACCCGATTTGGTCTTAAAACTTCCTAACTTATTCCACGAAACAAATTTTAATTTTTAGCTTTCGTCTTTGGGTGTTGCTAAAGTGACGCCATCACGCGCGCGGTCAGCCTTGTAGGGCGCGCGTGACCTAAGCGAAGCGCGAAGTTTTGCGCGAAAATTCTTTTCTGTGACGGGAATGGGAGGGGAACGATTGTCTAAATAACAGTTTGGTCAGTTATCTACGTTTAATTGACATACCAAAGCCCAAGAATGCAGGTCGTGTAGAAACGGTTCCGCGCCTGATTACTCCATTTTAACAGCAATTATCAGTCAAAAGGTTGAAGATTGTTGGCTTATTAACATCAGCTAACGTCTATTCTGATAGAAGTGTTCCACAGTTTGAGCATATTGCTTTGAAAAAATTGCATTTTTAGCTTCCCAAAGTGATACTATTCACCGGACACATGGGTTCTTAATTTTTTTGATATGTTTTCAGTCATAATATTTTTAAATTGATTACGGATCCTCTGGAAACAGATCTCTTCCTTTTGAATTGCACCTCATCCACCTGTTTGCAATGTCCTGGGGATATCCTGCGGCTTTTCCTACTTTCCCCCTGTTCATCTTCGTATAAGTTGTATCCCAGAACACGTAATTAAGACCGTTCATCCATTTGACGGCCGCTCGAATTTTTCCAGGAAACTTCCATGCTCTTTGAATATCTCTAGGGTATCCGTAGGTATACACCCTTCTGGTTCTGTCGTCATACTTCCAGTACTTATTGCCTTTGAAGAAGTAAGTTTGACTGTTTCTCTCCCAGATAAAGACCGCGTCTAAGTTGGCAATATCTCCTTTGAACGGTCTATTTCCGTAGTTGTTGATTTGCCCGGATCTCAAAAGTTTTGGTTTGTAGTCATATTCCCAGAACCTAAAGATAAGACGGAAAATGACAAGGTCAGAGTTCACTAAGGCCTCGTTTCATGTATACGGATATTTGTTTTAAAACGAAAATACGCGTCCACACCAAGCGTATTACAGTAATAAATAACAAAGCCTTGGCTGTGCTCTGTTCCGCACGAAAACCGTGCAGATAGGGCTTCTGTTCACACGAGAGAACGGTGATTTCGGCGCGATTTCTGTAAAGGAGCGAAGCTGCTCAGCGCCGATCTCTAAAGTGGAGCGTCACATATCGGATAGGTATTCATAATATACCGGAGAGCATTTTTTGTCGGCACCAAAAGCTGGGGTATAGTGTGAACAAATCCTTATTTTTAAACAGCGATCAAGTGCAACGCTACGTTAAAATTTGCAAAAATCAATGAGTACTTAATAACAAATCACTTAACCACTACAATAGTTCCTCGGGAAACCAGCTAAGTTTGAAAGCCCTCCAAAGTGTCTTTCCCGATACGATTGAAAAGATTTTCCTAGGGAAGAAAATTAACTCTTGATCCTGGGCGATTAGTCATAAAGAGTCCAATGTCTTACATTGATCCTTTGAAGAACACGACGTGATTTTGACTGTTGAGATAGGCAGCATCAACTGGAGTCTCTATTTCCTTCCACACCTGCTTAATAAGCCAAGGACCATCCCTGCGAAGTCTTTTGGAGACCATCCAGAATTTTTCCCCCACTAAGAAGTAGGTCCATCTATCGGGGCCGACAAAAACTGTATCATAACGAATGGAACTGTTACAGAGAGGACGAGGAGTAGGAGTGGAGACCCGCGGGCGTCGGGTAGAAGGCGTAGTAACCGGCGGGCGTGTGGTAGATGGCGAAGTTACTCGCGGGCGTTTCGTGGTTTCGGCTTTAGGCGTGGTCTTTGCTGTTGGTGCTGTCAGTAGACGAACAGTCGGTTCTAAAAAATAAAGGCTTGTTAGCTTTCAAATGGTTTAGAAAAAAAAAAACCAAAACACTTATTACCGCATCTATTTTATTTCTCTCTTTTAAATGACCTTAAAAATGAAGAGTTTTAGGCCTCGTCCACACTTAATGCGTTTTTGTTTGAATGACGCATACATTTCGATGCGTTTAGGCCTTCTGTCCCCACTAATACGCTTAGCGTTTTCATCGAAAACGCAGCGATTTGAAATCGCTCTTGAAAGTGGATCAAAGTTTAAACGCAAACATATCGTATTAGTGTGAATGGTCGTGGATGGTCGAAAACGGTCGAAATCGCATCAAAATGAAAATGATGACCCAAAATATCGCAGGCGCGTGTGCTTGCAGCATAGGGTTCAACTTACGTCGAACGATTTATTGTGGACAGTCGAAAAAGCATCAAAACGAAACTGTGGAAGCGAATCGATTGATGCGTTTTCGATGACAACGAAAACGCATTCAAAGTGTGGACAGGGCCTTAGTCTTTAAATACAAAGCAAGGAAACGAGATAGCATTTACTAGAATATTTTGGTGACGTAAATCTTTCATGAAAAAAAAACAAACAGAGACGCTTACTCGGACCGTATAATGCCCTAATACCCTGGATGTCATCTTGGGTCAGTTCAATATTAGGGCCCTGGTATCCCTTGTACCAAGGATACATGATGGATTCCCTTACGCTGGAATGCTCCAGACCCAGGCTGTGTCCAAACTCATGAACAGCCACCCAGTCCAAATTGACACCGTCGCTTGTCCCAGTAGTGAATCGCTCGTCATCATCAAAATGTGCATCGCCCGAGAGACCTGATCGAAAATGGAAATAATATGATTAGGGCACTTTCCAAAGGTCAGATTGAATGGCCGGCTAAACCATGACCTGACCAGTAATTTTGAAAATCAAATCTCAGGATTTTTCCAAGAGTTCCTCCTTCGTGCATATATTTAAGACTGATTGACTAAGTAGTTTTTATAAGAAGTGAAATTCTCATAACGACGGGAATGGTCTGGCTGGTCACTTCCGGTCAGCGTTAGTTAGTTAACAAAAATATTGTTCGAGTTAAAGCTCATCTGTAAGAGCCGAATTGAACGGCCGGGCGGAGGAGACTGGTCTATTTTGTTCTCGAGTTAGTCAGTAATGTCTCACATACGAATGTAATCGTAATGAAAACACAAAATGAGTGAGAAGATTAATTAATTAATTAATTGATAAAAGGGGAATATCCATATAGTAGTTGAAAGATAACAAGTAGTCCCTCATTTACGTTCTTGAGAGTTTAGCGATTGTCACCCGCAATGTGGATGAGTATGGAATGACGCTGGGAACGAACTTGAGCTGATTCTTACCTCATTCTAGTCCCCAGAGCCACTCGGCTTAATTTGTCAAAGAAACGACCGGCTCTTGGGACGATAATAGGCTGATTTGGCAACAGAACGGGAACGTCAAATGACGACGGCGCGCGCAAATTAAACAACTGGCTTGACCAATAGGAGAGCTGCAAATTGGTCACCGGAAGTCGTGTTCAGTCCTTTTCGCGCGCTTTCCCGTCGTCAACTGACGTTCCCGTCCTGTTGCTATATCAGCCTAATGGAACATAAGCAAGTGTCATTTGTAACTTCTGCACATGCGCGACCGGATGTCAGAAATGTTCTGACATCCGGTAACGGCTGCTTCCCGAGCCCGTCGTTTCAAGACCCCGTGACCAAAAGAAACGACAGGTTCATGAGACGAGAATGATTGTTACCTTTGTTGGATAGAGGGTAGAACGCATGCGCTAATGTTCCACCTTGGCCGTCAAACGGATAGCGGTCAATATGTCGTCTTTGAACAAAACTGATAAGAATGTCTGCCTCGCGGCATTGATCGCATTCTCTTATATCTATCCCAGCAGCGGATTGCCACAAGCGGAATGAATTATAGAAGATTCTTCGTTGAACGGAGTCTGGTATTCCGTCTTTGGTGAAGTTGAGGATGCGGTAGGTTAAAAGCTGCAACGAAGAAGTGAAATACAGCAATTTACAGCAAGGCGATAGGCTATTTAATAAAAGTTCCACTAACTCTTCCTATCAAACTTTCCAGTCTACAACCCTCTTCATATACAGGTATTTTTTAAACAAAAAACCGCCTGATACCAACACCGTGATGATAATAATAATAATAATAATAATTATAATAATAATAATAATAAATAATAATAAAAATAAAAATAAAAATAATGATAATGATAATGATAATAACTATTTATTCTTCAAAAGTTAAAAATGCATATCTTTTCAGTGTTACAAGTGTATTTAATTAAGAAATTTTACATATAGTAAAAAGTATAGAAAGGTATTAATATACGAGCTTTTAAAACGCATTGTATTAATGTTACGTTTATAACAAGTTTCTTTCCTAAGATGGTAGCTAGACGGTTTAACGCGAGTCATTATAGATGAGAGTGGATGTCCTATAGAGTTTGAAACTTTTCAAAAAAAATTTTTATCTTGCCTCTCTAAGAAATCATATACAGTTACAGGCTTAGACGAGTATTTTCTTTTAAAACAGCGGTCCAAGAAACATTGCACAGTGTAAGATCGGAATCGGACGCAACGTAGACGGATAATACATAATTAATAATATATAGATTTAGCCAGGGCTAAAAGCGAAGCTCTCTTTAATATTTATGGATTCCTCAAAGAAAATATAAAATCGATGAATACGAAAGACAAGTTGAAAGCAAAGAAAACGCTAAAAACAACAACAATAGATCTAATTAGCAAAAAAACAACTTTGCACGTGCAGCACACTTTTTTTCTAATTAGCAAAAAAACAACTCTGCACGTGCAGCAGTTTTTTTTTTGTACATTTCCTTACCGTTGTTTTACACGACTAACGTGAAACTTCTTTTAGCTTCCTATTTACGCGTTTTATGGAGGAAATGTTTGTGTTCCTGTTCATTCTATTTTTTTACTGCCGCTGCTTTTTCACATTAGTAGCCGCTAGCATTCTTCATTTTCTAACCGCCGCTATATAATTTTCATGTTTTTCTTCCAGCGGCATTAGTCTCCGTTGTTATTTATTTCACGGTCCTGACAAGTGTGACACTTGACATCGGCTTACATGAAGTGTGTGTACGGGTGGGCGGGCGGGCGGGCGTACGCTACGTCATAACCAAATTTTATCGGATGGATAGTTTACCAAATTTTCTTACCCATGGTGCTCCGCTGGAGCGCTTCGCGCGCGAGAGCTCCGCTATTAGGTAGAACTATAGTATTGAAGAGAAGGTCTATTTCTGACTGATTGTACCCCTCGTTTCGCAGCGTTCTAAGGATGTATAGGGATTTGATACCTTTACAGCTGTAATAAGTTTGTTCTTCACGTGCACTGAAAATTTGCTGTCGCATTACAAGGTGACCCCCAAAATCTCTACTTCTTTACAGCTAGGTAGCTAGCTGGGTCCTCCCAAAAGGTGAATAGAGATCGAGGGTTGCCTCTCTTGTTAACTGTCAACTTTTTTAGATTTGCTTGGATTGCAAGACATTCCATTTGTTCTCGCCCAATCTAAAACATGTGACACTAACTGATCTGAGTAGTCTCCCTCCTTCCGTACAGGAGGAATGAAACAAGTTATGGCAGTTCAGATACAAATACATTTTGCATTTACTGGCTTTTAATTAAGGTTCAAAACGTCATAAATCAAATTCATTTCACCACAAGCCAGAGAGGGGCTTACATTCGAGGGGGGGGGGGGGGGGGCTTATAATTAGACTTATTTTGTTAATTCGTTTAGAGGAAGATAGGCCTACACCTGGGGGGCTTATTTGAGTTTATGGTATGGGCGGCACAGTAAGGATGCACAATGCAGTGCTAAGGAATATCCTTCATAACTTACCCTCTTCTTCCATTTAGTTCCCTGTAAATTAAACCTTCCAGCAGCATTACTCTGTGGATCTTTGACGCCGCATCGGTCAGTGTTGATAAGAGCGATAGTTGCTGCGTCCATTCTTCCTGTCACGGGAATATTTCCAAACCTCTGAAGGATTCTTAAGGAAGCCTTAAATTGGGGCGAGTTCACATCTGGTACCTCTCTATTGTTGTCTGTATCATTCATTTGAATATAGCCAAATTTCAATAAAAATTCCGCCTACAATGAAAAAACAAAACAAAACAAAAAAAACAATTGTTGGCTTTTATAGGTTAACACTGCTTGCAAGGCTTGGGCTGCGCATTTTACAGTTAACTAACAGAGTTGTCGTAAGGATATAAAAAGGCCTGTGTGCAAGACATCCTCTCCCCTACAAAAAATCACTCTCCCCAATTTTTCTTGAGGGGAGGGAGAGTCTATAGAATACTAAAGCAGAAATGTCGATATCATAAAGACTAGCAAGTCTACCCTCTACCCTTGCTCAATCGCAAGTGTGGGAATTCTTTAAAAATCCTTCTGAACAGTGTCTGATGGAAAACACATCTTCAGGATCTTCAGACCTTCAAAATTAATGTAGCTCATGCTCCACCACCTTTTGGTCATGGAAATTGACGCTCCATTTTACTAATGGCGCGGAAATTAATTATTAATAGCGTAAAAGTAAACTAACGTGAGTTTTAATTTCATGATAATTTATTAATCTCCTATAATAAGGTATAGTCTGTTACTTCCTTTACGTCCACTTTTAATACCACTCGACTCTATTTGTGGAATAAGACACAGTTAACTTTGGAATTTAAGGCAAATGTATATTGAAAATAGCCCTACCATCATGCCTTTCAATGGCGAAGGGCGCCTCCTCTAACTCCCAATAAATACTTGACCATTTTGGCCAGTTGTTTAATTTGAACGAAGTTTACATACACCAAGGTTTCATTATTAGAGGACCTCAAGAATTGTTTCAAGCTTTAAATATTTTTCTCCTTTAGCTTGTATGACTACGCGACACTGCTCACAAAAAAACGGCCTTTGTATGATATGATTGGCCATCACCAGCCTCTCACGCGGCGTTTTTAAGGGAGTCGTATTTCCTCCACGATTCCCCTAAAAACGCCAGCGTGAGAGGCTATTATAAAATTGACTAGGACCCGCGGTCTTGTCAAGCACAGGCTTTGATTCCAAACTCCACTTTAAGACCATTGAGACACCCCATATTCATATGGTATAAGCAACAAATGATCACCCCCAGGGGACATCATCTCTTCCTCTAGGTGGTCAAATAATCGTGAAATTACCTCTGCATTCAACTAAACACCCTGGCCTCTACTTAAGATAAAATAGGTCTATTTTTACATTCGGATGTACCTTACACTTGTAAGTGAACTTTACTCTAAAATCGGGAAGCCCGTGGGACACGCCCTCATTTGGCCTAAAATGAAACGGTTGTGTGCCGCTGAGCAGAGTGTGGCTTTCTAGTCTTAAACAGGGTACAATTTTACTATTCTGCATCTTGAACAGTGTATCTTTTTGGACCAAAAGCCTTTAAAAGAGTGTGAAGGCTGGCGATAAGTGGTCTACATTTGTGATACCAAAAATTTTATTCCATGAACTTCATTCGAAATTTCAAAATTCTGTATAACATACAGTTTGCATAATCATGGCCGCAACACGTTCAAAGACCTCTGTCTGATGGAAATCAAATTTATCAATGATATTCAACCAGATACTCTGACTTTTACCGACCTCATACTTGTAGAGCAAATATTAAGAAATTTTCCATCCTCTTTCAAGGTTCTAGAATAGGTAATTCTTTACCGAACAACATCCCCCGACCTTAATGTATTTAAGCGACTGACTGTTAGGGGTCAGACAGGATGCAGCTTTTAAATATCTGATTACCTACATATCAATATTTTTTCAGTATACATACTTATATTCCTAAAATACACGTCTTGTTTTCTTATATTTTTGAAAAGCCAGTATTTAAATTGCCCATGGAGGGAAATCGCTAGTCCTCATAAGCTCGATGGCTTCTCGGAGATTTCCCGGCCACAGTCACTCCTTCCCAGCTGTATAATTTTAATTTAATGTTATTTATCTGTTTAGTTATGCTTTTAATTCTACTTGCTATACGTAATTTATTTTGTGTGGCAAAAAAATTAAAACAAATAAATATACAAAACGAAACGAATCAGGGTCATAAACTAATTAAGTTCTTAAACAGAGTTTGCGAAAACAGCGATTTTGTCTTCAACAGCATCAGGGTTTGAAGGCTTCGGCGGCCAACCTCTACCCAAAGTTTCCTTGCTTGTCTCTCTCCCTCCCCCCCGCCCCCCGCTCCGGGGGAGTAGGAAGTTATTTCGGTTAAAGGCGATGAAGACTTGCCAAGGTGCCTGTAATGAAAGACATCTTGTTCGATTCCAACAAGGACATGCGCTCACCAGGCAGCTTAACTCGCTACTTTTGATTAATTAAAGGCAATCGAAAGAAGTTCTTGAACTATCTTGTTTTCTAACAGAGTGTTTAATAAATACATGCTCTTATCATTTCTTACCGTTTGCCGTGTTTGTTTCACTGGGGCACTAGAAGATCTCAAAGCCCACGTTAGTAAAAGCATCACAGTTAAAAATGCCGTCCCAGCGAAGATCTTTCCGCTCATCTTTACCGTGTGTCCGCTGTCTTTCAACAATCTTTATTGCATCCGGCTGTTATTCCGTAGATTCTATGGTGCTTTGCAAGTTTTAAACGTGCATCAGAAGAAAGCCTACGTGTTCTGCCTAGACACGACGCACAGATGACGAATGACGAGGTTTCACAGTAGGGTCTCTTTTGCGCTTTTTCAAAAAGGCGTGGTCTGTTGCATGCAGGGAATGCAATTTCGCGCGCGAGATTGTGAACCGTAACCGAGAAAAAGTTCCTATATTTTCTCGCTTGGCGCGCGCGAAGGGCATCTCCTTACCCTTTTCTATGCCATCGCCATGCACGTGGGCTATAGAAAGGCTCTTAACTTGTCGTCGTCAGAGTACACTAAAAGGTACAGTCAAATTCCAGCTTTTGGCTGTGAACTGAATAACAAATAGCTATTGCAACAAAAACTAGAGGAGAGCAGAAAAATGCATTATCGACTGCAGGGTCATTTCTCTGGATCAAATACATCGTAAGCCGAAACTTTGTCAACAAAAGCTGAATTCCTACTTTTACCTCCTGTCCCTGTTAAGTGTTTATACGGCTGTTGATGTTTGTTCTTACTGAGTGTCATGCATTAATGTGAAGCCTTCAAACTTCTTTGGCGGCTGTTACCGAAAATCTGACCAATTCATACGAACTTGCGGACATCATAACAATTCCCGAACACTGTATTCAGTAAGAGTCATTGGTTGGGAGTGGCTCTCAGCTTCGATTTGCTGAACAACAGAAAACGTCTCAGTTCAGTTAAGGTGTCGCGCGCTGAAAAAAGTAAATTTAAAATAATGTTTTTGATCTTTTCACTATCGCATCAAGTGCCTGACAAATAAAGTCCGTGTCTCTTGGAGGCTGCGTAGCAAGCGCCGATCATCTACGCAGCTGTACATGAAAGATCATTACGGAAGAACGCAAGCACTCCGGTCCGGGGCGAAAAATATACAGCTATATAATCTAACATGTCGCAATAAACTTGTTTTGATCTTTAAAGAAAGGCTGTCCTCAGTGTCCTATTTTTCTAGCCTCCAATAAGACTAATACTGAACCATTTCGGCCTGCCAGAATTCTGGCTCCTTATTTCATTTTATTTAATATAATATAATCAATTGTATGAAATGCTAAAAAAGTGTTGGTAGTATTAGTCGTATGAAGGCCGTCGTATACGTTTACTATACCAAATAGAACGTTTGAAACGTAAATATCCTAAAATATTCCGGGTCCTCTCTACCGGAGCGCGTACACACAGGACTTTAAAAAGGTTATTTAGGACACACTTCATCTTTTTCAGCACTGGTTTGGACTTACAACTCTTTAGCCTCGATCTTATATACATCTCTATCAATCCGTTAACGCGATTACTGGTTCCGATAAGCGATGCTCTTATGCCACGAGGGCCGTCACAGACGAGTTGAAATTTGTTACCACACTCCACATGCATTGTTACTACACTGTTTTTGTTGTTGTTTTCTTTATTATAAGAACGTTGTTTTTCCGGCCCAGGCTGATTATTCTTATTTTCTGCCTATTGTAGGCTGAAATAATTTATTATTGTATCATTCTTAAATTATAGCTTATGAAAGTCCGTTTTAGAATATATTGTGGTATCAATTATAGTTAGTGCAGATTTTTTCGTGTTGTGAAAACAGACAATTGTGGAAGTATTCGTGAAACCAAAACGAAATCTGCCACGCGCGACAACGTACCTTGGCCAATCAGAAGAGTGGTCTTCTTTTTAAATATGCCTTGACGCTATTCTTATAAAGAGACGATTCGCCCAAAAATTTGGGTAAAACTAGAGCCCAAATGCAATGCCGGTTGCGTGCGCCGCTCAAAAACGCCTCTGCTTGTCCTTCTTAATTTTCTCCAAAATACCATATGCCTGAATCTCGCCTCCAAGGTTTTTCTTTTGAAAATGGGAGGAGCCCAGGGGACAAGGCTGTAGTCTAAGAGTAAGACCCTGTTTACATGGAGTGGGGGACCCCGGTCTAGTGGGGTAGGTTTCTTTTGTTTTGTGTCGCCTAGAGCGTCAAAACAAAAGAAACCAACCCCATTAGACCGGGGTCCCCCACTCCATATAGACAGGCCCTAAGTGAGTAAAGAACTGATTTTTTATTGTTTTCGAATACATTAGTGATATATGCTTCAGCAAATACAATACTGTCTTTTTACATGGTGATAGGCTCCTGTGCACATGAAAGAATAATTGGATTCGAAATAGATTTAACATGCACAGAAACTGAGGTTCGGAATAAACCGAACCGTCTGTGAATCAACACCACTCGGAGTTTCCTGTACATTTACTATACATCAAATGTACTAAATGCAATCATTTTCAACAGCAGAGAAACGACAAACGGGAAGCAGACTTGAACGTGGTACTTAACCTCTCTATAAGGTCTAAGTACGCGTAAGTGGGAACATAATCCCCAATAAATGATCTTTCGGCTGGTCAAAATAATGAGCGTGAATAACCAGACATTTGTTTATGATTACGACTATGTCCCTGGTTGCTGACTTTCAAATTCCATCTTTTTTTTCCTTTGGATACTCTTGTCGCACTCTGAAAGCACCAAATACGAGAAAATTTCTTGAAGTTCACAAGCAAAATACTACTGAGCAGAATAATTCGTTACAAATACCCTGTGCCACTCAGAAATGAGTTGCCAGATAGTTTCTGTGACAGTGTCGTCTGAAGAAGCTTTTATTTGTACAATTTAATGAAAAACACTTTATATTCTAGTGATTGAAACTGCCCTAGGAAAGAATACAATTAAGTATAGTTGTCTGTTTTTCTTATTTTCTTATCTGATGGCCTTGTCTGATATGATTGTCACCACGTATTTTTTGGCGTCGTTTCAGATGGGGCGAAGTAGCTTTAGTCCGCTGAAAGGGAAGGGCTTGTCTGTCTTATAACACTAATTTTGCTTTTTGGGCTGACAGCCAAGGCATCCAGTTAACATCTTGAAAGAGACGTTCATCGTAACAAGGATAGTTTTGTTTGGGTAAAAACAAATGGTAAGCTGAAACATTGTCCAAAAAAAGGAAAAAAAAAAACTCAATTTCCTGATTTACACCAGGGGCCATCTCATGTGTTTGTCTGTGACCAATTCATCACTGCCAGTGTGACGTCACACACTTCGGGTCGCTTCTGAAAATTTGCAAGGTACACCCGCAGTAGACAATCGAACAAGAAAGGTCGGGGAAAAGATTAAAAGCTGGCCTAATATTGCTATACATCACTAATTTGATCATAAGCGTGCGAGGTTTGTTGTTGTTTTTATCTGCTTGTGTAAACCGTCTTGGCATTTTGTGCCTGTAATTGTGTAATTTTGTTAATTTGTGTCGCGGCCCGTGTTGCGGGATCGCCATCATCTTCATGGTGCCAGCAAATTCATAAATATTATTTCCTTTTTTCCTCTAAAATAGGCAACGTCTAGTCCCCAGAATAGGAGGTTCGACTCACAGGTTAACGCACGTTTATATTCCACATATTCTTTCGCTGATTAAATCGACCGTACTTCTCATCAATCCCTTCGAGTGTGCTCCTCTGTTAATTTCTCAATTCTCCACCAAATTCAGTCAGCTAGTTTGATCGATTTTCTTCATCGATCGGCCCTTTGAACCACACTGGCAGGATGAATCGCCGTCACAGACGAACAGATGAAAAGAGTGGAGATGGCCCCTCCCTCCTGATTTACACCATTTTCTAGAAGGTATATTTTTGTACCCAGGCTTGATATTCTTATTTTTCTGCCTACTACAGGCTGAAAATGTTATTCCAAACATTTTTAGATCTATTCAGTTTGGCCTACGATAAGACCTCTTTTTGGTGGATATCCTGAAAAGTCGAGCGCGTGAGTCAGGAACTGCACGCGCTGAAAATGCAATCCCTCACGCATGCTTCGCTTTCCACTCGAACTAACCTGTTCACAGAGGCCTCAGTCTGTCGAGCGTGGGTGATAAAAAAGAAAAACCGCAGGGGATTTATTGACCACCAGCTCCGGAGGCTAATCTGACCAGGAACTGGACGCTCAAATAGAAATGTATGGTTTCTGTATCATGTTCATTGCGCAAGAACTTTATCGTACAGATAGCAGGAGTTACTATTATTTTTTCTTGATGTTTCGCTTGGTTAGCTTAAGAGTTTTGCTAGAAAAGGAATAATTTACTACTATTTGCCATACTGCGTATGTTCTCTAAACATCACAGGAAATACATAAAGCAGTTCAGTCTTGCAGGAATGAGTAACCCAATGATTCTTGGGCTTCTTTCCAATACAAAGCCCTCAAAATTGATATCATCGGCCAATCTCTGGAGGCGTTGAAAGGGAAGCTGCGTAAAGAGAGAAAAGGACTGGGGAAAAGTCCCTTTCCCTTGATCTCCATTTCACTCCTCCTCCCCTCCTCTTTTTGTGCCTCCTTACTAAAAACCCTTTCAACAATTTTCATTTACCTTCATACTGAATCATGAGCAAGCCCGGGCCACCTTAGTTACGCCCGTGGTTACTCAACTCTTTTTACGACGCTCTTGGGAGTCTATAAGATCCTTTTAATTCAGGTCTGAAATAGGTCAAGGTTTCGTACTGAACCAGGGTCTGGAATTGACCGAATTGCGTAATCTGTTGTTTCAATTATCTCTTTTGGTGAAGTCTGAAATTAGTCACATCTTTAGGCTTCAGAACGTATACCCGAATATTCCAGAGGTATCCCGAGAATTGTTGTGTTGCAAATATTTTCGCTATGAAATCCAAGCAGCCACCTTCAGCTCTGCTGCTTTCCTGTATTTCCGTATTGAGGAGGATCAGCTTTGCTTATCATGTCGATCTGTTCTGGCTCTCTCTGCTCTTTACCCGCCTATCCGCTCAAAGAATAAACGTAAGCACGTTTATCGTTAAGTCTCACCGAAAGGAGGCGAACCATTTTCGGCAAGTTCTTTTTTTTTCCGTTTTCCCTTTTGCCGATGCCCTGTGCCAAAATTAAAATTAGTGATATGATTGTTTTACCTTGTACCTTGTTCACAAAAGCTTCTTTTAAATATCCTGTATAAAGAAATAATTAAAACAACTGCTTCCTCGGCTTTCATAAAGTTATGCCCTGAAATGATTAGAGACAAATGACCACAAATACGACATACCCTGTCCGGTAACACGTTGTATCCGTACAGTCCATAAAAGGAAGCTCTCCCGTTCTCCAACGAGGGAGAGGTTTTATCAGCACCACTTTCGTGAAATAGACCCTTCACCCCTCTTCAGTTAGAGTTGAAACAAAGACGCGTGTGTCACTCCGGTAATGCCTGGTAAGCAATAATACACCCAGGGGAGACTCCCGTAAGAAAAAGACAGGGATGTTCCTCTTCTAACTAGATAGGGGTGCAAACAATTTGCAAAATTATTGCAGATTTTGGTCAACGATTTTGATCTCACCTTGGGTGTTCAGGACTGAAAACCAATATTTCTACCTTTACGGGTATCACTCAGGTTTGTGCTACAAGAATTTCTGAAACAACCTCGTCCCCATGGCTTAGGATCTCAGGGCTAAAATTATAGTAACTGTTGAACTTACAAAAGTCATATACCAAGACAATTTATCAAAACCAACACTTCATTCTAGCTAACACTGCAATTTTCAGGGAGAAACTTGGTTTCGGCTGGGGTTTGCCGCTAAGGCCTTCGACCCTTGTCAAAGTACCATTTATTGCGATATAGTCCCGGGGGGGGGGGTACTCCCTTAGATAACCCATATAGGTATGTGCCGCCCCAAAGGGTAGGATTTTTGCGCCGTTTTGGTCTGAAAACGGGTATAGTTTTCGAGGGAGCTACGGTGGCGTATGAACATATTTGTCGAATGGTTCCAAATGAATAAGAAATAACCCCTCTACTAGTATGCGAATTCAAAATGAATTTTAAGAAATCTTTTTGTCGGCGTTCTAATCTGAGTAGTGATGATACAATTTCTGTCTTTGTAAACATGTTGCGTTTTGTGATCTCTTCCAGGTCTGAAAACAGGTGTGGAAAATGACATTTCAGGTTGGTCTGAAATAGGGTTAGGATTTGGAGATCCGGGCGGCACGCCCCCAACGAGAATCCCCAGGAGTGCCCCTCCCCCCGGGCGATATATATCCTGTTCAAGACAAGAGACGTTCATTCTCCCTGTTTAAGGCTTCTCCCCCAGAAAGATGCCCCGGGTTAATACGATGCTGAATAGACTCAAGGCCCCATTTCCCATAGAACATACCCACTTCAGCGGCAGATCCATGTTTACACAAAATGCGGGAGTTCAGTGCACCCCTCTCCCCTCAACAGACACACACACACACACACACCGGTAGTCTGGTCAGGAAGTTGTTAATGACGCATCATCTCTTAAATACGTGTTTTGTAGAGGTGTTTCGACAGCTTCCTGCAGAAAATCCGGGTCACGTTTCTCTCGAACGTCAATTCTAGGTGACAGGTCAGGGCGACGCCTAAATTGTCGATTATAAATACAGCTGGCACTTGGCAAAGATCGACATTCTCTCACCGTGGAAATCAGTGCTTTTTGGATACCTCGGTGAATCTGCAGTTATAGGCGATACCCATAATCACGTAATGAAGACGCTCTGTAGCGCTGTCGTTGGAACAGTTGCGCTTGTTGTTCTACTGAACGGCGTTAGCAGCGCACCGGTTTCAAGGACGACTGCTGAGGCCAACAAAAAGGTAAACTTTTGATCCATTTCATTTCATTTTTAGCCTTTGTCTCCTCTCACGTACCGCTCGGGCGTCTACCTTTCACGATATCCCTTAAATGGAGAGCTTCCTAGCAGGCTATTTCGACTCAAAACCTGACCGCAAATGTTTTTTCTTTGTTTTTTGGTAATTAGACAGCTCGTTTACCCCTTTGCCCAAAGGTTTTTGTTTTCATACGCGCGCTCGACGATCAGATCTCTAAAGAGAAAATAGAGACTCTGTAAGCAGGCTAGCTATGTCATTTTGTACGTTATAAACTTCCGACCGATTTTGTCGCAAAGTGTCTTATTTAAATGGTGTCAATTTAGCGTTCGCTATACCTGAAGTGAACCACATCAATTTTAATTTAACATTACGAGAAAGGGAACCATAGGTAAGGATTCGAACAAACCTCACCAACTGAGAAACGCTTAAAAAATATTTTCAATACAAGTCATAGGAGAGACGCTACTCAGTACTGCAGTGATGTCTCTCCCATAACTAATGATTATTTACAAAGTAAAAGGATCTGATGAAGTTGAACCTAATGGTTATTTTATACTCTGTATCATGTCCGCTTGGATTTGATGTCATATCGACCATATCGTCTACCACACGTCTTTTTTTGAACCGCGTATGGTCTTTTTCGGCTGAAATCTCCAGTTATTTCGGGTATACAGTTTTTTCCGTTTCTTTCAGTTTTTTGAAGGAGGGGGGCCCGCGGGCTTGCTAAAGGGTATGTAGACGACTAGAGCCGGAAGAACTATCCTAATTTTCGGATAGCTGTGTGCCGTCCAGTGTCCTAAATCCTGACCCTATTTAAAGATGAAATAAACAATGCAGGGGAGATGCCCACTCTACAACTAATTTAAAACCTGGGTTGAAACATAGGGCTGACGATATTGTCCGGGTGGGCGTCTAATAAAAGTTTAGGGAAAGGGTGGAGGGAGAGGTGATCCCTTATAAGCTGTACAACACTAGACTCACGCTTCATTTATATCGCGAAGTCTCAGAGAAGGGAGAGTCTACCTCCCTCATCTCCATCTCTAGGGAAGGAAATATAGCTCTAAATACTTGCGACAACAACGACATCTATCTAGTATTTTGCATATTTGTTTATATTTCTTTGTTCTATTTTCTTCACATCTTCAGGCGGCTAATTTCTTTTTAAAATATGGTTACATCGAAAAGAAGTCCAACGAAAGTCGGCCAACTCTGCACATCGAAAAACTAATAATTGACCTCCAGAAGTTCGGTGGATTGCCTGTGACTGGGAAACTTGATCAGGCAACATTGAAACTGATCGGTACTAAGCGATGTGGTGTGAAAGATCCCGTCAAGAAGGTCAAGAAGGTCGGAGCTATTCAAAATCAAGTTGGCCGATTCTACTTACAAGGAACTTTCTGGAAGAAGACGGTACTGTTTTCACCCGTAAAATATTTAGGTAGTGGGTTTTACAATCAACCCCCTGAAACCAGCTCAAGCGCACCTTCATAGGTTCTATAATGAAATAATTATTTAAAATATAAAGCGTAAGTCATTGCCGTTGATATCAGAATCATGCATTCTGCGTTTCTGGATGAGCAATGAGCAGTGGCGACAGTAGAGACCTTTAGATTCGAAGACGAGAACGACTAGACGAGGACGAGATTTCGTCAGTACGAAGTAGTGGTCGCACGTGAACTAGCGTAATTTTGCGGGAAATCGTGATAGCCGTCGTCATTCTACTAAGGGTTTTAGCGAGAGTGTCGTATTGGCGGAAAAAAAGTTATTAAACAATGAAATGTTTTAATTTTGTGACCGGGAGAGGGCTTAACCTGCTCTAATAATTATAAGATAACAGTGTTAACTTTCCTGGTGAAAAAAAGTACAATGAAGCATTCCCTCAGGGAGTCTATTTTTTGACGATACGCGAAAAAACTTGAAATAGAATCTCGTACGCCTAGTCGTTCTCGTCCTCGATTCCAAAGGTCTCTGATACAAATTTCGTCCTTGAAACTTACTTATAGGTCATTCCTCTAAAATATAGGGTGCCCCAAAAGTTCTTTCTTCTAGTTTCATGCGCTATAACTTTTAGAAAACTTTATTTTTACTAGAAATTTCTAGAATATGTTTATTGCTCTACTGAGTACAGGTATTCAGACGTTAAATAACTAGTATGCCTCCTTTGTTGTTGTTTTTTATCACATTCTGTAGCCGTTGCGGCATCAGAGTGGGATGCAATGCGTAGAACCACAGATGATCCATTATGCGCCTAATTTTTTATCACCTGGTACGCAGGAGCCACTTCGACCTCCAAAAAATATTTTTTAGATTAGGCCGCTGAAAAAAAATATATCTGTTATATATTTTGGGCATTTATCCAAAAAAAGGTGATCATCCCGGTCTCTTTCCACGGTAAGGATTTTGTACTTCTTTACAAATTTGAGAAGAGCTGATCGTTAGTTGGCGGACTAAGCAGAGGTTTTTTTGCTCTCTCAGGGGCGTCTAACCTTCGCTTTCCATGAACCTGCTCCAGACTTGGTCTGGTAACTGTTGTAGCCTTCTTTAAAACTATTTAGCTGCTTTATTCAGGACTTTGGGTCTTCCCCTTCGTTTCTTGTCTTTAAAACCTTCATTTCTCGAAGACCATTTTACCACCCAACATTCGGATTTTTCCAGTTTTTTAGCAGTTTCTTTTACCAAACACTTGTCTACTGTATTTTTTTTATTTTTGTGTTTAGAAGGTTAATTAGTCCTTCTAAATCATTTTATTATTTTTCAATGCCTAGGGGAGTCTGTGGTTCACTGAATCAAGATAACTATTGTCGATGAAGTGGGGCGCCTTTGATTCATTCTAGTGCACGTACAAAACGCAAGTTAGGGGAGAGGGGATGGGAGTGAGTCACGTGATCCCTTAGATTACCCCAGGCGCCAGTCTGGTTATTAATTCTAATGCTACTAGTGTAAAACTCGTGTTGGCATTTGAAAGTGCCTAAAACTCTCATTTCTTCTTTTTTCAGTATTTGACTTACCGATTCGTAAGAGGCAAGAGCACAGGGGATCTTCCAGTTGATGTTCAACAAAATATAATTCGAAGAATGATTCACAAATGGGACGAGGCTAGTGCGCTTACGATACGTGAGGCCGACCCCTCAATACCAGACGATAAAGTCGACATTTTGATTTCATTTGTGGAAGGTTACCATGGAGATCCGTATCCTTTTGATGGCACAGGAGGGACTTTGGCCCACGCTTTCTATCCACATAACAACCAAGGTTGGTACATAGGAGTCTTAATGGAGAGGTAGCTCTTTTTTTATGGTTTCTATTTTGTTTTGTTGTTTTTTTTTAACAACCATATTTACTACTATACTACTCCTGAAGAAACGTAGCTAGCAGCGAGGGGGGAGGAGAGACGGCTATTTTCGCAAGCTACAGTATTCATGATGAATTGAGCGGGTTCGTACGTCGCAGAAACAATTATATATATAAAAAGATTGTAGGGAGATTTTGCAGAGCGGCGTGGAAGTGTTTTCTAATTTGCCCCGTCCCCATTGGAAGAGGCTAGCTTAGGGATGGAAGGTGCTTCTTAACCACTTGATTTCTGTCTTCTGCACCTATTAAAGGGGCTAATGTCACGAAGATACCGCTATCTTAAGTCAATTCTGTGATAAAGTCATTGCCCACCATTAACCAATACACAAATGAAAAAGCTCCTGTAGAGTTATCAAGAAGATATCAGACAGAGTTTATCAGGCATAGCGCATTAAGACTTGAAAAAGTAGACCAGCTATTCAGTCAAGTTTCAATCAATGTCCTTCTTTACCATCCGCTGCAAAAGACAACAAGAAACATTTTCAGTGTCGAAATCATGATAATTGTAGTCTTAAATAAACAAAACTGGACCATTATTTTTGAAATTCAGTAGGTGTGAAGACAAGTTTTAGCATTTTGAAATGATAGCAAATAGAATGACATAGTCCCTTTGAATGGATACGTCCTATTCTCAAGCGACAATACACCTATTTCAGTTGATTGCATTGTTGAAGGCGAACTGATATAACCGACGTTAAAAATACGCTTGCAGGTCTGTCAGGGGACGCCCACTTCGATGATGCAGAGCGTTTTACAACAGGAACGAAGGACGGTATAAACTTGGACTGGGTGGCGCTTCACGAGATCGGTCACAGTCTGGGATTAGAACATTCCAACGTACGAGAATCTGTCATGTACCCATGGTATAAAGGATACCAGGGCTCTAATATTGAGCTGACCAACGACGATATTTTGGGAATACGGGCACTCTATCCAGGTAAATCAAATATTTGATTGCATCCTTTGATTAAAATATCTAATCATTGCATAGGGTTTATAAAAGCAAGGAAGGTATACTGGATAAAAATTTTACCGGGAAATGGTAAATATATGAATTTCAAATATTGGAAGCGCGGAATGAAGAAATATATGAAAAGAAGATCATCGTAGCTAAAGACGCAACTCATGCAGCTGCGAATAGAAATCCGCAAACACTGACTTCTGCGCTACCTGTGCAGCGCTCTAACCAAGCTGAGCTGGTTATTAACTTGGTTTGTAATTAAACATATTCGGAAAAGATGAAAATGAAATGATCAGATGATGAAATAGTGAATAACAGATGTAAACTACAGTATTGAACATAGGCGCTTTATCCTTGCAAAAAGTTTAATGGTTATCTGCTTCATTGCAGTTAAGAGACCAGTGACGAAGAGACCAGAGACGAGGAAACCCACGAAACCAACCCGTGCACCCCGGACAACACCAAGCACACAGCCACCCCCAACCGATCCCCCCACCCCTACTGCAATTCACCCCGCATGTAAACCCGGAACTAAATACGATGCTGTCGTTATGGAGAGAGACAGGCGCGGCAAGTTCCACACTCATTTCTTTCACAGAGAGATGTTTTGGACTCTTAATGAAAGGTTGCAGAGAGGGAGGCCAAGGAGAGTTAGTGATTACTGGCCCGATGTTCGCACTCCCATAGATGCTGCGCATCGCAATAGAAATGGAAACATCGTCTTCTTTACCGGAAACAAGTAAGTGACCATGACGTTGCAGCTTTTTGGGCGTTTTTCATGTCCTTACTTACTTTTTGATGCTTTTACTTAAACTGTCCATCGTAAGATTCCTGTATCTTTTGGCAGAGTTATGTTCCGATTTTTAGTTTGATAAACGAACCAAAGTGATTATCCAAGCTCGAAACCAAGTGTTGCTAATTTGGTGAAACACGAACTACGAGTTAACTGAACGCCGGACCACAGAACTAGGTTTGTTGTACACCAATTCAAATTCAAATTGTCATTCTGTTACATGAAGTAACGCTCACAAAGTTATTTTCAAGAATTATTACAGACGTAGCAATTCCCATTTCTTGTTACTTCACGAGTCCTAAGCTATCTACCATCGGTGGCAAAATTGGCTGAGTCGCCGACCTCATTGGTTTTTTTTTTAACGTCTTTCCGACTTTATCCAAATTCAAACTTTCATTCTCCCATTTCCCCTGAACAATATTGAACCTCTGTAAAAAAAAAAAAACAACAACAAAAACATTAAACATAAAAAAGGAAAAAAAGTAATGTTAGCTGCGGTTTGAGTGTAAAAACTGAAGAGACGGGACTGTGCAAACAATTTTGCTAATTTATTGCGGTTTTTTTTAGCAATTACCCGAGATATATAACCCGATTCGACGAAACAATTTTGTCGTTGATTAAAGCTACAATTTCATATGTTTTTTTAAACTGTCTACAAAGGAACTTTAGAAACTAAATTCTACTGTGATGCCTTCTTCTAACACTTCCCATTGCAATTGCTTGCCAGGTATTGGGAATACCGTAATAACAGGAGACTCATCGGTTCCGGCAGTTTAGATAGGTATGGCCTGTCCTCTGACCTTACCGACATGGATGCAGTCTTCACTTGGCATCCAAACAAAAAGACGTACTTCTTTAAAGGTAAAAAGTACTGGCGATACAACGAGGAGGAGCGACGTATAGATCCATATTACCCAAGGGAGATTAGACAAGGTTGGCCCGGCCTAGTAAAAAAGGACATAGATGCAGCCGTCACTTGGAGAAACACAAGAAGCTACATTTTTAGTGGAGAAAAATATTTTAGGTTACAGAACAAAGCGACAGGGAGAATGGTATATAACGACCGCGGATATCCCCAAATAACAGCCGATAAGTGGATGAAATGCAACGACGTTGGCGCCATCGGGGCTTTACAAACAAATAAAGATATATAATGCTTCACGAAAGAAACTTAAGTTGGCGACCTTGCATTTTCCAGGCTAAACGTCATAAGGCACAATATGTTTACGTCACACAAGCAAATTTCACCACCAAGCGTCGTTTTGAAATTAAAAATAAGCGAAGTTTCACAGAAATGAATTTCCAAAGCAGTAAAGTTGAAAAGAATACTCACGAACAAAAAGTGCAAATGCAAAAATTTTGTTCACAAACGAGGCTTGCTGGTGAAATTTACTCGTTTGACGTAATCATGGGCTATTCATACTTTGAATACTTTTAGAGTTATTGTCTGTTATCTCCGTTTAAATTGTTAACTAATATATGTTTTGACTGTTCAACTAAAAACGAAGAGTATTATGTGAAAATACTTGGCCGAAAAGGTTTCATTTGAATGGTCATGGTGAAAGGTTTATAACAAACGAAAATGAAAACAAACGAATGGCAAAGAAAAAAAGAAAGAAAGAATGAAAGATGATTTGATTTACTTGAATGTGTATTTGATATTCCACATCTTTTTTTATCCCTTTAAGCCATAATATCCATATTCAAATTCTTCATATCGATGTTTATACATTCCCTTACAGAATTAGATGAGTGAATTTGAAAAAAGATTAAAGTATTTTCCTTAGTTGATCATTTTATTAACTCATAACCTTTTCGCATGATCATTTACTGATACTTTAAGGACGAAATTGACCTTGGTCACTATTGGGACTTTAGTTTTTAAATGAAGATAATTTTGCAATACATGAAGTGCTATTTATTTTTAAGTAGTTTTTGTACATTTTATAAAGCGCGTCATGCTTGAGAGAAAAAATAAAGTTGAAACTTGATTATACCGTTTCCTTGTCACCTCTTTTTTAGGTTTCTAATTAATAATAAAATATATAATTCTAGGAAGATCCAAAGCAACAAATTTATACAATCTGCTATTTGTGCTTAGCTTCCGACTGGAACTTACGTTTCTTTCCCATTTCTGTCAATCACTTACTAATCTCGCACCTAGACCTCTTGTTGACGAAGCCGAAGGCGAGATCTGGCTAAGTAAGAAAATTCAATTTTTTTGAGGGGCTAGATTGAGTTATTGTGCGTGTTGTCATCTGCGCGCTCTATGGCGAGTGCCATTTTATTCGTTGCAAGGTCTTTTGTTCTGTTTAAGTAAATTTTTCACTCAAGAAGTAGTTATCCTTCTCAATATAAGTTTTAAAACCATTTTTATCGTTCATACTTAAGGTTCATACTTAAGATGTGCGTATAACCACGTTTTGTGAGAAAAAACTTTTAGCTTCACGGCTCTATCAAGTTAGTTGTTTTTAATAACACGTCGAAAACTTAGGATTTATCCGATGGCCTGCCACATTCCTGACAGGCAATCACTTGTACAAAATCGGATTTGACAAGATCTCGCCTTCGGCTTCACCAATAAGAGATCTGGGTACGAGATTGGTCATTATGTTATCCTATCGACCTGTCTGATTCTTTCCGAAAAGACGAATAGCCTGGCGTGGCCCAAGGGTCGGTGTGGGTTCTTTAAGTTTAAGCTATTTCGTGATCTTATCTTTAGTTATGTTTTTAAATGTTTTCTAATATAACAGCTTTAACTGCTGTTTACTCCGGCCATTTTGCCGTTACACTCGTTTTTTCTCTATAAGAATGTTGTTTTTTGTTGTATTTATCTTATTTTTCTGTCGATTTTAGGCTGAAAATATTCTTGTATTATTCTTAAATTATAGCATATGACATTTCCGTTTTAGAATATATTGGGGTATGAATTATAGTTAGTGCAGGTTTTCTCGTTATGTTGGCTAGTTTTGCTGTTTAGAGAAAGGATTACATTAAAAACATTTACATTGGTATTGTAAATACAGATTTCAACATATAAAATTATGTCCTTTTTAAAGTTTCAGCCTTGGGTTTATTTTTAATGATATTCTTAACATTTCTTGCAACCAGACAACAACGGAATACTGGGTGTAGAGGACGAATCGTCGGTGCATACCCTATCTACCTTCCTGATGGTAACGCATTCACACACAAGCTTGTTCAACGAGCGCATCTAGCGACCCCTTCACGGGGAGTTACACTCACAATGACCAAAGTTCGGGAGACTCACTGGATCCCTCGCCTGAGAAAACTTACCAAGAAGGTCATTAAAAGCTGTGGGGTTGCAAGAAAGCTCAAGCCTACCAGTCCCCACCGCCAGGCAATCTACCAACGACCAGAACCCAAGGAGTGACACCCTACGAAACCATCGGTGTTGCAAATTTCAGCACACTGTGGACAACGGAATCATTGAACTATGTGAAAAAAACAAAACATTTACATTGGTATTGTAAATACAGATTTCAACATACGTCCTTAATGATATTCTTAACATTTCGCAAATTTCAGCCTTGGTACTCTTATACAAAAGAGTGTATGTAATAGAATGTTCACAGGTGACGTTAAAATGTTGCTTAGGAACAAAACAACAGCCCACGAGCCGCAGGCGTGTGTGTCAACGTTGTCGACATTTTGTGTGATTTATGACTGAACGTAGTAAAGTGGGGAGGAGCGTTGCGTGACGACACTAAAAACGACTGTGTAGCAGACTATGACTGAACTGGCCAGACACGGAACAATGGAAACTATTTGTTTCGGACAATGGGTAGAAAAGAAAACGACAAACGTGCTTTGTGCTTGACTTTGTTCCGCTGACATTTGTCATATTTAATATGGTTGAAATCAACTAGTTATAAAAGAATAGACTGAATTGTACTTGGCAGGCTCTAAAGTTCAGTAAATGAACCTTCTGAATTCCAAACACAGCACGAGGTTTAAATATTTTAAATTTCTATATAAAAGATGGAAAAACCACGGCGTTTATTCGAGAAAATACAGTCGAGACAAAACCAATTAATGCGGAGAGAAAATGTGGGTTCAAATGAGTCGATCCACTAAAGTCACCTAAGGAACAAAAAATTAAGCGTTAAACTATCTGTAAGTACCCTGGGACGGTGCCTTATTCCTGATATGGATGGGTTTTTTGAGAACGGACCTCTGAGGCCAGTAAGTAATTATAAACTGCATGGGAAGCAAAGTTCAAGAGTGGAAGTGAAATTGAAACTGAAAGCTGTAGCTTTATTTTCTCTTGCTTTAGGGACAGGTCATTATTTCTTACTTGACATTGATCGGGGGATTTTTGTTGACACAATTTCTTACGGAGATTTCAGCATTCCATGATCCCGCCTTCTCACTGGCTCTGTCACTGGCGTTGGCAGTTCTCAACATTCACTGCTCTCTCCTTCCCCAGTCGAGAACACGAACGTTACTGAATAAAATTGGCATTCTTTATGCTAGAGACGTTAAAGTCGTCTGAGACGTTAAAGTAGTCTTCAAGACGACTCTCACCTCTAGTATAAAGCAGTAAATAAGACGCAGTGTCCAGTCTGATGACTGGACACCAACATTTTCTTTTGCGTGCGTCGTTTGGACGCATTTACCAGTCTGTGAGAGGACTTTAACGTCTCAGTAGTATGATAAAAACGGGACGCTGTAAACTGAGAAGCATTTATGCCCAACTCGTCCACAGACGACTGGGAAGAGTACTAGTCAGTGCTGTTTTTTTTTCCAGAAAACTCTGTTTTTAACAATGTTATCGACTTCATCAAACTGTTAATAAGGAGACAAGGAAAAAGATTTTCTCAAGCATCCGGATCAATCCCAGGTAGGATTCCAAGAAATTCTAAATTCACGCCAAAATCGTGAGTCTAAAAATTAACTGTGAAACGGTTAAAATGCCGTGACACGAGTAGTACTTGAAAGATTCTCGCACCAAGTGAAGGAGCTGTCAATCATCCCAATCATGCAGCAAAGCCTGTGAAAGGCCTTTGTCTGAATCCGCTTTAGAAAACAAGGTGTGTCTTTTCTAATCAAGGGGTTGGTGGTCAGTGCAAAGTCAAGTTCTGGAAATAATAACAAAAGAAAACTGGTATAAATAGCTTATAAATACTATGCCGAACACGGTACCTTAACAGTATACTCACTTCCTCCAGCAGACCCTTACGACAAATTACACTGGAACTTACCAATATTTGACGCTATCCCTGCTCTCAGATGGCTGAGCGATCCACCCTTTTCTCCCTAACCCCGCTTCCAAGTTATGTGAGCCCCCAGAAACCTCCGACTCCCGGCCATTTTAATGATCTGCTGTATCACGGTTGCTAGAACTAGAAATATGCCAAAACGTTCTGGAATGATAAAACATGTTGTGGCTACTACTAAAAATAAAGCCACTAAAGTTAAAAAGATGCTAAAAAGATACATTTCATGCTTTTTCTAGCATCCGGTAACTTAAGTAGCCCAGAGTAAATTTCAAACTCGTCGAATATTTTCTGATAACAACAGGAGACCATCAGCTCAGCTTTTACTTTCCAGCGGAGATCATCTGAAACCGAAAACGCAATCTAGTCTTATCAACCTCTTCACCTTTTTGGTAATCTGTTATTTATACATCAGGAAATACTTAAGCATAACATTAACATTGATAATGCTTTTTTGAAAGAACTGTTTCATTCTGTGCCCACCAGTGATTACAATTCCATTAAAAAGTCGTTGTAAAAGACTTAAGGATCTATTAAAAAATCATTGCGGGAAAGGAAGGAAACAGAGGGTGTGTTCATTTATCTGTATGAATAAACATAAACGGTCGGATAAAAGACTGCAGAGATATGTTTTTCAAAGAAAATAATGGGTGAAGTGTTTGCTGTTTATTACTACTGCCTCTGTTTTTGGAGGGTTTTGCGCTCAGTAGCAAGGCTGATCAAGAACCAGGGCTGTCGAGAATGATTTAACACAGGATTTTGCATATACAAAAATTATTAGAACTTGTCAGGCGAAGAGCACGCAGATGGAAGCCAGAGTTTTTTGTGTGGGCGTATGTGCAAGAACCAACCAGAGCTTTATCACATTACGAAATCAATATTCAGGAACAGACGTTTTTTGTTAAGTCGACATTTTTTATAACACCACCTTACTCTATCTAGACGTCTATCTAATGAAAATCATGAATTTTATATATTAGAACTGCGGAATAAAGAAACAAATGCAGAGAAGATCCTTGCATATTCACATTTTTGAAAGACGCAACTTATGAATTTGCGAAAAGAAGCCTGAAAAATTCAGGACTGCCGTGATTCGAACCCTGACATTACCGGTGCAGTGCTCTAACTAATTGAGCTCAGCAAGCCTACTGCAGGGAGCAGGTCAATAGCTGTTCAAGAGCTGTTTTATCCGAACGACATTCCACCTTCTTTTTTTCCCAGAGTTAGTTAGTGTACTACTTGTTTCTTTTCGTTATCCTTTCGTACTAATTTGTTCTGTATGGAGTTCTAAAGATGAAATCCTAGGGTGTGAACGCTTTATTTGAAACCCTTAAGCAAGAGCGTTTTTCTTGGTATACCTTTTGATTTGTTAAGTAAGTAACTCCAGATTTAAGTCTGTGAACCAAAACGTTCTTTGCTGTGGGCCATAACGGATGATGTTACACGAGACGATTCGCAACGACGATTTTTAGCGCAACACAGCGTTGCGACGTTGTTGAGACGTTGTCAATTCGAATGGTTTCAACATCAGGTACCAGCACTGCAACGCTGTGCTGCGCTAATTAAAAATCGTCACTTTGCGAATCGTAACATCACCTTCAAACCTCTTCGACACAGTACATTGAATGAACGTTTCGAGATAAAAATTCATTGAAATAATTAACGATCAATGACAACAGTAGTGCAAGAGTCCAAAGGCTGACTGATCCAATTTTACCCAGTGCATAAAATGCCAGGGGGGGGTACTCCTGGGAATTCTTGTTGCGGGTGTCAATGCCGCCCGATTCTCCAAATCCTGACCCGATTTCAGACCAGAAATTGTAATTTTCCACTCCCGTTTTCAGACCAGACCTCTAAAATCCATACCGGTGTGAGACCTGGCCATTAGGGAGAAATTATGTTATCATTACTTAGATTAGAGCGCAAACAAAAAAGTTCTTCAAATCCATTTCGAATTCGCATATTCTTCTTCCTTTCTTACTCATTTGGAATTGAAACGATAAAGACCTTCATACAATCCTGTAGTTCCCTCAAAAACCGTACGCGATTCCAAACCAAAATAGGCAAAGCGTATACCCGTTTTCAGACCAAATCGGCGCAAAAACCCTTCCCGATGGTACGGATAAGGGAGTACTCCACCCCCCCGGGATAAAATGTAGGTCCTATTATTTTTATTCTTATTGCAGAAAATTAGAAACATGAAAACTTTCACATTCACCTATTATCATTTAAAATTCCTTTTAAGCCTCACACAGAGTAGCAGAGTTTTAGAGATATGTTTTACCAAAAAAGACCTTCATATCAGTGATCCCGCTTAGCACGATTAACCGTGAACAAACAATAGTATTTATTTAGCTTCAGTGTATCATGATCTTGACCCTTAAAAGGCTGAACAAGATAAACTGGGTGCCGGTATCCAAAGTCCTTAATCAGTTTAAGTCGCTAGTAGCCCCTTAATTGTAGATGATATCGATAATTTCCCTTAGCTGGCAAATGTCCTTGATAATGAGACATCCATTTGATTCATACGTGGTGTCTACTTTGTTCTGTGTGAAGTTTGTTTGGTCGGTTTTTTTTTGTCAATGAAAAAGACGGAGATTACCAGTTGCATATGACACCAACGTGCCGAGCGGACGTTTGAAATTAATACCCTTGATACGTTGTTTATCACTGTGGTATCAGCTAAAAAGGCAGAATCGTGTCTTAAACAAGAAGTTTTTTGTCAGCTATTCACGTGTCCAGAGCTGTGCGCGAAAACCCTGCTACATGCAACTGAAAGTGCTATTTTAAAAAAAGACGAAGACAAATTGACTCCATAAGAAACGGATCCTTAAGATTTGAGCAAGATGAGGAGACTTTTCGCATGCTTGATCGTCCTATGTGTTCTCAGCAACGTGAAGAGTTACGATTTATATGAAAAGCTAATTGCATCGGTGAGAAGTCTGCAACAGGTAAGATTTAACTCGGATGCTTAATAATTAGGTCTTATCCTCCACAACTAAGACTTGTCATCGTGGGGTAGCACATAGTTACCAATATTTTGCTTTTTTAACGTTGTTTTGCCAGGGTTTTAAAAATTAAGCCAATTTTTCGTCTCGTGCAGAAAAAACTGTCTGTTTCTCCTAGCGCTTTAGAACGCTTTTCAAAGGTGTGGCGTATTCCAGTGAAAGCTGTTTAGCATGGTAGCCGTTGAACTTCAGTTGCGGTGTCTTTTTTCAGTTCATTTTTTCCAAACAAATTTATAGTTTTCTCCTTCCCGTTCTTCTCACATTTCGATCACAATCGAAAGTTCACGACAGCGTCTGATCTTCGCCAGATAAATATATTTTGAGCTGAAGAATTTGAGAGAATCTGAATAGGGCGCAACTCCCGGAACTGTTGGCATAAGGAAGCCTAAAGGGATAACGCAGTAGGTTGAGCATTCGCCTCTGCCCACCAACGTGGCCCTGGTTCAAATCCCGATGTCGACGCCATATGCGGGTTGAGTTTGCTGTTGGTTCTCTCCCTTGCTCCTAGAGGTTTCCGCTTCAGTTAGGCTCTGGTTTTCCCCTCTCCTTTAAAACCAGCACCTCCCAATTCGAGCTCTTAGTGCTCCGTTGGTAAACAAATTACAATACAAATACAAAACAATACGTGCACATCGCCGACGGGGTAAAAAGAACGTCCAGGAAACTCCCACAGAATGGGACCGGTATAAGCTCCTAGCGTGAATCTGTAGATGAGCATAAGAGGTTTGTTTAGTAGAAATATATTTAAGTCCTTTTGCTGTCTTCCTTCATAACTAAACTTAAAAAATATAAGAAAATTTATGATCTGGGACAAACGTCTTCGATCGCTTCATTAGTATCATGCTACGCTTAAGCCTTATGAAAATCATGGATTCTTGAAATATTGACAGGGGAAGTTTGGTCTATTATTTGGTCAGTCTGGCGTGCGTAAAAAATTAAAAAGAACTTTTCATTGTTTGTCTGATAAGTCTAGATGGTTTTATAGGTGGCAAATTCGGGAAAGTGCAATTTTTCTAAAAAAAAAAACCAGGAGCCTATCACCTGAAAAACTCATGTGTCGATCATCCCACGATAACATAAAGAACCAACATTACAACAAAATTCAAACCATCCAAAGCAGTGATTAGTTATTAACCATAAGGCAACCAAATGGTACGTCGTTACATTCCACTTTAACATCATGTTCATGTGGAGCACACGTGAAAAGATCGAACTTTCACCTCACAAGGGGGAATTTTAATTTTGAAAAAAATCGATGGACGAAAAGATACATTGATTGCTTGGTAGTAGTACGGAACGAACCTCAGAAGAGCGTATAGCGGGAACAAAAAAAATGCAAAAAACAACAATATAAAAAAACGCAAAAAAGTGTTTTCCTCGCTGTAAGGATCAGTTTATCATTTTCTTTTCTTACTGCGGATCCTTGTCTACATATGAGCCGGAACTCCTTACTGCTTTGGGGCTGCGGAGTTTGTTATCGTAATAATGGCATTTTTGTGAGGCGATTTTACTGTAAAATGGCCGGTATATCAAAAAAAAAAAAAGCTGCCACGATAATTTTTTTTTTGCAAAAGTTACATAGCACTTGCAAATCATTATCGCTAAGGTGACTATCTACTTCAATTGTTTCACTTACAGAAAACCTCTCTCCCTGGATCAGTAGCGTAAACTCAGTTGGGGGAAAGGTTGCCTTCAGGTCCCAGTTGTTCAATGCACAGGGTGACTAATCTCTAGCCAGTGGATAGCGCAAGTGCGTTTCCTATTTATCATCTGCTGAATAGTGATTATCCTGCAAGCAAGCCTGTGTATCCGGGGCGCTACTGCCTCGTAGCGCTATTTTAAACCTTTGAATCTCTAAGAGTGATCAGCATCAAATTTCTCCTTGTAATATCAATGCTTTGTAAAACAGAGTTGTCATGAGAATTACGGACATGATCACACAAGGTGAATTTGCTTGATATTTTATCAATTTCTCCCCACTATTTCTGTAGGAAATGAAAAGGGGCAACAAATGAGAACTGAAATTAGTCTGATCTTAGGGTTTAAAGGGTTAAACGTTTGAAGAACCGGGTCCAGATGTTCAGACTGCCTCTTGCATGTTTTTTAGGCATATGCAAATGAACCCAAAGAAGTTCAAGAAAGGATGCTCAGTTTGTATCTTAACACATATACAAGGCACTTACCTTCGTCAGCACAGCTATTTAACGTATATGAAGACATCTCATCAGATGGAACTTTGGGTGCAGGTCGTTCTGTACTGAGGAAATCCAACCCGTGGGAGAACATCAGACGTCGTTATGTAGCGAACTCAAACGACGACAAACGTTTTAAAGCCTTAATGAAACAACTTGAAGCGCGAGAGTCAAAGATGCCAGAGAACAAGTTTCGTTCGGAAATTGAGGGTTTGAAGTAAGCTAGAAAACTAACAAAATGAGAATTACCTTGACGCAAAAGAATCAGAACATTTAGCATGTATAGACTACCTAATTTGTATAGTCTCCGAGATGGATGGACTCAATAGATTACTGATGATGATTGTAATTCAAAATAGGTGAGTCAGCAGAGTCTAAATTGTTCAGTAAAATTGTAATTTTAGGTAGATAACAAACTATAACATTTGTCGCGGTGGGAGAACAACCGGCCCCGAGGAGTACTCCCTTATATAAGCTATATAGGTATGTGTTAAGAAGATGACTGACGACTATGATTTCCCAGGCTTTAATTATAATTTACTGAATAAATGTAAAATTAAGCAATATGTAGATCTTATGCAAAAGAAATATATCACTTACTGGAATCATACCCTTCAACATTCACAAAAACTTAACTTTTATTATAAAATCAAAACGAATTATAACCCTTCTGTCTACCTAGATTTAACAAGAAAGAACCCTTCTAGGAAAACATTAGTGAAACTGAGAATAAGCAGTCACAAACTTAGGATTGAGACAGGTAGATACGACAATCTACCACGTGGCGAAAGGTTATGCAATCTTTGCAATTGTAACAGAATTGAAGACGAAGATTGAAGATTGTCCAAGTTTCTCTTCGATAAGAGATATGTTCTTCTCTAAACTAGAACCTAAAATACCGTTTCTACGACTACAATCACATGAGTCCCTATTATCACATCTGATGAATTCTACTGACTATTTTATTAACATCCAATTAATTTCATTTATATCAACTTGCTTTGAATTGAGAGACAAACTTATCTCCGGAATAATTAATCCTACTGATGGTTAGAAATAAACAATGATTAATAAGTTTCAAATTATTTTAAATATTTAATTTACAAGGAATCAATGAGTAATTTCAAGTAGCTTTTGCAATACTGTAATACTTTGTTATGGTCATGCAAATAAAGCTTATTGTTGTTGTTGTTGTTGTTTTGGTCTGAAAACGGGTATAGTGGGTTCGCCCATTTTGGTCTGGAATCGGGTATGGTTTCTGAGAGAACTACGGGAGTGCACAGAACGTATTTATCGTTTCAACTCGAAATAAGTAAGAAAGAAAGAGAAATATTCGAACTCGAAATGGATTTAAAGAATGCTTTTGTTTGCGCTCTAATCTAAGTAATGATAACATAAATTCTGCCTAAAGCCCAGGTCTGAAAACGTAACGGGTATGGATTTTAGAGTTATGGTCTGAAAACGCTTAAAAAAGAGTACAGCCAAGAGAGAATGATCTAGCTCATTCTCTCTTGGTACTGCCCATATTTTCTGAAGCTTTCCAAATGCATGGGGCGAACAATTTGATTTTCCTACCGGAATTTCCGGCTTTAGTCCAGTCAATCCCCAGGCATTTTCGAGGCTCAACATCAAACTAATTGCAACAGAATTGTTTTCAACGCTATTTAAGTAAGGCTGGCCTATCTAGCAAAATACTAAAAATTCCCCAAAATCCGTTCGGCGGAACATGTCAAAATTTAGCGTTAAACATTTTGAGCTTTTAACACAGGGCAACCACGTTAGTTGAACTTATACTGTTAAACAAAAAATGCACAAAATGTGTTTGTTACTTTTATGGAAAAGTGAAAGAAGAAAGAATAACTGCTGCTTAGTTTTCGCTGATAAAAATGAAGTGTTTCTTTTTTCAAAAGGGGTAAATATTAAACACGGCTGGCTTTTGCACAGGAAGCCCATGCTCCACTCAAGGAACCACATAACAATAGGAGGCTTTCAGACTAATAGAGTGAACTGTTGGCTGTAAATCTACAACAAATTTAGTCATAAGGCTTTAAATCTGAAAAAAGAAAGCCGTTACTTAATCATTAGCTTTTAAAAGATATCCCTTTTTTTAAATCAGATTTCTGTTAGCCGCAAGGGTAAGAAAAATATATATCAGAGCTGGATTTTTGAATAACGTTACAGCCAAAATAGAGCTCTTCCCTCAAACAGTTTTTTTCTTTCAAAAATTATCTCCAAAGAAGTCAACATAAAAACTAAGAGTGCAGCCATTGTTCTTTTTTCTTCTCCTCGTTTCTTTCTCCTCGCTCTTTCTTTCTTTTCCAGGAGGATTTTCGGGCTCATTTTCCTTTCGGCTTTCGGTCTTTTTCTCAGTGAAAAGACTGCAATTTTCAATCGGTACGTTTTGAAAAGTCCAGCAAGATAATTCTTTGGCTTTTACGGTTACCTTTATATTAATTTTTGTTAACGTACCAACATCATCAAATATACAAGTTTCACTTTTTCGAAGCTTGTCATTTTCTTCTTGTTAAAAGTGAATTGGAGAGGAGGGGAGGATAGTTTTACTAATTCTTTACGACGCACAACGATGCAGAGTTTTTGAACAGGTTAAGCTCCAATGCCTATGAATTTGATGAGAGGGAAATGCCTTTTCATTAAAGGAAAAGTGTTGTTACCTTCGCAAAAAAATTATAACGGAACATTCATCGCATAAGAACTTTGGTTCTTGCAAACGTTTGTTTCAAGAAAACGAAATAGTATAATGCGGAAGCTGGTTTTTAAGGGAAAGATCTTTTACTCAGTCAGAAGGTTAACATGCAGTGAGTTGAAATGTTATACAACGCTCATCCGACGAGAAACATAGGTTCCACAAAAGAGGTGAGTCATCAGAAGCTAAGTCAGGCAAGCCCATTAATGTCGTACATATGTCCAGTACTTTCGCGCCTTCATTGCAATTGTTTTCAGATGTTTAGGATACCATGATTGTTATAGAAAAAGAGGTCTTCATTTGCCAATGGACGAAAAAAAAAACTGGTCGAGGTTTAGGGTTGTTCTCAGAAAAGAAATGCAATAAGGGAATATAAATGCCTTTGGACCACAGAGCAATTAATCTTATTCATCTTACCAGGAAATGAAGAGCTGCCGCAGAAAATACAAATTAAACATACAGATACACTAAACTAAATCTGAGCCTCGCTACAAGAAAAAGATAAAAAAAAGAACAATCATACTGCTTTGGTTTTATGGATTTCCTTCAGAACAGATTCGGCTAGGTGCAATGAAAAGCGCAGAGCGTTATGATCTAGCAAAAACCAAATAGACAGAGGCCTTAGCAGAATATTTATTCACTCACGTTGTAAAGTACGGAGTCATAATCCTAAAAGAGGTTGCGCAAGTCGTGAGAAAGAAAATGAATCCCTGATTTCGATCACACATATTGTGTCCAAGGTTTGAACATAACTACCTCACAAAACTCGATGATCATTACAGAAAATGGGAATAGGTTAAACTATGTGTACCGATACAGAGCTATCGTCCGTTGCACACATTTAGTTGCACGTATGCTGCAGCATGGATGCAAGTTTAGTAGCTGACTGAACGTGAACAAAAAATCAAATCAAACTGTTCACCATCAGTCAGCTACTAAACTTGATTCCATGCTGCAGGATATGAAAAAAATTATAAGCCTGTAAAACTAAAAATACCTTCTGCATTTCTGATATTGCGAAAAAAATGTCAATCATGTCAATACAGACTGACTAATAATTTTCCTTTTAAGTACCGTCATAGCAAAAAAATTACAGTTTGGAAAACAGAATGTGACAAACGAGTTGCTGGGTAACCTGTGCAAAGCCGTCAAGACAAAACACTGACCCAGGTGTTTCTCACACATTTAGTCGGCGTTTTTTAAACCAAAACTACCCAAAATACATTAGCGATGTTGTATCGAAAATTCTTGAGGAAAAAAACAATTATCAAATGTTTTATCTGAATTTGTGATCCCCTGAAATTGGGTTTCCTGTGGTAAAAGTTGAAAATCTTTATTGCCAATTTTTCTCGTGTTTCACCGAACCGATTTTGGCGGATTTTTAGTATGTTGTTACAAAGCCATCCAAATCCATTAAATGGCGTCGAAAAAAATTCTGTTGAAATTAGTTTGATGCTAAACCACAATTTGACTGAACTACTTCCCCAGTTAAATGTTAAGTACCCTAAGTTTTGAATACTAGGTAAAACCACGAAAGATAGCTATTTCTGAGAAATAAGACAACAATCTTACTCTAAATCTGCTCTCAAGCATAATCCCTTCCTTTGATCTTGGACTTCCATGAAGAAAACTATTTTTCCTGATCCTGGTAGAAAGCAGAAATAACTAATTAAAATAGGAAGCTAGTCAAAACATAAGGGGTCATGTATGCTATTGTTTGGCCCGGAAAGGACCGATTCTTAAAAGAGAAAACTATGGAATTATATTACTTTCAATTTATATCTTTTCATGTACGTCCATTGTTGCTGGTTAGAATTTATTATAGATCGTAGACTGGACCTTCCTGAAAAGGTTTACAGAATAACGGAAGGTTACATTTCAGTGTCCTTAGGTTCTCAGTTTGGGTGCAGTTTTAATAATCAACTGTAAGTACTGAATGTCTACTGGTTATGGCCCGGACTGTAAGACATTTTCTTCAGAATCATCACCACTAAAAAGTGATTGATTCCAACCGTCTATTATAAGTGCAAAAGAGTGTGGGAGGTGCAAAAGAGAGTGAGAAGTGTGACGTCACGTTAACATGGTGGCAAATTTCTTGATCTCAGGGCAGTCTTTCTTGTCCGAGATTGCTATTTGCATTGTCGAACGATGGAAGAAAAGTATGACCTACAGTTTTGTTCCTGAGAGCAATCATCATACAAGTCGTCATGTCAAGGTTTTCGTTTTTTTTTCTACCATTTACAGGACCACGTTTTGTCGAGATCCAAAGATTTTTCTACCATGGCAACGTGATGAAACGACTTCTTCTCTCTATTAAACCTTGCACTGATTTTGGTACTGTTTGAGGATCTGTAGCACACAACAAAGAGCGAAAAGTGGCATTTTCCTTACATGGCTTGACATCGTGTCGTGACACCTCCGACGTCATATCTTGTAACCCTAGCTACTGACTGTCAACTGGTAAAATTTTCGCGGGAGAAAAGAGCGAAAAGTAGCATTTTCTTTATATGGCTTGGCACCGTGCCGAGACACCTATTACCGACGTCATATATCGTAACCCTAACAACTGACTGTCATCTAGAAAGTGAAATTTTCGCGGGAGTTATGATTTAAAGTCTCCCGCTTTTCGCGGGAAGAAATCAGATTTCATGAAATGACGGATTTCAACCTTGAGTAACGGAACAAATTATAGCATTGTTAAAGGAGGTGTGGCTGCGGAATGTCCGTTATGATATAAAATATGTAAAGGAAAGAACAGCAATGTACGTGCTTCCAAATAAAAGAAAAAGGGAGAAAGCTACACGCTTCCCCATCTTGCTGATCTATGAAATTCTCCCTAAAACTTCCTCACACACGGTACTCCCAATTTTTTTCCCATGATAAATTTCAACATTCCATGACGAGACGTAAAACTGGACTGACCGCTGTCAGGAGCCGCCGCTGTAAAAGACATTTTTATGAGATCTAGAAACCACAAACTTTCATCCTTCTAACTAGCTTATCTGGTATCCACGTATGCTTGTCTCGAGACAGCTTTCCGGCTAGAATTGACAACATTTTTTTGTATCATGGGAATTTTACAAACACATTCCGTTGTTTTTCTCTGAAGGACCCTATAAGGTGCGTTAAAATCCTCACCAATAATTGGGTCTACTATATATCTGCTGTCAACAAAATTACCGAAATTGAATTCAAGGATTACAGCCATATAATAGCGTGATGTGTGCCCTACATCCTGACAATCGAAGAAGCGGATTAACAGACCTGATCGAGCTTCAAGTGGAAGCAGTCATGGAATCCGTGGCAAACTCATCTGTAATCTTGCTTCTGACAAAAATGAAAGACAAAAAACAAACAAATATTGTTTATTATAGAACCTGGGATTTCAACAAATTAACAAAATACTTGAAATTGCTGAGGACGTCATCATGTCAACAGGCTTGTTTGCTGCGCCTTTTTTAAAAGTGTTGGCGCGAGAGGGAGGGGAGAAATGGGAAGTGTCACGTTTCGGATCAGTGTGCGGACAGACGAACAATGTTGTGGATCATTTTTGTGTACTTTTTTCCATCTCGCCTGGAGATCATCCGACAAATAAAAAAACAAAAACAAAAAAGAAAAGAACTAAAAAATCTTTTTGTAGGATTCTGTTGCTCTGGTAGCTGAGTATGTTTTGGCATTGCTGTTACAATTCTTTCTTCTTTTTTTTCATTGATAGTAAACAATTTCAAACAATGGGTACCTCACAACAGAACAGGGGAGGTGCTCATCCCCGTGTTAACTTGTTTTTGTTTGTTTTTTGTTTGTTTTTTTTTTTCTGTCTCCCCTTTTTTTCACTCTGGCTCTATTACTCTGAATGCCTCGTGGCCACAGGCTACCCGCGGATCCGGAGGACCCCATATTAAAGTGACGGGGATGCTTGTCGTCTCGCTTAGGGATGTAAATTGCAGATTTTGGTCTCACTCGGCATGACTCACATTGGTCTCTTAGAGGTTTAATTTTAATTTTCCGACTAGCATGCAGCGTCCCCTGTGACTTGTATAAGGGAGCACCCCCCTTCCCTCTGGCAAGTTACTTCCCATGAACTCATCCTCTCTTCCTGTAATTGATACCTTAAAAAAAATAATCCTTTATGGAGTCAAAATATTGGATTTTTGTTCTGACACCCTAATGCCAAAACTGCAATTTCTACCTTATAACGAGACGAAAAAATAAGTACGGGCTCCGTCACTTGTATTTGGGAGTACTTGAGAGGGAGGGGTCTTCTGAACCGACACATTCTTCTCTGGCTAGACATCATTTCTGCTAATCTGGCAATTTATGTAATAAATCGTCACCTCAGAGACATTTATGGGTCATGTTACGTTTTTTAATAAATGCCAGACTCCGCAATTGCTCACTTCGGACAGGGCGCTTTTATATACCACTCTGTAGATCTGAAGTGCGCGGTGGCTCGTAGCGGCAGAGCGTCGATTCTAAAGTGCAAAGGGGTCTTTTGAGGAATAGACTAAATGTTATCAGGATGTTCAAAGGGCAAGGGCAGACGGGCTTGATGTGTGAGTTGGTCATCTTCACTTTGGTTTGTTTATGGTTCGGCGATCATAGTTCAGCTCTTCCGATCGGCAAGGCTGTAAAGTTTAACCCTACTGATAAAGAAGTTGAAAATGTTACATTGGAAGACTGTAAGGTAAGATCATTTCAGTTACAACCTTGTTTTTCCAACTGAATGTACCCGAGAGGCTGATGAAATTTGGATATCGGTTAAAGCGTCAGTAAACCGCATAGCCGAAATGATCTTTGTGTATTGTAGTGACGACCCTTGACTCACGATTTTACCACTCGGTAAGTCTCTCTGGGTGGTAAAGTATGATTTATTTATTCATATTTAGGTTTGGAAATGATATATCACCTATAGAAAGTGAAAGACGTATTGTCCATAAGACCCGTAGAAAATCTTAGAATCTGTTGTTCCTCCATTTGATTGAGATCGAAAATGAACTTCACATCACTCGATCACTTTACATCCGGTTTTTCAGTCTCCCTCGTGGCCGTTGTTTGTCTCCTCACGCAACGCTTCTTCCTGCGATGCGTGACGAGGGAATTGCTGGCTACGTGGTTACACCCTGTTACAATAAGTGAGAGTACTTTTCCTTGAGGCAGGTGTGAAAAGTTAAGCACGAAAACATTTGAAGAAATAAGAAAATAGTGATAATAAACTCAGTCGTTTTAGTACCTTAGATAATGTTTCAGAAGTGTTTTAAAAATCGACAAAAATCTTCTACTTTTTATAGAAAATGGGGAGCGTATAGTTGAATTAGTTGTTACTGTGAAATTATATAATAATTGTAAATGCGTCATCTTTCAACAAATACAACTGCGAATCAACTTGCCTAATAAACTATAATATATACGTACAAAAAGCAATATTCATACTTTGCAATAACAATGCACACCAGACTGAGTTGACACTAAAGCTGCCCCCGCTGTGTATATTGTCGGTCAATAGTATTCTTACTCGTTAATTGTACACGTGTAGCTCTTTGAAATAAACCGATTCATAATGAAGATTTTCACACATATTCCATACAATAGGTGAGATAAATACAGGAAACGCTAGACTACGAGTAGTCCCCCATTTTTCCTCAGGGATAGTAGAGCGAGCGAAACGCGAGCGCGCGTGAAAATGGCGTGTCGCCTTTCCTCGCCTGGGGTGAGTTTCACGCGCGCTCGCGTTTCGCTCGCTCTACTATCCCTGAGGAAAAATGGGGGACTACTCGTAGTCTAAGGAAACGCAAGGTTCCATGCACACAGCCTTGATCAAAACATTGTCCGTTTCGAGAATAGTTTATTCTAAACCATAAGAAAAGATTTAATTAGGAGTTGAATTTTTCTCTTTCACTTTTTATATTCAGTTCATTTTATTTGCCGGAGAGTAAGCCTTAGAAATTAAAAGGTCGTTTGATCAATTCACGCTCGCGCGTTCTAGTCTTATTTTTAACTTTATGGCAGATAGACATCTGTGAGCAGGGAATACGTCGGCACAGAATTTGATTGTCGGCGAATTTCTGTAATCGTCCATCGTTCTGCTAGTGATATGCTAGCCATTGTTCACTCGTCTTGCTTGTTTGGGGCTGAGTCTTCTTCAGGTGAAAGAGAGAGAAAGAGTGTCTGGCAAAGTTTCCAATCAAAGATTTGTGAACTCGTGTCTGGCAAACTCTACAAGTGTTTATATATACACAGTTACATATACGCACCTTATAACTTCATCTGCGCTTAACGAGTGTCTTTTGGTCTATAACTTTCAAAACAACTGCTCCACAACACGTAATGCAAAAGAGTATCGAGGTATGACTTCACAATAAATGTCACAAAATCTACCTAAGCAGTCCACTCGGGATTTTCCGTCTTTACGTCATCCTATAACCACTTCGTACTCGAGGGCACAAACAATAGAAACGTCATCATTACCTACCGATTCCTCGCGGTCCCTGTTCAAGCAAGTCGAGATTTTTCTGGCATACTGACTGTATATTTCATCTGTAAGTACTTTCCTTAATATACGGGTGAGGTACTAGAGTGCCTCCTCGGGATTTCGCCTTCTGGGCGAAATCCCTGCGGGGGCAATAAGATCGTTATTATTGATTATCATGATAGCAGTAATATCATTTTCTTATTTTAGCAATGGATGATTAAGTACGGTATGGCTTTAGAGGGACAGAGTGTGACGATAAATGCAATCTCAAAACTCCAACGCAGGGCTGGAATAAATGTGACTGGAGTACTGGACACTGAAACCAAAAAATTACTTGTGATTCCTCGATGCGGGGTCACAGAAGATGATTACAAGGGTCAAGACTATGGCACAGAAAAAGGAATAACGGAAAGAAGACGGAGGAAGCGTTTTACTCTCCAAGGATCCTGGTGGAATAAAAAAGTGAGTGTTGCCGCGCAGGCTGATTTAGCAGGAAAGCGACAGGAAAGAGCGCGGAAAGGACTAAACGCGATTTGCCACTCTGCCATTGGTCAAGCCAGTTGTTTGATTTGCGCGCGCCATCGTCAACTGACGTTCCCGTTCTTTTGCTAAATCGGCCTGGGACTTACGACGCTGAGCGAGCATCTCTGTTGTACCAATGCAACGGCATTTCTTCAGACCAGCTTTTTTTTAGATCGATTCTCTCGCGAATTTTGACTGTGAAATAAGTCTAACAAACAAAGCAGCGAAAACGGGAGAACCGAAAATGGTATTTTGTTAGCGCCGATTTACTTTATCTTTTTGCCATTATCGTCCTATTGATGACCACACATACGGGGCGCTGCTTGCATTTTCTTAGAGTAAAGTACTCCAAAATGATGCTAAATTAACTCATCTGTGTAAACGCGGATTCATGGTCGGTTGTCCTGTTCTTTTTTATATTTAAGCTTCCTTATCATCTATGGAACTTAACGTTAGCGAAGGAATTACTTGTAAATGACAAAACACAGCTTCTTATTTGAAACGTATGCTAAATAAAGACAAAAATAAATAAAAAACAAAAACCCCCAACTAAGAACTGGGTTTTTAAACGTGTTAGACTAAAATTTGCCAGTTAGGGACCCTCTTTACAAGAACCTGTTTAGCCTAAAATTTTGAAACATATTCTTATTTTCTAAAATGTACAAAAAAAATTCTGCATACGTGAGGAACTATAAGATAAGTCAGCATTCAGGGTCCTCTTTGAAGACATGCTGCCATATCACTCCAACTGGTACTCGGATCATACTGTGTTATAAAGGCATAGGCTAAATATTTCTAAATACTCTCAGCTACAATGTATTTTTTCTTCTTCAGAAAACAGCGAGCTCTTTAAGAACCTATTTTAGCTAAAATGTTTGCTCGCTAATTGCCATTTATGTAAGAACCTGCTTAGGCTAACTTGGAAAAATGCAAGCTCTTGGTCGAGGGCTTTTACAGAGTCAAAGACACAATTTTCAAAATCCCTTCGCTTTTTCTCCTAGGATTTGACCTACCGATTTTTATCCAGCACAGCAGACCTTCCGGTCGATATTCAACAAAACATTCTGAGGAAAATGATCAACAAATGGGCAGAAGTGAGCACGCTGACCGTTCGTGAAGCGAACTCGTCAGCCAGTGACAATGATGTGGATATTTTGATTTCTTTTGTGAGAGGCTTCCATAATGACCCCTATCCGTTTGATGGTCAAGGAGGAACGCTGGCGCATGCGTACTATCCACACAACAACTTAGGTACAGTGTATAGTTCCAGGAAATATCCACACCTTCCACATGTAGGGCACTTTTGTTTTAGTCTCCCCACCCGCCCCCCTCCCCATGGAATTTCCGTTCACTATCGCGAAGGGCGTGAAAAAAAAAACCAACAAACATTCCGCAAGCCGACAGTAAATAAAAGATCATCAATGAAAACATACTCTTGAGTAAAACCAGTGGTTTAGTAGTAAAACAAATGATAGCTCGCTCAACAGACCATGAGCTATATATGATAGTTTTCCTTAACCCAGCAATCTCATTTGGAACCCCGGATAAAATGACCTCGAATAGCCTCTCCCAACCCCTCGGAAAATGCCTCTTTTTGAACCGCCCTCCACTTAGAATCTCCGTTGCCCTAGCCTCTGCATGAATTGCAGCGTTTAATGTACATAATATGACGGTACCGAAGATCGGTATGATTTTTAAAACACAGAAATAAGCGCACATGAGGTCTCAAAGTGGACGAAGATAGTATTTTCTCTAAATATACTGGGAATCCCAGAAGGCGCCTTTATATCTGGCATTGACCCATGGTGGAGTAATGTACAAGTTTTGCGAGGCTGCGAGCGTGTTAGAGTTTTGCCTTTTTTTTTTAATAAAAGCTATTTGTCAACGGATATTTTAGGATTATCTGGTGATGCCCATTTTGACGATGATGAGCGATTCACAACAGGAACAAGCGACGGTATAAACCTGGACTGGGTGGCGGTTCATGAGTTCGGACACAGCATGGGACTGGAACATTCCAACGTACGGGAATCCATCATGTATCCTTGGTACAAAGGATATTTCCCAAATATCGAACTGACTGAAGACGATATTTTAGGGATACAAGCACTTTATGGTAAGTTGAAACATTTCTAGTGTAAAGCCAACTGTAGATATCTATGACGGAGAAATGTAGACGAGCCGGTTTGGTATATAAAAGTGTTCTTTGGAGTATTTGGATAATCTACTTGTGATGAAGTACCGTAATGTCAATCACTTTTTTTCAAGGAAATGTAATACTGTCACTTTTCAGAGATCTTTTTGTATAGGTAATAGCATGATTTGTAGTGATATTTGGCATAAATACCACGAGTGATATTTCAAAAAATATTGTTATATGTAATTTCACAAGCCGTTAGGCGAGTGAAATTTGAGACAATTTTGAAATATCACAAGTGGTATTATGCCAAATATCACGTACAAATCATGCTATTATTTGTTTATACTACTACCCGCAAATGGTTTGTAATTTTCACATGTAGGTATTTCAAATTAAGCTGAAATACCCCTGCTCTAAGCCAATCAAATTGCAGAAATTTTTCATGTAGTAGTATAATTAATAGAACCACCACAATCTGGAACACGCTAGCAAGTGACCTTCAACTTTCAGATCAGCCAATTCAAATCCATCATGTACAAGTACTACGTGGATGCATTAGAACGTTACTACGACCAAGAGAACCCACGATCCTGAAAAACCATCTGTCCGTCATATAACGTTTCACGTAACGTGTCTGTCCGTCTCCGTTGTTGTTTTTAATTGTCATATCAGCGAAGTTTTACTGTTTCTTACATATCGTTTAAGATCTGGGACCACCGTAATTGGCTCACCGCTGTTGTGGAACCCCTGCCTCTGAAGCATTAATTATTTATTGTTCAGTAATAGGCGAAGCTAATAAAAAATAAGATAAATTGAATTTTCTGCTCAACTTATCACGGTTTTTATGCATTTTTCTCCCGCCTGTCAGACTACGCCGAGCTCATCCAGGTATAGTCTGAAAGATCTCTACTCCCAGCACAAGTTAAATGTAGCGCGGGTGGTTATAGGCGGTCCGGCTGTGAATGGTTTAGCCAAAAGGATAAAATTTGTCTTTCCCGGCCTTTTTCGCCTGATTTGACGTCTCATACACCTCAAAGATTGTTATCTTTAAAATTCTCCAAATGTTTCGAGATTATCTTAAGTCAACCTAAAGCCTTCAATTGGTTTCCTGCTGCATCTTGTGAGCAAAGCTTACAGTTGTACTGACGTGCCTGTTAACAGGCGTTACACATCCCCTCGTCCTTTCTTGCATTTAGGTAAACCTTTTCACGCTCACCCAAGCGCTTGTTTACAGCTTACGTATTTAATCATTTGGCACCATTTCAGGCAAACCAACCCCAGCACCAACCACAGAGACACCAACAACTCAACCAGAAACAACGACAAAGGCGACTACCACAGAGACACCAACAACTCAGCCAGAAACAACAACAAAGGCTACCACCACAGAGACACCAACAACTCAACCCGAAACAACAGCAAAGGCGACTACCACAGAGACACCAACAACTCAACCCGAAACAACAACAAAGGCGACCACCAACAACAACAACAAAGGCGACAACCACAAAGGCGACCACCAACAACTCAACAACTCAACCCGAAACAACAACAAAGGCGACCACCACAGAGACACCAACAACTCAACCCGAAACAACAACAAAGGCGACCACCACAGAGACACCAACAACTCAACCCGAAACAACAACAAAGGCGACCACCACAGAGACACCAACAACTCAACCCGAAACAACAACAAAGGCGACCACCACAGAGACACCAACAACTCAACCCGAAACAACAACAAAGGCGACCACCACAGAGACACCAACAACTCAACCCGAAACAACAACAAAGGCGACCACCACAGAGACACCAACAACTCAACCCGAAACAACAACAAAGGCGACCACCACAGAGACACTAACAACTCAACCCGAAACAACAACAAAGGCTACTACCACAGAGACACTAACAACGCCAACGACATCTGAGCTGGAAATTTGTAAAGTTAAGAAGTTTGACTCCTTTGTGATGGGATATGATGGAAAAACGTATGTTTTCAGTGGAGATTATTTCTGGGTGCTGTCAGAAAGACTCAAGGTGGAAAGCGGTCCAACGAAGATAACATTAAAATGGAAGGAAGTCAGAACTCCTATAAACAGCGCTTACACTAACTGGGATGGACGTACAGTGTTCTTCACAGGAAGCGAGTAAGTAAATAAGATCTAACTTTGAGGACGCTGTGTTTTTGGATGAAGTATTATTGGTTTGGGTAAGGAAGAGCGAAAAACAACGACAGCGCAAAAGACGGAAGAACCCCAATTAGGGAGATAAAAAAGGGTAGATTTGCAAAATAATAATGCAAACGCGAAATAATTTTATACTGGGGTTGCATGAGTCACTAGAATGGAATTGCACATATTCGGGATTTGGGGAATCAGAAAACTCAGGGAGGCACAGACTTTTTACTTCATTAAGTTTAACCGATGTGTCAATTCCTTTCAGGATGACCAAGTGAAAAGGCTTTATAAAGTAGATGCATAAACAGAAAGTTACTAAGTTGGGATCGCGAAAATGACATTTTCCCAGAAGTGACTAAGATGGGATCTATATTTGGTCACAGAATAGACTATAATGGGGTAGGGGTTCTGAGAGGCCAGCGGCACATACCCAGCAAAAATTAACCCAAGTAACCCCCTGGGAGAGAATTCTTCTCTTTGGTTTATAGATTCTGAAGTTGTTTTCGCAAGGTAACTGTGCGGTAACTCCTATCAATCAGTAGATTTCTCTAGCTCTGTATTTAAACAGGGTGATTTTGTTAATGCTTTTATACATGTACATGTATATGGTACTTTCCAAACAGATACAAGATTCAAATTTGATTCAATTTTTTTCCTGTCACAGGTATTGGATGTATTTTGACTATAGACTTGAAGAAGGTCCCCTATACTTAACCCAATACGGAGGTCGTGATGGCCTGCCCTCAGCGTTGGAGAATATGGACGCTGCTTTCATTTGGGAGAAGAATTATAAGGCTTATTTTTTTAAAGGATGGGAATACTGGCGTTACGATGAGATCTCCAAAAGAGTAGATCCTGGCTACCCAAAAAACATTTCAATTTGGGGTAAGTGTCTTGTAGTCTTCGTTACCATTGAGGGCTCGTCGAGAAAGAAAAAAATTGACGGTCGATCCTCGAAGGAAGAAGATATCTAATTGTCATTCCAAGTAAATGTTTCTTCCTTTTCATTGGCCAAGAGCCCACCACGTGACCTGTAAATAACTGCCTACAAATAATGGTCCGCCCATGCGCAATGTCGTCCAACTGTGTTTGGCTGCAAAAAATATTCTGCTACTGCGTATATTAAACCACGCTTTCCTCATTCTTGCGATCGCTCTTGCGTGAAAACGGCAGATCGCTTCGCTAGCCTTTCAAAGACCGATTTGTCATGTTTAATCGAATGATAGAACAATCATTTAACTCGGTTTTCGCAAAAGAACGTGATTTATCAGTGTCTATACTAGCAGATCAATTATTTGCTGAAGCCTGGGCTCCTGCTGAAGCCTTACAATTGATCTGCTGGCCACTGACAAATCACGATAGTTTACTCAACCTCGTCCAATAATCATTCAATTATTGACAGCTATATGATTGACGATCCAAGTCCTTGTTTTTTAAGTGTTGATCTCCTCTGCATTCAACAAATAACAAGTTATTCCCTATTTCCGACAAAATGTACGCATCGTTCTATTCAACGCTACTATTTAATGGATTTTTTTCTTTCAGGTCTCCCTCATCCCATGGATTCTGTTATGTCCTGGAGTGGAAATAAGAGAACGTATTTCTTCAAAGATGAGAACTATTGGAGGCTCGATGACAGATTGCTGAAGTTTGACAAGGGATATCCCCGCGATATCACTCAAATATGGATGAGCTGCCCTACTTAAGAAGAGGAATTATTTTTAGATTCAGCAAGCATTTATCGGAATTCGAAACTCTGCTTAAGCGCAGTAGATATCATAATGTGCTCGGGATACATATAATGCATACAGCAGTTTTTGTTTAAAATGCACCAGTCAACGATGTATGATGCTCGGTAAAAGCTGGCGTGAGGGCTGCAGTCCTAATAATCATCGTCGCGTGTTAACATTACCGTGCTTGAAGGCAAGAGAAATGTGCAAAAGCTAAATATATTGAGCTAAGTTCCCCATATCAAGGATGTTATTTTCACTTAACAAAGTCTGGTATAGTATTACCAGCAAGCCATTGTCATTTAATGTTTTATAAGTCTGCTAAAAATGTTCAAAATGTTCGAAAAATTAAACTGTAAAATCGTCAGCGTCATTTGCCAACTTACTGTGTTACTCGGCACAAAGCTTTTTCAACAAAAAGGATCTTCAAGGGGCCATAAAAGCTTGCCCAACCACGCCCAGATTGGTGGTCTTTAAGGGTTTGCAGTTAATAATATCACTTCCAATTTTCGGGTGTTTGTTGGTGTTGCGGATAAATACTGTTAGTTCGCTTTTGTGTTGTGGTGTGGGTATTGTTCCTTGTCTTTTCAATCTTTTGTATTACGTCATTTGGTAATTGCACCCGTCCTCAACACCAAGAACCTCTTCCGGTTCCACATGCGAACACCTCCCCCACCCCTCCCAAGAAGAAAGCCTCAAAGTGCAATACCCCTCGGTTTGCGCCCGCTGTTGTGATCAAGATGTTCTTCTGTTTTGCTCCGTTATCTGTTGATGACACTCACAAATTGTTTCTCGTGTCATAATGCGTGTTTCAAATGCTAATTTATTAAAAAAATGGTTTGTTTGTCAGTTAATACCGTCACCATTTGGCCCTGTCTACGTCACGTCCGCAAATCTTTCAGACCTTCGACACAGCATAACCTCTCCAGGTTGCCATCTTCTGAGACAGTCCTTAGTCGCCATTCACAACGCAATGGAACTTCAGAAGAGTTGGATGCAGCAGTTGGTCATTTTTTCTTTTATTTTTCGATAGTGCGGCGACCGCAGCTTTGCTTTACCTATCCGCGGCGGCATGAATGTAGAACCGTCCAAAGAAGAAATTGACAGGGTCACTCTTGAAGATGCCAGGGTAAGTCATGAACAGCTTGCAGAAATGCCATAGGGCTAGTCATTAAGCGAGGAAAAGGTATACTGGGTTAAGCCACCGCATGGCTGCCGCAGCGGACTCGGGTTCGAACGTTAATATGGTACCGATAAAACCCATTCTCAGAACAACATTCCGTCCATGATCGGGACAGACGTGGCATATCTCAATTTCACTGTAGACTTAATGTTTCTTTTGTGAGAGGATTCTTCCCAGAGCAGCAATGCGTGACGAGAGAACTGCTGGCTGCGTGGTCACACTACATACTGTTAAATGCAAGTCAGAGAGTACTTTTTCTTGTGGCATTTTTGAAAAGTTAACCACGAAAACGTCTAAAGAAATAAACAAAAATAAATTCAGTCACTTTATTGCTTCAGATAATGTTTTAGAAAATCTTTTTCTTTTCAATAATGGTTTTTTATTTTAATAACAAACCGACAAAAATCTTCTCAGAAAATGGCAATTGATAGAAAAGAAGCGATTTTTTAAAAACATTTGCCTATGAAAAAAATCGATAAAATTTTGCTTAAAGCATTTTAAGAAATTTTACGAAAAGAAAATAACGGATTTATGTATTTATAGAACATTCAGCTCGAACGCAATTTTTCTTTGACTTAATAACGAAGTTCTAACGAGCACGTCAAAACGTCGTCATGTTTTTTACCGTTTTTTTAAAATGTCTTAAAATGTTTTAAGCAAAATCTTATCGCAATTTTTATAGCAAAACACGAAGATTAAAATTATCAATATTATTATCATGATAGCAATAATCAGATTATTTTCTTATTTTAGCTATGGATGATTAAGTACGGTAGGGCTTTGGTGGGACAGAGTGTAACGACAAATGAAATCTCCAAGCTTCAACGGAGGGCTGGAATAAATGTAACTGGTGTTATTTTTCAACGAATATTTCAGGATTATCTGGCGATACTCATTTTGACGATGATGAGCAGTTTACAACGGGTACAAGTGAAGGTATAAACCTGGACTGGGTGGCGGTTCATGAGTTCGGACACAGCCTGGGTCTGGAACATACCAATGTACGGGAATCCATCATGTATCCTTGGTACAAAGGATATTTTCCAAATATCGAGCTGACTGAGGACGATATTTTTGGGATACAGGCTCTTCACGGTAAGCAATGGGAAAATGATTCCCAGGGAAAAGCAAACAACATTTGTCTATTTTTTTTTATTATTTTAGCGCCTTTTCTTTGATACCATGGTTACCAAAGGTATTTTTCTTGAGTGCGGGTTGATGCTCCGGTATCGGTCGTAGGCTGACAGAACTCCGGCCGAAGTCACGCTCGGCGAAGCCCGACTGATGACGGAAACCGGGGCCCGCGCATGAAAAGTCTCTGGCACCCAGGATAGTTTTCTGTTAACAGTGCTTACTTTTCTGGTGAATCCAAAGTACGATGAAACTTTCTGGGGTGTCTATTTTTTTAGAATACGCGAAAAAACTTTCAGTCAATTCTCGTGCAAGTCTACACGAACCTTAAGGCCTCTTAAACTAAATAAATAAATAAGACACGTATGTTGTCGACGGCAAGTAAATCGCTTTCGAAGCGAGCTTAACTTACAAGCCAAATTATCCAACTATCGCATTGCATTAAAGTAGTTGATACTTTTCCTCATCTAATGTCTCCTCATGTCTTTTGAATATCGGGTATTTAAAGCGAGTCATTTTTGTCGATCACAGTTTCAGACATTTTCATACACAGTACTTTGACGATCAGAAAGATCTGTACTGTCCGGTTGAAACATGAACAAACTAACAAATCACAAAGTTGATTTATATATTTATATATTCATTTAAAATTTTAGTATAATGAACTAGTACGCAAGTACATGATTTTACGAGGTAGAAAAAGGTTATTCAACCTGCCTTTTCACCGATTTCCAATTGAAAATTAAAAATACAAAAAAGACAGCATTCAGTGACTATATTCAAGAGATCGCAAGGCCCTTTAATTACGGCGTTTTACAATTGATTGCTTTTAGGTAAACCGACTCGAACTTCTACTCCTTCACCGACTGGAACACAATCAGACATGACTAAAGGAACCGCTATTACCAGAGGTAGTACGTCAGCCAAAGCTGCTCCTCTTCCGGTTTTGGACATTCGCAAGTCTTGAAGTTTGACTCGTTTGTGATGGGATATGACGGAAAAACGTACGTTTTTAGCGGGGACTATTTTTGGGTCCTTGGAGTAAGACTTGGTGTGGAAAGCGGACCGACGAAAATAACATCAAAATGGAAGGCACTCAAGACACCGATAGACAGCGCTTATACTAACTGGGATGGACGAACAATGTTCTTTAAAGGAAACAAGTAAGTAAAGGGGATCTAAATAGTCTTGCTCTACAGGGTGTAAAAGCCTAATTTTCATGCTAACAGCAGACGGACTAAAAATTATTTTTGTAAGGGAACCGACACAGTTTTGATTCAGAAGTAATCCAATATCAAACTTCTTTGACATCTTTTCCTTCGGTAATAGAGCCCAGGGTCATATAAACCACATGAATTTGTCTTAGCCCACGAAACCATTTAACCACCCTTCCACCCCCCGGCTTCACACTTATATGTATACAGGGGCGTAGCTACCTTTACGACCGGGGTTATTCCCTATAATGGCCTATATGGCGACAAGGGCCGACAGGGAGACTTCGCCCGAAAGAGGTACTTTTGAGGCGTCAGTATATGGGTAGGGATTTTACTTGTTTAAATAAATGAAAAGGTAGAGAAATCTGTCATTTCAGACTGTTAAAGGGCTAACAGATACATTTTGTGTCTGTAAAAAGAAGAGATAACGCTTAGGTTCACTGACTTATTCATTTTTAAAAAGACGATGCATTTACAGCAGGTAGAAGGGATGTAGTGTTCTGAAATGAGTATGTGAAACGGGTACCATTTGCCAATGGAAGGTATATGAAAGGGTTACCTTTTCTGTCAATAATGGTATATAAAAGGGTTAAACTTGACGGCAAGGCTGATCGGACAGCTAAGGATTCGTAATCCATTTATACAATATTTCGGTTAGACGAAACTAACCATCATCAGGAGCTAGAAAGGCTAAGTGATAATAGAATTAGGGTAAAGGGCTGGACTTTGGGGCGGAGACTCCTTGTCTAAAACTTTGTTAAGTACTCCCCGGCCTGTAGGCCCCTGGATATCCACACAAATTTCACAAAATTTTCATAAAAAACAACAACAACAAAGAGCTTGAAGGTCTCTGCCCAGTAAAGTTGATAATGTAAAGTAGGAAACTCTGGGTAATAATTGCTGTCATCACTGATGATGTTTTTGCAGGTATTGGAAGTATTTTGACTACAAGCTTGAGGAAGGTCCAAGCGACATAAATCAATATGGCTTGCCGTCTACCTTACAGAATATGGATGCGGCGTTTATCTGGGAACGCAACTATAAAACGTATTTTTTCAAAGGGGGGTATTACTGGCGTTACAACGAGAATAGCAAGAGTATTGACGGCAATTACCCAAGACCAATTTCAGTTTGGGGTAAGAAACAAAGTAACACAAAAGCTTTATATTTCCCTGTCACTGATATAATGACGCAAAACAGTACTGAAACCCAGGCTTCTTGAGGTAACCAGTAAGCTACCGGTGATCTAGAGTACTAATGGCTAGTTCCTAAAGGTTTTCTTCTCCATTTCCCTTTCCAGACTAATGCATTCACAGAAGCCAAACCTCATCTCGACTGTCCGAAAAGGATATCTTGTAAATAAACAGCTACCCCTCCGGCCTTCTTTGATCCATCTCATGCACATATTTCAGTCATGGTCGGAAATTAGGCCTATCTTATCTGCGCCCTTCGTGAGATTTTCCCTGAGGTATTTTTTTGTCAAAAAAGGGAACAAACAAGCAGTAGAGAAGAGTTCAGAGAGTTTGCTTACGCTTATTAACATTGTCGTCAACAGAATATAGGGTATTTCACGTCAGTGGCTCGAATAAGTCATCATTAATCATCCTCGAATAAGTTATGATTAAAAAACCCAAGGCCGACGGTGCGTCCATTTTACCCACCCCCTCCCTCAATCACTGCTCCGCTTGTCGTCAACAGAGTATAGGTAAAGGTATTTTAAGTTAACGCTGTCTCTAAACTACATGGAAAGGCCGGGAAGATAGTCGAAACACGGATTTGAGGACACAACTTCAGCAATCGAACTCGTGGCCCCTTGAACATAATAGCTGGCCGTGCCCTAACCAACCGTGCTAATCTTTGTTCCTAAAAAGAATAGAGAGTTGTATAAAGGCTTTGTTAAGACCCGGCATACCGCAAGTAGGAAGTTTTCCTTGATGAGACCTTTCACTTCTCCTAGAAATCATTATACCTGAGGGGGGGGGGAAGGGGGGGGCCTCCCATATAAAAGTGACGGGGATGCTCGCCGGAAAATTCAAATTAAACCCCTAAGGGAGACCAGTGTGGGTGTGGCTCAAGCTTAAACTGACCCCTGAGGTAGATTTCTGTGTGGTCAGTGTAAGGGCATTTTTGGAAATTTTTTTATGCACAGTACTAAGCGATACCTGGATGAGCAAATATAGTAACTTTCCATCCCAAACACCCTAACTTAGACTAAAATCCGCAATTTACAACTCTCTGAAGCGACAAGGCGAGCGTCCCCGTCACTTTTATATGAGAGACCCCCCCGGGTCGTTATGCCAATAAATTTAATTCGACTTTTGATCATCGGTCTAGGTCTTCCTCATTCAATGGACACCGTGATCTCTTGGAGTGGAAACAAGCGAACGTACTTCTTCACCCCCCGGGTCGTTATGCCAATAAATTTAATTCGACTTTTGATCATCGGTCTAGGTCTTCCTCATTCAATGGACACGTGATCTCTTGGAGTGGAAACAAGCGAACGTACTTCTTCACCCCCCGGGTCGTTATGCCAATAAATTTAATTCGACTTTTGATCATCGGTCTAGGTCTTCCTCATTCAATGGACACCGTGATCTCTTGGAGTGGAAACAAGCGAACGTACTTCTTCACCCCCCCGGGTCGTTATGCCAATAAATTTAATTCGACTTTTGATCATCGGTCTAGGTCTTCCTCATTCAACGGACACCGTGATCTCTTGGAGTGGAAACAAGCGAACGTACTTCTTCACCCCCCGGGTCGTTATGCCAATAAATTTAATTCGACTTTTGATCATCGGTCTAGGTCTTCCTCATTCAATGGACACGTGATCTCTTGGAGTGGAAACAAGCGAACGTACTTCTTCCCCCCCCCCGGGTCGTTATGCCAATAAATTTAATTCGACTTTTGATCATCGGTCTAGGTCTTCCTCATTCAATGGACACCGTGATCTCTTGAGTGGAAACAAGCGAACGTACTTCTTCACCCCCCCGGGTCGTTATGCCAATAAATTTAATTCGACTTTTTATCATCGGTCTAGGTCTTCCTCATTCAATGGACACCGTTATTTCTTGGAGTGGAAACAAGAGAACGTACTTCTTCGCCCCCCCCCCGGGTCGTTATGCCAATAAATTTAATTCGACTTTTGATCATCGGTCTAGGTCTTCCTCATTCAATGGACACCGTTATTTCTTGGAGTGGAAACAAGCGAACGTACTTCTTCAAAGATAAAAGCTATTGGAAGCTGGATGACCACAGCCTTAAACTGAATGAAGGATATCCACGTGACATCACCCAAATATGGATGAATTTAGACTGTTCCAAGCGTTCAGATTGTCGGGATGGCGGAAAGACATGTGAGCAGGGAAAACACCGCTCTCCCTCTCCCTCTCCTCCAACTCCCTCTCTTCCTTCCTTCGTTTTTCCCACTTTCTGACTTTGTGCCACCACTATCTACTATCTTGTGCTCGTAAAATGCTGGAAAGTTGCTCACTGGAATGCCAAACTGAAGTTGCCGAAAAAATTGCAAAAAAATCCAAAAAGTTGCAACCTAAATTTCTTGATATTTTCATATAGACGTAAATTAAAAGCTTTATTTTTCGTTCTTCACAATAATTACTAACATTGGTCAAGAAAAATAACCGGAAACTTAGCCATCATTAATTTTAAAAAATAAAATAATAATAATAATAATAATAAACATTCAAGAAATTCGCACGAATTGAAGTTTGCTAAGAAATCGTTGACTTTTTCGGGCTTGATACTGTGCTCTAAACCTATATTTTGCTCAAAAGTTGCTCAGAAAGGGAAAATTTTCTCGAGGTTGCTAGAACCGCAAAAAGTTGCTGCAAACGCCAAAAGTTGCTCAAAAGTTGTCAAGCACAATCGGGAAAGGCCGTACTATCTAAACACTCAGAACCAGCTGAGATGTAGAGTTTCTCCTAAACTGACTGTCCAATTTACTTCTAAAAAAGAGCATTCTCTAAATAACATGATAAAATCACTCCGGTACGTCCTTGGTCACAGTAGACTAAGCGATTTCTCCCTTATTCTTCTCAGAGATGGTAGAGCAAGCAAATCACGTGAATGCGCCCGAACCCCCACCTGTGAGGTCACCTTTTTCTCTATTGGCAATTTCACGCACGTTCTAGTGACTTGCTCACTTACCTTTCCCCGCATGATGAGAAGAATGAAAAATTCCGCGTAGTCAGGAGCCGACAGCCTGTTAGCCTTCAGTCTATTTAAACAGATTCATCTTCCGCTTTAAAAAAAACCTGAGCCAACGTCAGACATGTGAACAACAGAAAAGTGTTCAAAATTTAAGAAACGAAAGAAAGAAAGAAAATTAAAGAAAGATAAAGAAAGAAAAAAAAGGAAAGGAAAAAGAGTAAATAAAAAAATCAGATGAGAGAGTGCTTTCGTTTGAGGACAAATCACCGACTGTAGACAACGTAAGCTAGACTTGAAGGAGTGTTATTCGTACATTCGTGCAATTTGCCTGCGATACCTTCTTTTGTTAGTGTTGTTGCTTGTTTCAGTATAAATCCTTTCAAGACCGTTGGTTTATTTTAGTGTCTCCACTAAGTGAGACCACCAACTGCCTCTAAGAAGGAAATGATGACTAAGTTTGATGCCGAGGGTTTCTTGAAAATTTGTGGTGAGAATCAAGGAATCTCCAATCCCTGAACCCTAAACTAAAACAACTCATATTTACGGCAAACGGCAAACTTGTACCATGTGACCAATTTAATTCTTTTAACTTGTGCTTTACTGTTCATTAATTCTACCCCAAAATTAGTAGCTTCATGTTAGTTTTGTCTACTACAGTTTTTTGGACTGTTCTTAGCTGCACGTTTTCTGTTTTTAGAAATTCTCAACTTGAATTTGACGTTTCCTTTTCGCCTTAAACGAACTGTCCTTGGCCAAGGTAATGCTCGGGTTCAAAAAACGGAGTATACTCGGAAACCAAGTTTTGGAAATAATAATCATAAAAAAGTCAAAACAAAAATTAAACAAGAACGGGCTTGGTTTTTAGAGGCCAGGCCTGAAAAACGGTGTGGATAATGGTATGTTTTAGTCGTCTGAGGGTGGGATTAACTCCTTAGAGGTGGGATTAACAAGGGGAGAATAAACTCTAGGAAAACTTCGCAATAAAGTCATTATAGTCTTTGAAATAAAGACTCCCAAGGACATCAAGTCGTTTGCGAATTCATTTCACTGCTTCATTCAGTTACGCCTACTTTTTGAGAGAAATTGCAGATTTAAAGTGTCTTATCTTTACTGTCAAACCGGCTTTGCAGTTTACCTCCAAATCCCCCCAAATCTTTAATAAGCATAATAAGATAATGATAAGACATTAGAAGAACAACAAAAACTGAAAATAAAAAAAGTACTCGCTGTTTCTTACCCTCTCTAGTGCTCCTTATTTGAGTTCTCAAGACATATATGCATCGTTTATCCCCTGTTGGAATTAGCTCTTCTTGTGGAGAACATTAAACTGGCCTTTAGATCACACGTGACAAGCACGTTCGAAAACTGTTAAAGAACTTTTTTGTCAGGGATTACAATCAATTATAATCCTGAAACACGTTCACCGGAAATAGTATTGGCTAATAGGTCAAAAACGACGTCAGATATCTATGATATGGTTCCAAAGAGAAGAACTTGACACGTGCACGTGGAGCCGCTGTGCTAGCCGGGCCTCTGTTGTTAGACCAAAGTGTTCACTGCCTGGGGATTACGGGGAAGAAAGAACAGGGTGAGGACGAGGAAAGGGAACTCTCCATCCCCCCCGCCCCACCCCATTCCTCGTCTTGACCCAAACCTTCGCGATGCTTGTAGCCTGCGAGCAGGCTCACTTGTGCAAGTTCGGGGAAAATTTTTTTGGCGGTGGAGCCCGCATCCCGCATCCCGCATCCCGCATCCCGCATCCGGCATCCCGCATCCCATTCTCCTCGCGGAATGGGGGCTCCTCCGCCAAAAAAATTTTTCCCAAACTCGCACAAGGGAGCCTCCACGCAAGCTAACTTCTAGTACTGCCTCCAAATGTCGCCATCCTGGCTTTGTTTCATTGCAGACACTCATGCTGGGACAGATCTGACATGAGTGCTTTTTTAATCCTTGAACAGGCGCTACTTTTTTCTTGCGTTTTACAGGCGAGCACGCTGCGGACGTGGAGCATGAAACACGAGCGACGGGGGAATATGTTTTTTCTGCGTCTTCTCACGTCGCCCGTGTGTCGCGCTCCACGTCCGCGTTCGTGTTAGCCTGAAACACGCAAAAAAATAGCACCTGTTCTGCAGGCTATGCATTGATTAGTGGCAAAGGAGGTTAAGAGAAACACTGGAGGGATCGATTATGCAAAGGAGTTGAAATGTTCGCCGTATTATTTGGGGCCAGTGCGTGTAAATGCAAATTGTAGTTTAGGGCGGAACGGAACGTCAATAGGCTTCTTTTCAATTTCTTTAGGCAGAAGCCGATCATCTGCCTGCAGTTACTTACAGGAATAGCAAAAGAAGAAAAGAAAAGAAAGAAGGCCGTAACTAATCTGACTAATCAAGTGGAATGAAATTGCTTTCAGTTATTTGGCTGTCTTTCTCTTTTAGTTGCTTAAGAAAATTTCAGGCGCTTATAGTGGCCACCTTTGGGCGTTTGCAGTTAATGGACAAGTGTAACTTACAATCAGTTTGACGAGCCTCTCCACTTTTTTCACATGGAGGCCTCCCCATAGCAGGAGAAGGCCCCGAGAGTACTCCCTGAACAGAATAACAATTTCAGCACTGAGGTACACGTATCAATTCCGCAATATGGCAGTACCTTACGTATCGCACAACCATAACACCCCTGAAGTCGCAGCCATGGACAGCTGTTTCGTCCTGAAGCACGGCTGTCCAAGTACGTGAAAAGGGCAAAAAAGGTATATATTTAAAAAAGGGTAAGGAGCTGCACCTCGGGACGGAGCTGACCCACCCTCCCCTCCCCCGCCACAGTGGGGGAAATCCCGAGTCTCGAGGTGCAAAACCACCCGGTTCACGTGTCGTCCGTTCCAAGTCCAGGTTGTTTTCTCTTTTGTACGCTCCGTTATCTGATGAATGTTACTGTCAGATTGTTTCGCGTGTCATAATACATGATTCAAATGCCAGTTTATGGAAAAAACGCTTTGTTTGTACCATAATCTACGAAAGTCCTTGTTTGCTTCCTTCTGGCTCTACCTACGTCACGTCCGCAATTTCAGACTTCGTCACAGCATTAACCTTTTTAAAAGGTTTCAAGATTCTGAGACATTCCTTAGTTGCACGTTCACAACGCAATGGAAGCTCAGAAGAGTTGGATGCAGCAGTTGATTATTTTTGCTTTTATTTTCCTGTGGTGCAGCCACCGCAGCTTTGCTTTACCTATCGGCGTTACGAGCGTCGAACCGACCAAAGAACAAATTGACAACTTCACTCTGGAGAATGCAAGGGTAAGTCAATGAATAGCTTTCAGAAATGACAAAGGAGTAATCGTGAATAAGCAAAGAGAAGGTTTACTGAACTAAGTCAGTGGAGAAGTGCTTTATTAGCTTTTACTGTCATTTATTCCATAACTAACCCATTAAGTATATATTACAAATGATCTGTAGGATGACCACTTGAAATTATGCCAAGACCTAAAAGAGGTCGAAAGGACAGAGAATTCCCTCATAAATATACCACGGTGTGCATGTCAGCACTATTCCATTTTGACTGACAAAGTCAGTTCTGACAAGTTTCCTGCGCAGTTGTTCTGTAATTCATTAGCGTGTTGTCGCGCAAGGAACACGCACTGCGTGATGAGACGGCTGCTGTGTGGCTAACCAGTCTTGCACGCAGAAACCCGGGAGTACTCCTCTAAAATTGATACATTTATGAGAAAGTGCTGTGATAGTTCTGGTGACTCATTCCCGATCTACCATACTTGATACATTAGTTTGGAAATGGAGCGCGTCAGGAGCCTATTAAATAGGCTCCTGGGCTCGTACAAAGGAAGCGAAATATGATATGATATATGCAGAGCGGATCGGAATGTTCAAAAATCCGTCTTAACAAAGAATACCTAAAACTATACCTACCTACCCAAAGCAAATTCAAGCCCCGGGGGAAGTTACTTGGGTTAATTTATGCTGCCATGGTTAGGTGCAGCTACCCTCTTAGAACCCCTACCCCATTATAGTCAATTCTGTTGCCAAATATTGACCCCATCTTAGTCACTTTTGGGAAGATATAATTTTCGCGATCCCTGTTTACGCATTTACCTTTACAGAAAAAAAAGCTTGTCAACTAGGTTATCCTGCAATGAATTGACACATTGGTAAAAATCTTCCCATTTTTAAATCCCAACCTACCTGATTTTTCTGATCCCCCAAATACCGAAAATGTGCGGTTCAATTCTAGTAACTCTAACGAAAATGTATCCCCGATAGTCAGATCCAGCAGTGGAAAATACGATCCTATCCAGCGGCACATCCCCATTAGCCTATTACTAGTAAGTACCCCACGGGACTCAAGCCCGTTGACACCCTCGTAATAATCTTTCGCCCCTTTAGTCCCTTCTGTGTCCACCCCTTCTAGGCAGATTTGTGCTATTGTTTGTGACCAGTAAAGTTGGTAAAACAAAAAAGAATTATTCAACCATTCGTCGGCTAGTCAACTAGGGATGAGAGGTTCAACCTCGTCCCCAGGGCGCTTTTCCCTTGGGAGGTTCTCCATATCCCTTCAGGAGTCCATGATCCTGATCCCGCTTATTCTTCCGTTTAGTCACACTAAAGCCCTCGGGGATATATAGGGCGCAGGGATACTTCATCTGGGCCAGAAAAACTCCCCCTCGCCCCCCCTCCGCCCCGCCCTTTCCTCCAGCAGTCTATGCCCCTGATCCACAAATAAATTCTCCAGACTGATCTCCATACATTCCTTGAAAAAATTAGTTTTGAGAATTTGTTTTAAAAGATCAAAGCGGTTCCACTTTGGAGATCATTTTATTAATTCTAGTAACCATTCTATTTAGTTATGTATAAGAATTGTAGGGAGAAAATTGATTTTGGTCACTCTTGGGACTTTAAAGGGTTAACCGGTCAAAGTCCTTTGTTTTAGGATTGGGTGTATAAATACAAACTAAAAAAACCTGGAGGCGCGACTGGCAGCTTAAGAGAAGAAATCCAGACAATCCAGCTGAGGGGAGGATTAAACAGAACTGGAGTATTGGACGATGCCACAAAGAAGTTACTTTTGACTCCTCGGTGTGGAGTTTATGAGAAAGAGGATGAAAACCAGACAATTGGTCAGACAAGAAGAAAAAAACGCTTTTATCTTCAAGGAACGTTGTGGGAAAAGAGGGTAAGACCTCGGGTATGGTTTAATGACGTTGATTTTTTCAGTTTTCAGTCATTGACTAGACAACTAAACAGCCCGTATCTTTTGTAGATAAGAACGCTCGAGCGGTCAAACGAAACTCCTGGAACTAGAGTGAAAACCGGGGCGGAGTGTAAGACAACCGTCAGGCTTGCGCGCTTCGCGCTAAAATCTCAAGTAGACTCTTCGTCTCATGAAAAACCTATTTGGTGAAAAAGAGCAACTGTTTTGCAGTCTAGTCACTCTCCCAACGGATTCGAACCATGACCTACTAGTTACGAGTTTAGATCTGGGGGCGTACTGTCATATATACGCTATATCAAGTCAAGTCAATCTTTATTTAAACACGGTAAAATCCATCAGGAATTTAAAAAAAATTAAAAATAACCTAACTATCCTAAACAAAATTCAAAACCTGACTACAACTAATCTAACTAAAACCTGTTTTTCATGAATGCCGTGTATAACATTAAAAATGAACATTAACTAATCTTTTAAATTGACTAAGAGATTCGGCTTCTCTCACATGACAGGGTAGGCTGTTCCAGAGAACTGCTCCGCTATAAGTAAAGCTGTTTTTCATGAAATTAGTTCGCGGAAATGGGACAAATAGTTTGTTAACAGAGTCCCTCAGGGAGTAACGCGTTTCATTTCGTTTAACAAACTTAGATGATAAATATTCAGGAACAAGGCCATTTAAAGACTTGTATACCATTATGGATTTCTGTATTTGAAATTGAGTGCTCAAGTCTTTCCAATCGAGTTGTCTAATCAAACGGTTAGCATCAGCATCATAGCTAGAGAAGGTTAAAACGCGAGCGGCACGGTTCTGAAGCTTCTGTAGCCTGTCAAATAATGTTTTACCACAATTACCCCAGACAAGATTGCAATAATCGAAATGAGATTGAATTAGTGAGTTGTATATATAGTGAAGGGTAGGTGGAGGGACAAAAGGTCTAATTCTTTTTATTGCTCCAATTCCGGAAGCGACCTTTTTAGATAATTTATCAATGTGTGTTTGCCACCGTAGATTTTCATCAATAAATATTCCAAGCGATTTGACAGAGGAAACGTGTTCTATCGGAACATTATTAATCGAGAGCTCAAGTGGGTTCGACAAAGTACTCAATTTTTGTCTGGAGCCAATTAGCATGAATTCAGTTTTAGAAGTGTTCAAAGTAAGTTTATTGGAAATAAGCCATTTGTTTAGGTTATCTAAATCGTGACTCAGAGTTAACTGTATTGAATTCACATCAACGCCAGCATAAGTAATGTGGGTGTCATCGGCATACATTCTAGGCTGGCACGAAGTAAGGCAGTTAGGCAAGTCATTAATATAAATAAGAAATAAAAGGGGCCAAGGATTGTTCCTTGCGGTACCCCACATTTAAGAGAGCAGATTCTAGAAAGAGAACCGTTAACAAGACATCGTTGTGTACGATTAGTTAAATACGACCTAAACCAATCAAGAGCTGTACCTTGTATTCCGTAAAGGTTCATTTTAGCTAGAAGGATATCGTGGTCAACGGTGTCGAAAGCCTTTTTAAATCGAGGAAAACCACAGCATTAACATTGCCACGATCAATATTAAAGGCCCAATTATCCGTAGCTTCCAGAAGGGCAGTTGCAGTTGAGTGTAACGAGCGAAAACCCGATTGATGATTAGAAATGATATCTTCATTGGTCAAAAGTTATACAACTGATCATAAACAATCCTTTCAAACACTTTAGCTATAACGGAAATGACTGAAATAGGTCGATAATTATTCAGATCAGATGGCTCACCTTCCTTGAACAACGGAGTAACTCTAGCACATTTCCAATCATCAGGAAATATACCAGAGACTAAAGATTTATTAAAGAGATCACATAGTGAAACTGAAATAAGATCAGCACATTCACGTACAATTTTAGCAGAAATATTATCAAGACCAGTTGCTTTAGATCTACATAATTTGTTTAGATGTGAGAAAACAATGCTGCAGTTAGTCGAGGAGAAGCTGAAATTGTTGTTATTTACCTTTATATTATTGATATAACTTGAATTATTTTCAGTAGTTAGAGGTATTTCATTAGCAAGTCTGGGCCCAATTGTTGAAAAATGGTCATTAAAAGCATCAGAAAGCTCACTAGAATTAGAGATAATGGTATCATTCAATTTCAGTTCTTTCACCGTTGTATTATTCACACGACGGGATGTAAGCTCATTAAAGGTTTGCCACGTTTTTCGAGGATTACCCTTAGATTGAATAAATGCATTAGAATAATAAGATGCTTTAGAAATTTTGATGTCATTGTTTATTATATTTCGCAACTTTTTGTACCTTTTCCAATCGTGTGGATCATTCGATGTATAATTGCTTTTCTTTTGGCAGCATCACGATCACGCATGCCTTTCTTTAATTCTGAATTGATCCAGGGTGCTTTATTTGTTCTAGTACGTCTAGTTCGGAGTGGCGCATGAATATTAACAATATCCAAAAACTTCGTTTTCCAGTCAGACCACAAAACATTTGGATCTTCAGAAACATTACAGGACCAGTCTTGCTGAGCGATATCGTTACGAAAACTCTCTCTATTAAAATTTTGGAAATTTCTATAAGAAATGGTTGAGTGCCCTTTTGAAGGAAAAGTGAGAGATAATTTCCTATAAACGTAAATAAGGCTATGATCGCTGATACCAATATGAGAGACTCCGGAACAGACTACCCTGTCAGTATAGTTTGACATATAGGTATGTGTAGCTGTTGATATGGAGTTCAACCATTTTTTTCTACGATAGGTTAAATTAACCTGCATTGCGGTTAATAGATGGGAAATAGCTGCTCTAGGATGGGGAGGAATTTGGGGAGATTCGCCAAGTTAAGGGTAAAAAAAAAATAAGCTGAACTGGGTTCCACGGTCCCAGGGGCACGTCCCCTCCCCAAAATTCCTAAAGTACCCCTAGGGGCTTAGACAAAGAAGAATCAGGCTCAGAGCGTTACTCGAACCAGGAATCGCGCTGACCACTCATGAGACACAAGGGTGTCCACCGAATATTTTTTTATTTTATTTTATTTTATTATTTTGCCACACACAATGAATTACAAGCAGAATAAAAACGATAATAAATAGGTTAACTAACATTAAATTTAAAATTTGTGCATTACTTGGGAGGAGTGACTGTGGCGGGGAAATCTCCGAGAAGCCTAGCTTATGAGGAATAGAGATTTCCCCCTCGGGCAATTTAAATACTAGGCGGCATTTTAAGAAATAAAGAAAAAAGTCGTTTATTTGAGTATATAAGTGTGTTTAGAGGAAAATATAGATATGAGGTGTTAAGGTATTTAGGTTGCATTCTGTCTGACCCTTAAAAATGGTTTGATCACTAGTTTAAGGTATCAGCCACCCTTCAGGACAGTCCGCGCGCGGATCGCTGTAGCATTGGTTGTTTTTATAAAAACCCCTATAAACCATATATTTTTTAAAAGCTTAATAATTTCAGATTATGGATTTGAACTAACAAAAACGATTTACTTAAATGTGTTTCGAAATTGGAACGCTTTGTGTAAAAGTACACGTCTCTATAAATCATGTTCCACTCCCGCCGGAAATAAACGGAAGAAAACAATTAACACCGCATTCGCTTCTCAACACGTTCCACTAAAAAACCGTGTCTCAGATTTTTGACAAGTGCGTTTGTTTTTCTTTTATTAGCAAATGAAGTTGGGGAAGGCAATTAGTCCACACTCTCTGTGTAAAAGAAGCTCTAGCTTTAAAATGAAAAGGAGTATTAAAATTCGCAGACACGGTTTTGTGGAAGAGATATATGGCATCACTCTGGCCAAATTTTAGCCACATTGATTGAAAGGCTGCCGACTTGGAGTTCAAAACTTACGAGTCGATCAGCAAAATTTGCGTTCGGAGATAAAATAGAAAATATACATTTTTGGCGGGATCCTACCTGGAATGAGATTATAACACCTAAATGTTTATTCTGATTGATATCAGAGAGGGATCAATTTTCTCTAACAATAGGACTTTGACAGGTAATATGTAACAGGAACAAACTTTTTATTGCTATCAACATCTTCAAGTGAACAGTTTAATTCTCCGTTGGAAAACTTCCACTCTTTTACACCACAAGAGGCACGGTTTAATTCTTTCTCGAGCGCCAGGCCAAGGAAACTAAAAAACTTTGAAGCCGTCGAATACCCACCACCGATTGCTCGAAGGCCAAGAACTGAGGCCCGGTTTATTTCAAACGCTCTTCTCTTCTGAGAATTTGTCTTGTGCGACGGCCAGCTTTCATTCTCGCACTGGATTCTCCAGGTAGAACCAAGTCCATGCTTAGTCGCTACATTTTCCATGACTTGGACTCTTCCCTGGCAAAATCGACAAGATACAGACTCGTCCAGTTTCTCAAGCAGCTTTTCGCTCAATACGATAGCTCGACCGCTTATTGTTTTCCACGTTCCATCAGCGGATGGGGTCGATGAGCTTAATTGGCTTTCTTCATCTGGTTCTTCAAGCTGGATTTTGGAGCGGCTTGCACTCTCAGCAACTGCAGCATTTTCGCTTTTCCGAATATCCAACTCCTCAACCCACTTCTCTTGCTGATAAAATGAGCCTTCGTCGCTCTCTGCCAATTTTGCGGCCCATTCTTTGTCAAACTGGCTCTTCGATTTCCTTTTCGCTCTCGGTTTCGATGACAAAAACGGACACGACCTTTTCTTTTTTTTTGGCGGCATTTTCACCGAAGCAAACGCTAAATATCCACGGAGAATACTAAAGGTCAGACTATAAAAAGGCTATAAACAACGCGAAGACAATTCGCACGTGTTGTGTCGAAGCACGCACTCGGTATCACGTTACTAGTTCACAGGCAAGTTAATTGATATACTAACACGGGTATGACAGATCTTGTTAACGATCAATTAAGATAAAAATCTTTTTCCCCCGATATCTTTCGACAGAAGTAATATTTTCTTCTGATTTTTTTTTTTAAAGAAAGCTCTCAAGCATATGTATTTGAAAACGTTGAAACCTCAAATATGGAAAAATGGCAATTTTAAGGGTGGCTGATACCTTAAGGGGCATTTGGACATCGTCTTCCTCAAAATTTCCACGTTTTGAATCAGAGGACGTCTTTGAGCGTGTTGCCGCCATGATTATGCGAATCAATATGGGATTAAACTGTACTGAACAATCATTATGATCTTTTAGGACTTAACTTACCGATTCTTAGACAGTACAGCTGATCTTCCGGTGGATGTCCAGCGAAATATTCTCAGGAAAATGATCAACAAGTGGGCAGAAGTTAGCACGCTGAACATTCGTGAGCAAACGGATCCCTCCGTTAAAGACGATGATGTCGACATATTGATTCGGTTTGTAAGGGGGTTTCATAACGACCCTTATCCGTTTGATGGTCCGGGAGGAACGCTAGCGCATGCCTACTATCCACACAACAACAAAGGTAAGCAATGAAGTGTTAGTAATGTGACAATTCACGTGTCCCACATGGAGCTGACGTGCAGTTACCAATTAAGCCTATTTTTAAGCCTCACGACTGGCTTTCGGAGTTATATTATGGTTTTTAAGCAGTCTGAAATTGCTTCACATAGGATTGAGGGCGACAAGTCTACTAGTTTCTGTAACTGTTCCGTGCTACCCTCTTTAAATAAAGTGTATTATTATTATTATTATTATTATTATTATTGGATGGTGTGTAAAATTTAGTTTCAATAATTAAGGTTCCTCAGTGAGGGAAAATTTACAAAATCATTGCTCAATTTGGGACAGTACAAATCACTTTTTTCCCTATATTATTGCGTTCAGGTTTATCCGGTGACGCCCATTTTGACGATGATGAGCGATTCACAACAGGAACAAGCGACGGTATAAACTTGGACTGGGTGGCAGTTCATGAGTTCGGACACAGCATGGGACTGGAACATTCCAATGTACGAGAATCCATCATGTACCCTTGGTACAAAGGATATTTTCCAAATATCGAACTAACTGAGGACGATATTTTGGGGATACAGGCCCTTTATGGTAGGTATATGTAAACATGATTCTCATGGGAATGGAAGAATGAAATTGTCTATATTGCACATTCTAGTGACATTTTTGTGAACAATTTTCTCTTTTTGTTGGAAATTTTTATTTCAATGCAGACATTAAACGCAGCTAGTAACAGTAGCTTGGGATATTTTTGTGTTTTTGAGGACACATTCTTCTTAAGCCTTTGAAAAATTTCTTGTCGACAGGATATCGCTTTGGAAGCAAACTTGCAAGCCGGAAGCCTAGTTACCAAGCTATCTCAGTACGTTGCCCCTTCTATATTCTGCTCCTTTGACTACCGGCCGGGTATAAGAGATACCTAATATCGAGTTATTTTTCTTAACGGTAATGGTCGACGCAATTTTTTCATACGGTGACTCAGACAAAAGCCATGCGACTCTTAGTTGTCGGCCAAAAAGATCAACTTTTAATCAAAGAATATACTCTGTACCACAAACCTGCAAAAAACTCACAACCCTTGTTTATTTATTTGGTACTAATAATAATAATCTAGTAAGTTACTCACAAGTAACAATATACGAGGTAGGTTATTCCAACGCCGGACCTTATTCAGACTCCTTGTTGAAAAAATACAGAAAATATGAGATTCATTTTAAAGCAAGTGAAAACAGTAAAAAAAAATTACGCGACAGTAGCTGTTTTAGTGATCGCGAGGCCTTACTTTTTACATTGATTGCTTCTAGGTAAGCCAACTCAGACCCCGACACCTTCTCCGACTCCTCCTCCCTCACCGCCGACTCCGACTCCTACTCCTTCACCAACTGGAACACAATCAGACGTCACCACTACAGGAACCACCATGACCGGAAGTAGAACATCAACCAAGGCTACTTCTCTTCCGGTTTTGGACATTTGCAAAGTCTTGAAGTTTGACTCGTTTTTGATGGGATATGACGGAAAAACGTACGTTTTTAGCGGGGACTATTTTTGGGTCCTTGGAGTAAGACTTGGAGTGGAAAGCGGACCGACGAAAATAACATCAAAATGGAGGGCACTCAAGACACCTATAGACAGCGCCTATGCTAACGGAAGACGGACTATATTTTTTAAGGGAAGCGAGTAAGTGCTGAAGTTACGTCTTTGTTTAACTTTCCTTTCCTTTCGGCAAAAAATTGACAAAAAAAAAACAAATTAAGAAGCAACAAAATCTTAGTCCTTCCGTGGTCACACCCATAACGCTTTCAGTCCAAAAGGCTCCAAGAAAGCATTCTTGTTGTTAAAATATAAGAGTTCAGCACATTCTCTCTGCCATAAAGGAAGTACAGTCTGACCTCTCCTTACGGACACCTCTATAATACGGACATTTCGTTTGGTCCCACAAATGCCAAAATCATACATTCCCTACCTCTATAATGCAGACATCTCTGTAAAGCGGACAATTGGTGCCGTCCCTTTGGTGTTCGTATTAAAGAGGTTTGACTGTACCTTACGCTCGATTAGTAACCGCTGTTCGGGAAATAATCCCTCACTTCTCAGTCTCGAACTCTCATCTCGGAAGGAACAAAGGCTGGCTCGACATGCAACGAAACTGAACTTACTGTTTGGAAGAATACAGTTTCTTTTTTTGGAAGACAAAAGCTTTGGTAAAACGTTTATAGAACAATATTAACATATTTCATGCGCACCATCTGATGCACTGGTCTGAGAAAATGTGTTGACGCAGTCTGTGCCCAATAAAGATGAAGATGATATAGTAAAGTAGAGCGAAGTTTTTGAGCGATGCAAGTCAACAGGAAGTGATGCCTTTTACCTTTTAATATGCCTTGCCCGGGGCGGGGTGGGGGGGTACTTTAGGAATTTCTGGGTAGGGGATGTGCCGCTGGGACCCTGGAACCCTTAACCTATACCAGAGCTAGTTCAGCTGAATTTTGCTACCCTATACTAGAGTAAACTCCCCAAATCCCCCCTTATCCTAGAGTAGCTGTTTCCCTAGTCTAGATAAAATCTTCAACCAACTGATCAGTTTCCTGAAAAATGATACCCTATTCTAGACCCAAACTCTCTGATTTATATACCCTATCCTAGAGTAAACTGCTTGAAACCCATACCCTTCACAGCGGCACATACCTATATAGCCCATATATGGCAGTACCCCCCACCTCCCCCCGGGGATGCCTTGACGCTACCAAAATTTGTATTGCTAAGAGTTTGTACTCTTATAGAGTAAAATTTGGGCAAAATCACTACCCTAGAATGCAAAAAGTCCACTTCCGGTTGACATTGCGTCGCTCAGAAACATGTATTCATCAATTAATTAGACTTAAGCCACAGTCAAATTATAACCTGCGATCAAATACAGAACACTTACTGCTCGATCTGCCTAACAAGACCAAGAAGACAATAGGAGACAGCGTTCTTTGCAGCCGCGCCGACCCTTTGGAACGCCCTTCCAGACGAGTTAAGATCTAGAGCTTTGGGCAGTCTCAAAACTTTTATGGCACGGTTTAAAACTCATTATTTTAAACTAGCTTTTAGCTTCTAATCTGTAGTATTTTAACATATATTTTTTGCATGCATATGTATATAATATTTGTTATCTAGTATCCATTTATTAACTATTTAGAAAAGCTGTAATTTGTTATCCATTTCATTGTAGTATTATAAGCATTGTAATGTAAAGCGCATTAGATGGTATACCCATGTATTTTGCGCTATATAAATAATAAAGTTATGTTATGTCATGAAACGTCTTCGCTTAAGTTCCCTATTGATTCCTTTTATCCTCAACGTGTGTTTGCAGGTATTGGAAGTATTATGAAAACAGGCTTGAGGAAGGCCCCAGGGACATAAAGCAGTATGGCTTGCCGTCTGCCCTGCAAAATATGGATGCGGCGTTTATTTGGGAAGGCAACAAAAAGACGTATTTCTTTAAAGGGGGAAACTACTGGCGTTACAACGAGAATAGTAACAGCATTGATGCCAATTACCCAAGACCAATTTCAGTTTGGGGTAAGAAACAAAGCTGGATACATACTTTATATTATTATGATACGAAAGGTCCAGGTTCGAGGTCTGGAATTTGACTCTGGGTTGTGATTTTCTTTCTGTTTAATAGAAATACTCTCAATAACAGGTCAAAAATTTTCTAAGTGTCTTAAAAATGGCAGCGACCTTTTACGAAAAGGGACAACTGCGTCGACGTCGTTGTTTGTTAAGCTTCCTATAAACGCAATGCGGACGTTCAATCTCTGATACCCCTGATCTAGAATAGCTAGTGGCCAGTCCTTTAAAATTGTCGCGCGGTCAAGCATTTTCAGTTCGTCTCTCCTAGCCTGTTCCCGGCGATCAGATAGTAGAGCGCGGGAGAAAGCTCGCCCCCCGCTCGTTTCCCCCCGTTTTCCCGGTGTACAATTCAACTCGCTCCCCACCATTTGACCGCCGAGCTCTACTATCTGAAAGCCTGGAACAGACTACTCTCTCCGAATCAGCGCGGCCAAGCCTCAATGCGACTTTCTGAGAAGGGGCTGATAAGTCTACCTGCATCTCACGTAGTTCACTCATGGGAGAAAAGTAGGGATGGTTTACCTGCCACCGTCGCGAGCTTTCCGCTGCAAACAATTGAGCGAACACAAACAAGCAGTAAGAACACTGAGAGCTTGACTACGATTACTAACATCCTCGTCAACAGAGTTTTGGTAAAAGCATAGATGTCTTATTTTGCGTTGGTATCTCAAACCTGATGCCGATGGTGCGCTCATTTTATGACCCCCCCCCCCCCCCCCGCTCCCCCTCGCCCCCCATCTCTCCTTCAGAGCTCCGTCTTATAGTTGTTAAACGCTGGCTAAAAACTACATGACAAAGAAAAATGTGGAAACAATGATTTGAGGTCACACTTGGGAAGCGAATTGAGGACCTCTCACACAGAAAGCTGCGCACTTACCAATTCTACCAATCTACCAGCTCTGTCAGTCATCGCTGATAAAGAAAGAGTTAAATAAAGTCTTTGTCGAGGCGACTGCAAATAGGACAGCCTCCTTTATAATTCTAATCAGAGATCTTTCACTTTTCCTGGAAAATCACCCTGCAAATTTATAACTGTAATTTGACTTCTGACTGTCGGTCTAGGTCTCCCTCATTCAATGGACACCGTTATTTCTTGGAGTGGAAACAAGAGAACGTACTTCTTCAAGAATGAAAACTACTGGAAGCTGGATGACGGCACCCTTAAATTTGTAGAAGGATATCCCCGTGACATCACCAAAGAATGGATGAAGTGTTCCTCCTAAAGACTGTCCAGTTTACTATTGGGGAAGAGCATGCGCTAGAATAGGATATCATCATCTCAAAGGATTCATTTCGTGGGCCCCGTATACGCGTAATGGAGAAAACTTGTTTCGGCCCTAGTACAAGAGTCACCCTCTAAGCTGAGTCAATTAGCGAGCGTTAATATGAGAAAAAATGTGACCCCTTTGCTGGAGCCAACAGCGCTCGCGCATCTTTTATTAGGGACTTTAAGATCCAACCACGCGGACGGTAACGAGAACGTCAAAAAAACAATAGGTTTTATTAGCCAAACAACAACTTGGCACGTGCACCACGCTTTTTGTACGTTTCTCTGCCCGTTTTTGCACGACTACGATGTAAACATGGCTAATTTCGCGTTTTATGGAGGACGTAAACAAGCAACGACGAAATTTTATTTCTCTTACTGCTTACTGTACTTGGATATGGTGCCTAGGAATTCAACCCCAGGAGGGTTCGCCTCTATTTGACATTAGTGAGTGGGTAGGAATAATTGCGATAAAGACTGAAAGAACGCAAATTCACTTTTTAAGCGACGTTCTCATTGCCGTCGCGTCGTTGGATCTTAAAGTCCCTATTATCTTAAACAGCGCATACGCATGCTCTGATTGTCTCACCTTGACCGAGTTGACCCGGCTGGGCAAGCCAAAGTGTTTATATCGAGAAAAGTTGGCCCGGCGAGGAGGGTGACTCTACCACCATAAAAGGGTGACCCGCGGCTAGGCGGGTCACCCCTCTAGCCACGCTAACTTTTTATTTCTCCTGTAAAAGGCTCCCCTCGTTTTGTAAGCAAATGTATGAAAAAGTTGGCTCGACCAGGGTAGCTCGGGTAGGCCTTACCTTTCTACCCCGAGACAACTATTCTCCATACGTAAACCTGGATCATAGTTTTCCCTCATTTTCCCCATAGCCTGGATCAGGCGTTCAGATAGCAGAGCGCGGCGTTCAGATAGATCGGAGCGAGATAAATCGTACGCGGGTAAAACGAGGGAAAACTTATAGCAAGCGAATCACGCGAGCGCGCGTGGAATCGCTTCGCGTGATGATGCTACCTTCCTCGCGAGTGGCATGTTTCACAAGCGGTTGCGTAATTCGCTCACTCAACTGTCTACTCCTGTTGCGGAAAACGAGAAACAACTAGTAGTCTTAGCGGACGCTACAAAAGAAATTAAGCCAACAGAATAGAATTTACAGCAATGGCGGATATGTTCAACTCTTTTCAGCTCTTTTCAAGTGAAAATTAGAGCGCTTTCTCAATCACTGTCAGTTAAGCGGACCCGGCTATCTCGGAGCCTGTAACGGTATTTAAAAAGTCACTATTAAAATGAAGTCATGTTTTTCAAACTTTGTCGCGTTTATTCCGGCTTGCTTAAGACGAATATCAAACGTGGGTTAAATTCCCCAAGGTTGAATTCTTGGGGACCGCAATTAGCACAGCCCGTATTTTTGCGTAGGTCAAACCTGTTGCATGTAGAGTTTGTGCTGTAGCAAGAGTTAAAACAAGTGTGAATTTGGGGTGAGACGCAAAAAAACCGGTTTTTTAGTGAGCTCCTAATTCTGTTCCAGAAAGAGAAACAAAAATTTGTCGTCGTGAAGACCCATAAAAAGTCGCTATAGATTCCACGTCGTGGTCGTGCAGTGACGGTAAAGAAATAAACAAAAAAGTCTGCCGCAAGAGCAAAATTGTCGTTTTGTTATGTTTAATTTTGTTTTTTTACCTTAACGCTACTGCAGCCGTTATCGTTGCAAAAGTTCCCTAATAAAGTAAGTAACCATGAAAGCCGCAGTGAATTGAATTAAGGAAGTTAACTTACACGTCCACGCAAAAAAAGGATTTAAACTATATGGGCTTTCACACACTACCCTTCAAGCAGAGGTTTCTTTCTGGCATGGCTTTTAGCATTTACGTATAGAACGACATTACGAATGCTAAAAGCCAAAATTGAAACAAACCTCTGCTCGTTTCTTTTCACTAATTTTGGTTGGATTGTTTAACCTGACACGTTTTCTAATACGTCGGTGATTACAACAGCCTTATTCGGACAAAATTCATAGTAGCCGTGTATCCCACAATGGTTGTTGTGGTTTCTGCTCTTCCGATTGATTCTCAACTGAATGAAGATTTTAGAAAATTTTTTTTCGAAGAACAATAACAAGAAATCCAGTGAGTTTAAAATCTAAAAAGCTTTCATAACTCAGACGAAGTTCTACTCCTCAGCAGCTGAATCCACTGGCGCTTTGTTGAATTCAATAGTCAAGATGAACATGTTTGTTTTCATTGCGGTGAACTGTTACAAGCCATAGGAAATACGGCTTACATTCCTGATCCTTTCTGCGAGAACAAAAACACTCGATGTACCCCGCCTTTTCAGTCAGAATCAAAAGCCCCAAACCACCTGACAGTGTTAAATTAGGCTGTGAGCTTTTATGGCAAAAAAAACCAACCGCAGGAAAGCCACGTGGACCCCTTGAACGTAGGATATCGCATGCAACGCCATTGAAACTTATGATGATTAATTTGTCATTTTCAGTCTCGAGCTGGATGGGTTTCTGCGTGTTCCTACTTCTGCGATCACCACCCGCGGCTTAAAAGCCATTCTCTCCTTTTTTTCTACGATGTCTAACGGAGCCGGAAAATTAATCAAAGAAGTAGATAGCCCACGGGCAAGCTCTCTTTGAGGGAAGGCATCTGGGTGGTAACTTTGGGCGAAGACTGCTCTCAGGCTGATAAGTAGGGTAGTCGCCAAAAGAAGAAAACTAATAGCACCGGTTTAACGCAAAAGTCTGCTGTGATAACCCTATTACAACGTAAAATGGGGGTTACTCAAGGGCAAACAAAACTTCCTCCCCACTACGCCTACTGAAATAACCTTTTTCCTTCACTGGAACAGACCTTCCGAGTTCCTGAGACCTTTTATGGAGCCTCGAGAACAGATGTTTTACTTCAAAAGCCATGTACTATTCAGGACTTTTTAATTTCCCATCCCACTTTCCGAAGCAAACATAGTTTATTAGCCTCGGAAAGAATGAAACTTCCTGGAGCGATATCCACGGTTTTCAACTGGAAAAAATTTGGTTGAGTTTTGATCAGACACCATCAAACTCCAAATTTTAACCTCAAAATAGACCAAAATAATATGCAAATGACACAATAATAATAACCGGTTTTCCGTAAAAGAACAATAAAACTGAAAACACCCTTTGATAAAATTGTATTGTATTGTGTTGTATTGTACTGTATACGTACTGTTGTAATATATCATCAGCGCGCATAAAACTACAACAAAACTAGTGCAAGGGCGAACACCGGTAATTTTTATTCTCCCTTTAGATTCCACAAGTCTGTTGTTCAGTTGGACAAAACTATCCTTCAACGAGGCTTCAAAAAGCTTAGAGGTTCAGGCATGTCCCTTTTTTACAAAAGGAAAATGACAAAAGTATTCTTATAAGTGCACGCAAGAGCCAATTTCATTTTGTTACGAGTCCCAGGAAAGCAGAAGCCGCCCGCGAACTGTTGTTATAATCTCGGGTTTATTTCTAACAAAAGCCGTTCAAAATCGATTTCCAAATATGGTATCACTAAACACTTAACTAGTGACGGCTCTATTACCAAAATTTAATGATCCGTGAAGCATCGAAAGCGATTGATGTCATAAGCACATCCGGTTCCCTTTTAGCTCGCAAAACCAAGAAAAACATCGTTTCACGAACATTTTCACAACTAGACTCAAAATTCTTTAGTGCTTATTGTGATAATTGAACTGAAAGTTATAATGAAACGCTTAATAATGATCAAGTAATTACCCGATTTTTCCACATCGTTCCATTAGATTACAGCGTTGTCAGGATGAGACGTAAACACAAAGTGACTTGTGAAAACACTTCTCTGCTATTCTACTTCCGCTGCATTTGGGGTATCATTGTAACTTTACACGCCTAGCGTGACGTCATTAATTGAGACAATCGGCTGTCGCCTGTGGGTTGCTCCGGTATAGATGTATATATATATTTGTATCATCTCTGCAAACATCAGTCCAGAATCGTCTCAAGAACAAGACGTTCCACCTTTTTCATTTTAAGTCTATTTATTTATTTTGTGTAAGACCGTCAAAGCATAATGGCACGATATTTCCTCATTGTCTCTCTATTCTGTGTGTTTGGCTCCGTCATGGTTTTTGGTCGAGCGGTGGTGAGTCCAAAGAAGCAAGCAGAGCTTATGGTAAGTCCAGTCTCAGACAGCCAAATTAGTTTTTACAACGCGAGCCTAAGTTCACACAAACTGAAATAATGTTTTTAATGTCGCGTGTAAACCCCGGGGGGGGGTACTCCCTAATATGGGCTATATAGGTATGTGCGGCCCCAAAGGGTAGGATTTTTCAGCCGTTTTGGTCATAAATTGGGTATCCATTTTGGCTATTTTGCCGCCATTTTGGTCATAAATAGGGTAACGATTTTTGCACTGTAGTCTTAACTTTGCAGTATTATAACCTACCTAATAAAAGCAGATAAACATTGCCTTTAACATTGGCCTGAACTAGGGAAATAATTATAAGGCAGGTCTGAAACAGGGTATTGATTTAAGGGTCAGGTCATAAATAGGGTATAAAATTTTTGGTTAGGTCATAAATAGGGTAGGGAAAATCGCAGATTTTGGTCATAAATAGGGTAAGGGTTTTGGGAAGCGGGCCGCACACCCCTACCCAATTTTTCTGCGAGTACCCCCCCCCGGGGTGTAAACTAACAAATCGAAATCAAAGCACAGTTGGATGATTTCTATTCATTAACTCAGCTCCTTCACTACCTGTGTATAGGATTTCATTCGGCGGAATCTTTTCAACAGAGGGGTACATAACTTAGTATTTTACACTACAAAGTACCCATGCATATTGATGCGTAGGGACATTCGCCTTAACTTATCCAGTAGCCAGCACTTTTAGAATTTAAGGACTTTCTGTTTCAATTTCCCCCGACGTTAGACCCACCAGACACTGATGCGACAGTAACACACAATGCGGAGCAGTAGCATTTCGCAATGCATAGCTTACCACATGGTGACAAGGTTTCAATTCTACCTCAAAATAGATAAACTTGCATATATCAGATAAAGAGGTTTATTGTTTCAGATATTGGCCATTCATCTAAAACGGATGTCACATATAAAAAGTTGATGCAAATACACTTCTTTCTCTCAAGGAATTTCAGTTATTCAAAAATGTTATGCAACACAACAACCAGGGGCACCCAACGGCAATTTTCGGGAAAATATCTGTTCGGAAGACGATTTGAGAACTAGAATTTTCGGAACATTTGTTGTAAAATTTCTTGCTTGCCTGCCTCTCCTAGGATTTTCGAACATCTACAAAATGGTATAATTACCCATTTTAATCGGATATTTACCCTAAAAAAGGCCACCTAGAATTTTCGAGAGCCTTTTCCTGGCTGAAATTTTCGAAAAGGTAAGTTTTGATCCCTATAATTTTCGGATCACTAGACTTTCAGCTAGGAAATCCGAACAGATGAAAAGTTTTTAGGGGATAAAAATATGCCTATATCTACCGTTTAAATACTAAAATACGTTCAACAATGCTATGTTAAGTGGTTTTCGAACTATATCCTCGTTGGGTGCCCCTGAACAACATTCAGATCTTTTGCGCGAGTGTCATTTCTATGAATCTAATGGATCGCGCCGCGGACTAAAGTTTATTCTTGCTTGTTCTCTGTGTACTGACTTGCGCCCGCGTATTGCTTTTGCGAAGACTGCAGGAAGGGGCGAGTATAATTCCGAGAACGAGGAAGGGCGTCAGTCGTTCAGGTTATGAGCTGAAACAACTCAATTCGCCAAGGATCTTCTAAATCTTACTTCCGGGGATATAATTTTGTGATTGAAATCCCCACCATGGTATAGTTGCGGGGATATAGTTTGCGATTGAAATCCCTACCATGGTATTTTCAATGATTTTGCCTTTTCTCCCTACCTGTGGCCTTAAAGACTTCAAACTACAAAAATGTGAAAACACCTTGATAAAATATTTACGGAACAAATCAGACAAATATACAGTCGAACTTCCACGAGACACTAACGGACATGTACCTCTCTACAATTGAGTAGAGGATCAAATGTAGGTAACTCGGTTCCGGGATATTATAAGTCACTCTTCCAAACAAATTTAGAAACTTTGAAAAAAAGCTATTGTTTTTCAACAATTTTACTAGCCTGTGAACAGGCTCTCTGAAACACACTTGAAATCCGAAGTACTTCCCCCCCCCCACCGGGCTTCGTAGGCTAATTGTTTTAGGGCGAAGGGCGAAATTTCGAGGACGCGCGCGCACGCATACAGGAGGGGAGAAAAGGAGAGTAGGCTTCCTCTACAATTCGTGTGTTCCCCTCGCGCGCTCTACAAAAACTAACCAAAAAACCCGGCGCCTGCCACCCGGGCCTCAAAAGCTGTTCATGAGGCATGTTATCTCTCGATTCTTTATTTGGTCAGTATATCACTCAGTTGAGTTATGGAGTAGATGGATCAGGATGAACTTATTTTGTTTCTCTTGTTTAATTAAAGGACTACATGACAAGATACGGATATCTCAATCGACCTGATCCACGAATAGGAACCATCGTTAGCAATGATGAAATCACAACGGCCGTGAAGAATCTTCAGCACATGGCCGGTTTAAAAGAAACAGGAAGCCTTGAGGATCCCGAGACTGTGGCACTGGTGGATCGCAAGCGGTGTGCGGTGCCAGATTTTGGGCCAACGGACAATGCCAGGAGAAAACGGCGTTACGCAACGCACGGAACCGTTTGGCACAAGAAGGTAGGATGCCGACACTCAGATTTAGCACTTTAGGATATTTTTTTCACACTGCTGAGAAACTAGTAAAGAATTTGAAAGAATTTCCTTTCAGTTTTCAATTTCAATCCACTCTCAAAGCTATACTCACCTAAGACACACTGGAGACTGAGGCAAATGTTGTGGAACTAAATATTTGACTCAAGGAGATGAGTCAGGACAGAAACGATGCCTGCTAGTTTGATTCACTGAGAAATTTAAAATGTTTAGACGTTTCGCTGCAGCACTCTTGCAAAACCTACATAATATTTTACGTTTTGTGTAGGTGGTACTCGTGATTAAACCGTAACATAGAAGCTGTAATGGAGAAAATGTTGTCTTCTTTCACCAGCATTTGACTTACAGAATCGTCAACTATGTGCCGGGTATTACAGAAAAAGAAGTGGACGAAACTATAAAGAAAAGTCTGGACAAGTGGTCACGCGCAAGCCAGCTCAAGTTTGAGCGCATTACAGATCCTAACAAGGAAGCCGATATTATGATCAAATTTGTGAAAGGCTACCATGGTGACAACAGGCCAACGGACGGACCAGGATTAGAGCTGGCACATGCGTTCTTTCCCCTTGATAATACTGGTTAGTATTTTAGCACGGACATAAGTTGGTCATCAATTACAGCCAACTCTCATTTAATGGAAGACGGATATCTCGGTAAAGTGGGCACCTAGAGTTTGTCCCTGCATTTCTTTATCCGTTTAGTTGACTCTCTGCAAGACGGACATCTCTCTAAGAAGTAAAACGTGTTAGAGGGATGTCCGTATATTATAGAGAGTCTCAAGTACTAAAAGGATTAAGAAAGGCAGGGACAAACTCCGTTTAAGTAAGATGTCCGTTGATTGTAATTGGAAAAGTTAAAGAGACAACGTCTTGCTCAAATCAGATGAAAATCTAAACGACCAATTTTTTTTTGTTACCTTAGGTCTTGCTGGAGACGTACACTTCGACGCAGATGAGCCTTTTGCTGTGAATAGCAACGATTCTTTTAAAGTAGACTTCAATTGGATTTCTCTACACGAGCTCGGTCACAGTCTTGGACTAGATCACTCCTTGGACGTAAACTCCGTTATGTTTCCATTGTACATCGGACGCATAGAGGACTTGGAACTTGCCTTTGATGATCAAGAGGGAATTCAGCAACTTTATGGTGAGAAATGGATCACAAACTTTGTTGATTAAAAGACCGTAAACTTAAGCGTAAGACAATTTCGATTTAAAGAAAAAAAACTGATATTGGAGTCTCGGGTTTTATCCTGATTAATTATGTCTTTGTGTGGTGTGTGGGAAAAAATGTAGGGCGTGACCATTCGAATGAAATCTCGTCTTATCAGCAATTCTTTCACATGGTGCTAGTTATTTAGCATCTGTAGTTCTAACTTTTAAGGCTGCGGTTGAAATCATATGGGGTGGCCATTCAAATAATACCTCGATTACATGGTCCTATTTATTTAACATTTAGTTCTAACTCGAGATAATACATTCTTCAGTGTTTCGCCAAGCGAAAGTTTAGGTTTTCCTTGGATTATTAGTAATAAACTGTAATTACTAAGTAATAGTTATTTTAAAGTGTTGACTGCCTCCTAATGTAACTTTTTGAATTCTTTTTTTATCTCAAGGTAAACCGCATATTGATCGTATAACACCCACTCCCCATACAAAGCCCTCTGAGGCACCGGGGGTTCCAGATATTTGTCGTATTGAGAAGCTGGATACCATGGTGATGACAAGGGACAAGAAAACGTACGCTTTCAGTGGTGCATATTTCTGGAAGATTGGCGATCAAGGGGCTGAGAGAGCTATGAAGATCAAGGACCACTGGAAGGGACTAGATGATGATATTGATGCTGCGGTGACCAGAACAGCTGATAAAATGACGTTCTTCTTTAAGGGAGAAAAGTAAGTCAGTTATACCCCAAATTAGCTTTGGTAGAAAATGTAAAGATATAGACACAGGCTATAGACCTGGAACCACTAAGCTCTTTCGGAAGCCTCGATTTTCGAATTCATTCTCCTTTAGAAATACACAGCGTTTCTCCTCCCGTCGCTGTTCTCACTCATCCTTCTTTCAAACTGTTGAATCTATTGACATGAAACCTTTAGCAGTACTAGGAGTCCATGGGTTCCTGGTAGTACCGGCAGTACTTTTCTCCGGAATTATTTTTCAGTATTTTCCACATAAGAGTTTCTGTGTTATTGTTGTAGTTATTACCATTATTTTAACTATTTTATTTCGCCAATCTGTCGTAATCTTAATACCTGGAAATCTTCAGTTGCAACTTTTAACAAGCGTGTTTCTCTTTCCAGTTACTGGATGTTCAGAAACAAACGCCGTCTACGGGGACCTACTCCCATTAGCGATCTCAACTTGCCCGATGACCTTAAAAACATGGACGCGACAGTAGCTTGGCCTGGAAATGGTCGCACCTACTTCTTCAAAGGTGAAAATTATTGGCGATACAACTGGTTTACGAAAAGAGTAGACAGGGGATATCCCAGAAAAATAAGCAAAGCCTGGCTTAACGTGCCGGACGACTTGCACGCTGCCTTGCAGTGGAAGAACGGCAAGACATATTTCATGAAAGGGGAACAGTACTATGCGCTTAAAAAACGCGGAAGGCCCCGAGTGGCCGTTAATTACCCCAAGGATATTGCCACTTATTGGATGGGCTGCAGTATGGAGGGGTTGGAAGCTGGCAAGATCGCTCCAGGAACATCATCTTCATTGACTTTACTTCCAAGCATTCTCATGCTAATAGGAAGTTATTTGGTATCCAAGATTTTATAATGTCTTTCATTATCATCATCATCGTCATCATCATCAACATCATCGTCGTCGAAGTCAACTTGGTAGTTTAGGAGATAATTTCTCCCGACAACTTTTCATTTAAATGTTAAATATCGTATCAAACAAAAAACATAACACGATCAACAAATACCAGCAAACTTATAAAAAGGCAAAAGAACATTCTTGTACGTTATTGAATTAAAAGCATTTACTCATGACAAATTAAACCTAGTTGCACGGTACGAGATATTAAAAAATAGAAAATTCCTATGTAGATGCTAAAAGGAAAGAATCACTGCTTAGAACAAAAGTAAATGAACTAAAGATATTAAGATACATAATTCTAGGATTTTATAAATAGACAAGAAAATATAAGATCAATTCCCTTGCTATCTTAGAAAAATACTCGTACATGTTTTTCATAGTATAAGTGCAAAACGAAGTGTATAAAATTTTGGGTACAGCGTGCAGGGAACTGAACGAGGTTACATCATTTAAAAACGTTTAGCTGTACATAATAGCAGAAACGCAAAGAGGGTTTCTTTAATTTATCCAGAACAAAAAGTGTATATAGTATTTTTTTATATTAGGAAAATAGTTTTATTTGCATACGTTGTTTTTCGGGCAAGAGACGAGAATAATCTTTGTTTTGATAGCTGTAAAATCTATAGTAAATCCAAATTTGTGTTTAAACCATTGCCGGAGAAATCGCCGACATTTTCTGACCTTTTATAATTTTAGCATCGATATCTGTAAAATTTACGTAATATTCTTTGTTGCTCCATATTGAGCAAATTTACGAGGACTCCATCTCTATGAGATAAAATTATTGTAAAATTTCTAATTTAACAGTCAATAAAGTCAGAACTGTACAGAATATTTGCATTATCAGCTGGAGCAAGGTCGTTTTTTTACTTCATTCACTGTAGCCTGGGGACTTGAGGCTCCGCTATGGGGGAAAAAGGTATTAGACATGAAACAGCAAAAAAATCGGCGAGCGAAGCGAACCGTGCGGTGGACTGGGGAGCAAAAAGGGCGGAGGAGCTCCGCCAACCTCCACCCTTTCCCTCCCCAAACTTCCGCTCAGTTCGCTTCGCTCACCATTTTTTTTTTTTTTTTTTTTTTTTGCTTTTTCCCCTCACTTTGGAGCCTGATCCCGGGCTACATTTACAGCAGACGCTTCATTAATTTATATCAGGAGCCGATTCGGCTCCTGTTTATATAGAAAAATATAGAAGAACGTTGTTCCGGAAAAGAGGCTTACCCCCAGCCGAGCCATGGAGAGAAGTTGTCCCGTGAAAACAGGGTCACCCCCAGCCGAGTCAACGGCTAGGGTTTATGGGCTAAAAACGCTGGCCCGTTTACCCAAGCCAAGAGCTGATAACAACGCTTGTGCATGTTCTGACATGCCTGCCTTGATTGAGTTGACCCTGCTGGGTGAGACAAAATGTGGAAAAAATTGTCCCGGCTAGGAGAGTTACCTTGCGATCGAAAACGTTACAAGTTCGTAAAGGTCTTAATGGAGTCGTCATGTAAGTCCGTAGAGGGGGAAAACTTTAGTCACAAGTTCGTAAAGGTCTCAGTGGAGTCGTCATGTAAGTCCGTAGAGGGGAAAATCTTTAGTAACAATTGTCCAGCTGTTCCTAACAGAGCCGTTTTCTGGTTCTAATGGTAACTAAGCTTTCCCGTGCATAGTTAGACTACGAGTAGTCTCCAGTTTTTCTCAGGGATAGCAGAACGAGCGAAAAGCGAGTGCGTGTGAAAATCACCCCACACGAGAAAAGCGACACGCGCAATTTTCTCTCTCGCCACCGCGTCTCGCTTTTCTCGGGTGGGGTGATTCTCACGCGCGCTTGCGTTTCGCCCGCTCTACTGTCCCTGAGGAAAAATGGGGACTACTCGTCTAGTGTAGAGTCAGCTCTCTCATAGCGACCACTTTGAAATAAACCCGGTTTTGTTTCTCAGTCCAATGCTGTTTCAAAAACTCTCTCGTAAGCGACCACTACTTAATTTTCTTAACGCTTCTCCCAGCCACGGGCAATTCCCGTTGGCTTATTTTTTATGCAAACCTATTGATTAATTTTAATGTACGAACAACTGAATTCTGAACTTGGCCAACAACCTAAACTGAGAGAAACCACCTTTTCACTGATCATGAGTTAACTCATGGGAGAGGAGGAGACCAGATGCTGTTCTCGCAGCTTTCCGGCTATTGCCCGGGGCGAGGTACTCCCTATGACTGGCATATACGGGCCGGGAGGCTCCACCCGGAAGGGGTATTTTTTTCATTCAGATTTATGAAAGGGTAGGAATTTCACTAGTTGAAGTATATGAAGGGAAGGAAAATCATATTTCAAAGACAGTGCGTTTACAGCTCCTGACAGTAGTTAAAAGGGGTGCACAGTTCTAAACTAGGTATACGAAAGGAGTACCTTTTCAGTCAAAACTTTTTTATGAAAGGGCAAGGGGTTGAACCTCAGGGCGAACCCCCTTATAAAACTTTGTTAAGTATCCCCCCCTCTCTTACAAGGGGTTATTGTCTCCTACACGTCAGCCCAGGGTCTGTTTTCGAACACAAAACAACAAAACTTTAGCGTTTCAAAGCCTTCCGATGTGATACAAAACTATTCGAATGAAAGCTTTTTAAGCACAGTGTATCTCTAGTGACATTTTGTCTGGTGTTCTTCGTTTCTCAAGATACGATATTATTATTATTATTATTATTATGAAAGTTAGAAATTTTCAGCCTAGGATTTTGACAATAGAAGAGTTCAATTATGTAGAATACTCTGTTTTGCGTGCATGTGAAATATTATTGTCCAGCTTTTTGTTCAAATTATGTTTTCAAAGAGGTCAGTTTTTAAAGCAGAAATATCTCTTCTCCTTAACATGAACCTGTTTACCCATACATTCGACACAAGAGACTTAGAAATTCATCTGCAGTGACCCTTTATTCGACCCGACTTCTTGTGTCGGTTCATGACAATTATTTCATATATATATGTACATCTCAATAAATAATATTTAAATAAAGATAAATTATTACAATCTGAAGCTGAGTTGTCTGTACATGAAATCGCTTATAATTTATCCGAACTTTTATACAAGTGTTTAATATTCTTTAAAACCCTTTTAGCTTAAAGGTTCGTTTTGCTTAGCAGTCATTTTTAAAACAACCACGTGACGAGGAAACATGTGATTAAGACGATTACATTTGATAGGACTCCGTAAGCTGCTCCAACAGCTGGGTCAATGTTGACCTCTGGGTTACTACACCCCATCCAATACGAAGCTACATCTCGGGGGTAAGGATTGTTACTGTCTTCCAACACTTTAACGAGATAATCATTAAATGCATAATACTTGTCATCCTTAAAGAAATAAGTTCTGCCATTCTTCCATTGAAAGACGGCGTTGATATTGTTCGGAATTCCTTTCCAAATGGAAATGTCCCTCGGATATCCTTCGTCGAGCTTGCTCCGGGTTCTATCGTAGCGCCAGTACTTAGATCCCTTGAAGAAGTATATTTTGCCATTTCGTTTCCACTCGAGTGCGGCATCCATATTAGCGAGTTCCTTCGTCAAGCCAAGTTGTTGGATGTTAGCCGGGCCAAAAAACAATTCTTTGTTCTTGAAAACCCAGAACCTAGAAGATAATACAGAGAACTTAATAAGCAAAGCAAGTTCAACCTTTACTCTTGACTTAAGCAAAATTTTAGAGGAAAAAATCGGGCAGAACAAAGGAGCAGTATGCTGAATTGCAGCCGGGGGTAATCGACCAATATTTGGGTGTGTAGGGGAAAAAGTATACAAAATTACCCTGTTTAGGGCAGAGAGGAAAAAGAGCATACCAACAGTTAATCCCCGCATAGGCCATATAAGGAAGTATCCCCCGGTTTGCAGTTCTTGGCAAATTAAAAGTTCTCATGCGAAAAGATCTATCTTCCTAGCTTATTGATATCAGTATGAAAATTCTTTACATCATTCCTCATACATTTTTAAAGTAATAAGAAGGATAATTTGTTAACATATCAGACCTTTGTTCTCACTGATATAATCTTTTTTTCTTGAAAATTCTAAGAACCTTTAGTCATGTTTTGAGGAAATTACACATGCTATTCCAGCAGTCTTCGGGGTTAAAGAGTTAGGACAAAATTGAAAGGACGTACCTGTCTCCTTTGATAAATATAGTCTGATCAAAGGCCTGTACTGTATAGGCAGCGTCAATATTTTCTTCTAAGTCTCGCCAGTAGTCTTTGATCTCAAATGGACCATCAGCGCCACCGGTATCTTTTACTTCCCAAAAGTGAGCACCACTGAAGATATAGGTCCTCTTATCAGCTGTTGTAACCACTGCATCTGGTTTGACATGGCTGCATGTCTTAGGTGTTGGCTGAGGGGAGGGAGTAACTCTTTCAACTCCAGGTAACCCTGTAGATCAAACGATAGCGATTTAATTAGTGACTTTCAGACTTTTAGAGGTGATGAAAATCCTCTTGAAACAGAAGTTTTTCTTCTCTTTTTTTTTGTTTAGATTGACGACTGTTTGGACTACTCGACACGTGGCAACTGTTCTCTACTCAGGGATGATCATCATTCGCAAACGGAGTTTAATTATGAAAATAAAAAATATAGTAAAAACATCTCGCATTTTGAGACAGCCCCGGCAAATTATCAAGCATATAATGTTATAAAAATGTCAACCGTTTTTTTATGTGTGTTGTACGGCTTGTTCAAAGTGCCATTCAAGGGAAACATTCCTTATACTAATCGTAGAGAGAAGAGCCAAACGTCAGCTCCTGCCAAACTTATTATAATCCAACCTACCGTATATTTTTCGGATTCCTTCAATATCGTCACTGTCCAACTTTAGGTCGGGAATATGTCCCGTATAGAAGGCGAACATTACCGAGTGAGGGTGAAAGGCGTGGTCCAGACCAAGGCTGTGCCCCAGTTCATGAGCCATTACCCAAAGTAGGTCCACCCCATTGCCTCCATTGATAGTAAATTTCTCGTCATCATCCAAGTGTATATCACCGTTAAGGCCAGTGTTATCTGGGCCAGGGAAGAACGCATGTGCTAGCTCGCCTCCGGGGCCATCCGCTGGCCTGGAGTCGTTGTGATAACCAGTTACAAATAGGACTCTGATGTCAGGCTCAACTTTGAGGTCATTTTCTCGCTTGAATGTCAGTCCACTGACGCTGGACCACATTTCAAGCGCTTTCTCGAATGTCTTGTCCACGTCTTCCTTTTTGAGGTCGGGATCATTTGAGTATTTTTCAATTCTGTAGGTAAGATCCTGCAAAATCAAAGCAATTTTCATTTACTAACGAATCATCAAAAATGAACCCGATTGTGTCTTTGCTTGTTTTTGGATAATGCCCAGTTTAACCTTAACCTCGTTCCCAGGATCGTTACTGGGACGCGCAGATCATCTAATTGGCCAATAGCAAGAGAGGATGATCTCATTCTCTCTTGCTATTGGCCAATTTTTTTCCCTGTTCCCAGTAGCAATCCCAGAAGTCTTTGCGGACGTTAACTCGGTCCAGTCTCCCTCTCGGCCTTCTCGTTTCTAAAGTGGCGAATTCTAGTTTACACATCTGATTTTTCTTTTTTTTTCTTCTTCTCTCTTTCATATTGCTGACATATTTCCTTCTTTTCTGGCAACAACATGCGCAAGTTATATCTAATAGGTTTACTTACAGTTTTTCTCCAGTAGCTTCCTTCAAGGGCGTATCTCTTTTTTCTCCGCGCTATGTCGGATGGACCAAAGTCCTGCACTCCACATCTTGGCTTCTTTACCATAGCAAGTGTTTTGAGGTCAGAGATATCGCCGGTTTCTTTTAAACCCGCAATTCGCTGCAATTTCTTGATGGCTACTCGTAATTCCTTCATCGAAAGTGCGTTTCCAATTCTGTGATCCGGTTGTTTAAGATAGCCATATTTTATGAGATAATCCTGCAAATTAACATAAAATGACGGATTATTTTTTACGATGCTGCTTTAAGCGTGTTTTATGCCTTGTAATGACGAGTAGTCAACAACTGATATTAATTTCCTGTACGGTGTGGAGACAATAGCATGCTCTCATCATATCCACTGTGGTCACGAACGACCTAACCTCTTTTTCCGGATATTGATATAACCGAAGAATTTTCCAAGATTAAAATTGTTAGCTTTCTATATTTTGACAGGTTGAAGGACACTTCTTTATTATCTTTATTTTTTACGCGTTAGTCCCATCACTTTCAAACACCGTGATTAGGCGCGCGCTTCTGAAAGACATTAGATATGCTTGCATGGTCACCACTGATCTCCTGAATTGTAGTAGATCACACGATATAAAAAAGAGCTACTAGAAAAGACGAGAAAGGAAAAATATCCGTCTTGAATATCCTTCGCCTCTAAATTGTAAATATTCTTTGAAAGAAAGAGGAAACTTGGAGGTATTCTATGAAAACAATATCGCGTACATTTGCAAGCCATTGACACAGCTGGATCAATGCTACAAGGAATGCTGCATTATTAAAGGCCACGATTGTGCAATTTTAAGCTTTTCACTTTAACCAATTTCCCCAGAAAAAACCAAAGTATAGAAATGGGCAGGTTTCTGGCAGTTTTTATTGTTTAAGTTATCCCCTTCTAACGCCTGGAGCAAATTCGCACACTACTGCTGCGTTTCTTAATTTTGTCTTTACTCTTCGTTCTGCTCTTAATTAATAACACAATGAAAAAGAATCATTACTCACCACTAGTTCAGATTCCGTAGCCCGTGGTTCTTGTGTAGGCTCAACTTCAAGTTGTCTAATCGGTTTTCCAACAATAAAACCAAGTCCTGCGAGTGTAATAGCTGCTGCAAAAAATATAGCCATTCTTGCTTCCATACTCGCTGATTGCAATTGTCCTCGTTATGAATTTTAATCAAGTTGAATATTTGTTCAGTATTCTGCCACAGTTACCGTCGTTCGATGTCTTGGAAGAGTGTTGATTCGGTCAAGTCACAACCCCTTAAATACTTAAGAACTCTCGATTTCTTTGACATCATGTGACGTCAGCAGCCACATACCACACCTTAACTGAGACGTCCGAGTAAGCCTCTCATTGTTGAGGTTTCCGCATCATTTCCTCAACATCAATAGATAACAATATTTCTCGAACTCTTACCATCAATATTAAATCATATCATTAAGAGCCAATTTTCAGAGTTTAAAAATGGCAAGTTTGTCTCTAGCTTCTAGACAAAACGGATGAATTGTAAGTTAAGGAAACTCTTGAACTCTACGAAAGGTCAGCCATGGTGAAATCCATTACGAAGCGTGTAAGTGGGAGAGTTTGATACCATGGCTTGATAATAAAGAAAGTGCGCACGTCAAAGATCAAATATCGCTCCGTTTCGGACGAAGAGTCACAACATCCGTTTCGTGATTATGTGTTAACACTGCTAATAACGTAGTGTGCAGTAAAAACACATATATTCAGAGGATGAGTTCAGTTTTCTATAAAAAAATATATGCATGAAAACGTAACTGCATAATTTCCAACGCTTGGTTGAGCATGACATATTCATGCCAAATAAATTTACATAAGGTTCTTGTTTTATCTTTGCGGCAAAAACGTGCCTCGATTGTATTGGTACATTCCAGGACCTTCCGGAGCGAAACAATTACTTTATAAAATTTGCCTCTTTCAAAAATACATCTTTTACATCACATTTGCAGAGTTTTGGCACAAACATGCCAGAAGAGTTATCTTCGTGGATAAACGGTCGAGTCAGATTCTCGGAAAACGTAAACAGGAAAAGTGGCCAACTGCTCAATGAATAACCCTCAAGACAGAAATGACCTTGAACACTTGGCATCACGCTCGGTTAACCGACGAAGATACCGGACGGAAATTGCGACAATATCATAATAATAAGGTCATTCAACACGCGTTTACGACTGAAGGGAATACGAAGTAGATAAGGTGGGGGGAGGGGCGAGAAGATGGACACTCCTAGTAGTCGTGAATCCCGTATTGCTGATCTGGTCTATGTCACTGATGGTCAGCAATGGAGTATCCGTGTATTTTGAGTCTGGACAATTAGCAATCCTAAAAATTAAATCAAATATTTAGGTCTAATTATTACATCGTGTGAGCAGCTAGCAGGAATCGGCTCGTAGTATGATGAGAGTTTCGAGAAAAATATCATATACCCCACCCAGATTTTTTCAGAGACACCCTCCGGGAAAGAGTACTTCACTTTGAGGCCAAATCAGGCTGCTGACACTGCTTTTGCGTCTGTCCCTTAAGTTGTTCTTTATGGTGGATTTAGGAGGGGTGGTTTAATGAGCTAACTTCCTTGATCCTACGAGCTCAAACGAGATCAGGTTCTAAAACCTCTTTTCGCTGAATCGCTGAATGTTACAAATAAGTTAAAGTCATCGAAAAATTCCCGTATATTGTCAAAACAATATTGTGCAATTCAGCAGCAAAAATTTGTTTACGCTGATAAACGAAATGTACATTTAAGAAAACGTTATTTTGTCAAACGATCTTGTTATTTGACGAGTACGTGACCAGACGGCGTCAGTAATTCACTTGTGTTGCAAGCTGTGTTGCAAGAATCTTTTCCGTCAAGGAGAATTTTTATGAAAACATAAAATATTGACTCATTGTTAATATTGGACCTGAGTGTTTTGTTTTGTTCCGGCTGTTTCTTCTTGTTCTTTTGCTTTGTTGTGTTTCGTTCTCTCTTGGTTTCATGTACTTTTGAAACATGATCTTTAATGTATACCCGGGTACTTTTAAAGTTTGGAGAGACCTAGCCAGAAAGCGAGCTTTTGCCATCCAGATCTCAAGTGAGACTGCTGGGTCCAAGACTAAAATCATAAAAGCCTGAAGGATGAACGCTATAACCACAATGATTTTAGTTACGAAGAGGGAAAGTTGACAGAAACGACCAGACAACCCTGGCCTATACCGAACTAATTAATTTGCTGTCATGCGAGAGTAACTGAACCAGTATCACAATAATTGGAATTTTTAACTAAGGTTGCCGTAATATCAATTTTAAAATGGTCGGTTGATAGGTTAAACCATGGTGATAGCTGAGGCCGCCAGAATCCAGAATACACGGAGCCGCTCTATCCCAATCAACTCTGAGATCAGAGGATTGCGGCCGGATTTTAATAAAATAGTAGAGTCGACTGTTTTTGGTAAAATATTTGTACGGACCAGAGCAAAAACCATTATCGCTTTTTTTTTTTTTACCTATCCACCATTTAAGGTAAAGAAAAACCAGCTTCCGATGACATGGCTAAATGATCTCGTAAGTCTGAAGGAATCAGCGTGGGGAAGTTTTGGCGGCGGGTACGTAGTTTCCCGAGCGATAAACCACATTTTCCCGCCCGCTTCTTAAGCATGGGCTTGCAGCCTATTAAGTAGAAATTTTGAAAAAAAACACCAGTAGAATGAAGCATTCGTGCGCGATCGATCTCGCCAAACACAAGCTATGTACATGCTTTTCGCCCGTTTTGGGTTAGGTGCGATTCCAGCCTGAACTTCAGATGTTTTCAAAAAAGGGTATACGGAATAAGCAGACCGTCTGTTTTCATTTCTGTGAAGGGAAACGGAAGAACCAGTCATTTTCCTAGCTGATACAGACTCAGTTCTCCCCAAATTTGGTCATCATTAACCTGAGATCAGGCTCAATTTTCTTTTCGCTTTGTAATAACATTCCAGCGGGTAAGGCGAAACGAAAACAATTGGGCCTGATCTCAGGTTAGGTCATCATACAGTGCCTCATGAAATCGTGCCCGGTTGACAGTAAAGTTTTGCGTGAAAGCCGGCACACTAGGTGTAAGGGAATTCTGGGGGATTTCGTGTATCCTGTAACCCGCTGTAGGTCATTGCTGTACTTAGCGCAGGCACCTAGCAACGTTTCTTTCTTTTTCCACAAAACTTAAAGATCAACCTGTACCTTATAACTACTGAAATAAATTAAGTACAGTCCACGAGTTCTCGGCGAAATATGAAGGTCGCCTTTACTATAGATTGGATATCACTAAATGAACTTTAATTGCTTTGTATCCATATCAGGATGACTCGAACTATGACTGAAAACACAAGACAAGGGGGGCTTTAGCTAGGAGACTATGCATGGGTATTTCTGACAAAATGGAAGTTGCGGACTGACCGTTATTGATGAACAAAAAGCTCGCTAGTGGTAGTGCTATCTCACAAAATAATTCTTCGGATATGCAAGAGGCGATTTCGTTGAAAAGAGACGATTTTATGGAACCCCTAAAGTTGCTCAATTATTAACTGAGCGAGGTGGTTCCTTAAAAACTTCATTATTACTTGGAAAAAAAGTTCTGGTAAATAAGTAGTGTGAATCATTATCAGTTTTAATCTCTCAAATCTAAGAAAACTCACTGAAAACTCGGCATACTAGCTCCTACTCTTGGGCGGTGGTTTTATCTGGCAAATCGTCTCTAAAAGACTAAAGACTTCTAGAAGATTAGATTAGATTTATAGCAGGGTCAGCAGGAGCTTGGCCGGGGGAGAGCGGCTGTGGGTATATACAGCAAGTAAACAGCTCTTTTCAGTTTAGTCGGGTTGCAATGTGATTACCGATAGCACTGACGTATCGCTTGCACCCCGCCATCCAAGCGATGAATGTGTGGGTGGAAAAACTAAGATAATTTTGTGATCAGTAATGCAGTTATAACTTGTTGATCCACTGAGCTCTCACGTCGATATCCGGTATCTGAAGATTTGGGATGGGATTAGATCACTTACTTTAAAGTAAAGGTGCTGCGGTTGCGGCAGGTGACTGGCCGTCTTTTGATCATGAGCACTTTTGAAATGAACGATCTGATTAAGGGCCTCGATATTGTTAATTAATTTTAGGATTTTGCGTGACTACTGCTGCTCACGTTCAGTCCTTCGCACGCCAGTGAAACGTCAGTTGGCATGTTATCAGGGGCACCCAACGTCAATTTTCGGAAAATATCTGTTCGGAAGACGATTTGAGATCTAGAATTTTCGGAACATTTGTTGTAAAATATATTGCTTGCCTGCCTCTCCTAGGATTTTCGAACATCTAAAAAATGGTCTATTTGCACATTTTTAACGGATTTCTACCCTAAAAAGTTCACCTACAATTTTCGGGAGCTTTTTTTCCGGCTGAAATTTTCGAAAAGGTAAGTTTTGATCCCTATAATTTTCGGATCACTAGACTTTCAGCTAGGAAATCCGAACAGATGAAAAATTTTTAGGGGATGAAAATATGCCTATATCTACCGTTTAAATACTAAAATACGTTTAACGATGCAATGTCTAAGTGGTTTTGAACTATAGTCTCGTTGGGTGCCCCTGATGTTATTACCGAAATCGCTCGGAGTGTACGTGAAAAACAATAGGCTGCTCTGAACAACTCCTGACGCCTGCGGGCAGACGTCTCCAGTCAGTCCAGTTTCATTGGGAGCTGACCTTTGCACGGTGGCTAGAAAATCGAAGGCAAATACTGGCTCGGAAAATAAAGTTCTCTCAAAGCGGCGAAATTCACTCAGTGCATCAACACAGACCCACAGCTCGGCGGTAAGACAGACTGACGTCCCCCGAGTCGAAGTGTCTCGCAAGTAAACTTTGACGACTTGATTTTAAGAAGGCTAATACTGTATTGAACTTAATCGATGCCAATAAATCCAGTTCTTTGATCTAATACACAATAATGTTGACAATATTCAGGCGGTGCCATCGTTCTCTAAAAAGGTACGAAGAACGCTTTATCGCAAGCTATATTATAGACCCAGCCTCTATGACCTCTATGGTACAAAAGCCTTGCTCTTTATAGGAGTAAAAAAAACGCTAATAACACCTTGCTGATCAAAATGTTTTA